GGAAGGTCTATCAGAATACTGAGTAGATTCAAGTTAAGGACTACAGGACAGATGGATCGACTACTTATAGGTAAAAGGTACTTCAGGGCAAGACTACTGAATCAAAGGTAAGGGTACAGGGTACAAGATAAGAGATACAAGATAAGACGGCGATCAGAGATGCTATACAGGAAGATGATGAGAACATCATAAGGCAGTACATGGTGATAGAAAAAGATAGGAGGTACAGTCCGAAGCATGTTATCGTAACAGATTCTATCATACAATGATTCAATTTTGAGGAGCTGAAACCAGTCTCAAACCCAATGGAGCCAAGCAATAAGCTGCACTCCAGGCAGTCACCATCCACAGGTGCTGAATATGCCACCATGCACCATGTTCCTTACCGTGAAGCTGTTGGATCACTCATGTACACCTCACTGGGCACCCATCCTAACATATCATACGCTGTCATGACTGTATCTCATTTCTCCGCAAAACCTGGATCGCTACACTGGGATGCCATGCGCAGGATTTATCATTATCTCCTGGGAACAACTGACTTGAAGTTGACATATGGAGCTATAGAGAACTCATTAATTGGGTATGCCGATGCAGACAGGAGCATGGCAGAGGACAGACGGGCTGTCTCTGGGTATGCTTTTCCAATTGACGGAGGAGCTGTATCTTGGTCGTCAGAACGACAGGAGATCATGTTGTTGTCCACCACTGAGAGTGAATATGTCACAGCAATGCATGCTACCAAGGAAGCACTGTGGCTGCGCTCGTTCATTGGACAACTTTTCAAACCATTCATGGAACCCATTACCCTTTTCTCAGACAATCAATCAGCAATTGCATTGACAAAAGATCATCAATATCAGATTTCACTTTATTTGTTGGGTTATCGAGGAAGAAAAGCTCAGACTCATTTTTTGCCCCACTGTTGACATGATTGCTGACACACTTACCAAAGTGTTACCATCCCCAAAGGTCAAGCATTTCATGTCTCAACTTGGACTCCGTGCAGCTTGAGGGGGAGTGTTGGAATTTGGAGGTTGAACAAGCCCGCACCAAGTCAGTTTCGACAGAACAAAGTATGTGTTTCATTCTATTGTGTTTTCATTTGTTTCAGATGTACCATTATGCGCTCTTGTTGATTCTTTTACTTTTGTTACAGTTTCACGCATTGATTTGTTCGCACAAGAGCACTTAGTCTATTTAACTAGCTACAGTTGCAGACTACCACCTCAGATGTTTGCCTTCGCACACAACGACTGAGGTGAGATACTTACTTTTCATTCATTTGCCTTTACTTACTTTGAGCAGAGTGTCCATTTCATACAGGTGAATACTATAGATGTTTGCCTTCGTGCGCTGTGGGTACAACGAACAGACTGGGAGGAATCTGCTCTGATGTGAGGGCGATATGTTCAACCTCTAGGGGAAGCTGAGTCAGGCAGAAGTCAGGCGACTAAGTGCGCTCGAAGCGCGGGAATGTGCAAGGTAAGCACGAGGGTGCGGGAAGTGCGCAGAAAGCGTGGAACACACGGGAAGGTCACACTCATAGAGTGCAAGTGCGGAAGGATGTCTAGGATTGTGTATGACGCGAGGAATGGATATCAAGCAAATGTATTATGGATATAGACTGATAAGGGAAGGAGAGTATGCCTCCTGGCTATAGGTAAGTGCTCCCTAAGACATAGCACAAACTGCGGAACTCTACTAAGGGTGATTGCATAAGTTAGGAACCTTCTGTCAGAAAGCCCAGTAGATTTAGAGGGTAGCTAGCGAAGAGCGAGTGAAAAGTGTCCTAAAGCGGCCGAGGAGCGCGGAAGCACAGGAACGCGGCCGAGGAATGTCACAGATGTATGTAAGGAGGCAGTGGCTGTCAGAAAACCAATATATGTATGTAATACGCACCTATGGACTTAATAGACAATGGATGGATGGACCTGAGGAAGCGCGCACTGAGCGCGAGCGCAGGAAGTGCGCGGAAGGCATGGAAAGCGCAGGAGAATTGCGCCCACCTGTGGATAGGGATGAGGTCGATGTAGAAATGAGGGGATACGAGCCTGTAGAGATATCACTCTCTACAATGCGACTAAGAGTGTCCATTTCATACAGACCCACACGATTGTATTAACCCTTTACTGAGAAGAAGGAAAGCATGAGCTTGAAATATCTAATCAAACAATTGAGATTAGTATGTTGTAGTGCAATAGGATTTGGTTGCCTTGAGATGGTGTCAGGAGACCGCTGGAAGTGCTCACCAACATGACGAGTTGGGAGACCAGTGACACAGGCATACAAAAATATTGCTAGTTGTTCCTCATAGAACAAAACGACACTGTCAGACAGCGCACTGCAGCAACAATTGTTCTTGTTGATCATCGAAAAGGTTTGTATGTACAGGAATCATATCGCAGTTTATTGTACTCGCAGGGGGGGGGGCTATTGTCTGCAAAATCTATGTTGCTTTCTGTGACACTAGGAAGTCACATGCTGGTCATGTGGCTGCATCACATGATCTGAAAATTGAAAATTGAATTTCGAAATTCTGTTCGAATTTCGCTGTCCATTCAGAGCTCCTAGCTAGGATATATGATAGTATTTACATAAAGAGTCGATCAAGGACTCATCAGTTCTCTGATGCCGGCCAGTTGACAAACACATTGATTCACTGACCGGAGGAACACTGATCTATGAAAACTCTACACACCGCTGACTGTTTTGGAGTCTGCACTTGTACTAGCATTCTTTTCCATATGATTTCCTACACTGTAAACATTTACATACTAACAATTGTGACGCCTAGTTTATTTTTCAATCATCTCGTGTGATTGTCATTCCAGCCCGACGCAAGGAAGATGAGGAGATGTCATCGAACTAGTTGGCGACAGCGAAACATGAATTTACTGTGTTTCCTGAGGGTGCGCAACCAACTTCGTTCCAGATATCTGTCCCATTTTCATCCTTTCCAGCCCTCCAATAATACCTTCAAGCCCGTTCGGAAGGACTTCATGCTTGTTCGGCTATACGAATGTGAGACAGATCCAAAACGGTGATCGCAGTACACACCTGGATAGTACCCTCTGAAAGCCACTTTTCGACCATAGACCAGGAGCTGCGGCACAGCTCGTCATTTTGCGGAACATGTGGGCTCGCGAAGGTCGGGGCGATCTTCCGCCCCTTGCCTTCATCTTCCTTGACTGATGGAGGAAGGGTTAATACGAGGGTACCGTTTTCCGCAAGCAATTCCAATCCAACAGACTGTGTTTCTGGCAGCGAGATAGCGTCATAAACGAGTTCAATAGGACTGTCGGTAACTTTGCTGATGGCTGCCTTCAGCTGTTGGCCGGAAAGGTTCCGGTCAAAAAAGTGGGTTGCGCCGAAGCCCTTGACAAGGTCTTCATTGCTATGGGAGGCTGTGGTGATGATAGGGTAGAATCCTGAGAGACGAGCAAGTTGAATAGCTGCAATGCTGTCAGAACGCGGCTGAAGAGGTGCAGACCACTTCGCTCACTGTATGCACCAACAGAGGAGGAGCCGCCAAGGATAACAATCGGTTTCTTTGATTCGTGATCGCCGGCACTTTTTGTCCAAGGAGGGGTTAATCCAGCTCCATATTCTTTTCCGTACAAGCCCACCAATGCGGTGTCCAGCGCCAGAGGAACGGTAGCTGCGTTATCGAAAGACAGGCTTGGGGGAATCTGGGATGGAATGTAGCCTATGACGTAGCTGACGAACCCTCTCAGAACTGACCTTTGCAGTAAAACTCGCAACGGTCAGCGCGTATTGCTGAAACCCAGCAAGGTCATTAGTGAAAGCACCATGCGCCAATCTGTAAACCCAGGTTGAGCCTAGACACACAGAGGTAAACCCGAGGAAAAGATGTGACTAACACTCTATCGCCTTTGCGAAAATTCTCAACACCTTCCCCCAATTCTTCGACAACGCCAGCAATATCCCCGCCCAGAACGGCAGGGTAATGGGTCACGAACAAACCGTAGTCCTTTATTTTGTAGTCAACCGGGTTCAGGGCAGCAGATTGAATCTTAACCAGGAGCTGCCCAGGGCCAGGACTAGGAATGCTGAGGGAGCTAACCTCGAAGTTGCCCTGCTTTTTTGGAAGAACGAGAGCTTTCTGTTGCAGAGACATGGGAAAGAAATTGTGGAAAGTACAGCGTGGTTGGAGGTCTTTTGACACTTCCCCACCTTGCTACCTATATAATAAATAACGTCTTGATGAGCAAAAAAGGATCATGCGGATTATTCATGATGATGGGCGTTAGTAAGGAGCGTCTACTCAGCTTGATAACAAGATTGGCATTATGCCAGAAATAGATAGTGTCTCATCGAGCACGCATAGCACGCTAGAATCCCACACTGGGCAACAGCGCACTGGATACTTATTATAATGTTCGACCGGCCGGAAGTGCGAGCAAACCCACAAAATATTATTTTGTGCGTGAATTTGCTAACGCGTACACAGACTATGTCTATGACAATGTGAGAAGTCTGGAAGACTGAATACATTGTTCGCCAGTTGGGGGAGGGGTTTCGGTTGCGTTGATCGGCGCTAGCGATGGTACGAGTCGAGTGGAGTCTCCAGCGGATAGCTATAGTGCGTCTGAGTGTGTAGTAAGCACTGCGTGTTGTCCAAAACGTTCAGCTGGCTGAGAAGTGACTGGAATCTCGGGGGGTCGACATCTTCTCCGCCATCAACTATATCCGCCAGCCGTGAAAATGTCGGAAACCTAGCGGTGTCAAAAGCTTTACCCACCTTCAAGCTTCAAGCTTCGATATCAGTCAGCTGCCAGTGAGTGCTGCATCAGCAAAAGTGGCGGAAGCTGACAAGGCCTCGGCAGATACCGTAAGCCTGGTGTAGGGTCCCAAATGCAGCTACAGGTCTTACGGGCGTCGCATCAGGCATTGCAAGGCTTACGGATGGCCCAATGTACTGTTATAACTTTTGAATAAGCTATTTCCCCCGTTCCACCATAACCAAGGTTCGCTACATGAGCAAGATTCATCCAGCATTACTCTATCTCACCATTTATAACCCGACTTTACGTCCCAATGAAGAGGTGTCCAAAGACGATGATGATGCAGAAGAGCAAGCACAGATCCTGTTCTACACTTCGCAGGAACGCGCTGCTTCGCGCGACAAGATGCTAAGGCAGGTCGGACTCGCCAAGGCGCTCGTCGATTTCTCTGAGTAGGAGTCCCAGGTTTTCCTCCATGCGCAAAGTCGCTTACTATCCAGCAGGATATTCCATCCGATCGACTCTTACCACAATGTACATTCTCAGTCGAGAAGGATGATAATGCTCAACCCTGAACCTGACTTCTGGACTCACGCAGTACGCCGACTCTCGATATGTTGTAGCCCTCTTATCCTAGATTTGCTAGGCGGTAGAGCTTGCAAAAACACCGAGGACGCTTGCGCCTAAATCGAACAAGGGCAAGGGCAAGAGTAATGGAAAGGACAAAGAAAAAGAGCAAGCAAGTGCTCTGTTACCCTCTTATGACTATCACGGCGGCTTGCTTCACGATTATGCACTTCATCCGCACTTCCTCCGGGGATACGAGCAATTCAAACTCACGCACGGGTCTTTCACCTCGATCTTGAATTTCCTCAGGAAAGAAGCATTAGCATTGCAGCTAGAACGGTTATTCGCTGTATGGGCATGGTCCTAGGATTTAAGCAAGAGTTTTGAGTTGAGCAGTGACCTAGGTGCGTTGTACGTTTGGACTTCGCTCATCTATAACTGATTTGGTCTAGGATTGTCGCTTCACATCTTATACCCCTCTATTCCACCTCTATTGGATACCTTTTCGTAACAGCTACCAGCTGGACTTGACGCGTTGTTTCTTTTTCCTCCTCACGTAGTTCCGTCTACGAAACACAGACAATCTAATCATCCGCCCGCACTCTCGCGACACCTTCTCTCTCTGATTCCACCTCATTTACCACAACATAACGCAGATGATCACTCAGGAGCCTCTTCACCCACTGAGAAGGGAGGGACTGCAAACGAAAGCTCCACTATCGTCTGTCTTCCTTTGATGTTTGTCGTGCTTCGACTAATAAACCCGCTATTAGTTCATTCATTTCCCGTTGTTCACGGCGATTTTGCCAGCGTGAGTTCTTCTTCTTCACGTTCAATTGCGCTTGCTAAATAACTCAGTTTGGTACACATCAAGGACGTAGAATATAAGGCTTTCCTGACCGACTTCGGTTTGTTGAATGCCCTCGGTGGACTTTTAAAGAACAGTGTGGTCGAAGGATCAATTATTCGGCCTGGTGCAACCGGGTGGGTCCGTCGATAATTATCTCTCCAAGGCTTGGCCTGAAAACCCAGCTCTCACCCTCCGACTCATCTGGTTTCTTAGAAGCATTCATGATGGGAAGAGCGACAAGTAGCTCTTTGAGAGGGACACTGATCAATGAAGACTCTACACAGCCGACTGTTTTGAAGTCTGCACTTGTACTAGCATTCTTTTCCATCTGATTTCCTACACTGTATGTATCTACATACTGGCAATTGTGACGCCTAGTTTATTGTACAATTATATCGTGTCACTGTCATTCCAGCCCGATGCAAGCAAGATGAGGAGACGTCACCGAACAAGTTGGCGACCGCGAAACACGAATTTACTGTGTCTCCTGAGGGTGCGCAACCAACTTCGTTCCAGATACCTGTCCCATTTTCATCCTTTCTAGCCCTCCAATAATACCTTCAAGCCCGTTCGGAAGGACTTCATGATAGTTCGGCTATACAAATGTGAGACAGATCCAAAACGGCGATCAAAGTACAAACCTGAATATCACCCTCTGAGAGCCACTTTTCGACCATAGACCAGGAGCTGCGGCACAGTTCTTTATTTTGAGGATTATGTGGGCTCCCGAAGGTCTGGATGACCTTGCGCCCCTTGCCTTCATCTTCCTTGACCGATGCAGACTGGGTTAGTACGAGGGTGCCGTTTTTCGCAAGCAATTCCCATCCAACAGACTGTGTTTCTGGCAGCGAGATAGCATCATAAACAATTTTGATAGGGCTGCCGGTAGCTTTGCTGATGGCTGCCTTCAGCTGTTGGCCGGAAAGGTTCCGGTCGAAAAAGTGTGTTGCGCCAAAGTCCCTGACAAGGTCTTCATTGCTAGGGGAGGCTGTGGTTATGATTGGGTAGAATCCTGATAGACGAGCGAGTTGGATAGCTGCAATGCTGTCAGAACGCGGCTGAAGAGGTGCAGACCACTTCGCTCACTGTATGAACCAACAGAAGAGGAGCCGCCAAGGATAACAATCGGTTTCTTTGATTCGTGATCGCCGGCACTTTTCGTCCAAGGAGGGGTTATTCCGGCTCCATTTTCTTTTCCGTACAAGCCCACCAATGCGGTGTCCAGCCCCAGAGGAACGGTAGCCGCGTCATCGAAAGACACACTTGAAGGAATCTGGGATGGGATGTAGCCTATGACGTAGCTAACGAATACTCTCAGAACTTACCTTTGCAGTAAAAATCGCAATGGTCAGCGTGTATTGCTGAAACGCAGCAAGGTCATTAACGAAATTACCATGCGCCAAGCTGTAAATACGGTTGAGCCTAGACATGCAGAGTGAAAAGATGTTGTCTAACATTCTATCGCCTCTGCGGAAATTCTTAACACCTTCCCCCAATTCCTCGACAACGCCAGCAATATCCGAGCCCAGAACGGCAGGGTAATGGGTCACGAGCATCCCACTGTCCTGTATCTTGTAGTCAACCGGGTTCAAGGCAGCGGATTGAATCTTGACCAGGAGCTGCCCAGGACCAGGACTGGGGATGCCGCGGGAGCCAACCTCGAAGTTGCCCTGCTTTTTGGGAAGAATGAGAGCTTTCTGTTGCGGAGACATGAGAACGAAATTGTGGAGAGTATAGTACTTGGTTGGAGGTCTTCTGACTCTTCCCCGCCTTGCTACCTATCTCATAAATTGAAATGTCTTGATGAGCAAGAATGAATCATGTGCCAGCGGATGATTCATGATGGATGGGCGTTAGTGAGGAGCGTCTAGAATTCAGCTTGATAACAAGCTCTGCCGCATAGATGCGATGCCACAAATGGAAAGTGTCTATCGTAGAAGACGAATATCACACCACACTGGGCAACAGCGCACTGGCTGCTAACTAATCATGAATATGTAGAAGTCGACGAGGCGTGTAACGTACGGTACATAAATACAATAAAGATAGTACAAGATAGCTGACCATATTATTATTATCCTCCTGTAGCCCGAAGTCCATATTGTGCAGTCCGTACAACAGTTCTAGGAAGTGCGTCTGCTACCTCATCACCAGACAGCTCGGAGAGATCGCTTGTGTCATATCCAATCTCCGTAGCATCTGAAGGTGGGTAGTCTGAATGAGACACCAAAGAAGGCATCCGATGTTTGGTGTGAGTCGCGGGGGGAGTGCAAGGATATTGGACCATTTTGATCCCCCGCGGTACTGGAGTGGTGATGCAAACCTCGGGAACGTAACGACCTTTCAGGGGTGGAATTTTGATCTTAAATCCCGAGCTGCCCAGCGTTACCTTCGGGGTAGATGGTGCGCAGATGTCCATGTCTTCCCGACGTTTGCTCTTCGGTTTCCGAGAATGAACAGACTGGGTGTCCAAGGCTTTGGTTTTCCGCTTTGAAGTGGGCTTTCCAGAATTCTGATTATCTGTCTTTGCTTTCTTCTTCTTCGGAAGACCTGCTTCTTCTGAGCCCTCTAAATGAGCGACGTCCTCTTCGCGTTTCCGCTTTCTCTCCAATGCAGCTTCCTTTTCAGCAGCCTCTTTTGAAATTTCTTCCATCAAGAGCTCCGCGAAAATCTGGGCGTCTCCCTGTAACCACGCATCAAAGACGCCTTCCCATTCTCGCGTGGGCCCCGGAAAATCGAAGTTCAAGTAGATGGACTTTATGGGAGAGTCTTCCGCCGATGTTGCTGACCCCTTGCCAGGAGATGGTGATGGTGTCGCAAGACCTGTAGACGCAGACGCTGTGTCCCTCGACGCAGTGCATCCTCGGGCGCGTACCGCTTTCGAGAATTCACGCACCATGCGTTTGGTGCCTGGAACCTTTAAACTCGTCCCAACCACAAGCAGAGTATCCACACCGCTCCGCCCCTTGCCTTTAGAGCTTCCAACAAGATCTCTCCTCGCGACTTCACCCACGCCCTCCCCATCTTTATGTAGCTCGTTATAAAGAACCACACTGGGTCGCAACTTTCCCACACCTCGGGCACGCTTTCCGACCAGTTGACGCGTCTCTTCCATTTGGGTGCACTCGGGGCAATATGGGGGTGTTCCTGACGTCAGGGAAGACACGTAATTCTCGAGTGGGAATGTGTGCATGCATGTTTGACAATGCAGCGTCTGCAGCGTTCCATGTAGGGGAATGCAACGAGGGACATCAACAGCAGGAGACGTATATCTTGATCCTGGTGTCATAGGTGGGCTGTCTTGTGGACAAGGAGCGCTGGTGGATGTCGCAAGTTGATCGGTGATGGGAGGGCCAATTGATTTTGGCTTGGATCTAGGCCTTGCTCGCCTCTTATCGAACTCAGGGACTCCAAAGGAAAGGCCAGATTTCAGCTCGATGGCATCGATGTTTTGGGTGTAGACACGCAGGAGCCTGCCCCTGTCATCAAGTGATCGCAGCGCCTGATGAAAAGGCGTGGGGCTGGCTGCCTGCGAGAGCTCAGACAATTGAGCTATCATTTGGCAAAACATCGATGTCGTGTGTTCATTCTATTAAACGTGTGTAAGCCCGCCGCCATCCATGAGTACTCAGCACGCGTAGTAGTTGAGGCAATAGATATTTGCCATGCGAAATCTAGGGAAATCGAACCTGGGGAGACGATGACTCACGTTGAATACTGACGCATCAAACAGGTCTCTTCCCGAAGTCAATGCTTCTTTCGGGTTGTCTCGCTTCAGCGTTTGAAAGAGGCCCGACTCTGAGCGAAAATCTGGAATCCCAGCAGAAACAGAGATGCCAGCACCTAGTACAAGGTTAGTTCAACCAAGACGACAGTACCTGAAAATTTCCAACGGTTGGGAAACGCACCACACACGACAACCAGCCGTTTGGCCTTCAGGATGGCCTTGATAGCTTTTCGCAGGTGCAAGGTTGGGGTTTCTGAATGCACCATAAAAGATGGCGTTAGAGGAGGAGGAGAAGTCCCCTCCAATGGAACGAAAAGGTTCATAATCTTGTTGCCGATGTGATGGTGAGGAGCAGAGGTGTGATATGTTCGATTGAAAAACGTTAACCAAGGGGGATGTTCCCAACCAGGTTATCCTGGCGTCAGCCAAGCGGTGGCGCGGGAACCTGATATGGTCATAACTTACAAGTTATCGTAATGCATTATACCACCTACTAGCTACTGTCATGATGGGCGACTCGGAAGACAGTGTTCTTTCTAATACAAGAACGCTGTGCGTTGCACAATATTGGCGCGGATACGACTCCAATGGTCACCGAATGCCACTTCACTGGGCACTCTTTGCGATCTACAATGCAAATCCTGATTCAATCAAAGCTAGCAGCTCAGGGAAAGAGCATTCAGATCAAGTAGATCACTGGGGCACTTGTTACCAAGCAATTGGAAACATCGACACCTTTACCTACTCTTGCATTGAATTCGAATGCATGGAAATTCTTGCCGAAGGCTATCGTGGCTGCCTGGTGGTTGGAGAGATTGATTCATTCTCGGAAAAGGAGATGGACGCGTTGCTTCAACAAGTAACTGTTTATCGAGGCAGAGAAAACTGGAACTGTCAGAACTGGGTGCTTGCCGCACTCGAGAGGCTCAAAGCCTCCAATTATGTTGCGAGCAGCGTATCACGCGATGGCGTTCGCAGCGAGCTAGAGGATATCCTGAACGATTGGATAGAATGACCGCGGGATTGATCTGCATCGCGATCCCGGTGTGTTTCCTCGCACCTTTTTCAAACTACATTGGCTGAAGATATTTCAAAGACATATTGATGTCCGCTTCATTGAATCACTATTAGGTGTATTAGCGTGTAAACGTCACCGAAAACCCAAGGGCATAACACGACCTGCTTCTGTGCAGATGGCACATATCCATGTGAACCTCTCGAACTGTGTCGAATATGCCTTTTGATACAGCTCCTCCAGAATATCTCGGATATTCTGCCAAGGTAATTGGGCCCTGTGTTCGCGCACCCGGATCTAAACTCATTTCAAACAATCCGTGGGTTGCGTTTCACACTGTGACTCTGCTCATGAAGCTTTGGAGTCTGTTGGATCTACACAGACTAGCATGATCGCCGGGCTTTCAAATAAGATGGACACCGGCCGGTTGGCCCAACTGGCATAGTTGATCTGTGAAACTGAAGCTTATCTGTGGAAGCACGGCACTGCAAAGCCATCGCAAAACTAGGTATTCACCTTTCCAAGCGATCAGCTGGCGCATTCGGACAACAACCTGATGATCCTACCTACCTGACACTCTACCGTCACACTGCGGGATGTAAGAGCACATAGGTAAAGCCTTAAAGAGCTCGCCAGGTTTTCCTTCAATGTGTGATCATAGTAGACGGGTGCCAGACCATTATTGTTAACCGACCACGTCGTCATTAATGTTCCATCTCCTGGAATTGCCTGAGCTCAACCCATTCCACCATGAAACCGGAAAGAGGTGAACTTCACCCTAGTTCATCGGAATCACCGCCTGCGTGGCGGTGCCTCCCTTCGGTTTTAGAGTTTGACATTCATCAACCAATCAGAAACCTCAAACGAGAAGTCCTTCACTGTTTCTTCCGACAGGCTAGGACAGATGTCTGCTCTGCTCGGTTACCTACCGGGACTTACGGTGACGTATCGTAGCAAGCTCTAATTGATAACCGGTAAATGGGTGTGGAGAGCTAGGCTGAGCTAGGCCGGTGAATTCCGGTGAAACGACCGTCGAATTCGCGAGATAATGCCGTTAACAACGGCAACACCGCATGAGACGAATGGGGTTATCCCCGCGTCAATTGAGACAGATGATATAGACGTAAAATGGGTATATACCCTACCTCTTCCTCATGGCCATTTAAAAACCGGGGCGGACGGGATAAAGGAATAGATAGCGCAGAAAGAAGATACAAACACACGCTCGCTGATAAAGACAGCGATGCGACATGAGACGCAGAAAATGGTACAGAGAGCAAAGTAAAAAGTAAAAAATGCAACAGACCCTTCCAGACGTGACGTCAAAATTCCTACGCGAGATTGTGTTGATAGTCCTTGTATAATTAATCCAAAGCGAGGACCAAGGCCTGGGCGCAGGAATTGAGGTCATGAAGCGCGGTATGGGACGGGGAAGGTGAAGGGAATCTGTGTATAATCCGTTATGAATCCACTGAGACGATCGATGCGCATTCTGTCATTGAAGCCGCATTGGGTGATGACGATGCTTGAGCAATTTTCCGCAAGATCTACAAGCAACAAAAATTAGCGATACCGCACCCGCACGAGTTTACTAATGGGAATAGCTAGATTGAATGACTCTTGCTCACCTGGAGGTAACACTCTGTGGATTGTACGCCGTTCAATGCCCATTTTCCATCAATAATGATAGAGGGCACGCCGTTCACACCGCTCGCCCGAGCAGCGTCAATCATCTGGGCGACGCAGTTCTTGCAGTCGGTATCTTGCAAGAAAGTAGTAGCCTAGACGGTGCAGCAATCCCGTGTCATTGCAACTGCGAAATGAGTTTGACATTGAATCACACCTCTTTCTTGCTCATCAAGCCAATTTTATCTGCTGCATCGGCAAGGAACTCGACATCACTGATATCCTGGCAGCCGGCGAACACGGCGTCAAATAAAATATGGTTGAGCTGTCCTTGCATTTCTTGTCCGCCAACTTTATATGCTTTCACAGCCAGTCTGTGCGCGAGAATAGACCGAGCCACAATTCCGTCTTCCGCGCTGTTAACCCATAATGATAGTATCAGATGAAACGCTAACCGTATGCTCAAAATGCTTACAGTGGTAAGCCAGCTTTCTGTGCCAACTCCTCGACTATTTTCCACTTGCTCTCCGCTTGCTCTTTACCAAACTTCCGAGTGAGATAATCCCAGCGATTGAGCACCTTTTCCCCATTCGCCTTGGGCACCTCTTGCACAGATGATTGGCAGAGGAGGGTAAATGGCCGGAATTCCACGTCGAAACGTACATCCAAGTCACGACATTTGGCAATAGCATCTTTGAGCGACTTGTTCCCGATGTAGCAAAAGGCGCACATCTGTCAAGTGCCATAGAACGATTAGTCATGGGAAAATGGAATAAGGAAGGAGAATATGAAGATGAACGTACATAATCCGAGATGAAGATTATTTTAATTGTGCGCTGAGGTTCGGGGGATAGGGTAGAGTCTGAATCCGACATCCTTTTGATGTAAGGAAGAACGGCCTGCTCTTGGAATTGTTACTTATTTGAAGCAGACACGATCGAGGAAGATAGATGAGGGCGGCACGGAGGATATGACTGAAGTAGTAGCAGGAGGGATACACAAGTCCGCCGCCAGCGTCAAACTGGTGGAATTAAAAGGCAGGAAGGAAAGGTGAGTCGGCTGAGAAAGCCGGGGGTTGCGGACAGCGCAGAGCTGAAAAGTGAGTAAGCTGAGGAGAGTACAACCAGCCACATTTCATTGGCGGGAAATCTAATCCATTAGCAATACTAGCGTGACGCTGATCGGTAAGCAATCAGCCTGTGACATACCGTGACATCGCGCAATTAGAAATTCACCCTCGCACGTCACAACTGCTACCGATTCTCTTAAGAAACTCTGGTAAGTAGCAGTTTCGGGGACTCAACGTTAAGGCTGACCGCTTCACCGTCTGGAGCACCCTTTCTTTCACAGGGGCACCCGCAAGGTCAAAAATTCTAACTGACTTTCCCAGCCCTAGCCGTGTTACTTTCTATTAGTCATTTAGGACTAGTAGTTCGCAGCCACAATCAAACACGGGGGTGGGCGTGGGTGGCCCCATCGTTCATAAATCGATTTATCATTCCAAAAGGATAAAAAATCCCAAAGCGGGAGAAGGAAGGCGTTTCACCTACGCCAACAATGATACGGAAATATACGAGGTTAGAACCTTAATAAGGTGATCCCACCATGGTAAGCATGCACTTAGGATGACAGAGTTTGACCCACTGCTCCGCGCACTCACTCACTTTGGTATTCCACTTCTTTCTCAGCAGATAGAACTGCGCACTTATCCCCACCGCCTCCCATTTTTCAATGTCCGTGAGTAACATTTCCCACAGGTCACGGTTTTTAAATGCCTCGCGAGTCGTCTTCCACCCTCTCTGGTTCCATGAGGGTACCCACTCGCACACGTCGTTGACGATATATTCTGCGTGTGTACCGATGACAATGCGCATGAACCCTTCACCAGACCGTACCCGTAACCGGAGATCTTCAATCGCAGCTCGCAGCTCAGCCCGGTTTCTTGTGCGCGGCCTCAAATGTTTTCCAGTGGCATGGAAAAATCCCCCGTCCCAGGCTGTGCGCACACGCCACAACCTGCCCTCGCTTCACTGCTACACCGTCTACAAAAAGTAAGACGGGGTCCTGGCGGGTGACGTCAGTATGAATGAACCGTGGCTGAAGGACGTTGCACGCATTGACGGCAGTTACAAATAAATCCAAGGGACGAGTACCCTCATGCACGACGAACCGTCGCTGCGCTGCAGTTACGTTGATCGGTGGGCCATAATCACCGAATTTCAACACTTACATGGGCATAGCCGGAAGCGACTCTGTCAAACCCGGGGCCAGTAAACATCAGTCTTCACCAACTTACCCAACCTCGGCATCTGAACCACCGGCAGAGATTTTCCCCATCACCAGCGGCTCGTCGAACGCGAAGAAATTTCAGAAACTCTCCGGGTCGATTGAAATCTTTTGCACACCAGGATTGAAGGCCTGACCAAGCCTTGACGCCAGGCGTGGATGTCTCCGCAACAATCAATGCCATCCGATGGTCCCAGTTGTCCTTGAATAAGGTGAGACGTAAATTAACTCAAAGCTGGCACATACGTACCCTCAAATAAATGCTTTAATTTGACGTCCCTCTCACTGAACCTCGAACGCGCAGATGCGGCCCAGTCATCATCTTCATCGTGCGGTTGTTCTCATATGAAATAATTTTTTCTCGATAATTTAGCGAGATGAAACGGCGCTCCTCACATGGCGGAGGTTCGAACGTGAAATGATGGAGGTGGCAGTTTTGCTAGCCGAATTCATACCGGATTGCTGCATGCAAGTTGCTTGGAAGGTCCGAGAGGCGGGAACGGAGAATGTCCGAGAAATGACAGGGTGACGAGAACCGATGGGCTAGACTTTGAACGTGTTGATACGAACAGGCATTCTGGGGGCAATACTATTCCAGCTGCTAGTTGTCCGTAGTCTTTGCAAGGCTCAAGCACGAAACCAGACACTTGCTTTTGTTGCAGGTATCAAGAAGGCCTAAATTTGTCTACGTAAATGGAACGGGTGCCGCGGAGTCGAAATGTCGCATCTAACTCTGAATTGAAGTACATGCTCGTTCTCGACTCTAGTCGAGTGAGACATAGCATGGATGAATGTAGTTGTGTAAACTCAGTAACGCACGAAGAGAGTAAAAATCTAGAAGATTGAGTTCACGATATCACCACCGATAGCGGCGCCTGAATATGAATGGTTAGAGCATCGAACAAGTAAAAATAAAACAGACGGACCTGCACCGAAACCAAGACCACCAGCAGCTGACGTTGCCATCTGAGGAAAAAATGTATTGATAGATATTTATAGAGAATTCGTGTATAATCGGTAGACCTACCGTAGAGCCAAGATTGCCAAAACGACCCTTCTTTGGGGGCTGCTGAGGAACTGGCTGAGCCACTGGAGGAATTGCCGAATAAGAATTGTAAGGAGGATAACCACCAACTGGAGGACCAGGAGGCTGGTAACCACCGGCAGGTGGACCAGGTGGCGGCGGATACTGCTGCTGCATAGGCTGTGGCGCAGAATACTGTGGAGGGCCCGGAGGACCTGAAGACGTGTACTTGGGCTCCGAAGTCAAACCATACTTTGAATCCAGCGATGTCCTTGTCTTTGGGAATTCAGGGAAAGACATTGGTGGTGGAGAGGCAGATCGTGGAGCCAGTTTCTCAACATATGTTGCAGGAAATAAGCCCTGCTTCCCCGCCTTGTTTCTGCCTGTCCACCAATCCTCATTTGTCTCTTTCACGATCTCTATTATTTCTCCGGTGTTGAATGATAGATCATTAGGATCCTGTCATGGCTTGAGCAAATCCGCAGCACCTGAGTGCAGATGGGATATATATACCTCGCTCGCCCAATCCCAGATTGCACGAGCTTCTGACTTGGGCGACAAATGAAAACCAGCATTGTTGCTAATCACGCTCTGAACGGGGGCCGGAGATATGGAAAGGCGCTTCGTTTGCTGTGTGATGGATACTATCGATCCTGCAATTCCAGTGCTAGGAAGCTTGAGTAAGATATCGCGGCCATCCGATGGAGATATTCTGTTATGAGACATTAACAACTCGACATTCTGCCTTGTCTGTGAAACTATGTGATCCAGAAGAGTGTGATCAGACATCCTGAGAGTGAAATACTTGGGGGCACAATGTGGATGTGAATAGACGTAAAATTCAGGCTGCAAGCCAATATACTGCTCCTGCCTAATCTGGTCATGTACAGGGGAAGGGCCTCTCGCATCGGACCTATGCGGACTCTATGCGGCCACCAGCCACCAGCCACCAACATCGTGTAGGGTATCCTGTGTTCAATCCCACATCACCCTTTCTCAGTTATGAGTCTCACCGTCAATCATATGGTCCGATCCGTTACATGAATTCAAACTATTACAAAGGCCCGCACGAGCTCCCGGATCTACTAAAGTGAATCTACTAGGACGGGATATCCTTCTAGTACTACATAGCAGCAGCAAAAACGCTGAACTGCTCTGACTATTTTACAGTGGCTTTTTAGTACGTTCTAATTGACGTAGATGGTGAGTTGTGTCCTCGTATGATACATAAAGCCATAGTGTGCAGCGCGATCCAAGCGCGATCTGATGATGTTAACCCAAAGCCTCAACAAGGCCTGGCCATAGTATGCATAAATCATAGAATGCCTCTGCGAATCTGTCTGAAGCGTCGATCGAACAGCCCAGGTGTATTGAGTTGCTCTATAGTCGGGGCAATCGCGGGATGGAATGCACCACCGAGAGGCGAAACAAGCCATGACAGCCTCCTTGCTTCAAGAGACACGTCATTTGGGTTTGGATCTGCGAAGGCTCTTTTGAGGCCCTCCCATCCCAGGACCCCATGACTGTTCTCGAGAGGCGCGCAACCGGACACCTCGAGAACCGAAACTTCCTTGACATCGGACGTGCCGACAGCCAGCAAGGTGATTTCGTGTTCCCAAGCATCCTATCAAATCGGTTTGATCAACTGCGGAACACGCCACGAAGTGGAATCACTTACACCAAAGTCATATTCATAGAAGCAACCCCCAAGGGTTCTATTGTTGGTGACGTCCCTGCGATACCTCCCACTGTCGTCCCAGATGTCTTTGAGTTTGACTGTTTTCTCATCCAGGACGATATCGTTAGGCCCCTCTTCATCATCCCGTCCCATCATGTCTGTATCTTGTATAGATACAACTTTGTTAATACCCCCTCCCATTGGAATTTGAAATGTGAACACGTGGAGGTGCTCGTTCTGCCATAGGAAGACGTGCTGGATCGCGGCGTGAAGCTTTTGGAACGTCCATGACGCGGGTATGGAAAAGGTCCTCGAGATTTGTGGGTCTTGAGACTCAAGGAGATCAACTTTGAAGATGAAGGTTCGGATGGGCATTTTGTGAATGGCTTTCAGTTAGTCGTTAGACGCGATAATATATATCTAAGCGTTTGAGAAGCACTGGGGTACTTGGAGGCACAGGAAGTATCGGGCTTTTACGTTGTAGAACCCAGCAATAATTGATCCTCGGGGCAAGGACATGCCCATTACATCAACAGAAGCTCCACCTCGGAATGGAGACAGTGTGCTCAGCAATGATCTTTATTGGCTAGTAACATTTCCTCGTTCACTGCTTCGCTAATCTATGACGGTCCGGGGGACGTGCGGTCAGGGTGTGGTTTTGGAGCACACTGCCTGAGTTTACTGGATTAGATCCTAATCCCAATGTTAATGAGCACCGCCTTGACATTAGTGTAACTGTGGGCTGGGTAAGATCATCGGGCGTCGATCAGATGAGAAATTAACTTACTTCTCAAGAGCATCTTCACCCAGGTCTTTCCCAATACCAGATTGCTTGAACCCACCAAATGGCAATCCAAGGTCTGGCCAATTACTGAAGTTTACCTACACACCCGGACCTGGTGATCAGCTGATGAACCTCGCGGAAAACTATCTCACACTAACCCACGCGGTGCCTGCCTCGATGCTGCTTGCAACACGCATTGCTCTATCGATGTCCTTCGTGAAGACCGAACACGCGAGTCCATACGGGGTATTGTTGGCTTGTTCAATCACCTCTTTGACGCCGTGAATGACAGTTATTGACCGAACATGAAATATAAGCGAACCTTCCTCTGCGGAGAATTTCATAATTGCTGCTACTGGACCGAATATCTCCTCTTGCACGATCTTCATGTTGGGTGTGCAGTCCGTGAACACCGTAGGTTGTATGAAATAACCTTCTGTGCCGTGCCGCTTACCACCAAGGTGAAGAGTTGCACCTTCTGCCTGGCCGGATTTGACGTAGCCCATAACGCGCTTACATCGGATATCGGTGTTTGTTAGAGACCGTTCAGCTGCATGGCACTCACTTCGAACTGTCTCTCAGATATCTGAGGGCCCTGGAACGTCCCTGGGGAAAATGGATCACCCAAAGAAAGACGTTTGGCACCCTCTGTGAACTTTTGCAGAAAATCGTCATAGATGCCTGCTTGCACGTAAATCCGGGAACCCGCGATACAGACCTCCCCTTGGTTCGTGCTTCATGACCTTCAGGAACAGGATATGAGAAAGATGAACCAGAAAACGCACTAAATGCCATTAATAGCCCACTTGACAGCCTGATCAACATCGGCGTCGTCAAAAATTATGCTCGGACTCTTTCCACCAAGCTCGAGGCTAATTTTCTTCAGGTTGCTTTTTGCGGCTGCTTCCATGATCTTCCGACCCGTGAGAGTACTACCAGTAAATGCAACCTTGTCGATGATCATGCTTTCACCGATCGCTTGACCCGCGGTGTCACCATATCCGGGCACGATGTTGACTACACCAGGTGGGAAACCAGCTTCTCGGATCAATGTGCACAAAAACAATGCGGAGAGAGGCGTGAACTCAGAGGGCTTCGCAACAACGGCATTTCCACAAGCGAGTGCGGGGGCGAGTTTCATAATCAGTGTGCTCACTGGACGAAATGAGGTGAGTGCAGAATAGTCTCGTAAGCCTGAATACTAACGAGGAAAGTTCCATGGAGCGATTGCGCCCTGGTCATATGCTTGTGAACCTCCTCCCATTTACGACGTAATGAGACATTTACTCACGACAACTCCAATAGGCTCGTGACGAGTAAAACCGATCTTGTCAGGGGTTGTCTAGAACTCGTCAAAAGGGGTGACATGTGGTAATTGTTGATCGGGGCAAACCTGAACGCTCTTTCCCTGTATTTTGTCAGCCCAACCAGCGTAGTACCGTAGAAGAGCGCCTATAGTTGGTATATCCTGCGTCTTGGCCGATAAGAAAGTCTTGCCTAGCAAACGTAGATCAGTGGAATTCGATCAATAAGGAGTGTCTTACTGACCGACGTTAAGGGCCTCGAGAGCAGCAAAATTGTCAGTGTTGGCATCGACAAGATCAGCGAGCTTATGAAGCATTTTGCTTCTAGCTGCCCCAGACACCTTCAAACCCCAGTGTTCCTTGAATGCTTTCCTTGCTGCTTGAGCTGCAATCTCGATGTCTTCACGGTCTCCGACTGAAACTCGTGTAAAAGGCTTGCCAGTAGCTAGTCCACTCTATGAAAATTATGAAAAGCTACATGCTCAAGGAGTCATACCCGGATTAATCAACCTGAAAGAACGTGTCAGAATCATTGACCACTTAAAACATGAAGACACTCACTCGATCGTCCCCTTATTGACGGGGTCGACGAACTCGCCATCGATGAACAGTTGAGTAGGAAAGGTAACGGCGCCCTTGTAAACGGGAGTGTCGAACTGGTACGTGCAAGTGGAAACCATTGTCGCAGGAGGAGGTTAGAATGGAAAAACTTGCCAGCGCACGGCTGGGCAACTGGTTTATATGTATTCAACATACGTATTGAGTCAAATGGAGAAAGGCTCTGATTTACTTCTGAGACTTCCTATAAATGCGATTTGAGACAACCCTGTGGCGTCCCGCCCAGACGACATCATAAGCTATGTAGTCACGAGTACTCCATGAAATGGAGAGTGTCAATGAGGCCTAGGACGTAGTCACGTTAGTAACAGAACCTTTGGGGTTAACCTTGAGTTTGTGTCGACCACACTTGTGTCAGAGCGTGGTAGCTGCCAGCTCATCTAGTGCATCTTTGTTGAGCTTGATAGCTGCTGCAATGATTTGGAGTAAAAGAACCGCTGGGTCATAACAGGCGCCGTTGGAAGTAGTTAGGCGCGAGAACGTAAGATACGATTACGTTTGAAACTGCCGACATTTGGCTGGGTTGGGGATCAGCACACGAGTCTGTCAGGTCAGAGCAGGTCACTGAGGTCAGACTCGCCAATATAGTATCAACCTTGGTTCACCCAGAGTCTAGACTAGCTAAAATAGCGCAGAAAACGTGACAAGGACGACCAATAAAAAGGACTTCATTGATGGCAAGTCAGTGCATGATCTTGCATGATTCAGACACACTTTGACACTTCAAATCGGTGATCGATATCCGTCATATGTGATCGCGAAAAACATCCGTATGGTCTCGTGAACAAAGCGCTCCCGTTCCCCTGACGCGTGTACCCTGTCATCATACCTCAAAATTAAGATTGCGCATAAACCACGTTGTATGCTGTGATCATCATGGCACATGAATAACAAAACGTGCCACACACAGCTACTACGTTTGCATGTTGGACTGCTCAGCGTTGACTCAGCGCCTTGTTCAACATTAAATGATCATATGGGTCACTTTTGAGTTTGAACTATGTCAGTCTATGTAAGGTTTAGTACCAGACGTCTCAGGAGTTGACCAAGAAACACTAGTCAATAAACTCACTGATGAAGTTCGTCATGGAACGGAGCTCATGTAGGCAGAGCCAGTGATTACTTCCATATCTGAAGCTTGAATCACTTTTGATTTTTGAGCGACCTTAAATTTAGAATAGCGCAAGGGACTAGTTCGCAACCGAGTCCCTTCCACCAACCAGAGGTCTCGCAGTGATCAGGAATGACGGCATATTCCTTAACGATGTTAACGCATGACATAAACTTGGAGAGCGCGCCTTTCTTTGGCAGCTGCTTCAAGGACCAACAAAAGCGCCGAGCGACATCCCGAAAATGCTGTACGCACTGGTCAATTCCTCGGAGCGCCCTGGAGACTGGCAGTACGTGCAGGCTGCGTTATGCCGAGGTTGATAGATAATCCGCACACGTATAAATCCCCGTCGAATTTAGAACCTTCGAAGGTCACTTGAATAACTCGGGAGAGCGTATGGACTCGGAGGCCATTCCGAGATGCTATGCATTGTTTGTGAACACTTTTGCTGATTATGTGAGGTTGAAGAGGGATATCATACTATATCATACTACGTGCTGCAGAGGGCTGGTAGATCTGCTAAATATTCTCAGGAAGTGAGTAAATAAATCATGTCACAAGACAAACCTTCCCATGAAGCGGCGTGTTCATAGGTAAAAGCGTCCTAGACCTAGTTGCTGTAGAAGGGCACTGCAACAAAATTATTGCATCCTCAGACCTCAGACCTCAGGGGTCGAGGCACTCCAAAAATAGTAGATCGTACCACGAGTTAACGCTGATATAGCTTTGAAGCCGGGGTAACTGCAATGCGATTAGAACGATGCGACAGCGAATTGAAATAGATACGAAATAAGTTGGAGTCGCAGACCCTCTAACCTTCAGCATGAGTCCACAATGATGGAAACGACTGAGTCCGGGAGTTAGTTCCCTGCTTTCGTGCAAGAAGATAAGGATCCCACAGCATAAAGATGGGCCACCACAAGGTACTAGCCACAGCCCACAGCCAAGACCTAGAATTGGTCTTGTTTGGTTCTCGCGTGGCATATATATCAGCACTATAATTGCTCGTGCGGAAGTTACGCTCATCATCCTCAGGTATCACCAAGCTATTCTCTTTCTTCTCCATTGTGGTTACTTTTTCAAGTCGTAAATCTTTCTTGTTAACTTGAACAAACTAACATGTCGAGGGTATGTACCATCCTAACCGTAACCGTAAACAAGAGCTCACATCATTATTGTGTTTGCAGGCGCAGTTCTTGAGGGAATATAAGTTGGTAGTTGTTGGCGGGGGTGGTGAGCGCCAAGCTGCAGAAATGTGACGAACTGCGTCTCATAGCACTTGTTCCAATCAGGTGTCGGTAAATCTGCCCTCACCATCCAATTCATTCAAAGCCACTTTGTCGACGAATACGACCCAACAATCGAGGGTGCGATCGTTTCTCTTCCATTAAATTCGCTTGCTGAGTAGCAGCGGCATAGACTCGTACCGCAAGCAATGCGTCATCGACGAGGAGGTCGCATTGCTCGACGTCCTCGACACCGCTGGTCAGGAGGAATACGGGTAAATGATATTCCACTGTCGATAGTCTTTGGCGCTCACTTCCCACAGAGCTATGCGCGAGCAATACATGCGCACTGGTGAAGGCTTCCTCCTCGTTTACTCCATCACCTCCCGCGATTCTTTCGAGGAAATTAGCACTTTCCATCAACAGATTCTCCGCGTGAAGGACCAAGATTCGTTCCCGGTCATTGTCGTGGCTAACAAGTGCGATCTTGAGTATGAGCGACAAGTTGGCATGAATGGCAAGTCATTGGCTAATTTTTAAAAGCACTCTATCCTAATAACGAACAGAGGGCCGTGACCTTGCAAAGCACTTTGGCTGCAAGTTCATTGAGACATCGGCTAAGCAGCGTATTAACGTCGATGAGGCGTTCAGCAACCTTGTCCGCGAGATAAGAAAGTACAACAAGGTAAGAATCTCTTCTCATTCTGACAACCTTATTCATTCACTTCATTTTTGCAGGAACAACAAACAGGCAGACCCGTTATGGCCAGCTCCGGTAACGGCGGACCTGGTGTTTACAGTGGCAAAGGGGACAATCATGACGGTGACCATGGTGGATGCTGCGGTGGTTGTGTGGTCGTATGAGATCATCTATATACCTGCCCTTCCTTTTTGTTCCGGACACACTTTTCTACTCCCCGCGCTCCCTGCTGGCTGACCTATGGTATTCTTGTCGACCTTGTACGTTCTTGTGCGGTTTTATTACTCTCGTTAGGCCCATCAGTGACGAAAGCTTGCCGTTGTATAGGTCATTGTATAATAGTTTATGATTATGGACCTAAGCCGTTACATGCTCATGCAAGTTGTTTTAGTCCAAGTCCAATATTGTGGAATGTACGTAGCATTCAAATGCCATGGGATGGATCCTTTTCTATCACTATTTTCATTGAGTTGCCCGCTCGCAAATTCCAGTGTGAACCACTTACACGGAGGTCGCGTCACGTCTTCCTCATTCACCGCCCGTATGGAGTCAATGCCAAGGTCATACGAACCCGAAACACCGCTATTTCCCCCAAGTAGTGATATCCCAACCGTCCGTATCCGTTCGCGCATCATCGCAATTTGATGCTGCACCAATTCACCCGTATTCGTCAGTATAAAGTTCTCAAACGGTATCTTAAAAGCATCATCAGTTGGCGCCCGTGCGAATATCAGAGTATAGATTGGACACACAAATACATCTTCCCAGCCACCATCGTTTCGTTGGAAGTAGAGCCGGTGCTGCCACAGGTCCGTTGTGATCGGCCCGTCAGTTTGTAAGTTCACGAAATACGAGTTGCGCAACCGGGGATCACCACCGAGACGTAGCCTCAGTGCAAGGAATTGGTGATTTGAGACGTCGTCGACCATTTCACCAAAGAGGGTCGGGCGGGGCTGGTATGGATCATTGAGTCAGTCGGGTGGGATAGTTAAGCTCGAAATACCGTTTACCTTGGACCTAAAACCAGCATATCCACCTCTGATTCGCCCTTGCAGTTCCGGTCTGACGTCCAGTCTCATCTCACCCCAAAACCGACCTACAGATGTGTTCCCACTGCCTTTGACACGCTCCGGGGGCTCGTCAAGTTCCAAATGGACAGTGGACGTGCCACCAATATCTGCATCGCACCCAGTCGCGAACTGTTCGATGTCCTGTTTAGAGTTCAACCTGAAGAGCGTCAAAGGTGCTCTTGAAGGCCCGTCTGCGCCTTCCATACGAAGTACTGTGTATATAGCGTTGTCAGTTTTGTGATTAGGATGCGACGTTTAAACAAGCGTGCTTTTGATGCTGCTGTCTCTGAGCAGCTTTGTTGACCTGTTCAAATATGCTGCCCAGTTGGATAACGCCATGGTTGCCAGCAGCGATGGTGGCTTGTGCCGGGATATGAGAGCAAGAAGAAGAGCGGAACTTTCAAAGGTACGTCATCTCTGCCTTATTGGGAACGCTTAATATTGCTAGTGTACAGTCAACGAAGGTAAGAAAATTCTTGAAGCTTAAAAGTCCGTTCAATTGAAAGAATGGGAATGCTTGGTAGTGAAAGGCAATTGTAAACGTAGCAATTAATCAGTGTGTATATCGTGTCTCAAGTAGCGTCAAGATTGTTCAGTAAGTATATTGAGTCCAGCCCTCTGAATCATGCCCGTAGCCAAGGCGGGATACCCGGCAGCTTTGCCGCCAATTTGCCTGCCCGAAGTGCAGATGGTATCTGAACAGGAGGAACTTCCTGCCTCTTCGGAAGATTTTCTATGCTCGTCTGATCACCCTTGATCACACTCGCGCCAGGGACAAGTGATGCATATGCAGCCATGGCCTCTGCGTCCGGAGGCTGGCTTGTGGCAAGAGCACTCTCCTGCGACCATACTGTCGTCCAAGTCGATCTTTCACTTCGAGGGGCCCGTTTGCGCTTCTCGAAAGAAGGGGGCGAAGACGACTCGGAATCGATGCTGTCCTCCCTGTCAATGGTGTTGTCGCGCGTCCGTGGAATGGTCGGCAGGGCCTTCCCACTTCCTCCCTCGACTGTGCCGCTTGAATAGATGCTTTCAGGGCTGTCTATGAAGGAAGATATGGAAGATTCGGATGAGAGGGATTGTCGTTCATGGGATGCAGCAGGATCAGTGCTACGACTACGTTCCATAGAAGAAGAGGATGCTGCACTGTTTCGAGGGAATTGAGGTAATGGTCGTAGGGAACGAGACATGGTATCCTTTTCCACAGGAAGAGTTGTAGGTGATGGTAGGGCTCTGCCTTTACCTTTATCAACTTTCTGAGGAGCCTCAACCTTTATAGTAATAGCAGGTAGGGGCCGAACGACAGGTATCGCAGGAGTGACATCAGTGAGATCCAATGGGGTAGGTCTGCGTCTTGTAGAAGGTATGCGGAGTCGCGAGACAAACTTTTTTGTTGGACTCTTGACAGACGGAGAGGCAGGGATAGGTGAAAGCGGCGGCCCAACAGGAAGAGTGAGGGGCAATTTACCACTGCCTTTTGGTCGTGGTCCAAACTTGGACGACTTGCGGCTCGAGCTCCCAAAGGCCGCAGTGAACTGCCTCATGATGGGAGAAGCGTTCGTGGATTGTACAGGTACAGGCACAATCGGAGAGGCGGTGATCACTGATGCAACAGCAGAACGAGGTGCAGGTGATAGGCTGACAGTTACAACGGCCATCTTGGCTGTGTTGATCTCAGCCATAGGCAAGTCGAGGCAAAGGTTGTGACCCTTGAGGCTCTCCGTATCAGATGCAGCATCGAGCTGACGGTTGAGCTCCGCAGGAGTGAGAATGCTGCGAGACAGAGGCAGCATCGACTCGCCCTGCCTGACCCTCATCTTGTGATACCTCGAAGGTGTCCTCTTGAAGCTCAACAAGTGGGTCGTGGAATCAGTACTTGCGGTAGACGAGTTGCGAGAGTGCTGTTTAATTGCCGGAAACTCTGAGAGCGAGACTGGGGATATTGCCTTGGATGCATCATTGTACAGAGGCAAAAGCGGTCCTTTGGGCATGTGAGCAACCGGAGGAAGAATAGGCGATTCGTCGAAAGCGTTATTTCCAAAAGTCTTCTCTGTATCGATCTGAAGCTTTGGGACTGTCAGACCATGGAAAACTGGACTGAGCACACGGAAGGTGTTGTACAAGAGACCGACGTTGACAAGCCCTAGAACGCTAATCAGTAATCACGACGCACTCCGAAACTTGTGCTACCAACCAAGCATAAACGAGCATACATGCGCGAATACATCTGCTCCAAATGGGATAGTACGACCGGAGAACTGCGCCAGATTTGCAACCGTAAACGGCAAGAAGAGGGAGACGAATGCTAGACAAGAAGTCAAAATAGAACTCGATCATACGCGAAATCACGAACCAATAGGGAACCTGCATCGAACGGATGAACAACACGGATAAACAGAATCTCATAGGAACTCACCAAAACATCGTCTTCGCGACGGCTACCATGAAGCGGTGGTAGTCCTCAGAGTCGGTCACAGCACACCATCGTCCCTGAGCCTTGAAAGTCGGCTTGATGCCCCAATTGACGTGCAGAATGCCGCGGAGGACAAGGTAGACCGGGGAGTAAATAATGACCGAAAGTACAGACACGAGGATGACCTGTTCGCAATTGCTTAGACCCTATAAGGTAAGACCGGAATAAACCATACTGGAAAAGCTTCAAGCCCGAATATCATGCTGGGATATGCCGTCGTAACGCCACAAGAAACGGTGACTGGGCCGTAGACACCAGCCTGGCTGAGAGGTGCCAGTGCTGCAGATAAGGATCATGAGATAAAATCAACTCTGCTGCTGTTGCAGCGCCACTTACCAATCACCAGTGACATGATCCATCCAAAGGCGATGACCGTCACGCTCAGCCAGCTAATTTGGTAGAGGCGAAAAACCAGGGAGTTGCACGTGTGGACACCAATAGCAATCGAGAAGAAACAGGTGGACCAGTTACCAATCTGCATGAGGACAGCTGGTCACAAGACCGCTCAGCATTTGATCAAAGTACCATTAATTCGGATTACCTTGGAAAGTACACATGGAGCCTGATAGCTGTCAGTACAACGGCATGTGGATTAAAGACCGAAAGCGCTACCTTGATGAATCCCAGATTGTTTGACCCAGAAAAACTCCATGAGCCCAGCTGCGGTGATGAAAACATTGCTCAAAACAAGGGAGGCAGCATAATGGCCCAGCTGGGTACGGAAGAATAGGTTCTCCGGGGCTTTGCACGCCAACCCATTACGCTGGATCACCACAAGACGTATACTCCTGAAAACTATGAAAACGAGCGCTATTGCAGATAGCAAGGCAAACACGGGAACAACCTGATTACGAGAATCAGACGCTACTCGCGATAGGTCATGCCAACAACTCACAATCAATCCTTTTGCTTGAGAAGCAGAGAACGGCGTGAAATGGGGTAGATTCGAAACCATGATAATGAATGACAGATGCCCCGAGGGTTCTTGAAATGAAAATGATCAAGTAATCGGCCAGCTGTCCCAGACAGGAAAATGAACGAAGAATCACGGACTAGCCGCGGAAATGTGCCTCTCAGAGGTCGGAAGGTGGGACACAGTCCGCAGAAAGAACTTCAAGGATGACGAACGAACGAACGAACGGCAGCGCTTCGAAATTTCATTTCTCTTCTCATATGAACCGTGTCGGTACTCGGCAAGGTTTTGATGGCGCGGGATGCGGTCACGCTCTGAATAGCTAGCCAATATGATAGTGACGATCAATCAAAACTGCCATAGTCTACACTGCCTCAAAGACGTACGACATACCTGTGTGAGAACCTGTGCAGTCCATGCACCGATCTAACTCATTTGCTCCCAGAGGCGTGATTATCATACATATATCATCCATGACTTTCCCCGATTGAATCATGCCATTAAGCTGCCTACTTCAGCCTACTTCTTGGTGAAAAACTTTGCAATCCCCTTTGGTTCCACTTTCTTCCGTTTCGACGATGAGCCGCGAGGTATAGGCACCGACCTGTCATCGCTGTTTGCCAAGTCCTGTGCGAAATGAAAGTCGTCATGTTCCGATCGTAACGTTGCCAATCGCTGTGCTATTTCGTTGGGACCACCTGTTGTTTGGTCCTCTCGAAGTGCGATTGCCTTACGACATCGGGAACAGTTGAATGAAACAGCCTCGGCATCGCTAGATTTGAGTGGAGCATTAGTATTCTCAAGCGAGACCAGAGTGCCATCTTCTTCGCGCGAACGTTTGAGAGATGGTTGCTGTTGGTTATCTCGAGTTGCGAAGAACCCCTCAATGCTTTTTTGGCCCATCTCGGCCTTCTCCAGGCCAGTAAATGCTAGCTGGACTGATGTGACATTGACGGTCTTTGCATCGCCGGTAAGCTCTTTCCAAAGTTTATCCGCGGCCGTCGCAATCACATCTACTGTCACATTCCGGACGAAAGGAAATGTGGCTTGTTTAGATCGCGACGTTTCGTATCCTGCCATGTGCCCAGTTCAACATATAGCATGCGGTGCTGTAAGGTCAAATCACCTTTGCGAGCATGGAGCACAATAGTCTTTGGCCAGAGCGTCGGCATCGACTCTCTCGCATCATTGAGTCGCAGCGCCAGCTCTGCAGCAAGGACTCTGATCCATTGGTGTCCATCCGAGGGTTGGGTTATTGGTTTCGGAAGGTTTTTTGACGCCAACATGCTCTTGAACAGCGCAGACTTTTCTTTGACTACGACCTGATTGTGAATGCGAAATGTTTAGTCAGGTTACATTGAAATACCTTCGGTGCGATCAATGCCACTAGTGATGCATAGTGAATAAACGTTCGCCGGCAATAACAAATGGATATCTTACCGAAGAAATTCATACACCCACAGCGCATTCTCACCGAACTTGCTTTGGATTTCGTCTGCCACGTATTAGAAAATGAGATGGATAAAAACAATATTCATTACCCAGTGAAACCGTTCTTTGATGGGGTGAGTGATGGGCAAGAAATCGAGAAGAATCGACCACTGCTCACAACAAGTCACCCACAGTTGAAACATCGTACTCCTTCGCTAGAGCGTCGCCGAGCTTTCCACCGAGGAAGCGAATCTGACGTGTATTTCGATCAAGACAGTCAATATACTTGCGTCAAGATCACATACATACCTTTTGAAAGGCCAAGGGATGCAGATAATTTGGAATGGCCTCGTTCCGGAGGACACTCTATGAATTTATATTTACTTCTCGGCGTCAACATGGAACTTAGAAGACTGACTTGACTGTTGGGTTTCTTGTAAGAGGCACAAAGCTGCGAAAGACTGAGTGCGATCGACTGAGGAAGAGGAGCACAAACCTTCGCGAGGAACTTATTACGAGCAATCCCCTGCAAAAAATATTGCACGTAAGATGGTTACGAGTTCACTGAAAGGATGAGATGCTGCTTACAGCAGAAGTTGTATAGCCGAGCTTTGAGTGGATGTCTTCGCGAATCTTTCTCATCAGCTCTGCGGCAATTGACAACGCCACATCATGCCATGTCGGAACACCATTGACTTCGACGTTAGAATTTTCGCCAGTACTATCAGTTTCTTCTGACAATGAGACCGGGATAACAACTCCAAGATCATCCCAGTTTATCGGAGGTGGAGGCGGTAGCGGGCTGTCTGTCCCATTTGGGGCATCGGCGGGAACTTGGGCAAGGTACGGAAATCGTTCAAGTAGCTTTTCTCTCACAGGACGAGTGAAGTCTATGAAAGCTTCGTCAATGGAGGCTTTCTCTTGCTTTGATGTCAGCCGACCATTAAAGAACAAGCATTATGCGCATCTCACCAACTTCACCGGTAGGAAGAGCCTCCTTAAACATAGTAATAATTTTGTTACTTTCACGTCGGTAGAGATCCAAGGATACCTTTTGAATATGCAACAACAAAAGGTCAATTTCTGTCGTGTTCGGAGCGTCAGAGGGTGAAAAACGCACCTTGTGAGTGCGTGTATCGACGTCCTTCCAGTATCCAGGCTCCTTTTCGCCCTCCTTGTAAGTCGCGACATGCACAGCAAGTAAATTGGGACATTTCTTCTTGGCGTCCTTGATCTTATCCATGCGGGATATGCCAAATTCGCGTGCAGGATAGCTCACTGCTATTAGACTCTCCCATTGTTGTACAACAATGGGTACGCTCGGGTCAAGCCCAAGTCGGACGCGTTCGCAGGCAGCATAAAAGGCGTCACTGTCGCATAGGGCGACGACGCGTAGGGGATCTCTGACACCGAGGTTATTGGATAGAATGTGTCTGTAAGTTATGATTGGTCGCAAGTCATCATAATCTTGGTTCGTGGCCTTTGCTTTGCCTTTCCAGGGTGAGTTCATGATGGTTAACGAAGCTGGCAAAACCAGGCCTAGAAAGGCGCCGAAGTGCCACACTGAAGCCAAATCGGGACGAGCCCCTTTTCTTGAACATTTCACTGATGGCAGTAACGGATGTAATGCATATAATTCCCTGCTATTTTCCGTTCTTTTATGAAGTTACGGGGCCCCAGCTTGTCCTGTTCACAGAAATGATGTTCTGGCGGGTTTGGATCGAAGGTAGGACTGATGGGCTGAGGGTTGGCGTTCTGCACTACACACATATATACACGCGGAAAGCGGGCTGATGGTATTGCAAAATATCACGTCTCATAACCGTTCTCTGAAAGCCTGGCATATACACGTGGCACATGAGCAACAATCTACTAAAGAAAGAACCCAGCTGATGGCTACCATGATGATTGTATACTGTAACGCACGGTGAGGCCGAGACACAGCATGGAAGCTAATGAAATCAATAAGTACGCTACATCGCTCATCGTTTCCATTGATACAAGAGCAGGGCGACAGCACCAGCCACCACTTTACCTCCCAGAACAATCGAGAAACTTGATATAATACCAAATGTCAGCGGAAGCATTTGGTTCCAAACTGAGAAGGGTACGCTTACCACCTGCGAGATACCAAAAATCATGTTGCGAATTCGCTAGTTGCTTGGTTTGGATTCCGGGATCACGAGTACAGACCTTTGGAGTGTGTTATAGGCGGACACGCCTACAACCTGAATAGAGACGCGAAACGAGATTAAAAACATTGGATCGAATTGGGAGGTGCGCCCAAACAAAAGCAGCCAGTGTGATGCATGAGTCTTTTGAGGGAGGCACACAGACCAGTCACATGGAGGAACTCCATGTGCAAGCTCAGGGACATGTGTAAAAATGAAATAATTTACTGTTCATGGTGGACAAGGATCTTGCGCTCAATACCCATAGGAATGAGACAAAGAGGATCGGAAGTTCGTGAAATGTAAGCTTCAGTCACCAATTTCTGCAGAGCGCTCACTGAAAGCCAGAAGACAGAATATTGCACCGGGGAGGCGCAGTTCGAAAGCAGTGAGAGCACACCATGTGCCGCTAGCTCGTCACAGTGTGGTCGCTCAACGCGCAGTTTCGGTTTTGCCTGAATAGATTGTCAGCCTGTGGAATGATACTGTTCTGGAAGAAGTGATATCACGGCTGTCTCCGTGAGTCCGTGACCAACATGATGATTTAGCTTAACCTGCCTGACAACATTCATCGACTGGCAGCGATGCAGTCAGAAAACTATCGTCCATTGCTCGCGGTAGCATGCAGATTTGGTGCGCAGTTAATTGTTTCAAGTTTGGAAGAAACTGCTGATATTGAGCGCGTCTCCTGCAAATCTCACGCACCCGCACAACTACATAATTTAGTGCCTTATGACCAGTGGTTCATAACCCACTTGGATGATAACCAGAAGGTCAAGCAGGTCAAACATTGGATACTATCTAAATGCAATATCATCCAAACCCCCCATCTCCCCGCTCAACGCCCCGTTTCTCCTATCACATTTGCTTCCAGCATCAGGACCCGTACCTCAGTCGATAGTATGGAAGACGGTTATAATGAAGATGATGAATATGAAGAGGACTCGGATGACTTTGACGACTTTTCTTATCGCCACCCAGAACTCAGACGTCAAACTATATATTCTCGTCGACCTGGAAAGACATCAACCGCACCTGCTTCTTCACACACCATTCAACCTGGCAGTAGCCCTGTCACCGACCAGTATACCCTTATCTCATTCTCAACTGGAACAATTCTAGAGGACGACTATGCCCTATCTTGGTATAACCTTCGCCCTTGTGAACTTCTAGAGATGCACCGCTCAGGGAAGGTCGTCCAATTACCACGAGAAGTCATTTCGGACTATGTCCAACCCTACTTCCAGTCTAAAGCCAGGGCCCTCCGTGCAGTATGGAATCTAAAGTCAGGCCGATTCGAATCCCCTGCAGCTACTCGGCACAGCTTAAGCGCAAAAAGCAAAGACAAAATATCTAATATTCAGACCCCCTTGCAACCCGAGAAGAAGAAGAGAAAGGCTAAAGTCGAGTGGAAAGATCGATGGATAGTCATAAATCAGGGTACCCTATCTCTCTGCAAGGATTCATCTGTGCGTCCTTTGAGTATCCAGTTATCGTATTGCATACTCACCTCCAAGCTATCAGGGTGGGACCCCTTTGCATCATTTTCCACTGACATCATTACGCGCCCTTCGTGGCGCAGAGTCTCTTGCACGGGCTTGTTCCATCATAGCAGAACAACGCGTCGTCTGTCTTAAGTTTCAGAGCAAAGTGTTCAAGGCATCCTCCATCACTGCCTCTTCACCACCCATGTCTCTTCCCTCGTCTCCGACTGCAGAAGACTGGAAAACAGATGTGCAAATTGAAGCGACGGACATCACATCTCTATCAGACAAAACAACTTCGCCCTCAAAAGAACCTCCAGACAAGGGAGATCACTATAAGAACTCCCCGTCTTCCGACTATACTCCGGAAGACATCTGCCGTGGGGAAGGCGAATGGCTCGTCCTCGATTTGCTTGATGATCATGGTATTCGATTTAGTTCATGTCGTCCGTTCTCTTTAACTGTTCACTCGCGCAGCTTTCTCAAATATCCTCCGTATCCTTCACCGCTACACCTCTCATCCAATATCATCATCGTTCCTCCCTACATCATCAATTATCACAGTCGCAAACTACTGGAACAACGTCTCTTCTCCTGCTCTCACGCCTTTTGTTTACTCCTCACCATACGACTCACTTCCATACCCAGAATGGCGCACAAAGACTGTCGAGACCGCGCGCAAGGCTGGCATGGGGGACGTCGGAAAACCACTCGCACTCGTCCTATGGTCCGAGAATACCCGCCGAGAATCCTCATTGCATGACATCCACAATCCGCGGTTCGCCTTCTCGCAAGGATTAAGGTCCAAACCTTCCACTAGTTCTTTTGCACCACACTCGGACTCAGAATCGGGTGAAATCGATGGAGAGAGCGAGATGGAGTGGGAGGGTTGGATGAGGGATCTAGAGAGGCAAGGAAGCGTAAAGCAACATCATCCTCATCATCAGAAAATCATGCACTCTCCTAGCGACTCCGAGCACCTACCGCCAAGCCCCTCACTCCTACCCACCCCACCACCTTCGGACGCGTCCTCTCAGGGCTCCCCAAGGGGCCACTCACCCCCGCACTCACCCCCCGCATACCCCACGATCAATAACGTTATTCACTACGGGGACCCTTTTTCCCGCACTTCTCTCGAATCACGTGTGCCTGGGAGGACCAAGACTACGACGGTTAGCACCGTGAGCGTGGGTACCGCCGTGCACACTTCTCCGCGGAAACGGTCTTCGACCCTCACGCCAGTTAGCTTATCCAGGCTGATGAAGGAGAAGGAAAAGGGAGACACTGTTCGTCCGTCAACGGGTATCAATGGCTCGCGTTTGGGAGCGCTATCATCGTCATCATCACGAGGCACCCATATCCGACACGCGCATTCGGGATCTAACCTCCGTTCAACCCCAACGGAGCACCTCCATCGCGCACAGGACGCGGAAGGTTCGAGTAGTGGAAAGAAAAAGGTGGGTATCGTTAGGGGTATGTCGATGCGGGCGGAAAAACTCGTGAGGGGGCTGGACGCTGCTATAGACTTTGTTGATAATCATCCTTAGTGTTTAGGTTTTTTTATGTTGGTTAGTTTCTGTCTCTCTCCCTCTCACTTTCCCCCTAGGTTATTGTGCGTGGAACTGGTATTTAAGTTTACCTCTGTTGTCTGTATTAGTATGTATTCGCCTGTGTTAGCTCCCACTTATCATATGGGTTTTTGCTGCCGGCTACAGCTGAAGTTAGATCTAGATGACCTTGAGCTTGTGACATCCTGGCATCCGAAATTGAAGACAATTTGCGCTCGACCAAACAAATAGTCTCTATGTATGTGCAGTGGGCACTACCATCCACGATATGTTGGCATGTTCATCACGATGGCTGATTATCGATTATCGGCGATATTTGTTTCTTGCTGTCTGTGAAGTCCCCGTCGTGGCACTAAGTATTTTCTTGACCTCGAGATTCTTTCAAGATTTCGCCGTCCCATTGATTATGTGGATTCCACGAAGAAAGCTTGTAATATCACATATGCATCAAATCAAGATACGGTTAGCAAAGCGAAAGCATGGGAGCCGATGGATACAGGTTTAACGACATATTGGATAGAGAGCAGTATCAGCCAACAAATATTTTAAATGATGATGGTCCTGAAAGCAAACGGGATGCGTTGGGCATTTTACAGCTGTGACTGACTCGTACCGAAGGACGACGTGGATGAGACATACGGCCCCGGGGAGTCATCGAGGTCTGGGTCTTCTTTCTCTTTCTCACCAGAGCCGAGGTTTGAGTCTGAGTCTCCTTGCTCTTGCTCTTCATCTTCATCTGAGTGATGGGACATATCTACATCCCTCACTAGGGACCTACCTGTTGAGGGGGGCCCTTGAAAGGTCACTGGGGCTGGCGCTGACGACTGCGCAGCAGGTGAAGATGAGGGTGGTGGCAAATACGACACTCGGTGAAAGCCGCGATCCTTGTATGGTCTCGCGTTGGCATAGATCGGTGGATCATCTTCGGAGTAGTCATTGAGCTTACGGGAGATCGATTCCCGTGAGGGCGAGAAGACAGTATCTGATGTGGCTACGGAGACGGGAGATGAACGTGGCTCAATGCAAGAGCTGGCCCTTGAGCGACGCCGGGGTAAGGGTGGTTGTCCTGGGATTCTCTTTTGACATCGGTCAGTCTGATCAAAGCCCGATCGTTATTAAGGAGACTTGCCTCCATGTCATAGCGACATATATAGAGACCGTCTTTATTCATCTCTCTCCGCGCCTTTGAAGGTAAAGTATCAGTATTCACCCATGTCTATAGTTATGGGAAATGATCGTACATGTGTAACGGTGTACAAGCCATCATACCGATAGCCATTCACGGGCGAAAAATCAGAAACAAATTTCGAGCTCCGGACGACACGCACGGGCTTGCCTGTCTCACGAGATTTCTGTTATGTTGTCATTTCCCGACCTCACATGCAGACATGAAGAAACCTACAAGAAGTGCTTCATTTCCTTGATCCGCCCATGCCTGATCACAAACCTGCAGGCCTCGGGGGGTCTTGGGAATTTTGATGAATGGTCATGCTATAGGAGGAAGAAAGCAACTTACAGGCCAACCGGACTTGGAGGAGCGACCCCCTAACAATACTATGTCGGCATACAATATTGTAGCACATGTTGTGATCACTCACCTGCACCTGTGTATATACTAGACATGCAGGTCAGATTGGGAACCTGACTAAAAGATAAGGGCCACGCTAGGTGCTTACATCTTGTCGCCAAAATCCTCATCGTCCTCATAGTAACATGAAATAACTATCGAGAAAGCGCCCTTTGCCTTAGTGCCCTGTATACCAGCCAAAGACTGGCGGTGTATGCCAGCATCATAGCACTCTCGGCTGCGAAATGAGGTAACTGATGTTAGCATACGAGAATCAATAACACATACCGAGTCCTCCATGTGGTCCCGACAGGTACCCCGGGAATCTCCCCGAAGCGTCGCCTACAAAGAAAGCGCGTGAGCAGTGGGGGTGGGGAAGCTTCTCAGCATCACTGACGCCATCCAAGCACGACGGGCCCTGATTTCCTTGGCCTCTTTCCTGGCACGACTAGCCCTGAGTTCCTTGGCCTCTCTCCTGGCTATTTCTTCTGGATCTTCATCCATCTGCTCGTCCTCTTCACTGGTGCTTTCTTCTGGATCTTCCTCCATCTCCTGGCCCGAGTTACCGTGGAGGTCTTCGAATCCGAGTGATTCTGGAGCGCTAGAGTAGTTCATTATGTCGTTGGTGACTGTCAAGATGATGGGGATAAGGACATGAAGCCAACATGAGGCTCGTATACATAGACTGCTGCTGCTCCGGAGTTTGAAAGATGAACTTCGAAAGGCCAGACTTGGGACGAGCCGCCTCTTCTAAGGTTTGATTCTACCGGCGACTAGATAAGACAAGGCGGCAGCTGCTGACGAAACTAGGCCACTGGACTGTGGAGAATGGATCGATGACATGTCGGGAGCGCAGTTGATGGCAGCTGATATGGACTCGCGTCTGCTGCTACCTGGATCACCATATCAACTCGCTCACATGCGAGCTCTGGTAGTCTGCATCCATTTCTGAATTTCGAAAGCTTAAGAATCTACAGATACATTTTCGAGGACATGTTGCATAAATAGACCTAGGTAGCAGAGCAGCATCAGCAGACAGACGTTCCAGATGATCCTAAAAGCAAGAAAGTGGGAAAGCCTGAATGTTTTACAATTATGACTGATCCGCTTCAAGGCACAAGGTGGACGAGAGCGATGAAATTAACAGACCATAACTCGAAATGCATGCGAGCACCAGACAGCATGGCTCGCAAATTTGATCCAGAGGCATGTGTGGATGCTTATGGCCGCAGGTTGCTTACGCGTCCGCCCCAGGCAGCCCGCGCCGACATTTGATGTGAGGTGAAGAGTTCAATGTTGCCATTCTCGTTCGTTCGTTTGAAAGGGCATGTGCAGTAGTGCATGTGGAGGATAATTGTGACAATGCACTGCTAGTGATGATGTATATGTACGGTGGCAGTGGGACAAGACTTCAAGATCGGTTGGAATATGATGGAGTCGGACGGACTACTATGATGGGAAAAGGACTCGCGCTTCCTCCGGGAAGTCTGAAGGTGAAGCTCGTGGTTCAAAAGTAGAAAGCGTTCCTGTTCGCCGTCGTGGTGTATGGATGGGGGCTGTTATTGTCGGCGACGGAGGCGTTGAAAGCTGCGGAAGAAGACCGTGACTTCGAAGGAAATCGGAAGGTGACCATTACGCCCTGAGCTGTTAAGGCGAGACGACGAACGACAACCAATACGACAGACGACGTTAGCGAGAATCGTAGATACAACATCTGAGTTATACCGTGACTAGATCAACGAGGGCAAAACAGGGCAAAACTAAGGAAGGAGACAATATTTACGCTTAGTCAACATGTCAACATTTAAATATATAAGATTAATAATAATAATACAACTAATGTTTCAACCACGAGCAAATAACACAATCCGAGGCTAGTAAGAAGTTCATTTGGATTCTGGGTGGAAGTCAAATCAATTTCTTACTAGCCTCGGATACGCATCGGTGCTCTGCGCGCTGATGAGCAGATTCTAGACAAAGTTGAAGCCCGCGGAAATATTCAGGGAGCAACCGTATTTCAACGAAGGAAGATCATCAACACAATGATTCGATATCATTCGCCGCACGACAAAATATTTGCAGTGTTTCAAACGGCGCCGGGCACGCATGGCCTCCTTAGAGCTTTTGCCCATAGACGATGGCTCCATGTCCAGCTCACGGACAGGGCGATTCGGTTATGGGACCTTCATGCACCGTCATGGTGGCTTAGCGTTTGCAGTGGGCGTGAGTATTCACGGATACTCTTGTATGACCAAATGAACTACGACGACAATGTCCCGCCCCCGACGATCCTACTATAACCTTCGCCCCAGTCAGCTATCTACCCCGCGCAATACACCTCACATCTATCTCATTTTCGCCAAACGCGAAATACATTATTGTTGCTCTAGTGACGTGATTTTGAGCATCATCTACTGACCAAGTCAGAGGGTAGTTGCATCGAAAGTTGTGGCTATCGGACATATCATATGATACAATAATCGTATCAAGGTCGTTAGTATTATTACATTTGCCTCGTCTTCTTCCTCACGCACGGAATATATATACTGCACTTCCGTCGTCATCAGGATGATATCACTCCGGGGCTTTCATATGAGTCCCTCATTTCCCCTCCTTGACTTTCGGTGAACTTGTGCTTGGGCGCGGCAGGCGCAGGAGGGATGGCCCGCATACTACGAGTCCAGAAAAGAGTTCATTTTATTCACTTCTGCCAGTTCCTGCTGTCTGATTCTTTGGCGTGCGTTTTGCGGAGCCGGCATTGGTGGCTGCGCAGCTACGGAGCCAGGTAATGACTTGTAACGGCCAACAATCGCCGAGCGACGGCGCAAGGGAGGTTGGCCTGGAATCCTCTTTTCACACTGGTCAGCCTGGATCATCAAGGTCCGATCGTTGGCGAGACTTGCCTCCATGGTGAAACGACAGATATCATAATGACCGTCTCTATTCTTCTCTGTCCATGCCTTTGAAAACAAAGTATATCAGTGCTTATGGATGTATATAGATATGGGGGAAAATTACTTTTTTGCAGATGTACAAGCCATCATACCGAAAGCCTTCCCAAGGCGCAAATTCGGAATCAAGCTCGTAGCCCCGAATGACGCGCACGGGTTTGCGCGTGGAAACAGATTTCTGTTGTACTGTCATTTCCCCCGACCTCACATTTATCCAGGACAGAGAACTCACGAGAAGCGCTTCGTTTCCCGAGTCCGACCAGTTCTGGTTACGAACCTGCTCGCGCATCTTGGGGGTTTTGATCGATGGTCAAACTATAAAGGTATCCAAGGGACAACTTACACCACCTTCAATTTGCTTGTGACCCCCTAACAATACTAAGTCAGCATATCTTGTAGTCCAGGTTGTGATTACACACCTGAACCTGTATATAAGCTATTTGCACAGGGTCAGCTTACCGATCCGAAAATAAGCGCTGATGTGAGCCTACATCGTGTCGCCGTAATCCTTGTCATCTGGGTATTGACCCGAGACGACGATCGAGAAGGCGCCATCTGCCTTGGTGCCGTGGATACCAGGCTCCATTTGGTGATGCACGCCAGCGTCAAAACATTCTGTGCTGTGAACAGAAATGAGGTAACTGATACTACTAAACGAGAATCGAGAATATTCACCGACTCTCCCATGTGGTCCCGTAAGGTGCTCCGGGATATTCACCAAAGTGGTGCCTGAAAAGAAAGTGCGTGAACATTATGGATCTCGGAGGAGAACACTGAGGAACTTGCCCCGGCTTGGCAGTACTGCCCTCGCTCTCTTCTTTGATGGATATTTCTTCTCTCATCTTCTCGTCCTAAACACTTTGGATCTTGATCTTTGCGTCGTTCTTGAGTGCGAACGTTGTGATTGTGTCGCTGGTGGCTGCTATCAAGATGATGGAGATAAGTAGCTTAAAGAACACGAGGCAAACAGACTCATCTACAATATATAAGCACCCATATTCGGTGGCTATATAATTCGCGTCATGCTGTGTGGCGTGATTTGATATTGTTTCTCTGTGTTATCCAATTTACGTTTTGAATCATGATGCTGATGGTGGCTGTGTAGTAGCAATTGTGGGCAAGAAGTTGATCTCGGAGTGTGGAGGGTGTGTGGGTAGCGCAAAGGAGGTGCTAGTCGAGTTGACCAGAGGAAAGTTCGAATGCCGTAATCTTCGAATTCAAAGGGGTTATCGGATTCCACTGACGAGGCCATGATGAAACTAGATCTGAATCCGGAGGATGTCATCCATGGATCCATGACGCGTCGATATGAATCTGCACACTTGAATCATCATGTCAGCTCAATCCCATGCAAGCTCAGGCAGTTTCTGCATGCATTTCTGAATTGCAAAAGCATGGGAGCTATAGATACAGATTTTAACGATGTACTGCGACCTAGCAGAGCAGTATCAGTAGACAGACGTTTTGAATGATCCTCGTAGCAAGAAAACAGAAAAACCGGGATATGATGGGTATTGTACATCCTGAAATGAAATGAGAAGGATGGAATCGAGAGTGGCGTGAATGAGAAGGATGAAATCGAGAGTTGGCGTGGATTCAGGTCGTGAAAGCAAGAAAAGCGGAAGAGCCGGGATGTAGTGAATTGTTTTACAGCTGTGATGGACTCTCTGAGAAGGGCGAGGGGGACAAGAAAGATGAGAATGGGGAAGGCATAGTTTCGAGATCTTCAAGTGTCATGTCTTCATCGTCGTGTAACATGCCCGCATCTTCGTCGTCCACAACTTCATCATCCGCATCTTCGTCGTCCTCATGATAGGAGATCCTCAGCATGGGCCTCGCTGGGGTGCTATTGGCCTGGGATGGGCCAGACAACATGCTAGATCTTAAAAGGGTGCCCCACGGTTGCCTTTTCGCAGGCGTCCTCTTCACGGAAGTTCCAGAAAAATGTTGCTGCATCTCTGTTTGCACCCGCTGGTTGTATCTTTGCAGCGGGGTTTGACTTTGAATAGTCACCAGAACCGACGCTAAAACATGTGGCTGCGCGGCAGATGAAGATGATGAAGACGAGAATGGCTGGGGCGGCGGTCGGTTGGCGAGTTTGTACTTCTTAGACGCGACATCGGCATAGATCGGTGGATCACCTTGGGGTGCAAATGACCGGGTTTTGCGCTTACGGCTGATGGACATGACTGAGGGCGAGACGATGGTGTCTGATGTGGCTACGGAGGCGGGAGATGGCTGACGAGCGGTATATCCAAGCGAGCGACGAGGCAGTGGGGGTTGACCTGGAACCCTCTGTTGACACGTGATCAGTCTAATCAAAGACCCATAATTAAGAAGGCAACTTACCTCCAGCCTATAACGACAGATATCAAGACCTTGGGGGTTCTTTTCTTTCCATGCCTTTGAAGGTCAAGTATCAGTGCTGGCGCATCTTCTATAGATATGGGAAATGACATTACACTTTCAACAGTGTACAGACCATCGTACCGATAGCCTTCTGCAGGCGCAAAATCGGAAAGCACTTTGTGGCTGCGGACGACGCGTACGGGGTTGCCCGTGTCACGCGATGTCTGCTCTGCAGTCATTTGGTGACCTCACATTCAAAGATAGAAAAACTCACGACAAGTGCTTCGTTTCCTTGATCCGTCCACAGTTGGTCGAAAACCTGCGGACCTAAACGGATCTTGAGGATTTCAGATGGATAGCTGTGCTATAGGAGCAATAAAGCACTTACACGCTTTGGAGGAATGGTATCAGTCCACCGCTTGCGACCCCCTGTTGCTCCCAGGTTGGCACACAGTGATGTAGCCTAGGTTGTAATACATACCTGTGCCTGTATAGTAGCTATGTACACGTATGTATCAGAATATTGATCGCATTCGAAAATTAAGCGCCGTGCTAGATGCTTACATCGTGTCGCCGTAATCTTTGTCATCTCTGTAGTGACACGAAACAACAATAGAAAAGGCGCCGGTTCTTTGAGTGCCATGTATACCAGCCATGGGTGGGCGATGCACACTAGCTTCAGAACAATCTTTGCTGCAAAGACATCGACAGATGAGTTAACTGATGCTGAGCATCAAGCAAAAATACGCACCGACTCCCCCATTTTGCCCCAACCGGTACTCCGGGAATCCCCCCGAACTGCTGGCTACAAAGAAAGTGGTTGAGCGCTATAGCTGAGGGATAAACGCTGAGAAGCATTACTAACGCCAGGGTGGCGGCCAACTTGGTATCCTTGACGCTGAGCTTCTTGCCCTTTGAATATTTGGGCGCTATTTCTTCTCGGTCGTCTATCTCGTCATTATCGTCTTTGACTTGTTCCGACGCCGCAGCATCTGAGTCGTAATCCATAACGTGTGGCGTTCAAAGATCAAGTGACCTTGAACGTAACAGTGAGGATCATATCGATAAGTACTTACATGAGGCTCGGAGTTCGAAAGACGAGATCTTCGAAAGGCTAGACCCTGCCAAATCTCCTACTACAACTAGGATCACCGACGGACGTGGCTGGTGACGAGAACAAGTCTCTTGACGCTGGAGAATGATGCATGACAAGTCGACAGCGACGCAGTATCATGACGACAGCCCATATATGACAGCGCGGATCTGCTACCGTGGAACGTGAACATGATTGCACGCCTCGTCGCAGCTCACTCCCAAGAAACTCCTGGCAGTCTCCTGGGTCCAATTTTGAACTGGTCATGCTTCGTGTGGAGACGGCGACAGCGACAGCGGGTAACATACGTAGGGTTCCAATAGGGTTTTGGGAGAGACGACATTTGGAATGATACATGTAGGCCCCTGTGAACTGGGTACATTAACCTTGCTCTGGTTGGCTGGCGCTGTGGCGGCATGATGGCCGAGGACATCTCACCGCTTGTCTCGATAAAAATAACATATATTCCAGTACACTGTCTACAGATATTCACAGTCTCATATATATTTTATGGTTGTATCTCACCATATTATCACCTTACCCCCTCCTCCTTCCCTTGTGCCACCATGACCCGCCCCTTTAAGCCACCCCCGCTTGCTAGGGATACTACTGGATTCCGATGCAACTCACTCCGCGCGTATGCATGGAAACAATGGACAATGTTTGAGGCCACTTTTGCCATATGTGGTCTCGAGCCTTGGGAGAAACTTGTCTTTGGTGAGTACTGCACGCTCGAGCTCGAAGCACTCTTGACGGATATGAGTACAGTGATCGTCATGTCTTTGCTCACTTTCCTATTCTTCACTGGCCTGTCTCGGGTGATACCCAGTCAATTGATCTCACTACTACCTCGGACTGCATACTACCTCTGGGGCGATGAGCGGGTACTGAATCACTGGATGGACCATGCTGCAGCCAGCGTGAGGGAACTATAGGGTTTGGATGGACGTGGGTATGCTTTACGTTGTCTATATTGAGGCACGTATGTTAACTTGATCATGGTGCCTTTACAAAACTCACGGTAATTCAGATATCTTCAAGCTTGATTGAAGGACATTGTCGACGTTCATCTGTATTATGTGTCTCGTACTTTCTTATGCCACCATTCTGCGCATGTATATGGTTAACTCAATTTCTTTGGAATACCTGCAGATCCCGAGCGGACCGCGGCAAGTCCGCGGTGATATCCGGCATCTTCTTATGTAATAAAAAAGTATATGTACAAAAAACATTTCTTTGCATACTTCGAGTTAACGGAGCCTCGCGCCGATCCAGGGGGACGAGCGAATAGGGATATGCCAGTAGATGGTCATGCTCCGTGTGCTAGGCATATTGACCTGCCAACAGCATCGCTTAAATCACACAAGAAACTGCAAGCTTGTCGACATACTTGATAACGAAATACTCACTTTACAGCATACGATACGGGGGTCCAGCCGGAGAAACCCAACTAGGTGCTGTGCTTGTTGGGTCAACATTTGTTGCAAACAGCAATTTGAATAAACGTTTGCGTTGCTGTCACAGGGCCGGTCTCCGTGTAGAATGACAGTTCCTGCTACGGTGCTTGCAACGAGAGTCATTTGATTCTACTACATTTCCAAATTTATTAGGTGCCAGTGAGGGTGGCCCATGCTCGCGATCACTGCAATATAACATACCGGTCGTGCTCGAATTTCTTGTCTCGTTTTCGCCTTCAACCTAGCTGGCTGCTAGTTACACGTTCTCGGAGAAATGTAGCCCACGACATAGTGCAACACCTGACAAACGTGCGACGCCCGGGGGTCGTGCTATGCATTGACGTGGTTTGAACCTGACGGCGACACGTATCAGCTGTAGTATGATGGTGGGACTGTTGTGCGTCACGTGTCAAGAAATCACTAATTTCGATTTCCGCCGCTCTTGGGCAACACAATTAGGCTAACTGGAGGCGAATCATACCTTGACCACTCGTTTTCTTTCGTCAAGAACGAGAGACCACTTTCTGCCATTATCTATCTGCTCCCCAACTATAATCTCTTCTGAACTATTTTTCGTCATGGTCAAGGACTACTTATGGAGGCAAAGAGTCAAGTTCGAGTCGACATTAGCACTGTCTATGCTTGAGCCTTGGGAGAAATTTCTCTGTTGTGAGTCTCATCTCTTCATGAATCGTCATGAAATGGTTTCGCTGACCGTTCATAGTGATCATATTCTCGCTTTTGACGATGTTGGTGATGATTGGACTATTCCAATACTTGCCGCAGCACGTCATGGTCATGCAACGACGCGCCATATATTACCTCTGGGGCCAGGAAGGAGACGTGTTTCGCTCATGGGTAGAGACTCCAGGACTGAAAGAGCTATAATGTGGGCCTAATCGTACACGCATGACTAGAGGTGAGCGCCCAGGTGTTTCATTCGTTATTATGCTTACCTACCCACATATCTGCATTCTTTTCTTAGATCTCTCTTATGCTATCTATCTGGATTCATCTCTCCCATATCCCTCACTCGCTTACGTATACCTTTGTATGCTCATACATCAAACTTTTGCTGCCGGACCAACACTAGACCCGATTCTTGGTGCGCATTCTTATGACGGTGGACACGTGACTGTACGGGCCCAATGCGAGTTATTGAATTGCAAAGGTATTCTTCTCTTCCTAGCCTTGTACTAGCATATAGAAATATACTCCCCTGCCATGTTACAAACCAAAAACGCGCGGGCAGTCTTTATCGCACTAATCCGTTGTAGCCTCAGCATGGCACACATGCCCGTCCTCCCGGACACGCCCAGCTTCCGCACTTATTTCTTCCGCAAGCACGTATGGCGTTACAAAATCGTGCTCAAGACAGACAACCTTTGGAATATCTGTGCTTGAGCCCTGGGAGAAGCTCATTTTGTACGTTCAGTCATTATTTGCGTCCGTCTTAGCACCGTCCTTACTTGCAGGGCACACAGCAATCGTCGTGTCACTTTTTACCTTTATGCTCATCACTGTCCAAGGCGGACAGCATAGCACTACAAACGCTCGTTAACAACTACAGGCTATTCTATGAATTTTTCTTCGAGGAGAAGATACCAGTTGCGCTCATCGTTACTCACCTGGAGAGGGAGGATCCCATGGACGATTGGTACACACGAAACAAGGGGTCGTTCGACCGCCATGCAATCAAGTATGTTGATCATGCTTGTATCACTGCAGCGGCAAATCTTTTTGAGTCAGACTTGAAACCAGGGCCAGCTGATGTCTCTGACTTGTACAAGGACCCTCTCGTACAGTGGCAACACCGATGGTACTTCGTCATCCTGACCATTTTCGGGTACTTGCTTCCAATGGTCATTCCTGGTTTATTGTGGGGAGACTGGAAAGGCGGATTCTTTTTCGTTGGTGCAGTCCGTATGACCGCGCGCTACCTGATACCTCAGCAGTTCATTGTGATCCAGCATAGACTGTCTTACTGCCTCTGGGGCGATGATGGAGGGGACATTGGATATGAGCGCTGAGTACTGAGTAGACCTAACCAGGGCTTCAGAGAAGTGAGAACTATAGTGTTGGCACGACGACGGACAACCCGCCATTTTCAAGGTTTCTGATTCTGCACGTTGGGACATTAAAGATTATTGACACTAACGGCTACTCGTCTATATAAAAATCGAGCGGCTCTGCAATAAGTTATTCAGGGGAGAGTATGCATTGAACAAGTCAACCCCTGGTTAAGTGAGTCCGGTTAAGCTTTTAAAATTTTAAGCAAGAAGATCTTCGTTGTGGTATGTTGTGCTTATATATTGGGCAATGGAACTTCAAGCTCAAGTTTGTACCACCACCATTAACCAATAGGGTTATTCGCTTCTCGACCGCGGCAGTCGTACTACGTCGTGCCAACCTTGGCTATTTGCATTACCTCGGGGTGGATCCAGCTACCCTCGGGCTTCAGTAGTGCTTCTTGATCAGAAACCACGACGCAGGCTGCCGCCGATCGACTTCTCGGATCCTTTCCCTAATATATGGGCTCACATTACTTTGCAGTTCGCTAGCTGAGGACTGCCAGGTTGGACTTTAGTCTTGCTCATACGTGATCAAGGACCATATGCAATTTACACAGCTCTACCAACGTTTTTGATCCCGTCTACTTGGTCTAGCTCTGTGGGCCAAGCACTAGGAGACGGCCTGGATGCTCGATCGACGCAGCGTACGTCTGGTGCTCAAGTCAACCGCGTGGTAATAGCATGACCTCTATTATGCTACAACGACAGGCTTTCACGAGCACGCGCCCAAAACGGCGTTTTGTTCCAGCGCGATAGCGTCAGACAAACGCTGCACGTACCTGATTTTCAATGAACACAGGATCCGTTGTCACTACACACTAACATTACATTTTTCTTCACAGTTACGCCCCCTCTCACAAAAAAACATTTGCGTTCTGCGCCATTGTCACATCTTCCGAGTGTAGGGTCCCTGGGAATACGAACGCTTGGTCTTGGACCCGACACTTATCACTGTCAGTTTCTTTGATACAATTATAATAAGACACGCCTCATCGCTCCCAGCAGATCCACCAACTAACCTATCTTGTCAGACCGCAGTCCGCCACTACTCAAGCTAGGGCCTAAACGTTCAACCATTCTCAGGTATCACAATCCCAAGCACGCCGGCGTGTGTCATGTTCTCTACGGAATTTCCAAACGATTCCATCATGCTAAAATGGATCAGCTGATTTTATTCTACTTGGCAACAGGTGCACAGGCGCATTCTGAACGTTAGCACATTACGTTACGCCCCCATCTGACTGACGTCCTCTGACGTCCAACAAGCACTGGTCTGGCTAGTCACGCAAGCGCCATATGGGTCACCAGACTTCATCCTCACGCAACCCGGCACCATTACCGATTGTACCATCCGGCGTTCGGTGGACTGATGCTGTGCATGTAACTAGATCAGTGACCGCATGTTCACTTTTCCCCCATTCAGCACGGGGCGCCGAGATCAAACAAGTCCTGTGGCATCAGGGGGAACACGAATTTCCCTGCAACTTGTTATGGGACTTCTAGCTCTGACAATCAGAACATCAACCACCTCTTTTGGTTTGAACACGAGATTAGGTTATTATGACATTCGGGAAAAAATATATCATTTGTGTGATAGTTATATATCGGCAAAAGGACGGGTGTGCTATGATAAGAATGAATAAGTGTATGGATACAGTAACGACGAAGATATGTATGCGTGTAGTGGAGTGGGTGGCCAATCTATGGTTCAGACGTTCGTGATGCACCGGCTGTTTCAAAATGCGCGTGAATATTGCTTGTGGTGTTGAATCATATAAGTTAATAATGCACGGATTTAAGACGTCATGAAAGGGGTAGGTTGAAGGGATACCGTAACATTATTTGGCTGGTAAACGCGTGGAACAAGAAGAAATGCGTAAAAACACTTGGGGCATGTCATGGGCATGTTTGGTTTGTGTGGGAGCGAGAACGTGAAAGGCAGGGGTAGATTATCATAGCATATATGATAGGGATGGGTGGAGCGACATGCTCCACGCGTCTAGGTCGTGGCAATGGCCGTGATCCAGTCACCAGGTGGCTCCTTCCATCAGAATGATCGACCAGCGGATTCGAATAGGTGCGATTACGACGGCATTCCGCTAGCAGTCTGCGCGATAATGACTGTGGTTTGGGTCGTCTGATATAGATATTGAAATAATGGATAGTGGCGCCACATGGCAAGACCTCCCCCCCTCCAAGAGGCGGGATCCTCCATTTAGTCCATGCAAGGGAAACAAACAACGCCTAACAAAACTATACCGCGGACGGACGGTTCCCTTTACCCCATTTTGTGCGATAGACCGCATCATCTGGCTTGGTATCGGGGTGAATCTGAAGCCTGCCTTCCCAGAGAGCAGCAGAAGACTTTGAGGGATCGTAACGAGCAGGGTCCGATAGAGTGCCGCGCGACTGAGGTGCCCAGCCAGCTCCAATAGAAGATGCAATAAGCGTCGGAACCATGGTCATCAACGAAGGGCTAGAAAAAATTAAGGATACCATCTCGCCCAAAAAAACGCAGACACGCACAGCGGAACCCGTTTATCATCATGTAATCTAGCCTGACGGCTCTTCACAACAAACGAAGACGAGCGAAGTCGCCCGCCCCGTAGGTTAGCGAACGTGGCGAGGTTATCACGTACAAGCTCGATCGCAGAGTTCCATTCAACGTCTGGGCGAACTTTGGGAAGACCGCCTTCGGGCTTTGGCAGTAAGCGCATTATAATGAAGAGCCGTTCAAATGGTCCGTTGGGTAGCAAGCGGATGAGCGCGCCAAGTGGGATGGATACGATGCCAAGAGCGAGCGAGATACCCCATTCACGACCTCCAATACGCGTCACCTGGAATGCGGTCCCACCGATGAACACGATGACGACTTGTACAGTAATTTCTGCAAACCAGTCGTGAGGGCAGTTCAGACGCGACGTTACTCGACTCACCGATAAGGGTGATGACCATGAAGTACCAATTGTTGAGCATGCCTTCAAAGATGTTCAGCTTCCTATCCAGCCTGCGCGAGTTCACCGAGTTGAATATCTGAGCAAAAACGAACGCATTGAAGACAAGCGTCTGCACAATGGTGGCATTCCCGGACGTGTTCGCAAGGCCCAGTATCTGGACGCCAAGGAAGTGGAAAAGCAGGATGACGGTGATCTGATAGACAGACTGCAATAAAATCTGCTTGTACATATCCACCGTGAAAAGCGGCGCCGTCTGCTTATCAGGCTTTCGGTCCAGTAGCGCCGGCGACGCAGGATCCGTAGCGAGCGCGAGTGCAGCGAACGTGTCCATGATAATGTTGATCCACAGCAGCTGAACAGCCGACAGAGCCGACGTTTCAGAATTAGAAGCGACAGCGGTTACGAAAGTGATCACCACGGCAGTCACGTTGGTGGAGATCTGGAACTGAAGGAATTTCCTGACTGCGTCATTAACGCAACGGCCCCACATGATCGCCTTGACGATGGAAGAAAAGTTGTCGTCCATCAGAATGATGTCGGACGCCTCTTTGGCAACTTCAGTCCCTGCTATGCCCATGGAAAATCCAACGTGCGCCGTCTTGAGAGCGGGTCCGTCATTCGTCCCATCTCCAGTAACGGCAACGATCTCCCCAAGCGCACGAAGCTTCTCGACCAGGATCTTCTTGTCTTCAGGCGATGAACGGGCGAGAACCTGAAGCCGTGGAACGATCTCGAGCATCTGCGATTCGTCAAGCAGACGGAAAACGGGTCCTTCCATGATGATACCACCAGCCGTGTATATACCACACTGCGTGGCGATCGAACGCGCCGTCAGCACATTGTCACCCGTGCACATCTTCACAGCGACACCAGCTTTGTGGCAATCAGAGACCGCTTCTCGAACACCATCCCTGAGTGGATCTTCGATTCCAACGATTCCGATCAACGTCAGGTCTTTGGCGATGACGTCGTATGGCACCTAGAACCAGGTCAGTATGACGAAATGTGACTGCAAGTATACCTACTTCGTCTATAGCAGAGACTTGAATCCCAGGTGGTGGCCAAGTCGGAAAGTCCCTGTAGCACAAGCCGATAGTCCGCAGAGTCTGATTCGCGTAGAAAATGATAGTCCTCGTGATGTTCTCCTCGGAGAAGCCATCAATCTCTGCCGTCTGAACACCGGTGGAGGTGCCTCCTTGCTGGTGCACGACGACATGTCTGGTGCACAGCTTTGTGAGTATCTCGCTAGCACCCTTGACGTAGAACCGATAGCCCTGCTTGAGCTTGACGACGACGCCCATAGCTTTGCGATCGCTAGAGAATGGTATCATCTGAACAATTTCCGCCGCATCTCTCGTCTCCTTGTAATCCCGCCATCCGAGCTCTTTTGCAAAGTTCAAAAGCGCTGTCTCCGTCTTGCTTCCCACAAACACGCGCTCTCCAGTCTCCTTCTCCTCGTCTTCGAAAGCAGTAGAGTTCACAGCAATGGCCTCATTGAACAAATCAAGAAGCGGTCGGCTGAGAACGGTGTTAAGCGTAGATTGATCGATGCTAAAGTCATCACTTGGAACATTCGAATCAGTACTCCTTCTATTCGCGTTCGTGCGGGCCTGGTTGTCCTCGAGTTTGCGAACGAATTTGGCGTGGATACCGATAGAGCCTGCGACGACGGACATGACATTGCGAGTTAGGGTACCAGTCTTGTCAGTGCAGATAACGGAGGAGTTGGCCATAGTCTCGCAAGAGCCCAAGACGCGCACAAGAAGGTTTTCTTTGGTCATCCTCTTAGTGGCGAAGGCTAAAGCCAGCGTCACAGCCAACGGCAGTCCTAATTATAAACATTCTCGTTAAGGAGTAGCACATCTGACGTAAAAGAGTAGAGCCTTCACCTTCTGGAACGGCGACTACAACCAAGGTGACCGAGATAATGAGAATCTGAACGAAGGCCATGCCATTCTGATCAGGAGTCCTGCAACGTGCAAGTTAAAAAAAGAGCGAGTGTCATAACAGAAGCCCGTACCTGGCAGGCTCTCCTGTAACGAGTTGCACAATGAATCTGATCATCAGAGCGGAGAAGAGAACGATGCCGGCAATGCTTCCAATCTTCGCGATTAATTCCGCCAGGACGTTGAGCTTCAATTGAAGCGGGGTGTTCTCCGCGTCCGTCCTGAGAGCTAATGAAATTGGCGTTAACAGGGTGTTGAGGAGTAAAGAGAAATGCGCACCCATCATGATCCTGCCGTTAAAGCTCTTCGTGCCAACTGCGACGACGACATAGCTACCGACGCCTTCCAAAACCTTGCTACCACTGACGACAAAACAGTCAGTGTGCGCAGATACATGCTCTCCTCCGAGGGCGCCGCCTTCAGCGCGCACACCGTTCAGTGCCTGCTTCAGCGCCAGACAATCTGCATAGGACGCCTTTTTAATAGCATCCGACTCGCCAGTTGCCGCTGATTCGTCACACTTGACATTGTGCCCGGATAAGAAGATGCCGTCGCAGGGGACAATTTCCCCGGGTTCTAATAATGCTACGTCGCCGACTACGACTTCCTGTGCGCACAGGATAAAATGATGAGACGATATTCAATTTGAATGAAAACAATTTTACTTTCACATCAATGAGACGTTCGACGCCGTTGCGAATGACCTTGACCCCACGTTCTTCCTTTTTCTCGTTGAGGACCTTGAATTGCCGTTCTTTTTGCCAGTCATTTATCGAGCCAACGACGACCTGAAGAAAACAAATTGAGAGTTGGATGAAATGAGGTACAACTAACTTACGACAATCAGGACGGCGATCATAATCGCAACACCTTCCACCCAATCGACTGGAGGTTCACCTGCAGGCTGTGGCGTGCCAAAATCTTGAAACAAGCCAAGCGCGAGAGAAACAACCGCTGCAATAGACAACAAAACCTTGAAACACAAAGGGAATGAAGATTGAGTTTGACGGATATAGTAGATACGCACAAGAACTTTATCTTTCAGGGCAAGCCACATGAGAGCCAGTAGACTTTTACTCGCTCGCTGTGGAAGAACATTCTCTCCAAACACGCGCTGCCGTTCTTGCATTGACGCCGTATAAGGGTCGCCGGCGATATCACCGTCGACGTGATCGTGCGGTGCAGCAACGGACAAAGGCTGCCGGTCGTGTCTTTGGGAAGCGCCTACCCCAGCACCTGGTCTACTGTTTGCAGAACCGTCTACCGTTAAACCCCGGACAGGGTCAGTTCCGAGGCCGTCAAGAAGGCCGTCGATACCCCCAAGCGCCTCGAGAGCGTCGAGATCCTTCGGGTCGAGAAGACTGGCCAACTCGACTGGTCTGTATTTGAATGGACGGGGGTCGGCCAAATCATCCTGGACGAGTTCGATCTTAGAGACGTCGCCGTTGGTTTGAACTGATTTATGGCTGTCAGAGGGGTCAGTGTGACCATTGCCATTTGGTGTTGGGGTGGTTGTAACGATGTTTTCAACCGAAATATCGGATTTAGCGGGTTGGGACCTGGAAAGCACTGAGGCGGTGTCTACGTGGGTGTGGGTAGGAGAAGGCATTGTGCTAGCGGGATCCGATCTAACAGGATGAAGGTGAACCATGCCATAATCGCCGCCGCCATGGTCTGGTTCTGTTTCGTCAAGGCTGCTGTGCCCCTCATGTGAACTAGCGAAAGTCGCGTTACTAGGCTTCCGTTGATGAATGGATACTTTGTCCATCGGAGTACTGAGAAGATGCAAGGAAGAATAACCGTTACGCTCGTCTGGTTTATTATCCCTCAAGGACAGAGAAGTGGCGAAATGGACTGAAGACTGAGTCGATAATGTGGGTGAGGGAGGAGCAACTAAAGAAGCGCCGTCGGTTGATGAGACGACGGTTGGGGATGGGGAATGGGAGCGAGAGTCTAGGGAGATTCGACGGTTTAACCTAGGGTGAGGGGACAAGAAAGTTGAATCTGGTTGGGGGGCATTTGTAGAGGGTGAAGGGAGTATTGGAATCACTGTTTGATTCGATGATAAGTCAGTGGTGACGATTTCCGGAATGCTCCCTTCTGCCATGAGACCCTTGAAAACGGTAGAAGGGAAAAAGTTCCAACTGAGGAAACGAACAGTGAATTTATAAATGAACGTGACATTAAAGGCTGTGTTGGGTGCAGTGGAAGTTTCTATGTAGAATTTCCGATCTAGTAAGGTACGAACTTACAAAGGAGGCTGGCCTCACTTCACTTCATGTGGGTACTGCCTTTTCACCAAGAATACCGCGTACACCGTCCAGTGATCAGACTGGCCAGGTCACGGTGTGCGTGTGGTATGTTCAAGGAGACCTAATATCAATTTCCTTTTCAGTAATACGTCGATGTTTCGCAAATCATCTCCTTTCTTGGTCAATGGCAGCAGTCACTTGGTCCCCGTACCCGTCGTGAACCGGTCCCGGTCTGCTAGCCATCCGGCGACTATCAAGGATACTGCTCATGCTGCAAGGCTACCATGCTTTCGATTATCATTTAGCACACCACCCATCTCACGCCAATCTCAACTCTTGCTTTCCGAGGACAACAACGTCACATCTCGACTGACGTCTTTTTTACTCTCAATATCTATCACGAGTCCATCAAACCCCACCGCCAATGCACTCCAGATTCTCACCTTCTTTCGAACATGCATAACCAATGTGCTCGTTCCCCAGATATGATCATCTCCTTGGCGCTTACTAGTATCATCAGGGGGGGACAATGGAAGTCTTCCTTCTCTCCCACCAACTCATTAACCTCCGTCATTTTTCTACTGAGAATTCCAACAGCCAAACTCGCCAAGTCTTTGCCCGCTCCATCCTACCACTCGTAAATATTAAATATTCATCCACTCCTCATTCGGACAATCTGATAAGCGTTCCTGCCATGCATTAACGGAAAGTAACCCCTTTGCTTCCTTCGGCATACCGACAGCGTGTCTTGTGGCCACCTCAACTACATGCTGCAGTCCTCGTTGATTCATCGCGGTCTTCATTTCAGGAATCCTCCTACCCGAAAACTTTACTAATATTCTATTCTTATATCAGCAAGGCCCCCAGACGCGTGCGTTTGACTTTCACCACAACAAGCGCCCAACGTTGTGGAGAGAGCTAAAGGATCGTCTTAACCACCCGATCACGCTTGACCAAGTACTGCCGCGCGCTAACACATCAATACCAAGTGACACAGCCCGCACGATATCCTCCTTATCATATTAGGCGGAGCCATTGCCACGATGACCACAAAGCCCGCTTTCCGCGCATAGAAAATCTCGAAACACCGGAAACGCGAGCCGAACATATCATATTCTCCGCCCATTCAGGCGACCCCATACAGACTCCCCTTGTCCGTCTAGCAAGATACGTTCCATTCCATTCCTCTGCGCCCGATCGCGAACGGCACCCTCAACCGCAGGGATGGCAGACAAGATGGAGATGGAATGAATTGATCCAGCGCCGGGGATCTGATCTATGACCTGACTCGAGTTCTATTGCATGTAGTTCGCCGCCGCCGCACCTAACTCATGAGTGGCGTTTTTGCTGCCAAGCATGACGTTTGGGGACTTGAACTAAGTTAGTGTATGCGGGGTTCTATCAAACGCTGCGCTTGCAATCCCCACCCGCTGTGCGCGGCATGACACCCGACACTACACCCACTTACTTACGATCCATAGTCTTATGAATTTTCAACTCTTGGCTAAACTGCGGCGTAGTCTCGGTCGGGGGTCGGAACCAAACGTTCTGGAAATTTAGAGGCAAGATCCCTTGCCGGATATAGTAAAAAGTCCGAAACTTAGCTAACTTATTTGCAAATTCTGCCAGCCGTCCATCGTCCCAAAATGGCAGATTCCGTAGTCGTAAACTCGTACAGCCTCAATGCATGTCTTTTCCATTGGAACATACGTTTGAGGTTTGGAACCACCTCTGGAAGCCGCTCTAAATATTCAACTTCGCTGGCTCGACTTGCTATCAAGGCATCGTACCGAAGTGCGTTATTAACTGGTGTGCGCCAGTCATATCATGCCTTTTATCCCTCAAATGGCTTCGAGAAACGAAGTTACCAACCATGAAGAACCGCGGTTGGCAGGCACGATGTCACGTCACCACCTAATATCATGTATGACGCATGCGGCATGCCTGTAAGCCAAGGGTTTACCTGGCTTGTCGTTATCGACCAAGCCAACATCATGATTGTAAAACAGAAAATCTGATTTTTCCAAATTCCAGCACAGGTTCCAGCCCTCACGATAGCGTAAAATAGATTCATCGTTCGGAATTTAGCTGGCAGCCTGAGGAACGTTGCCATTTATCTTGTTGGGGCATGCATCGCTGATTGAAATCGAATTCACAGCATGGCACTGTTGGCACATGGCCCGCCAATGGCTTGGCTGACTGACTCTGGCTGATGGCAAATCACACCGTCGGGGATATCTGATAATTTTGGGCATTGCGCAGTCACGCTGCGCATGTGAATGATTCAAACATTGTCGTTCGTGCCCTTTCGTGCCGCACATCAAGGGAATCGGGATACGAAATTGCGAATCCTTCATATTTGGCTGTCCTCCGCTGGCACGCGAACTCCCCTGTACGGCAATGTTGATCGAAGTCGGTGTCGGTACTGGACTGGTGTCGGTGGGATCACCCAACCGACCAAGAGCGGACATGAGGACGCAATGCCTGCCAGTGTCCTTGCAAAAATGGTCTAGCGCAGGGACGCCAGACCAACTGTTTACATTAACCTGCACAGGATTCGGAATGCACACGTCTGCCGCTTGGTTCCTGTTTCGTATGGTTGCCGATTCTCAAGCGCGTGCGATGGGAGGCGCGTCAACCAGACCACATCCCTCACACACGAACTTAATGGATCAGGACCTGCCGTTTGAAATTGTGATGGCGGTTTCATCGTGTTGTAATCGGTGCTCGATGGTACCTCTACGTTGTGGCTCGCACATGGCGTGGTATGCAAAAACAACTCTTGGTCGACGCGCGCGGATATGAGGTCACATATAGACGGAGCCCGTGGATCTGGGCGCCCAAGGAAACCCATTCTATACTTTTTCTCCGCTGAAGAAGGAACCCTTGATATCACTTGCTGTGCCGACAGATCCCTTGAGACAAAAAATTATCGATCTGATCCAACTGAACCTCAATCTCGGTAAATATTTCACGTGAGGATTATGACTACTACCACTACTACTACTACTACTGACAGTCAAGGGTGGAACCCGGCCTTCAGTTTCCTAACGGTGTTGGGCGTGTGTTTTGGTTTTGCCAGAAATGCATAGCCTTTGACAACCGCGAGGGCTGCCTATTCATGGGGCTCGCCGGACTTACCCAGGATGTTACTATACAGGCCCCTAGATCTACCGACGTGAGTAACTCCCTTACCACGGGACTGGTTTGTAAATTGGGCCTTTCTAACAGCGAAGCTGCGCTGGAGGGTTGAATTTCGAATCCCAAGCAATTCGATCGAGGCAGATGACTCGTCCTTGTGCGTTGCGCCGACAAGACAATGGAAAACGTCCGGTGACAAAACCGGAGCTTTGTTGTGCGTTTCATGGAGACTCAATAAAACACTGCTTGAGTTCAAACCTTGTTTTACGGATGCAGAGAAGCCCAGGGTATGGAATCGCGTTCAGCTCAGCTGACTCGACGCCTCTCGACACCCTTTGTATTGGGCTGCATTCGAATTCATGCCCATTGACAATGAAGCCCTTCGCATGACTGTAAATTAGAACTGTTATGCAACTTCACAATAATCACACTACGATCGTGAGTCACCCGCTGAGAATAAGGGTGTTAATACCTCTGACAGGTACTGCGCCCTGTTTGGTGTCAAAGGGCGTTTGTCAAAGGAAGCTCTTGGAGATGATGCTCGGGAAGAATTCAGCTTCCAGCGAACGTCGAAAAGAAACCCTGAGCCGCTCGTGCTAAAAAAAGTAACTGGTTGAGGGCCTATGACGGTCCTATTTCATTTCTCGAAGGAACGGTGAGCAACTTTTACACTTCTCTAGAAGGTCTACAGAGAAACTTGACGTACCAGCGCCTGGGGCGCCCACCCCTGATATTCCGTCATCAGCTGGGTCGTTTTGCGCTTACAGAACGGATTCTCGTATAAGCGTTCATGAATTAAACGAGTGGTAGCGGGCTTGCATCCCAGAAACGTGTTCACCGCATGCCACTATGTACTACTTTATTCTCCATCGTCAAGTAAAGTGAGACCCCATCTATGTTCTAGAAAACCATTCAAGATATGGAATAATCATATGGAAGAGCCAACGAACGGCACCCCAAGTCGAGCGCCAAGTATGCAACGCAATTATCCGACCCAGAGCCTAAAGAGAAGTTACTTGCCTTCCCAGATGTTTATGCACCTGGGCTCACCACCTGCGGCGTAGGCACTTGTCCACCAACGAGCTCGCTGCCTGCGCCTTCATCGTTCTTCGGCGTCAATTCGGCTTGACCCTCCTTGTCCACATCATCCTGTTTCAGCTTGCTCATTTCCTTGATGAAACTCGTTCCCCAGAAGGCCGCGGAGTATTTGTTGACGTATTTGAAGAGCTTGCGGTGGTTCTCAGCACGCGTCTCTGTATCCATCGTGACAGCTTCGTGAATCGCGTCTGCGACTTGTTGAGGATCCCACGGGTTCACGACGATTGATCCGTTGAGACTCTGCGCGGCTCCGGCGAATTCGGAGAGGATCATTGCACCCTGACGAGCCTGCTGGCAAGCAATATACTCGTACGAGACCTGATGTGAATGACGTCAAAACATCACCCCGCAGGTGAAGAACTGAAGATTTACCAGATTCATTCCATCTCTCGTACTGGTCACCAAACAAACATCACTAATTGCGTAAAGGGCACACAGCTCGTCGAAGGCTAGACTCTTGTGCATGAAGTGTATCGGCATGAATTCGACTGTACCAAAACGTCCGTTAATGCGACCGACAAGTTCGTTTACCGTTGACCGTAGGTTTTGGTAGTCTTCGACATCTTGTCTAGACGGCACAGCGAGCTGGACCAACACGACCTAGCGATGGATGCGGATAAGTCAACCAGGCATTCACAAAAACTCCCACACTAACTTTGCCGATCCACTCAGGGTGCTGCGTTAAGAAGAGCTCGAGGGCGTGGAGTTTCTGGGGAACACCTTTGATGTAATCGAGACGATCAACCCCAACGATGACTTTGACTCCATTAAAACGCTGTTCCAGCTGAGCGATGCGAGATTTAACGGATTCCTTCTCTAGGTTCTGCACGTTGTTTAAATTTAATGTCGCATGTAATTTTACGTCGTGATACATACCTTGATGAATGAAGAGGGTTCGATGCCAATAGGGAATGTCCCAACGTGAGCTAAGCGACCCTCAAACTCAACACCATTTGGCATTGTGGGCAAGCCAAGGATGCGCGTGCAAGAAGACAAAAAGTGACGAGCATAGTCGTAAGTGTGAAAGCCAATGAGGTCGCAGAAGAGGATACCCAAAAGAATTTCACGTCGAACGGGGAGGATCCTGACACAGGGTCAGCGGATGATCGAACAATAAAGGGAGCCCACTTACCTGTAAATTTCACTGCTGGGGAAGGGTGTGTGCAAAAAGAACCCAATCTTGACGTCGGGTATTCTTTCAGAAGAGATGTTAACTTCCTCTTCAATACCCTCCGCAATCTTCGTCAGCTCTCGTTTCTGGTATTCCCCTCCAGATGAGCCGTCAACGAGGCCGCGTAGTATCATAGGAAGGAGCATCAGGTGATAATCCTGCACCCATACCATGCTGCCGGGTGTGATTTGCGAGCGTACTGTTTCCGCAAAACGGAAGTTGGCTTGACGGTACATGAGCCAATTCTCCTCATCGAAGTTCATCTCTCCGGGATGGTAATGGAATAGTGGCCACAGAATGGAATTGGAGAAGCCGTTGTAATGCCCCTCGGCGACGTCATCGTCAAGATATACAGCTTGACAAGAGTACTCCTCCATGAGACGCTTGTCAACATAAGCTCGGTCTTTCGGTGGGATGTAGAAACCGGGCCAACCAATCCAGGTGAAGCTCAACGACTTCTTGAAACCGGAAAGGGCAGATACAAGCCCTCCAGAAGACATTTTGAAGTGATATTCGCCTGCTGCATCTTTCGTGATTGTGATGGGAAGGCGGTTAGCGACAACGATGAGGTGTTTGCCCTCCATATCTGCAAAGCTTTCGGCGGAGGTTGGGAGGATAGAGGGTGCCATGGAGCGAATAAATTTATATAAGTGTTATAAGTGAGCAGATCTCTACGAAAACATGAAGGAGAGGCCGAATACGGGTGATTATCGGATATGGTGTGACGAAATGGCGGATGGGTTAGCGAGAACGCCGAGAAGGCTGGCAAACGTTTGCGTGATCGAAATCCTATTGTGAAAAATGTGTAGATCGATGGCTGAAGTGCCCTTGTCGACTGATCTTGGATGGCGGTTGGATGGATTATTGTCTTCTAGCTGGGTGCCCTACTTAACCCTAGCAGTCCACTTTCTGCAGCGTCATGACCATCATCATCGTATGGGAATTTCAACGGGAATCGCCACACAAGAGTCCACTAGGCCAGGCTTGGTCCATCGGACTCCATTGAGTCCATTCATCGGTCCCTGACTCTAGATGTACTAACGGGGCCACCAGTGAGAAACCCACACATCGATCAACGTGTCGCGATGAAAGAACGATTATCGTAGAGCTAAATATGTATGGTCTACGTAGAAGCATGAATTGGCGCCTCGCAGTGTTCCTTTCGCTTATATATTTTTGGGGATCGCATGATCAGCACGAGTGAGTGTTCTTATCAGCCTGCATGTGCATTAGATGATGTGTGTGATGGTAGATAACATGACATATCGACGAGTAATCTAGTCGAAGAGACCGAAACCCTGCAGACCAGCGTGTAAGCCCTAATTTCCATTTGTGCGAACCATGAGCAACTTACCATGTCATCGTCAGACTCCTCCTTCTCCTCAGCCTTCTCCTCAGCCTCGGCCTCAGCAGCAGCGGGTGCAGCCTCAGCGGCAGCAGGTGCGGCAACGGCAGCAAATGCGTCAGGGTTCTCCAAGTACTCCTTGGCCTGCATGAAACGTTAGCATAGTTGCTTGGCGTGATAAACTCGACAAAAATTCAGAAACAAGATTTGTGCATCCGTTAAAGTCAGCATTTTCAGTGTGTATGTTTGAAGCATCTCAATATTACGTGAATTGAATTTGAGCTGACCTTCTGGGCACCCTCGAACATGTAGTCGGTGGCCAAGCACACAGCAATAAGGTTCTTGTACGAGTTGACAAGCGAGTGCGTGACCGAGACGATGGTCGGGTAGTTGAGGGCCAATGAAATGGCAGCAATGGTCTGGATACCGGACATGAAGCGGTCAATGAGCACCTTCTCGTCGATATCGAGGACTTCGGGAGCGAACGCGTTTCCAGAGTCGAAAATTTGCACGACAGTCATACCATACGTGAACGGTGAGATGTTCAACATGTTCAGGAGAGTAGCCTCAGATGAACCGACACGGCTACCAGCGGTAACGACCTGGACCTCGGTCGAAATTTCAATGGTACCACGAGCGATCTTGGTGGGGATACCGAGGGCCTGGAAGAAGGAGGTCTTTCCGGGTTCCATACCGGTGTTCCCGGCGGGGACGAAGACATCCTTGGGGGCATAAGCACCGGCACGAGCAGGGGCGGCAATCTTGTTGGCAACAATGATGCTCCTGACTTCCTTGAGGTCTTGATCGGTGAAGACGAAACCGATGTTACCCCTGACGTGGGGAAGAAGACGCTCGAATTGGGGGTTCTCCGAGAGGATGGTACGGAGAGCACGGCGAACCATGGTGTTCTTGCCCATCAAGACGACACCTTTGCCACGGAGGGCAACACGGATCTGGTGCATCTGGTTGGAGCTAACATTGTCAACATTGACGATGAAGATGGAGGCTGCGGGCTTATCATTAAGCAAGGATTGTTAGACAAGTAAAAAAAAATTGAAACACACGATATTTGGAGATGAGCTCCTTTAGTTTGGTGAAGTAAACTTCCTTTTGCGCGCGAGTAGCACCCATTGTGATTTCTGATAGACCACGCGTTAAAGTGTCAAGACAGGGTGATAATTGATGTTACTCACATGAATATACAGGTGTGATTGTTTTTATGTGAAAATCAGTGCCTCCCGATTGACCTCTACATGAGCTTGTCAGCCAAACCAACACTTTCTGATATAGCATTACGCACCAGCAGCGGGCCAATGGATTTTTCAAGGCGACCGACTGGATGAGGATAATGTGAATATGTGTATTCCGGCGCTTCTGCTAAAGTTTCGGTAGACCGGGAAATGCCTTGCAGTTCAACAACAAAGTTCAAAGTCCGTCGGGCTATTCCGAGCGCTATGTTCATTTTGTAACGTGACGTGTAACGCGACGTGTTCCAAATTCGTCCATGCCATGGAATGTTGCGATGGTGTGTGTCGACCGTCCGAGTTTTGGGCGGCGTCGACGGTGCTCAGAGAATCAGGTTTTTAGTTTTATCTTACTTTTTTAACGCGTGACTTTTGACCGTCGTTCAATTCTAGGTTACTGTCTTATGCTAGCGCCCATGTCCAAGAATGCAGCCCCGGAACTCACAACCCATCTCTTGGGACACCAGGTGGTGGTCAGGAGTCTGGCCCGTCCGATAGCACTCGCGCCATAAGTGCTCTCCGAGAAATTCTAACGCCTCCTGCTGTGGTGCCAGAAACTTCCAGGAGACCGACACCCAATACTATTCGTTCATTTTATATCTCCGCAAAATCACGGGGCCAGTTGTCGCAGCTCGACTCAGGAATGCTTAGCGCGTTGATTGGTCTTTTTGGGTCCTTGTCTGTCGACCCATCAAGAAGACGTCTGTATACTAGTTCACTCCTTCCCTATGTGAAAGATGGTCCCGTAACTCGTGACTACTGGCCATTTGTGAAGGAGGTTGTATCATTTAAGCAGCAGAAGGGCATGACACTGGCACATTCAGATAGATATTGGATGATGCGAGCTGAGTTGGCGAGCTTTTCCCCCGCCAAAGATGGCCAGCCCGGTTGTAAGATAATTCATTTCGTTAGTAGTTCAGTCTAATCGAATTTTGAACAGATATGCACGCATTTAATCACTCTCTGTTCCGCGTACGACAACAATATATCCACCTTTCTCAACACGTCTTCGATCCAGATGTTCATGTTCCATATCTGACAGCGCTTTTGTCGAGCACGGACCCTCGTCACAAGCAGTGGGCCGTTGATGCGATGTCCTCCATTCTTCTCACTCATCTGTTTCTTCATCCGAAAGTGCTGAAAGTGTTGTGGGGGATTGTTCATAACACGGACGCTACACTTTTACAATCCATTCTATCAGCCATTTCAATTCGGGTCACTCGTTTTCCGTCGCCGTGTGGGGATACTCCAGGAGCCCACAATGCTGTACCTGTTGATGCTACCACCTTCACGTCTGCACTTTTAGTATTTCCGTTACCCGTACCAAGCCCCTCCCCCCATGTGAAAGCCATCACGGAGTTGCTGCACGAGGCTTTTTCATCCAACATTCCACTAGTCCATCGGCGAAGCAATCTACTCCTGTGTTCTCTGCTGCAGAGCTGCAACGGCAACGGAATTTCCATTTCATCACTCGAATTTCCTCTGGATGGAGGTGCATCCATGTGGAAGACCCTGTTTGCCCTTGCGATTCTTGAAGAGGTTACGCGAGCCGCGGGTCCAGCTCTTCTTCATGATCGTGCCCTCCGCGGACGTATTCAAGAGTTGATACGTTCTCTTCATGAGTCCTGGTTGCACCTCATGTCCAATGAATCGCCCCCCACCCTCGTTTCACGTGTTGTTACGACTTCTCTCTTTCGCCTCTCTGGTGCGGTAGCGGATCTGAAGCTGTTCGCAGCGTGCCAGGAATCGAGCACAAACTTCGGACTTTGGACCGGCGATTCTTCAGACACCGTGGAGGGGCCGCAATTGGCAGCAATGGCAGCGATGCATCTCGCTGCCTTGGTGCAAGTGCGTGGGTGTAGAGCTGAATTGGTCATGAAGACGTTGAGTTCCTACTCGACTGACGTGCAGCTCCACAGTGTTATCGTGTCAGCAGCTGTCAAGGACCTCGTTCATCGTGACGTCGAGCTCGCTCGTATGTTGTACAGCATTGCTGTCCGGAGTGGACGCGACATCGATGTCGATACCACATATGCTTTGGCTAGGACACTCCCACCTTCTCATGCTGTACGTTTTCTCAAGGACGATCGATTTTCTCGAGAACAAGTAGGAGGCCTTCTAAGCAGTGTTGCTCGTTGCCTCAAGGAGATGAGGCATCAACATCACGACACTGACCTTTTCGATGACCTTGGCATTTCTCTCTGCAAACTCTACGCGACCTCCCTTCCCCCCGTTCACTTCCGTGGGCATCTTCAACTTCTTCTAGCCGAGCTATGCAAGCGGGGCAGTGGGTTCCAGACTGCGGCTATTATTGCTAACGTCATCAAATTCCACTCGACCTTCTTTCAATTCTCGTTCTTGCTGCGGCTGGTTCGCCTGTTTTTGCGCCGCAAGCAATTTCGTTGCGCGTTGAAAATGCAGAAAATTTTAGTCGACGCACGCGGGGGATATGCTGTTAACCTACGCCACATGATCACGACACGCCTTGGTGCGACAGGCAGTAGACGCCTATCCACGAATATTTTTGTGCCAGGGCGCAAGTCGACTGCCTTGTTTCGAGGTGGCCATTTCTGGGCAGCGGGTACTTTATTCAAGAGCGCTATGAGCAGTGGCCCAGTATACAACAGAGTTCTTCAAGGTTTAATCTACGATAGGCGAGCGCATGCCGCAAAGGTTGCTTTCAGTCGTGTTGCAAGCAAGGTCGACAAGAAAACTCGAACGATCCTAGGTAACACGCTTTTGCACGGTGTCCTCATACGTCCGGTCCCGAGAAACGGCAGACGTGTCCGCAAGCTCCTCGGACTCCTCGACACCCTCGTGAGGTGCCAGCAGTTTGCACCTGACAGAATCACTGTCAACATCATTCTAAAGGCGCTGATAGCTTGGAGGACTGCGTTCGATTATCAGCGCCTACGCGCGCTGTTCGACCACATGGTCCGTGGTGGATACCCTGCAGGGACCCATTCACCTTCCCATCCGCCTTTCAGCACCCCGCCTCTACGCACCAGTGGAACTCTCGCGCTCTCGAAGCTTCCGCCATATATATCATTTGAGAAGCATGCGCAACCAATGCTCAAGATGTTTATCAAGGCATTTTATCTTCGGAATGATGTGGAGGCTGCGCGTACGGTGGTAGAGATTTTGAAGATTGAGCAACAGAAGGCTATCTTGCAGAGAGAGCGGCGGTCAGCGGCACGTTTGAGAGGCTGGATGAAGGCAGAGTGTACGAACGAAAGGGATGTTACGACGCATGTTCATAATGATAGATCATAATAGACTTTTCCCGTCACTTTCGAGAGGGACTTCTGAAAACTTGACCACCTTTTGTTGATCGTATGGTATATCGTGTTGTGACCACAGTAACTTCAACTATATGTGGCATTCAATGGCGTATCAAACAAAAGGGTCCACAGTGCTATCATGGTGGCTGTGCTTGCTGTATTTCATTTTGCAGTGTCTGTCGCACTTCTCCTTATAAACGACCACCATCTCCGTTCAACTTCATTCCTCGACATGGCAACAGCTACAGAGGTTTTTTCTGTTAACGGCTTAGATTCGAGTTCTACGAGTTCATCAATGTCCATTCGAGCTACCAAGGTAAGCGGAGCACTCGAACTTAACAGGCCCCTACTGAGCAATGTCTTAGCGTAAATTCGACGATGCGCTTCAAAGCCTCGACAGTGCCGTAGCTCCAGCAAAACCATTAATTGAAAGGCCAACGGCTCCCAAGCGACCACACATGACCCGTTCCCTCTACTCTACGCTCGCCAAGTACGGTATCAAGTCCAACGTACCAAAACCACCCATCGAGTCAGTCAAATTTCGCGGTTTACGACATAGATTTCTCTGAATTTGCTCTCGTCTTGCCTCTATTCCTGTTTGCTCAACAGTACCCCGGATAAGCATGATATTTCCAAGAGTGCTCCTCACCTGGCTGCGATTCTGGCCCGCTCCAAGACCAAAGGAGCTACCCCTTTTGCACACCCCAGTGTTCCAGCATCAGCTTCACTCGCCTCGGAATATCGGCCATCATCTACTCAGTCATTTTTGTTCCGTCTATCGACCTACAAGTTGGCGACATACGCTAACAAGCCTCCCCAAATCGACGCTGTGGCTGCAGCGAAGTGCGGTTGGATAAACGATGGCAAAGACAGACTAGTGTGTGGGATTTGTGATGTTTCATGGGTTGTCGCGGGGCGAGACGGCATGACACGAGAAGCCGGTAAGGTTTAGAAGGTAGGTAAAGGACAAGGTACACTACTGAACGTTTTTCTTTCGTACCATAGCCAATACGCTTGTTGAGAAGCAGCGCATTCAGTTAGTAGAGATGCACAAGGACGGATGTCCTTGGCGTACTAGGCAGTGTGATGGTGAGTTGTTCTTCGAGGTGTACCTGAACTCCCCCCTCACCTGATTCATTAGCATCGATTTACCGCGTGCCGCTTCAAGCACCGGCTGCCATGGCACGGGACATCAAGTCCAATGCGCTCACTTTAGAGCCGCTGTTGACAGATGTGGTGATCAAACATCCACTGGTGGGTCGAACTACACCATTTTCCCGTGTAATGCTTATACATTTCATCAGTCGGCTTCTCAGATTTCCTCCCTTCGTTCAGCAATTGGCTCACTCAAGCCTGCTCAGGCGCAGCCAGAGGCCGAGGACGAGTCTGCCATGCAAACTGATGCAGACCCTGAGCCATCGGATACTGCAATCGTGACTGCCCTCTTTGGCTGGTCATTGGCTCCGCCTTCTCCTCCCTCGGAACGCAATCGCACTACGTCTCTTTCTCGGATAGCTACAACGTCCAGACCAGCGTCCCCGTCTCTATCTAGAACTTCATCAATTTCGCGTCGTACCGTTCAATGGGGGCGGGGAGATTCGCCGTCCCCGATGCCCTCTTCGCCCCTTAGTAGTATCTCGCAGATTGGAGGCACACCTATGCGCGCGCGCACGCCACGGTTGAGCGACATTAGCGGGAGAAGCGCCCGGGACACATCTCTTCTACACTGTTCCTTGTGCCAACGACGCGTCGGCCTCTGGGCATTCACACCTCAGTTTCCTCAAATACCACAAGACGGCAGCTCGCCGCCACGTCCGAAGGAGAGGCACTTTGATCTGCTGAATGAACATCGGTCGTATTGTCCATACGTCGTCCCCTCAACGGTGGTGCCGAAGCTGCCCATGCCTCCTACTTCGCCTGTTTCTGTGAACGCATCGGCAGATGGCGCAATAGGGGGGTGGCGTGCTGTGCTGACCGTTGTACTTCGACACGGGCTGAGTGAGCGACAGCGCAATGCGCGCTTATCACTGCTTGGAGGGGATAATGAAGTAATGCCTGGAAATGATGAGCTTGAGGGTGTAGAAGCTATGGTAGCGGGGGTAAAGAGCAAAGGGGTGAGTTCATGTGCACAACTAGAGTCTCGATCACAGACTGATTGCCCATCTCACAGGGACGAGAACTATTGAATTATGTCAAAGGACTGTTGGGTTGATGTGTGTTTTGTATTCATGCTTGCTTGTGTTCCCATCGTTTGATCGAACAAATGCATATGTATTCCCGATCTGACCGAAGATATCAATTTCAAGATCACGATAAAACATACATACAAGTAGGGATCTAGTCTACGTCTATTGGTACTATCTGCGGAAACAACAGTATGCAGGCCTGAACCACACGAAAAGGAATTCCGGATCAATATAAAGCTCCTTCATTTAAACCTGTCTACTTGTCTCTATATCTTTCAAAGAAATATTACTCCTCTCGCACATTCCGCGGAAAACCCCACCTTCCATCTTGAATAGATTGGATGGAGTGTCAAATTCCTTTAATAGCAGTGAGCATTAACCGCTGAATAGCACTGAAAACAACTCGCTGCAACAAGGCCGGCCTCGAGGACCAGAATCCGATCGTACGAAATGATAGTTCGAAGCCGGTCTGAAGTATTATCATCAGGTCACAGTGTGGTGTCGAGCCAAAAGGATAAAACGCACGAGCAATACAAAGTAGCGTGCGGTCCTTGAATTCCGTCTGAATCGTCTGTTGGATCTTGCTATCGGTGTTGAGATCAACAGAGGCTCTGAAAACAAGCATGTCAACATCAGCTTCCAGGAAGAAAGCATATTACTAACGTGGCCTCGTCGAGCACGACGACTTTGCAATCTTTCACCAACGCACGAGCTAGACTGAGCAGAGATCTTTCTCCAACACTCAGGTTCGCTCCCTCGCTCTCGATGGTTCTGTCAAGGTCATAGCGGGTGGTGTAAGTTTGCTCCCTCTCGATGACATCGCTACCAGAGGTGTGTTTCGAGGTGGTGCTGGAATCAACAAGACAAGACCGATGTAGCGCATCCCATAATTCTGCGTCACTGTGTTGGGAGAATGGATCCAGGTTGGACCGGATGGTCCCTGGTGGTCATTTAGCGCTTCAAACAAGAGCATATAAATGAACGACACCGACCGCTAAAGAGAAGAGGCTATCGAGTTCGTACATCAGTACTCAGTCCTGGTTTAGTTAACAAAAGAAAACTTTACAGACATCTTGAGGGATGATGGAAATCCTGGAGCGGAGGTCTTTAAGACCAATCGTAGATATATCGACACTAGAAAGGGTGAAAACCAATCTTCATCATGAGCGACGATTAACGCACCCATCGACAGTAATGGAACCACCAGACAACTCGACGATTCGAAACAACGCAAGCATCAACGAAGATTTTCCCGCACCGGTCCTGTTTGACAGAATGCCACGTCAGTACACATCTAAAGGTCAAATGAATCACTGGCTGACCTTCCAACGACACCTATCTTTTCACCTCCTTCGACCTTGACTGAGATGCCCATCAATACGTTGGGAAGGCCAGGTCTATATGCCATCTTGACATCTTTAAACTCGACAGCACCACATTCAGGCCACTGCGCCGGGGGCTTGCGTGCTTCGATCACATGCGGCGCCTCCTGCGGGATCGTGCTGCAATCGACATACTCCACCACTGTAAAATCTAAGGGAAAATGGAGGTCTACTAAAATTTGTGACTCACATCGTTCCACTGCATTCATGGAATTCTGAAGCAAACGACAATTGATTAGCCAGTAATGCAAGAAAAGGAACGGCCTACGTCGACGTCGGCCGTCTGTTGGACCACGACACCGCACATGACTGACAGCAATACTTTGATACGAAGAGGTTAACATGATAGACTTTTGGTGGAGACATTGGAAGACCCACTGGTATACGTCAGTACCAGTCCTATCTGGGCGGCATTGATCCCGGAGACGTTGGTCACTGCGAGAAGAGCGACCTATCGACGTCGCAGCATTGGGCGGGCTCGAGATATTTCTAATTAAATAGTCACTCACAAAGAAGACCATCACCCCTCCCATGAAGTCTAACCTTACACCAAGCCATCTGAGGGAAGGTGATGAGCCGACAACCGCCATGATATAGATATATGTCAAAGTGTACTCACCTCGTGTTAGTAATCACGAGGTATAGAGCTCTATCCTCCAGATCGACATAGTATCTGTTGGTGTCAATGAACCGCTTCATTTCTCCGTAGCTTCGGATGGTAGGAAGTCCTGTCAATGTCTCGGAAAAGTGGGCATACAGAAGAGAGCGAAGCATTGAGTCTGATGGTCGTTATCAGTAGTTGTCGGTGTCAAAAACACACCGACGAACCCAGGCGCTTGACCTCGCGGGCACTGGTTCTATAGAAGGCAGCGAAGTAGCTGTTACCGATGGCGATGAAGAAGACGGCAATAACTGGACAAGCGTGAGCCATATCCTCGCAAACGATATCTTTATATACTGACCAAAGTACGGTTCGATGGCAGCAACGATGATGACAGAGCCCATCACCATGGATAGTAAAAGAACAACTGGATCTCCATGGTTAGTCCCCGTAAGCGAAGTATACGGCTAGCGTACACAATCTTAATGCCACTGGACCATGCATAAGTGAAATCTCACCATGCGACGATAGATCACTCACATGCTAACTGATTATCGATAGCTGAGCGAAAAGTGTCAGCAAAACACAGCATAGCACAAATTAGCGCGGTGCTCACCGTCGACGTCTTTGCCAAAAATGCTCAGGATTCGGCCCATAGGCTATAGGAAGATGATCAACATCTGGCGTTGCAATTTTATGCCTGCATAACTACTCACCGTAGTGTCAAAGAAGGACATGGGCGCATAAAAGATGTTGCGTGCGGACTTCTGGTACAAGTTTTGAGACACATAAGACGCCACAATGTCCATTCCAGCACCACTTTGTAAATTGCGTCGATTCAGCATGTTGCGATATACGATAAGGAACCGACTTACAGGAAGAACGTAAAGACTGCCTGACAAACGCCGAGGCACCCATACAGCGTTTGATAGAATGAGTTCGGTCGGTTGAATTTGCTGCGCCATAATGTCAGAAACGGGACCGATAAATCGAAAAAAAGAAACGCACTTGCTCTCCCACCAAACTAGCGTATACGAGTTCAGGATTTGGCTTCCCTGCGCCGCAATCATGAAGAAAATAATCAGAGGTCCCATGATCGAACCGCGTCCTGCAACCAAGTAGGTCCAGTACACTGCACCACTGTCTCAATGCACGGTGCCCCTGAAAGATGAACTCGGACGCACCTCTCCAGGACACAGAACCCGTCGACCGCTTCTCTTGTGACATCAAGCGACCTTCGAGTTTACCGCTGCCGGTAGCCTTGTCTCTGGTTCTTTCTGACTTCAACTTCACGAGCTCGACGGTGATGCTCGTCTGCGGAGCGACTTCCTCTGCTCGGTCGTTGTCCTTCCCCTCAGAAGCATGGCCGCCGAACTCGAGGTCCAAACGCGCAAAGTCCCCGCCGCGAGAGATCAGTTCATCATAGGTTCCGCTTTCTGTGATGACGCCGTTGTTTAGTGTGTAGATGTGATCTACCTGCGAAAGGAAGTGGATCGCGTGAGTGACCAGAATGACGGTGACGCCACGATTTCGCAGGGCGCCCAAAATGGCATCTTGGAACAACGACTTTCCGACGTGTGCATCCACTAAAGGCAGTCGTCAGTAAGAGAGACGCGACAGAGATCGTATAGCTCACCCGCTGAGAGCGGGTCATCGAATATGACAATGTCAGGGTCGAAGTACAGAGCACGAGCGATGTTGACCTAGGCGGAAGATGTAAATCGAGTCTTTGAGGCAGAGACGCGCGGCGAACTCACTCTCTGCTTCTGGCCGCCACTGAGATTGATGCCCCTTTCTCCGATCTGAAATAGAGCATCAGCAATGTGATCAAGTTGAATTTGTCCGCCATGCCTCAGTCAAATCCCCATCTGGGAGCAGTTGGAGATCAGGAAGTAGGCAAGTGGTCTCGATAACACGCCAATATCTATTTTCCTCGAATGGTTGGCCAAAAGTGATATTATCCCGCTGATCTTAATGGGTGAGATGCATTCACTCTTTGAGGGCGACATCGTGCTCACCAGGGTTGCATTCTGGATCCATGCGGTCTGCGGACAATAGCCGACGCGACCACCGAACGAGACTTGCCCGGAGACTTTCCTCATCTCCCCTATCAATCCTTGCAACAAGCTGGACTGTTCGTGGGTCAGAATTGCTTCAAAACTTTGTCCGGTGAGATTACCTTGCCGCTTCCGACAGGCCCGACCACGGCGGCCAGCCGACCTCGTGGGATGGCCATGGTCACATTCTTGACCCTAAAGAGCGGTGCATCCTTTCCAGGAGCGGGCTGCCCCTTCGCCTTGTCATCTTTCACGCTGTTGCCCTTACCCATGTCCTTCTTCGAGCTGAAAGCTTCACTGGAGTCCTTTTCGAAAGACTCCCACTCAAACGTCGCATCTTTCACCACGAGCGCGAGCTCTTGGTCCTTGTCGATCACGAGCGTATCTTCAGACATAAGCTCAGCGTGGAACACGCGTGTGAGCCGCTGGATGGCGCTGGATGCGTCAGGGATGGTAGCCAGAGCGCGTGGCATGGCCATCATTGGTTGCCGGAGAATCTATTTATCGTTTAGAATGATTATGTACGCTTCTGGACAGAATCCCACCTGGAACAGACTCAGCGAGACGAATATGGCAGCAATGTCGAAGTCGTGCGCTGTGAGGGTGTATGTTACGAAGGCTAGTGTAGCAGCGAGAACTGGGAGTGAAAGCGCGACCGCCATACTGCAGAAGATCGAATCAATAACACGTCACCACATCATATACGTCTGAACTTGCTTTACTGAAGTTAAATGAAGCATCCGTCGAATACCACGCAATTCATTCTTTCGAAGCTCGAAGATTCCTGAGTATAGTTCGTGAGTGTGATGTCAATTATTCTTGACATCGTTGCTTACTTTGAAGAAGAGGAACCTCGTAGGAGAAGAACTTGACCACTCGTATGGCCCCTGCGCACCTCGTCAGCATCCCCAAACATTCCAAATTCCAGCTGCTCCAAGGCTACGTACCGAGTATCTCTAGCAGGACTTTAGCACGTTGATCAGTCCACTTCATTGACCCCAAGCGCATACTGCGCTGCAGGGCCATTAACCGTTCTTGAAGTGGAATGAAGAGGACAAAAAGAGAGCAACCAGCGAGCGCAGACGGTCCGAGCTAATTTTCAGTGTCATTATAAATAACGAATTCTTCTTAGCGTGCCACAAACCTCGTTTAGAAGAATGATTACACAAATTATGACCTGGATAGGCGCTGTCCAGGCTTTAAGATGTTAAGCCATCTCAAAATTTGGAAGTCAAGTCGCGTATACTTACCTCCATGCTGGTAGTGAGGGAGGAGCTACGGTTAGTCGATGACATTTGCGTATTGCTCAAGTGTGCGACTCACAAACCACTCAGCGGCCATATCAATCCTACTCACGTCAGTGGAAATGTGGTTAACCAGCGCAGCATTGTTGAGTTTGACACGCGCTTTGCCTGTGAGCTTCAACCCACGCTCATAAATACACGTTACCAGTGCGGCTCTGGTCAACAAGCCTGTTGCCATTGAACACCAGAAGAACTTGGAATGCATTAGTTTGGCTAGGTATCTTCACCTCACAGCCTTTTACGCACCTGGTGGGTGCAGACGCTTTGAGTCACGCTAAGCAAAAAGAGTCCAAAAGCCATGGCAATACCGCGAGCGACATTGGGGACGGATTCTCCGGCAGCAATCGCAGCGGAACGCTCCTCTGCAAAGACGATGATTTGCTGCACGGGACGAAATTGTCAGAAATCACCACAACCGCGACAGGTTGTTAATTACCCGAAGGACGAGAGGACTCATGAGTTGTGTTGTATCACCGAGGACCTGCATGACATTGGTAAATTTATTATGACAGCGACGATTTATGAGGAAGACTCGTGCCCTGCATATGCCTCCAATCCAGAACAAATTACGAAAGACATCGTTCAAAGCCCATGTAAGGCTGGCTTCTTTTCGTCCGTCGCATTCTTGCCAGCGTTTGTGAAATACTGTACGTCGCTCGGACCAAGTCGAGCCTTGTGCGTGCCCTTTACTGGGGATTGCACGCAAGACCCAGCCAGTACGCTTCAAGAGAGACGGCTTGAGCTCTCCACTCTCAAGACGTGCGTTCCAGTCGGCTGCTGCCTGAACACGCCGTTGCCATGCAGCTTCGAGTTTGGCGGCGAGGACGGCTGACTCCCGGGATGTGTCCATTTTATGTAGATCAGACGCTTGCAGCGTGCGTTGATATCCGAGAACCTGAATATATGCGTTAGAACAATCCTTTCGAAGAGGGATTCAACAGCCGACCATTAAACTGGTGGCCCAGGAGTAAGTCAGCCGAGAGACAATGGAAGCATTGGCCAAAGGCGTCAGCTGTAGAACACCACGATATTAGAAGGGGCATTTAAGACATTAGCACAGGGGTTCGCGTACTGCTGCATCCTCCAGAGACGAGGGAGCTGGAGGCGGAGGGTCCTTAGATAACCTGCTCGTGGTTCGATGGAGGGCATTGCTTGCAAAAGCAGCTCACTCACCACAACTGCCACCATTTTCGACGAAAGTTGGTATGTTCATTACCAGTATCGAGCTGAAGGTTCAAATATCGATGAAGATTGGATGCATTAGCCCCATCGAGGTCTTCGTCGATTGAGATCTTGTCGTCCTGCGCAGGCCCTTCTTCGACTTTTTCGTCCTGCACGTACTCTGAGCGTTGGAAGGCCATGTGGGAGAGTCGGTGATAATCCTGGACCAGATGAATAACAGCTAGCTGGGGGAAGAGGTGACGATTGCATGATTATACGTGCATCCTAGTGCCAACGACCCGGTATGATAGTATCACACATTGCCACGAGTATGAGACAAGATTAGCGTACCCAAACTTTAATGCTGGGCTGCCAGTACTCAGTCGATCAAACCGTGGATAACCGTTGATTCGTGAACGTTGGCTCGGGCCATTTTGGTGGGTTCTTGAATTGGATTATTTCCTGAATCTAAGGCCTGATGTTTCGCTCCATCGAATGCCCATCCTGATACTTGTTCGTACTTATTAGTGGCGGTATCGAAGGTCTCGTTACTAATCCGGGATTCGCAATAGGTTAGCGATATGCTCTTGAGCCGAAAAGTTTGGTCTCATGGTACCAGTCTGCCACGTTCTGGTCATGAAGCATCATGCACAGCGAGATCGCACCCGTGGAAGATACCGAAGGTCAATACTCTGCATCCAACGAAATCCAGCGCTGGCCTCCCGGAAGTGAAGCAAATTGCCGAAGAATGATATAGCAAAAGGTCAACAAGTACATGTGAAGTCAAAAGAGGTGGTGCTTTTAGATACCTACAGGCTATTGCCGATGATTTACATTTTGACTTGGGAACGGCGGAGTTAGAGGAAGAACTGCTTGAGAATCTAATGCTGATGGTTACATTTCAATAATGACTCCATGACAGCGACCTCCCACCAGTCATTTGAGTCTCCTTTTGCCTAAGGTTGTGTAACATTCCAACACACGTTCAGTATGGAGTCTGGACAGCGCATCAGTGGCAAGTGCAGACATGACTCCCCAATAGCGTCACAAGTTCCTGACAACAGGTAAAGAGTTTCCACGTGAGACTGCCACACACGCCCACGTAGAGGATGGATCTTCCTTACCAGTCCGCGATAGACAAGCAATTGCAAGTGGCAAGTGGCGGACGGGAGTATTTAAATTTCAGGCCTGGCGGTCATTTTTGAAATACAGTGATGAAAGCATCGATGTACGGTACTTAGTGTTTAAACTTTAGACTCCGCTAAGCTGCAGTCCCGGCCGTGCCAAATTGATGCTGCGCCATAATACGCAAGTAGCAGTCTAACCCAAGTCTATTTGGTAAATATGATCTACGGAAACACAACAATATGCACCTCAAACTCCACCATTTAAACCTGTCTACTCGTTTCTATATCTTTCAAGGAGATATTACTCCTCTCGCACATGCCGCGGAAAACCCCACCTTCCATCTTGAATAGATTGGATGGAGTGTCAAATTCCTTTGATAAAAGTGAGTATTGACTGCCGAAAGGGCTCAAAACAACATACTGCAACGAGGCCAGCGTCCAGGACCAGAATCCGGTCGTACGAAATAATAGTTCGAAGCCGGTCTGAAGTAACGTCACATTACAGCCCTACACAGAGAGCAAAATGATAGAACGCACGAGCAATACAAAGTAGCGTGCGGTCCTTGAATTCCGTCTGAATCGTCTGTTGGATCTTGCTATCGGTGTCGAGATCAACGGAGGCTCTGAAAACAAGCATGTCAACATCAGCTTCCAGGAAGAAAGCATATTACTAACGTCGCCTCGTCGAGCACGACGACTTTGCAATCTTTGACCAACGCACGAGCTAGACTGAGCAGAGATCTTTCTCCAACACTCAGGTTCGCTCCCTCGCTCTCAATAGTTCTGTCAAGGTCGTAGCGGATGGTATGAATTTGCTCCCTCTCGATGACATCGCTGCCAGAGGTGTGTTTCGAGGTGGTGCTAGAATCAACAAGACAAGACCGATGTAACGCATCCCATAATTTTGCGTCACTGTGTTGGGAGAATGGATCCAGGTTGGACCGGATGGTCCCTGGTGGTCATTCAGCGCTTCAAACAAGAGCATGTTAATGAACGACACCGACCGCTAAAGAGAAGAGGCTATCGAGTTCGTACATCAGTACTCAGTCCTGGTTTAGTTAACAAAAGAAAACTTTACAGACATCTTGTGGGATGATGGAGATCCTAGAGCGGAGGTCTTTAAGACCAATCGTAGATATATCGACACTAGAAAGGGTGAAAACCAATCTTCGTCATGAGGGACGACCAACGCACCCATCGACAGTAATGGAACCACCAGACAACTCGACGATTCGAAACAACGCAAGCATCAACGAAGATTTTCCCGCACCAGTCCTGTTCGACGAAATGCCACGTCAGTACACATATACAGGTCAAATGAATCACTGGCTGACCTTCCAACAACACCTATTTTCTCTCCTCCTTCGACTTTGACCGAGATGCCCATCAATACATTGGGAAGGCCAGGTCTATATGCCATCTTGACATCTTTAAATTCGACGGCGCCATGCTCGGGCCATTGCGCCGGAGGCTTATGAGCTTCTATCTCATGTGGTGCCTCCTGGGGGATCGTTTTGCCATTGACGTACTCCACCACTGTAAGAGCAAGATGTAAGGGAGAGTGGAGGTCTGGTGAAATTCGCGACTCACATCGTTCCACTGCGTTCATGTTATTCTGAAGCAAACGACATTGAATAGCCAGTAATGTAAGAAACGGAAAAGCCTACCTCGACGTCTGCCGTTTGTCGGGTCACCATGCCACACATGAGTGACAGCGTAACTTTGATACGAAGAGGTTAACATCGTAGACTGTGGTAGAAACATTGGAAGTCCTACAGGTATACGTTAGTACCAGCCCTATCTGGGCGGCGTTGATCCCGGAGACGTCGGTCACTGCGAGAAGAGCGACCTATCGACGTAGCAGCGTTTGGCGGGCCTGAGGCCTTTTCACATTAAATAGTCACTCACAAATAACACCAATACGCCTCCCATGAAGTCCAGCCTTACCGCAAGCCATCTGAGGGAAGGTGATGAGTCGACTCCTGCTATGATATATGTATAAGAGTACTCGCCTTTGATTTGTAACTACGAGGTATAGAGCTCTATCCTCCAGATCGACATAGTGTCTGTTGGCGTCAATGAACCGCTTCATCTCTCCGTAGCTTCGGATGGTAGGAAGTCCTGTCAATGTCTCGGAAAAGTGGGCATACAGAAGTGAACGAAGCATTGCGTCTGATGATCGATATCAGTGGCTTGAAGTCCAAAACACAACAACGAACCTATGCGCTTGACCTCACGGGCACTGGCTTGATAGAAGGTAGCGAAATAGCTGTAACAGATGCCGATGAAGAAGACAGCAATAACTGGGCAAGTTGAGCAACATTCTCGCAAATAATGGTGTCCATATACTGACGAAAATACGGTTCAAGGATGACAACAATGACGATAGAGCCCATAATATTGGACAGCGAAAGGACAACTGGATCCCCATGGTTAGTATCCATGAGCGAAGTGTGTGACTATCTTACCCATCCTCATTGCGTCTGGGCCATGGATAAGTAACATTTCACGACACGGCAACAGAAGACTCACGCCCTAGTTGATTATCGACACCTGAGCGCAACGTTTCAGCAAAGCATTATATATCACAAATTAGTAGGATACCAACTGTCGATGTCTTTGCCCAAAACACTTTGGATTCGACCCATAGGCTATAGAGACATGGTCAACATCTGTTTACATGCTTTCATGACCACTCACCGTAGTGTCAAAAAAGGACATGGGCGCATAAAAAATGTTGCGTACGGACTTCTGGTACAGGGTTCGAGACACGTAAGAGGCAACGAAGTCCATTCCAACACCACTAAGAGTCTCGTTGAGTGAGCATGCCGCCCTCTGTGATAGCAACTGACTTACAGCAAGAATGTAAAGAGCGCTTGACCAACCCCCAGGCAACCATACAGCGTCTGATAAAAAGAGTCCGGTCGGTTGAAATTGCTGCACCATGATTTTAAAAACGGGACCGATAAATCGATAAAAAAACACACTTGCTCTCCCACCAAACTAGCGTATAAGAGTTCAGGATCTGGCTTCCCTGCATCGCAATCATGAAGAAAAGAACCAGAGGTCCCATGATCGAACCGCGTCCTGCAACCAAGTAGGTCCAGTACACTGCACCACTGTCTCAATGCACGGTGCCCCTGAAAGATGAACTCGGACGCACCTCTCCAGGACACAGAACCCGTCGACCGCTTCTCTTGCGACATCAAGCGACCTTCGAGTTTACCGCTCCCAGCAGCCTTATCTCTGGCTCTTTCTGACTTCAACTTCACGAGCTCGATGGTGATGCTCGTCTGCGGAGCGACTTCCTCTGCTCGGTCGTTGTCCTTCCCCTCAGACGCATGGCCACCGAACTCAAGGTCCAAACGCGCAAAGTCCCCGCCGCGAGAGATCAGTTCATCATAGGTTCCGCTTTCTGTGATGACGCCGTTGTTTAGTGTGTAGATGTGATCTACCTGCGAAAGGAAGTGGATCGCGTGAGTGACCAGAATGACGGTGACGCCGCGATTTCGCAGGGCGCCCAAAATGGCATCTTGGAACAACGACTTTCCGACGTGTGCATCCACTAAAGGCAGTCGTCAGTAAGAGATACGCGACAGAGATCATATAGCTCACCTGCTGAGAGCGGGTCATCGAATACGACGATGTCAGGGTCGAAGTACAGAGTACGAGCGATGTTGACCTGGGCGTAAGATATAAGTCGAGTCTTTAAGGCAGAGACGCGCCGCAAACTCACTCTCTGCTTCTGGCCGCCACTGAGATTGATGCCCCTTTCTCCGATCTGAAATAGAACATAAGCAGCATAATCAAGTAGAACTCGTCCGCCATACCTCAGTTAAATCCCCATCTGGGAGCAGTTGGAGATCAGGAAGCAGGCAAGCGGTCTCGATAACATGCCAATATCTATCTTCCTCGAATGGTTGACCAAAAGTGACATTATCACGCTGATGTGAAAGGTGAGATGCGATCACTCTTTGAGGGAGATACCGTGCTCACCAGGGTTGCGTTCTGGATCCATGCGGTCTGTGGACAATAGCCGACGCGACCTCCAAATGAGACATGCCCGGAGACCTTCCTCATCTCCCCTATCAGTCCTTGCAACAAGCTGGACTGTTCGTGGGTCAGAGTTGCTTCAAAAATTCGTCCGGTGGGATTACCTTGCCGCTTCCGACAGGCCCGACCACGGCGGCCAGCCGACCTCGCGGGATGGTCATGGTCACATTCTTGACCCTAAAGGGTGGTGCCTCCTTTCCAGATTCTTTCGCCTCAGAATTTGTTTTCGCGCTGTTCTCCTTACCCCCGAGCTTCTTCGAGTTGAGGGCGTCACCGGATTTTTTCTCGAAAGACTCCCACTCAAACGTCGCATCCTTCACCACGAGCGCAAGCTCTTGGTCCTTATCGATCACAAGTGCATCTTCAGACATGAGCTCTGCGTGGAATATGTGCGTGAGCCGCTGGATCGCGCTGGATGCGTCAGGGATTGCAGACAGAGCGGTGGGCATAAATAGCATCGGTTGCCGCAGAAGCTTTTTGTCACTTAGGTGGATAGTTGTGTACGCTGCTGGAAAGGATCTCTCACCTGGAACAGACTCAGCGAGACGAATATGGCAGCAATGTTGAAGTCGTGTGTTGTGAGGGTGTATGTGACGAAGGCTAGTGTAGCAGCTAGAACTGGGAGCGAAAGCGCGACCGCCATACTGCAGCAGATCAAATCAATGTCGTGTCGTCACGTCATGTATGTCTAAACTAACTTACTTCGCAGAAGTTGAATGAAGTATCCGTCGAATACCACGCAATTCATTCTTTCGAAGCTCGAGGATTCCTGAGCAGCGTTCGTGAGTGCGATGTTAATAATTCTTGAAATCATTGCTTACTTTGAAGGAGGGGAACCTCATAAGAGAAGAACTTGACCACTCGTATGGCCCCTGCGCACCTCTTCAGCATCACCGTACGTTCTAGCAGCTCGAAGGATACGTACCGAGTACCTCTAGCAGGACTTTGGCACGTTGATCAGTCCACTTCATTGACCCCAAGCGCAGGCGGCGCTGCAACTTCATCAACCGTCCCTGCAATGGGCTGACCAGGAGGAATAGAGAGCAACCAACGAGCGCGGACGGTCCAAGCTAATTTTCAGTGTCGTTAGAATAAAATGAATGCTTCTTAACGCGCAACAAACCTCGGTTAGAAGAATGATTACACAGACTATGATCTGGATAGGCGAAGTCCAGGCTTGAAGATGTTATGCCATTTCAACATCTGGAGGGTACGCATTTACTCACCTGAATGCTAGCAACGAGGCATGTAGTTAGGGTTAATAAAGAGCATAAGCGTATGCTTAAGTTTGCGACTCACAAACCACTGAGCGGCGGAATCAATCCTGCTCACGTCCGTGGAAATGTGGTTGACCAGTGCGGCGTTGTTGAGTTTGACACGCGCTTTGCCTGTGAGGTTCACCCCGCGCTCATAAATACACGTTATCAGTGCGGCTCTGGCCAACAAGCCTGTTGCCATTGAACGCCAGAAGAACTTGGAACGCATTAGCTTGGCCGGGCATCTTCACCTCGCAGCTTTTTACGCACCTGGTGAGTGCAGACGCTTTGAGTCACGTTAAGCAAAAAGAGCCCAAAAGCCATGGCAATACCGCGAGCGACATTGGGGACGGATTCTCCGGCAGAAATCGCAGCGGAACGCTCCTCTGCAAATACGATGATTTGCTGCACGGGACGAAATTGTCAGACGTTACCACAACCATGACAGGTTGTAAATTACCCGAAGGACAAGAGGACTCATGAGTTGCGCCATATCACCCATCACCTAGACGGTGTTTGAAAGTCATTATGACAGCAACGATGTATGAGAAGACTCGTGCCTTGATTGCACCTCCAATCCAGAACATATTACGAAAAACGTCGTTCAAAGCCCATGTAAGGCTGGCTTCTTTCCGTCCGTCGCATTCTTGCCAGCGTTTGTGAAATGCTGCACGTCGCTCGGACCAAGTCGAGCCTTGTGCGTGCCCTTTACTGGGGATTGCACGCAAGACCCAGCCCGTACGCTTCAAGAGAGACGGCTTGAGCTCTCCGCTCTCAAGACGTGCGTTCCAGTCGTCTGCTGCCTGAACACGCCGTTGCCATGCAGCTTCGAGTTTGGCGGCGAGGACGGCTGACTCTCGGGATGTGTCCATTTTATATAAATCAGATGCTTGCAGCGTGCGCTGATTTCCGAGAACCTGAATATATGCGTTAGAACAGTATACCTTCAGACAGAAGTTCAATAACCGACCATTAGACCTGTGACCCAGGAGTAAGTCAGCTGAGAGACGATGGAAGCATTGGCCAATGGCGTCAGCTGTAGAACACCGCATTATTAGAATAGTCAATTAAAACGTGAGCATAGAGGTTCGCGTACTGCTGCATCCTCCAGAGACGAGGGAGCTGGAGGCGGTGGGTCCTTAGGTAACCTGCCCACGGCTAGATGAAGGAGGGCATTGCTTGCAAAAGCACCTTCACTCACCACAACTGCCACCATTTTTGGCGAAAGTTGGCATATTCATTACCAGTATCGAGCTGAATGTTTAAATGCCGATGAAGATGAGGTACGTTAGCCTCCTTGAGCTCTTCGATAATCGAAACCTTTCTGCGCTGCACAGATTCCTTTCTTTCATCCTGCGCGGATTCTTCTGGACGTTGGGAGGTCATATGGAAATAGCGTGTGACAGCTATGGGCCAGATGAATGGGGACTAGCTGAGAAAGAGGGAGAGAAAGATTTAGTAGCCATTGCATAAGTATACTACCCAGTATTGGTACGACCCTGTGAGTCTGTATGACAAGATGTTACACGTTGCAATTTCACGACACAGGATAAGCGAACCCAAACTCAAGGAGCTTGGTCTGCTGGCAGCCGATCGCACCGTAGTTTCGTTGGCTCGGAACCTTTTCGTTGGGAGTTTGAATTTTTCTAATTGGCATCGTTTCATTAACGCCAATCAGACGTTCCCAGACGTGGGACTCGAGCCTCAGGCCTGGAAGGGAAGTTCAAACTGCAGCAGGTAACACACTGACGTTAAGTCAAAAGAGGTTGTGGCATGAATGATCTGCAATTGATAGATCACACAAAATTCACGCGACTTTGAATAATTGTTTGCTTACATAATATTGAGCACTGAGGCCCCTATGTAGCGCGCGCCTAATTCAATAATATTGGGCTTCAAGACGGCCTGAAGGTACTAGAAATATGTGAAATGGGCTCCCTTGAGAAAGGGAGACTCGCGAAATTAACGCGAGATTGACGTTGATCAAGGCTTCAGGATTTAAGACCCTGGAAGGCCATAGCAAGGACTCCAATCATGGCAAAATTTACTGTTTGATCTAACTTGATCATTATGTATCGTGTCGTAAATGTCTGTATTATTATATTCCACCTACCACCCTCCAGGGACATTAGAACCACCTGCTCTTCTGCGAGAAGGGAGCTCCGGGGTCGTAGATGGCCTCCGAGCACTAGCATCACCATCCTCCGGCCCAAGGTTCAGCTCCATATCCAATTTCCTAGCCATTTCTCTGTCCGCCTCTTCCACCCGTCTCCTACGCTCCTCCTCGCGTCTACGTTCCAACTGCTCCTCGTGCGCCTGCTCACGACGGGCAAGCTCGCGGTCTAGTTCTTCTTGCTGTCGCCGTTCCTCAGCGGCCCTATGCTCTCGCTCACTCTCTTCCTGTGCACGCTGCGCGAAAGCAAGATCTGCTTCTTCCTGCCTGCGACGCTCGGCTTCTTCCGCCTCGAATTGAGCACGAGCGAAAGCAGCGTCGGCAGCCTCCTGATCAGCGCGCGCCTTGATGCGAGCAAGCTCAACTTGCCACCTTCGTTCAGCTTCTTCTTCTTCTGCACGCTTTCGACGAGCCTCATCTTCTGCACGTTTTCGACGAGCCTCCTCTTCTCTTTTGCGACGGGCCTCTTCTTCCTCCCTTTTGCGGCGAGCCTCTTCCTCCTCCCTTTTACGACGCGCTTCCTCCTCTCGCCTGATCCGCTCCTCTTCGAGCCTCCGACGTGATTCTTCTTCGCGTTTTAATCGCTCCTCTTCGACCCTCCGACGTACTTCCTCCTCGCGCCTGATCCGATCCTCTTCTTCTTGTTTGCGTCTGGCTTGTTCTGCCTTGCGCCGGTCTTCCTCGACTCTTCTACGTTCTTCCTCTTCTCGTTTCAATCTCTCTTCCTCCTCTCGTCGCCGTCGCTCGTCCTCCTCTCTCTGCCTCTGCTCTGCCTCCCATTTCAATCGCTCCTCCTCGCGTCGTTTTTGTTCCTCAGCTTCCTTCCTCCTCAGTTCTTCTTCATCCTGTCGCTTCCTCTCTTCTTCGGCAGCTCGACGCTGCGCTTCCTCTGCCTCGCGCACCCGCGAATCTGGCTCCTCAGCAGTCCTCCGTTCATCCTCCACCTTCCGTCGTTCTTCATCCCTGATGCGTTCCTCCTCAGCCTTGACACGTTCCTCTTCTTCACGCTTCTTTTCGTCTTCTGGGACTGTGGGTACGGCAGAATGGGCAAGAGGCAGGTCTGGGGGGTTTTGCGAAGGTGAAGTTAGAGCGGCTCCCACACCAAGCGCTGGCAATGCCGTCGGTGCGGCGTTCTGATATCCTTGCACAGGGGGAGATTGTTGCTCCCCTCGTGCCACTGCCGGCGTCCCCTGTGGGCTTCCAGGGAGTGGCGGAGGTGGAGGCGGCGGCGAAAAATATAGTGCTTGGGGAGGAGGGACTGGTGATTGCGCAGGGGGTGGCGGAGGGAAATAGGATTGTTGTTGGTGTGGCTGCTGCTGAGGTGGTGCAGGAGTGTATGTCTGAGGTGGTGGAGGTGGAGGTGGGTATGGTTGAGCTAAGTAGCTTTTAGGATGAGGGGATGGTGGTGGTTGATATTGTGATGTGGGAGGTGGGACTTGATGAGGGGATTGTGGTGGTTGATATTGTGATGTGGGAGGCGGAGCTTGATGAGGAGATGACGACGGCTGATATTGCGGAGTGGGAGGTGGAACCTGATGAGGCTGATACTGATAAGGCTGCGGGGAGGATGGTGAGTATTGCTGTGGCTGTGGTGAGGGCGACGATGCATAATTATGGGGCGTATAAGATTGCTGATATGGTTGAGGAGGCGGAGATGACGCGTGTTGAGGAGAAACGTATCCTTGCGACGAGGGAGCATATTGTTGAAGAGGAGGAGGAAGTATTTGTTGAGGGGGAATATATCCTTGCGACGAGGAAGAATATTGTTGGGGAACTTGGCTAGGCGACAGGTAATGATTAGATTGAGGCTCTGGGGTGTGGGGTTGTGCAATAGGAAATGAGGGTTGGTAATGCTCGTCCAGAAGATGATCTGTTATAACCAAAGGCGTGTGAACTCCTTTAAGTTCCGGAGAAAGTTCATAAGGGCGTTCTTGGACAGGGGTTTGTAATAATGATATTGGAGTTGGCGGAGTTGTATAGAGCGAGGGCGAGTCGCTCGTGCCTCCATTATTCGTAGTGGGTGTTACAGGACGACCTGCACGACCACCAAGCCCTGGGCGCAGAATGGTTGGCAAATGACCAGGCTTTCTCTGAGGAACTGGAGCTTCTTCGGGAAGGGAGGGTAGCACGTCAGTCTTACTGTTCATGAATTGTCGGCCAGGAGGTGAAGAGGATGGTGAATGGGCCTGGGGCTGACCTCTCGCAGGAAGTAAAGATGCGGGCAGCGTGCCCGGAGGGACATAGCCTGGGTCACGGAGTTTCACAGGAGTGGGGTTCAGGGCAGATGGCGATCCCCCCTTGGGTGGTACAGGATTATACGACTGCGGTCGTGCAAGACGATCTGATTGTTTGACTCTCGTTGTACGACGATTAAGAGGAGGAGGGGTGTTGGCGTAGAATGTCATTTCAATGTATAATTCGCCTCTCGCTCCGCCCGAGGTTTCGAGAGGAACCCAGTCTAACAAACCAGTGGTTAATGCATAGATTAAGCTAGGATTATAAAGCTCCCACCATCGAATTCGCCCGTTTTCAAAGTTGATTCGATATCGACAACCCCTTTGCCTAAGAGCTTATCCTCACCTCGTGCTTCGTCCTTCCAGCAAGAAACCTCCAGCTTTCTGTTCACATTGTCCTTGCCAGGATCGGCAAGAACCGGAAAGCGGAATTCTTCATCCCACACAGGATGCTGCCCGCCCTTTGGTTCTGGCTTGGTCCGCTGTGTCTGACCAGAAAGGGCCGCTTGAGCATATGGGTCCTGCTTGTAGAAAGAAGGTTGGTGCAGATGACGAGCCTTGATGATGACGACGACTAGTGTCCCAAGATCCTTTGATTGTGACATGGAGCGATATAAAGATATTAATGATCACAACTACCGCAGTTGGCCTTCAAAGTTCAGCTGCAGCTGCTGCACTGCCTACAAGTACAGGAGAGTGTACAGGTCGACGTGACGGTGACGGTGACATGTGACCTCACGCGTTTCCAGCGGAGTGGAAAAGCGCGTCAATCGCATTATCGCAAGACGCGCGCAGTCGAGCTCACCGTCGAACCCGTCGACCACAACAATGTCAGGCAGAGCAAAGCGCGCAGATAGGGTTGCTGCTCTCGCAGAATTAAAACGAACTCGTGAGGGAGGCGCGCGCAAGTGGAAGGTGCGACATCATTGCCATTTGGCTTGAAATTGGTCCTCAAACGCGTCTTCACAGGCTCAGGAGGATGTGGCTATCTATGATGAAGTTACTGAGGACCAGTATAAGAACATTGTGCGAGGCAGGCTGCAGAAGGATGACTTTGTCGTGGATGATGGTGTAAGCGGCTATATGGACAATGGGATGGATGACTGGACGGGTGCTGAGAAAGACGAAGACGAAGAAGACGAGGAGGAGGAGTACGAGACAAAGAAGAAGAAGAAGGGTCAGTCTGATTGTACATCTGCGCACATAACATCTGACTCTAGCTTTCCAGCGAGGAAGGGCAAGGATGTTGCATCCAAGCCTAAAGCAAAGCCGAAAGCACCACCGCCCGCTGCCAAGCCCTCTATCAGCGTGTACCGCCCGGCAGTTTCAGTAGAGCAGGAAGAAGACTTCATGGCCAATCTCCTCGGAGGCTTAGATTCTGTCCCAGCCCCAGTTCCAAGGAGGCAAAGAAAACGCAAGCCCTCTCCATTATCAGATCACGAAGACCTAAACTGCAATTCATCTGATGGTCCCATGGACGATACTGCTTTCAATCTGCCATCAAGCGATTTCGAAGAGGACTTTGCAACTATGATGAGCCCTAAGAAGAAGCCACGTATGGTGAATCCTGGAATCACTCCCGCAATCGAACGAATGGGCAAGTTGGGTGTTCACAGTGGATCGGAGGACGGGTTTGACAACTCAATGGATTTTGAGAACATGGACATGGACGCCTTCATGGATGTCGATGACGAAGATCTTGACATCAAGCCGGCCAAGGGGAACAAATCAATTCTCGATGGCCTGGAAACCAAGCCCAAAGTCAACGTTGCCTCACCACCAACCAAAGCAGAGCCGCCCTCAGCGCCAACCTGGCTCTCTGTCTACGACTCCCTTGCTGTCACTTCCGATGAAACCATAGGTTCTGGTTCTTCCTCGTCGGCTTCCAAATCCACTGTCGACGCTGCCGAGCCCGATGGCACTCTCCACTTCTTCTGGCTAGACTACCTTGAGCACAATGGCAAGCTCTTTCTCACCGGGAAAGTCAAGGACAAAACTTCCTCAACTTGGGTGTCCGCATGCCTCGCCATCGAGGGGCTTCAGCGTAATCTGTTCCTGCTCCCGCGTCCGCTACGTGTCGAGCAAGAGGAGACTGAAGAAGGCGAGTATGTGATGCAAGAGACTGACGTTGTGCCTAGTAAATCGGATGTATACGAAGATTTTGAGCGGGTACGGAAGAAGCTGGGTATCAAGGGGTGGAAGGGGAGATGGGTTCGAAGAAACCATGCATTTGATGAGAAGGATATACCAAAGGAGGGTGAATGGATGAAAGTCTTGTATTCTTTTGAAGGTAGCCCTCAATTTCCGAACTTCTTGCGAAATACTCACTGTGCACGGACAGAGCCTCAAGTCCCTATGAATGCCTGTTCACCGAATATTGCTCGGATCCTTGGGACGAACACGAGTGCGTTTGAGCTATTCGTGCTCAAGCGTAAGATCATGGGGCCTTGCTGGCTTGCCGTAACTAATGCGGTTGTCGAGAATAAGGGTGTAAGACCATCTATGCAATATCCCTTAGCTTTCAGCTGATGATGTCTCTATGTAGATCTCCTGGTGCAAGTTCGAAGCCACTGTCTCAGATCCCAAGAACGTGACACCCTTAGGAGACAGCGCTCCAGAACCTCCCCCTCTAACAATAATGAGTCTCGCGGTACGCACTGTTGTCAATCATCGTGAAAACAAGCGGGAAGTTGTGTGTGCGACGGGCCGTATATGGCGAGACGGTTAATTTTCTTGCCCCTCTGCTGAAAAACGTCGCTGACTTGATAGCATATGTGTAGTTCAACTTGATGATCCTACACCCCCCGAGCAACTCCCGTGCTCTGTGCACACTCTCGTTCGTCCACTCGACGGCTTCCCTGCGAAATTTGAAGCCCAGGCGCGAGCAAATGGGAAGGGCATGATTTCACCAATGAAGAACGAGCGGATGCTCCTCAACAGCTTGCTTGGTAGCTGTCTCCTTCGGTTGCCACGCTCCTTAATTGTTTACCGGATGTCTTGCAGTCACGCTGCACAAAGCAGACCCCGACGTCATTGTCGGTCACGACTTCCTCGGCGTCTCCCTTGACGTCCTCCTAGGAAGAATGAAGGATCTTAAGGCAGAGCACTGGTCGCGCCTCGGGCGGTTCAGGCGCTCGAAATGGCCGCCTATTGGAAGGCAGGGCACAAATATGCGCTTTCTGACTGGGCGCCTGCTTTGTGACCTTGCTAGCGATGGTGCACGGGTAGGTTTCACCTCGGCTTCAGTGTATAGTGACTGATGAATCATCGTCAGAGCATGATCGCCTCTACGACGTGGTCCCTCACCGAGATGTGTAAAACTCATCTCAAGTCTGATAGGCAGGATATCGACCCAGATGACACAGCAGCATACTTCGATGGTACCGTATCATCCCCAGACATGCTCATGACATTCGTGCGACACTGTGAGCTCGACGCTCATTATCACATGGCCATCGCATCGAAGGTGCAGATCCTGCCTTTGACGAGACAGCTCACAAACCTTGCTGGCAACGCATGGTGAGTACCTTCGGTTGGTGATCTGAACTTTCATGGACCTGGGTCTCAGGAACAAGACGTTGAATGGTGGTCGAGCTGAGCGAAATGAGTACATTCTTCTGCACGAGTTCCACCGCCTGAAGTACATCTGTCCTGACAAGACGTACGGCAAGAAAACGGTCAAAGCAGAGCCTGAAGCAGATGATGCGGACGGCGAGGGCGGTGGCGGCAAGTCAAGCAAAGGCAAACGGGACAAGTTCAAGGGCGGTCTCGTGTTTGAGCCGAAGCGTGGACTTTGGGACAAGTACATCCTCGTCATGGACTTCAACTCGCTGTATCCGAGTATCATCCAGGAGTATAACATTGACTTCACTACTGTGGAGCGCTCGCAGGAGGATGTAAATGACTGGACTTTTGTTGCCCGTGCTTAGATGCTGACACCTGGATGCAGGATGACGATGACAAGATACCAGACCCGCCACCACCTGAGGTGCCTCAGGGCGTCCTTCCACGACTTATTGCAACTCTCGTCAACCGGCGGCGTCAGGTGAAGTCGCTAATGAAGGATCGCTCTATATCGCACGCAAAGCTATTGCAGGTCTGCCAGTCTATGTTCATCCCCATATCATTTGCTCATACTTGCTTTCGTAGTACGACATCAAGCAACAGGCGCTCAAACTGACGGCGAACAGTATGTACGGCTGTCTTGGTTTCGAGTACTCGCGATTCTACGCCAAGCCTCTGGCTGCCCTAACCACTTTCAAGGGTCGTGAGATCTTGACGCACACTAGGGAGCTTGCCGAGAGCTTACAGCTAGATGTGGGCACATATCTGGTCCCTATCGATGGAATTTGCCTGACTCATTACAGGTCGTATACGGTGACACGGACTCGGTGTTCGTGAACTCCAACGTGACAGAGCTTTCCGAGGCGCTAAAAATCTCCGCCGAGTTCAAGAAAGCTGTCAACGACCGGTATAAGCTTCTTGAGATAGATCTCGACGCTGTCTTTGCACGTCTCTTGCTTTTGCAGAAAAAGAAATATGCAGCCTTGAAGGTGGAAGAGGGATCACGGACGTCTACGGAAGTTAAAGGTCTGGATATGAAGCGCCGAGAATACTGCGCTCTATCGAAGAGCGTCTCTCAGTGAGTTGAGCTTTGTGTTCGTGTTGACTTGGCTCAACCCTGCACCTCCTAGATATGTCTTGGAGCAGATCTTGTCTGGTGAACCAACGGAGGTTGTGGTGGAGAACATTCACGAATATCTTAATACTATCGGCGAAAACGTTCGCGGCGGAAAGATAAAATTAGAGGATTTTATTGTATACAAGGTGCCCTCCAAAAACTCCTTTCAACGCTTCTTGGTTCATCTTATGCATCATAACTCAGCGCCTAGGCAAGAATCCAGAGGATTACCCCGATGCTAAATCACAGCCTCATGTGCAAGTCGCTTTGAGATTGAAAGCAAAGGGTGGAGGTGCCCGCAACGGCGACGTTATACCCTACGTGTTCTGCGTTGCGCCTGGTGAAGAAACGGTGAAGACCGCACAAGCAGATCGTGCCAAGCATCCAGACGAGATCAAGAAGGCTGCAGGGGAACTCGTCGTAGACTACGAACACTACCTTGCGAATCAGGTCCTACCGCCAATCGAGCGACTGTGTGAGCCTATTGAAGGAACAGACAGGGCCCGGCTGGCTGAGTGTCTTGGTGAGCATCGAACTACTGAAGCCTGCGAACTTGACTTAATGTTTCCAACAGGACTGGACCCGGGACGTTATCGCATTAGTGGAAGCACGCAGGCCGGATCAGAGCTCACAACACTAGACTCCCTCGTCTCTGACGCAGAGCGGTTCCGCGACGTGGCTCCGTTCCTGGTGCGCTGTCGTGGATGCGCAGGACAGATGGCGTTTTCCCCGGTGTACGATCGAGATGTATGTGCCCACATTCCCATTTGTGTTTAGGACTGTCTGACGTGAAGGCAGGCGTCGATTATGTTGTCATCAGGGCCGACGTGCCCCGCATGCAGCGCACCATTGGGTTCGGCGAGCCTGCAGACACAACTTGAGGTCCAGATTCGGTCATTCGTCGCTAAGTACTACGAGGGATGGGTTGTCTGCGAGGACCCAGCATGCGGGTACGAGACGCGGTCGATGCGGATGTACGGCTGGCGGTGCGGAGCGCCGGGAGGCTGTAAAGGTAGAGCGCAGTTCAAGTATGGGGACACCGAGTTGTACACCCAGCTCCGGTATTTCTCGACGCTATTTGACATTGAGAAAATCATCAAGGCTGCACAGGGCAGCGCGAGAAAGGGTGGGTGTTTATGTAGTTTATTATCTGACCGAGATATCTGACGTTTTTGCATGCAGAGGAAATCGAGGCTGTTGCAGCAAATAACGACCCATTCCTCAGGGTGATGTCGAAGACGGTGGATAAATATATGGAACAATGTGGACGATGCTGGGTGAATCTTGGAGCATTATTTTCCAGCATGAACCTCTAAGTTCAGAATTATGGTTGTTCAAGTTAGCCCGCAGAGCGGTCGACGTTACTTATATATATCAGGTCCTGTTGCATGAACTTGTTACCTGTGATCCTCAATAGTACTGTAAAGTATGATTCGAAAGCTACGATGCAAAATCACTAGTAAAGTTCTTGAATTTGTTAGTGCATAGAATGGATTGATCTGCAGCGTGCTAGTACGTCTAAATTGTCACCAGTACCAGAAGAAGGAAAGACAATTTGAGATGTCAGATCACATGATCATGTCAACCATTGCCCGTTTCAAGTTGTGAGTCCACCAAGGCCTCTTATACTACTCGACACAACAAGATAATTTGAACTGAAACGTGTGGACCTGACACGCTGTTGTCACGCCGCGACCATGAGAGATCGATTTAATCGTTTGGTAGATATTTGCTGTCTTATCACTGAAGCACCCGCTTTTGATACTCATCGATTTCATCCTTAGGCGCCTGATTCGCCACAATTAAAATTACCTAGTCGCCGCTTACGCAGGTCGCCGACTGGTCACTATGACCCTTATGTACATCCCTCGTACCGTAACGGCTACCCGCAGCCCTTCCTGCCCAATGTACAATTTCCAAATTTTGCACAGGCACCAGGCCCCGATCCCCAGTGAGTACCTTCTCATTGCATCCTCACTGTGATTGTGAGTACTTGGGAATTAAGTGTTGTTATTCAAGCTCTCAGATAGGCCTTCTCGAGCAGATTGTCGAGGTCCTCCAGAACTCTACAATTGCCAAGGAAAGAGCAAAGGATGCGCTTTCTAAATTTTGGGCATCATACAAAACTGTGTCTGGCGAGCACGATGACGACATGTTGGAGAGGTGTAATGAAAATATGGATATAGTCCTGATTTTCGTACGTGAAACATCATGTCGTTATTTCAACAGCATCGAACATGAGTAACTACCAGGCTGGTCTCTTCTCCGCTGTCAATACCGCGTTCATCATTGCAATGCAGCCAAATCCTATCGACACCACCAACCTTCTATTGATACAACTTACCCAGATCACATTGAATGGTTCTTCTGCCACCCAGCCAACGATTATTTGCCCATCTATTGGTTACTCTTCTTCCAAATCCTGGATGCAGGGACTTGCATATGCGAGCCTTGCATTTAGTCTTCTCGCTGCCTATGGTGCTGTCATGGGCAAACAATGGCTGGGTCATTATAAGACCACCCGTTATGGTCGTGGATCTCTTAAAGACCGATGCCAGCAGAGGCACCGCAAGTTCCAGGAGCTAAAGACATGGCGACTCGAAATTGTGTTGCGGTCATTCCCAGTCCTTCTTCAGATCTCTCTGCTTCTATTTGGTATGTCCCTGGGAGCTACGCTGTGGACGCAACAATGGCCCATCTCTATCTTTATTATTGCAACGACCACCGTCGGTGGCCTTTGCCATGCTTTCACTATCCTGGTATCACTGATATGGCCTGACTGTCCATTCCAAACCCCCGTCTCCTTGGCCATACGAGCTGTCTTTGGCGATTTTCGTGCACGTGCGGATTTCCAGCATCAAGATGAAGATTCTGCTGTATCCGCCGTGGAGTGGATCCTGGAGACTTCGACCGACCCTGATGTTGTCAGGTCGGTGGTTGAGTTTATGCCTACCATGTCCAGGCTACCAGACATAAATCTCGTGTTATTATGCACAGAAGTTCGAGACATGTTCAAGGCATGTTTTGATCAGCGTGGCATTCCGATGCAAGAAGACAGCGCACTGGCATATGGCAAAGCGTTGATCTACTTCTCTTCGAATTATCCTGATGTGAGGGATATGCTCCGCACAACTACGCAGGAGTGGAATCTCTGGCAGTGGTGGCGCGCCCTGTATCTCCTCCAGGCACTGGAGCAGTGTAGAATTTTATACCGCCGAATGGACAATACCGATAATCCAACTTCAAAGTTACACTTCCAAGCAGACGCCCGTGCTGCTTTGCGTATGGCTGTGGCTGCTGGTATAGATGAATTTACTCATCCCAACGATGAAAAATTAATTTGGAATGGTAAATTCATGGAACTCAATCTGCCAGAAGTTGACTGGCTGTTGGATTGCGCAGAGCACTTCTACAATAAAAACGACATCGATGCGGCCGGAGACGCTCTGCTCCTGTTTAGTGACATGCAGGAACAATCATCATCCTCCATTCAAGGCCGCCTCGCTCCATTTTTGAATGCCGGCCGATCACGTAGATTTCGCCATATCGCACTTCGTGCCGCCACCCAAAGTGTCGGCTTCATGTACATGAATGACTTGCCTTGTCATGATTCCTTCCCCCATGCTGTTCTGAATGCCATCTGTCCCTTGGCCTCAAATGAACGTAACAGAGACCATCTTCAGATCACCGAAGCAATAAACCTGCTCGACTTCACTGAGTGGCCCGAAGGTAGTGATCTAGCGACCTCTCCTCTGGCCGAAATCCAGTTGCTTGTATTCCTCGTTTTGCCTGCACCCAAGGTTGACGATCTCACAATGTATACTCATTACTGTCATGCACTCATTCGCTACATGGGTGCATACCAGCCTGATGGCATCCGCAAAGTCGCCTCAAATATTGTCTGTAGCGCTCGACACGACCTTTTAATGATCACTGCTGGAGCCGACGAGTCATTACGAGACTTGGTGCTCTCCGACATCTGCCCAGCCCTCATCACCACACTGTTTACTTACAAGAAATTTTCGCCTATCCCCATGCAACAAGAAGATCCCTTTCTCCCCTATCTCCTTCTTGCTTTCACTCTTGCAAAGAATTCCGACTGGCACCCTCACTTGATCCGAGATGGCCACATCCAGGAGTGGATTACAAGCACGCTCATGCGGTCCAGTCATCTCGCTCAACGCAGTTTCTCTCCCGATTACAACTATCCAACATCCAACAAGGTCGACGAAGCTCGTCACCTCTTTTACCTCGCCGGAATTTCCCTCCGTATTTCTCCCCCAGAGCAGGCTGCGTCTTACTTTGGCACCGTCACAACAACGCAGTGGTGGAACTTGATGAGGGGTGCATGGTATATTGTCGAATCTTGCTCTTACGATGAGTTGGATGATGGGATTGAGAGTCTTCCAGCTCTTGTCAGGGGCACGGAGTGGCACATGCCACCAAATGCTTCGAAGACTGATCTCGAATCGCTCAATGAGTTGTTGGGAAAAGCTCTTGACGCGCTGCGACAACAACAGATGCCAGATGAGAGTGTCATATCTGCAGTGACAGGTTTGAAGGGTATTGTATGTGGGAGATTGGTTATCTCGGAACTGGAGGAGAGTGAAAGACAAAGTGCGGATGACACAGAATCAGTAGCTTCTTCCTATGTTCCGTATACTTCTTCCTATGTTCCATTTATTCCACCACCTTCTTCCTATGCTCCATTTATTCCACCATCACCTTGAATCGGAAGTATATAATCATTGTATGACTGTGGTAACGATTATTTAAACGTACGTGTCAATATAATTAAGATAACCTGCGAATCTGTATGTAATCTATGTGCAAGTCATTAAGCTGCATGTTTGGATGCAGAAAGAATATCTTCGAGGGCGATAGAAGATCGTTCGCACATTCCGCGGAATATATTATCCGGCATGGCGAAGAGATTAACAGGGGTGTCGAATTCCTGGATGAATTCTGGTCAGTACGAAATAGGATGACTTAAAGACGCGAGGACGTACAGCAATCGTCCCAGCATCCATCACGCATATCCTGTCATATCCAATGATGGTTCGGAGACGACAGATCTTCAGAAGAACTTCAAGAAGAAAAGACAATTTGAAATGTCAGATCACATGATCACTGTACCACTTGTTCCACCAAAGGCCTCTTCAAGGACTCAGTACTTGTTGTATCCGATATCGAGCTTTGGAACGGCGGATAACTAATGGTGGAAGACATCTCGTCAATGCCAGTCGCAGACCTCAAGGTATGCGTGATGTGTGATCCAGGTTTCCTTCCTACAACATTGATTCACTCCGGCAGGCGAAAACCAAGGCGAAAACGCGGTATCTGAAGCGTAAAAAGTCACGACGACAAGCTAGAAAATCTGCAGCTCCCAAACAGGCTATCAATGTATCACAGCACCATGAAGAGACCGACGTAGAGAGCAGTAATGATACTGAAAACGAAGACTATGCACCTCGAGAACAACCTTCAAATGTTAGCCACTCAAAGGAGCTGGGGGAGGCACACGAGGGCAGCAGAGAAGAGAGACCCAAAAAGAAGCGGAAGGTATCATTGTCACATTCTGAGGAAGGGGGGGATCGCATGTCAGAAGTTGAAGGGGTGGAAGTGGTTGATGAAGTAGATGCTCCTCTCCCCGTCGCCGCGCCGCAAACCTTCCGAGTCAAGTCCTCGGACCCGGAACCGCAGATGTCCCTCCCAGTATTCCCCCTTCCAACTTTACCTGATGCACCACCTAAATCTATACTCGCATTGCAAGGTCTTGATCAAGCTTTAATTGAAGCTGAAGTTGTCAATCCCTCCTCTCGACTACCTATAATACCTAACGGAGATGATACTTGCACTGGTTTATCTGAAAAGACAAGAAGGCGCCTCATAGAACTAGGGATTACTGAACTATTTGCTGGTAAGATCCGTCAATCCCCTTGCACACCTCTATTGACAGCTTTACAGTTCAGACTGCACTTCTCCCTTTTCTGCTAAGATCCTCCGCCATGCGGAGGTCACTGTACGCACCATTTGACCCGCCGCGGGATGTATGTGTTTCCGCCCCTACTGGAAGTGGGAAAACGCTCGCATACGTGCTCCCAATCGTTGAGGTAACAACTTTGCAATTTTTGGAAGTCCTGGTTGATCCAATGAGGTCAGATTCTGTCAACAAGAATTGTAACACATCTCCGTGCCCTCATCGTTCTCCCGACGCGTGACTTAGTCATGCAAGTTCGGGAAACATTAGAGGCAATCGCAAAAGGACGGGGTTTGAAGGTTTGTTTGTTTTTGTCTGATCCTCGACATTTTCATCTCTAATTTGAACATAGATTGGTGCAGCCACTGGACAGCACTCATTCGCTCACGAGCAGTCGCAACTAGTTGCGGACATGTCAGCCAAGTACGTTTCCCGCTAGATGCCAGTCCATGCTTTGTACCCGTACTGACGTTGGCGGAAGACTCTCTGGTGGATCGAGTAAAGTTGATATTTTGATCTGTACGCCAGGGCGCCTCATTGATCATCTCAACGGAACACCGAACTTTTCTTTACAGCACCTCCGCTTCTTGGTCAGCCTCTTTGGTCTATTAGACGTCTTCTTGAATGACCGCATCTTTTGCTAGATAGTAGATGAAGCTGACCGATTGCTTGCTCAGTCATTCCAAGACTGGCTAGCTCAAGTTCTTGCCGCTACGCAACCATTTTCAAGAATGGTCCCTGAGAACACCGACTTCAAAGCTTCAGCTCCCCTTTGCGATTCTGTTGCTCCTGCTTTTCTTCACATTCACGGGGATGTAGGCATACACACCGACATCGATGAAAAGAAAGACGTCTCATGTCAAAAATTACTGTTTTCTGCGACACTCACTAGTGACCCGGGAAAGCTTGCGGCTCTGGACCTCCGAAATCCAAAGTACTTTGTTGTACAAGGTCTATCTGAAGAATCAGAAATCGATGGTATTCCTAATGTTATTGCGGAACGGTTTACCATGCCCGAAGCACTAAAGGTACGCGACAACAAATTCCATCCTGCCAGAAGCCCACCTGTGAAACGCAGGAACACATGATTATCTGTGAGGCCCCTCAGAAACCATTGATGCTCTTCCATCTTGTGCACAACCATTCCGTCCGCAATGCACTTATTTTCACAAAATCGTCCGAATCGGCCTCTCGTCTTGTACGTTTATTCGAATTTTTCGAAGCCGCTATCTCCTCCGGAAATCCGATTGTTGTTCGGTCATACTCGAGTGATCTTCCGACTAACGAGCGCAGGACTATATTAGAAAAATTCAAGGCTCAAGAGGTCCATCTGAAAGTTCAACCCATTTTCATTCTGCAGCCTGGTGTACTGACCAGAATTTAGGCTCATATGTTCAGATCTCATATCAAGGGGTATTGACATCAGCCATGTGTCGCACGTGGTCAGTTATGATGCACCAGTGGATATAAGAAAATATGTACACCGGGTTGGTAGAACTGCTCGAGCAGGGAGAACTGGAGACGCTTGGACGTTGGTTGAAGAACAAGAGGTATTTCATTTGAGGGACCAGGCCTGTGTCTTTTTCGCTCATCGAACATCCAGGCACACTACTTCAAATCTATGTTAAGAAGCGCCGGTCACCTAGAAAAGGTCCAACGAATGAGAATATCGGCCCAAGACACAGCTTCGCTATCATCGGCGTATGAGGTCAGTGCAAGATTATTCTCACGTAGTGCACCGGCAAGACGCGCGTCCTTCTAGATGTCTCTCCGAAGCCTACGGGATGCGTACACACGGTAGCTTTCGGCAACATTTTGTGGGGCAGTGGTTCGGATATACCGACGGCGTGAGATGATCAGATTCTCAGCGTTGTGGTCGATGCGTCCAGCCAAATTTCAGAGAAGTACAAAATGTTTGGTCAACTTTTCCGAGGGGATTTATCAACCGCGGTTTAGACGCGATCATGGTTGCATATCCGAACTAGAACGGCAGCGATATCTCGCCAAAAACTAAGATAGGCTATAACCCTGGTCCCTGATTCGTAAGCAGGACATGACTTTGCAAGCGACGGCCCGGAATTTCATAAGCATGATAACGAGAGATGCCGCGCGCCATCTATATCGGTGTTTACGTACAGTGACAATGTGCTAGTACATAACCCTGATTACAGGTACATGTGGACAGTCGCATCTCTTGTTCGTGCGTACCACCATGGCGCCTTCTGAACGACTCAAGTTTCAAGATGCTGAGCTCGACACCGTTGAGAAGGCCCAGGTAGAGAAGACCGCCTCGGACACCAGTCAAACCATCCAGTCGTTCATGTCTCGGTCAGTATTAATATCTATCTTGGGATTGCGATCGTAGGCTTGTCGCCTAGCTCCACATTCTGCTAGGCTACGTGTGGAGTCTCAATTGGCTAGCTGTCATGGATGCATACTGAATTCATTTACATTATCCCCTTGTATATAGGCTCTTCTTGTTTGGAAAGAACGGTAGCCCTCCCCCACCAAAGAAATCCGTTCACGACGCGGATCTAACTCCCGAGGCCACAGCTAGCTTCGTCAGTCTTCTGTGGTTCTCCTGGTTATCACCTCTGCTTTCCCTTGGCTATGCTCGTCCACTTGAGTCATCAGACCTTTATAAACTCCAGGAAGAGCGCGGAGCCGTTCAGATTGCCAATGCCATTTTAACGTCGTTCGAGACTCGGCAAAAGAAGGCTGCCGAATACAACGAGCGTTTGACTAAGGGTGAAATTGGCCCAGGGTTCAGGGGTTTATGGTGGTCCATACGGGGTATTCGCGCAGATCGCGAGAAACAATGGAGGGAAAAGGACGGAAAGCGCAAAGCAAGTCTCATTTTGGCGATGAATGACAGCGTCTTTTGGTGGTTATGGTCTGGTGGTATTTTGAAAGTCATCGGCGACACAGCGCAAGTTACTAGTCCCCTTCTCGTCAAGGTCAGGACTTTTCCACAAAAATTATTCCTAAACACTGATGCCGGTGTCCTGTCTGCAGGCGATCATCAATTTTGCCACGGAGTCTTATACAAACCATCTAACCGGTCAACCAACACCTCCAATTGGTCAGGGAATTGGCCTTGCATTTGGCCTACTGGCTTTACAACTCGTCGCGTCATGGGCCAACAATCACTTCCTTTACCGTAGCATGGGCACTGGTGTCCTTCTTCGTGGCGGTCTTATCACGGCGATATACTCGAAATCGCTTCGTCTATCCGCGAGAGCTCGCGTCAATTTAAGCAACGGCGAGTTGGTCAATCACATATCCACCGATGTCTCGCGGATAGATTTCTGCATGGGCTACTTCCATATGTCATGGTCTGCTTTTATCCAACTTGCTATTTGCCTGACCTTGCTTTTGATAAATCTTGGCCCGAGTGCACTCGCTGGTTTTGCGCTTCTCATTGTCATGATGCCCATTCAGACCTACACTATAAAACAGGCTTTCACCCTTCGAATGAAAAGCATGCTGTGGACAGACAAGCGTTCCAAGATCTTACAAGAGGTCCTCAGTGGCATACGCGTCATCAAGTTCTTTTCTTGGGAAGTTCCATTCCTGAAGCGTATTTCTGAATATCGACAGAATGAGATGGTGTACGTGAACATGTCACTTAATTGCCCTGGTCTTGGTTGATAATTTTTCCCATTCAGATATATCCGTAGCCTTCTGATCATAAGAGCCGCGATGAACGCAATTGCTATGTCTCTCCCGACTCTCGCTTCTGTCCTTGCCTTTGTCACATATTCGTTGACTGGACACAGTCTTACAGCGGCCAATATATTCGCTTCGTTGACTCTGTTCAACTTAATCCGCCTGCCCTTGATGTTCTTACGTGCGTTATTTATTGACATTTGCAGTCTGTAATCTTAAACATTTTGCAGCCTTGGCTCTGAGCAGCATCGCTGACGCGGCCACAGCATGCGACAGGCTGCTGAAGGTTTTCGAAGCAGAGACGCTTGACGAGACGCTCGTCATAAACGACGATATGAAAGACGCTGTCAGAGCTAAAGGTGCTAGCTTTACTTGGGATAGTCCGCCCCCTCGGCCTGAGAATCCCAAAAAGAAAGGCAAGGGCAACAAGATGGGCATGAAGATGGGAAAGCGCAAAAGCCCTTTAACACCCCCACCAGCTCCTGCAGATGATGCCCATATTTTCAAAGTTACGGACATTGACTTGGAAATACCACGAGGCCAACTCGTCGCTATCGTCGGAGCCGTCGGCATGGGAAAAACTTCCCTGCTTCAAGGTCTTATTGGCGAAATGCGGCGGACTTGTGGTACAGTTGAATTCGGTGGAACCGTGGGCTATTGTGCTCAAACCGCTTGGATCCAGGTAGGTTCGCTGATTAGCCTTTGGCATTGGTGACTAAGGTGCAAACAGAATACAACCATTCGGGACAATATCTGTTTCGGTCGTCCATTTGACGAGGAGCGATATTGGGCGGCTGTCCGAGACGCATGCTTAGAACCCGACTTGGAGATGTTGCCCAATTACGACCTTACAGAAGTTGGCGAGAAGGCAATGTTCATCCTTTGTTCTGGAGGACTATTGGCTGATGCTCTTCCGCAGGGTATCTCACTCTCTGGTGGCCAAAAGCAGCGTGTCAACATATGTCGCGCGATCTATTGCAATACTGACATTCAGATCTTCGACGACCCACTATCTGCTCTTGATGCACACGTCGGAAAGGCAGTATTCCAGAATGTGTTGAAGAGAAACGTAGAAAAAACTCGCATCCTGGTTACCCATGCCCTCCACTTCCTTCCTGAGGTCGACTATATATATACTCTCGTTGACGGGCGCATTGCCGAACGTGGCACTTATGCCGAACTCATTGCTAACGATGGTGCATTCTCCAAATTTGTCGCAGAATTTGGGTCAAAGGAAGATTCTATGAAGAAAGAAGAGAAAACTATCGAGGGTGTAGACACCGAGGACAAGAAAATTCAGTCAGGGTTGGCTGGGAAAGCGATGATGCAGACGGAAGAGCGTAATACTGGTGCCATAAAGTGGGAAGTATACCGAGAGTATCTCACATCAGCTCACGCCACTGTGCTCTTGCCACTCTTACTACTCTCTTTGGTCCTCACACAAGGCTCCAGTGTCATGTCTTCGTATTGGTATGTGATTTCCCTAATTCTTGATTATCGCACTGATGTAGTTTATTAGGCTCGTTTACTGGGAAGAATAGTGCGTGCATGTCACATTCCCTATACATCTAAGTGCTCATCGCTTTTATAGTAAATGGCACCAAACGGCAGGATTTTATGTGAGTATGTCTGTTGCACATGACTGAAGCACACTGATCGTTGTCAATGCAGATGGGCATCTATGCCGCTCTTGGTGTCTCTCAGGCGTTAACAATGTTCATGATGGGATCCGTCTTTGCACTACTCACCTACTATGCTTCCCAACAGTTACATGGGGTAAGTATATCACTACGTATTGGTGGATGCTGACTCTAATACCATTCGGCAGAGATCAGTTCAGCGAGTACTGTATGCCCCAATGAGCTTCTTCGAGACAACGCCTTTAGGCCGCGTTATGAATCGCTTTACCAAAGGTATGTTAAAAAGGTTTCGATCACGCGGATTTTCTGACTTAGAATGGAAGATATTGACACTGTTGATAATTTAATTGGCGGTGAGCGCCTAAGAAGTCCTTTCGTGAACCATTATTGACAAGGATAAAATATTGCGTTTTCAGATTCCCTCAGGATGCTCGCAGCAACCGCATCACAGATCATCGGCGCGATCATTCTCATATCCATCGTCATACCATATTTCCTTATCGTAGCTTTCTTCATCGTGATCTGCTATTATTATGCTGCATTGTTCTACCGTGCGAGTGCACGCGAGCTGAAGGTCGGTCATTTTGATCAAGTCTGTCGAACATCTAATAACGTAGAACTTCACAGCGTTTGGATGCACTCCTACGATCCTCGCTTTATTCTCACTTTTCTGAGTCATTATCGGGCTTGACTACCATTCGCGCTTATGGCGAATTCGACCGATTCCGCGCAGAAAATATCGAGCTCGTTGATGTCGAGAATCGGTAAGAACTGCAATTGCATGTGATCTTGATCATTACTGACGTTATACAGTGCTTACTGGTTGACGGTTACCAATCAGCGATGGCTCGGGATGCGTCTTGATTTCCTCGGCTCGTTGCTGACTCTCGCCGTCGCGCTATTGACTGTTGGAACTCGGTTCACTATTTCTCCGGGACAAACCGGTGTCACGCTCTCGTATATCGTCATGGTGCAACAGGTCGTGTTTTCCCCCCCTTTTGCTTGAGTTTTAGTTGATGACCCTTGCAGTCTTTCGGATGGATGGTCCGCCAAACTGCTGAAGTCGAGAACAACATGAACGCCGTGGAGCGTGTCGTGCACTATGCGAAAGAAGTCGAACAGGAGGCTGCGCATGAGGTCGAAGATAGCCCTGCACCGGCCGACTGGCCTTCGCGTGGCGAAATTGTAATGAAGGATGTAGTTATGAAATACCGCCCGGAGTTACCACCTGTCCTGAAGGGCCTGAGTATGTCTCTCTCCCCTGGAGAGAAGATTGGTGTCGTTGGGCGGTGAGTTTTTTTCTTTTTCTAGGTGGCTCCTGTGGCTTATGGGATGCAGGACTGGTGCCGGGAAATCATCCATCATGACTGCTATCTATCGTATAGTGGAACTAGCATCTGGGTCTATATCCATTGATGGTGTGGACATTTCGACCGTTGGTTTAGCGCAGCTCAGACAAGGGTTATCGATTATTCCTCAGGATGCTGTAAGTGGCATGTATCATAGTTTGTTTGAACATTGACTAATTAAGTGACATGTCTGCAGTTTCTTTGTGCGTGATGACATGCTACATGTGGGAGCATGTTAACTGACCGTTTCTCTCTAGTCTCCGGTACTCTCCGGACTAACCTTGATCCTTTCGGGCTACACGATGATGCCAAGCTTTATGATGCAATGAAGCGGGCGTATCTTGTGGAGTCAAACAGTGACCTATCGACCTCGGCATCAACCCCTGTTGAAGGGCAGTCGGCACCCAGATTTAGTCTCGACACTCCTATCGACGACGAAGGCAGCAATTTGTCGATTGGGCAACGTTCTCTTGTCTCTCTTGCCAGAGCTCTCGTAAATGACACCAAGATCCTAATTCTTGACGAGGCTACGGGTAAATGTGATGTTCATTCTGGTAGCGCATGCATTCTCATGGATTTCTATGTAGCTTCTGTCGACTACGAGACTGACAGCAAGATCCAGCATACTATCGCCAACGAGTTTAAAGAGCGCACAATCCTGTGCATTGCACGTAAGTTGGACGAGACTCATCGCTTTGCATCGACTTATAGCAAATATATAGATCGTCTCCGAACCATCATTGGATATGACAGGATATGCGTGATGGATGCTGGGACGATTGCCGTATGTCCTCGTATCTTCAAGCTATCCTATTCCGTACTGACCAGAATTCATCCAGGAATTCGACACCCCTGTTAATCTCTTCGCCATGCCGGATAGTATATTCCGCGGAATGTGCGAACGATCTTCTATCGCTCTCGAAGATATTCTTTCTGCATCCAAACATGCAGCTTAATGACTTGCACATAGACTACATACAGATTCGCAGGTTATCTTAATTACATTGACACGTACATTGAAATAATCGTAACCACAGTCATACAATGATTACATACTTCCAATTCAATAGAGGTGGCGCATGGTTATGCAGTCATGTACATATGCGTAGTTTCATAGGAAGCGTAAGATCTTGAGTCCTCCGCACTTTGACTTTCAAACTCCCCCAGTTCCGAGGTTACCAATCTCCCACATACAATGCCCTTCAAACTCGCCACTGCAGATATGACACTCTCATCTGGCGTTTGTTGTTGTCCCAGCGCGTCAAGAGCTTTGCCCAACAACTCATTGAGCGATTCGAGATCAGCCTTCGAAGCATTTGGTGGCATGTGCCACTCCGTGCCCCTGACAAGAGCTGGAAGACTCTCAATACCATCATCCAACTCATCGTAAGAGCAGGATTCGACAATATACCATGCACCCCTCATCAAGTCCCACCACTCCATTGTTGTGACGGTGCCAAAGCAAGACGCAGCCTGCTCTGGGGGAGCAATACGGAGGGAAATTCCGGCGAGGTAAAAGAGGTGACGAGCTTCCTCGACCCTGGCGGATGTTCGATAGGAATGATCGTAAATTCGAGGGGAAGTGGGAGAGAGACCGCGTTTAACGAGATGACTGGACCACATGAGCGTGCTTGTAATCCACTCCTCGATATAGCCATCTTGGATCAAGTGAGGGTGCCAGTCGGAATTCTTTGCAAGAGTGAAAGCAAGAAGGAGATAGGGGAGAAAAGGATCTAGGTGGAGGGGGATAAGCAAATCTTTCTTGCAAGTAAACAGTGTGGTGATGAGGGCTGGGCAGATCTCGGAGAGCACCAAGTCTCGTGATGACTCGTCAGCTCCAGCAGTGATCATTAAAAGGTCGTGTCGAGCGCTACAGACAATATTTGAGGCGAATTGGCGGATGCCATCAGGCTGGTCTGCACCCATGTAGCGAATGAGTGCGTGGCAGTAATGAGTATATATTGTGAGATCGTCAACCTTGGGTGCAGGCAAAACGAGGAATACAAGCAACTGGATTTCGGCCAGAGGAGACATCGCTAGATCACTACTTTCGGGCCATTCAGTGAAGTTGAGCAGGTTAATTGCTTTGGTGATCTGAAGATGGTCTCTGTTACGTTTATTTGAGGCCAAGGGACAGATGGCATTCAGAACAACATGGGGGAAGGAATCATGACAAGGCAAGTTATTCATGTACATGAAGCCGAGACTTTGGGTGGCGGCACGAAGTGCGATGTGGCGAAATCTACGTGATCGGCCGGCATTCAAAAATGGAGCGAGGCGGCCTTGAATGGAGGATGATGATTGTGCCTGCATGTCACTAAACAGGAGCAGAGCGTCTCCGGCTGCGTCGATGTCGTTGTTATTGTAGAAGTGCTCTACGCAATCCAACAGCCAGTCAACTTCTGGCAGATTGAGTTCCATGAATTTACCATTCCAAATTAATTTTTCATCATTGGGATGAGTAAATTCATCTACACCAGCAGCCACAGCCATACGCAAAGCAGCACGGGCGTCTGCTTGGAAGTGTAACTTTGATATTGGATTATCGGTATTATCCATTCGGCGGTATAGAATTCTACACTGTTCCAGTGCCTGGGGGAGATACAGGGCGCGCCACCATTGCCATAGATTCCACTCCTGCGTAGTTGTGCGGAGCATATCCCTCACATCAGGATAATTCGAAGAGAAGTAGATCAACGCTTTGCCATATGCCAGTGCGCTGTCTTCTTGCATCGGAATGCCACGCTGATCAAAACATGCCTTGAACATGTCTCGAACTTCTGTGCATAATGACACGAGATTTATGTCTGGTAGCCTGGACATGGTAGGCATAAACTCAACCACCGACCTGACAACATCAGGGTCGGTCGAAGTATCCAGGATCCACTCCACGGCGGATACAGCAGAATCTTCATCTTGATGCTGGAAATCCGCACGTGCACGAAAATTACCAAAGACAGCTTGTATGGCCAAGGAGACGGGTGTTTGGAATGGACAGTCAGGCCATATCAGGGATACCAGGATAGTAAAAGCATGGCAAAGGCCACCGACAGCAGTCGTTGCAATAATAAGGATAGAGATGGGCCATTGTTGCGTCCACAGCGCAGCTCCCAGGGACATACCAAATAGAAGCAGAGAGATCTGTAGAAGGACTGGGAATGACCGCAACACAATTTCGAGTCGCCAGTTCTTTAGCTCCTGGAACTTGCGGTGCCTCTGCTGGCATCGGTCTTTGAGAGATCCACGACCATAACGGGTGGTCTTATAATGACCCAGCCATTGTTTGCCCATGACAGCACCATAGGCAGCGAGAAGACTAAATGCAAGGCTCGCATATGCAAGTGCCTGCATCCAGGATTTGGAAGAAGAGTAACCAGCAGGTGGGCAAATAATCGTTGGCTGGGTGGCAGAAGAACCATTCAATGTGATCTGGGTAAGTTGTATCAATAGAAGGTTGGTGGTGTCAAGAGGATTTGGCTGCATTGCAATGATAAACGCGGTATTGACAGCGGAGAAGAGACCAGCCTGCCAGTTACTCATGTTGGATGCTGTTGAAATAACGACATGTTTCACGTACGAAAATCAGGACTATATCCATATTTTCATTACACCTCTCTAACATGTCGTCATCGTACTCGCCAGACACAGTTTTGTATGATGCCCAAAATTTAGAAAGCGCATCCTTTGCTCTTTCCTTGGCAATTGTAGAGTTCTGGAGGACCTCGACAATCTGCTCGAGAAGGCCTGTCTGAGAGCTTGAATAACAGCAGTTAATTCCCAAGTACTCACAATCACAGTGAGGTTGCAATGAGAAGGTACTCACTGGGGATCGGGGCCTGGTGCCGGTGCAAAATTTGGAAATTGTACATTGGGCAGGAAGGGCTGCGGGTAGCCGTACGAGGGATGTACATAAGGGCCATAGTGACCAGTCGGCGACCTGCGTAATCCGCGACTAGGTAATTTTAATTGTGGCGAATCAGGCGCCTAAGGATGAAATCGATGAGTATCAAAAGCGGGTGCTTCAGTGATAAGACAGCAAATCTCTACCAAACGATTAAATCGATCATTCATGGTCGCGGCGTGACAACAACGTGTCAGGTCCACACGTTTCAGATCTTGTTGTGTCGAACTAAAGAGGCCTTGGTGGACTCACAAACGGGCAGTGGGGAGTACTCAAAATCTCACGTGATCAAAATCATTATTGATTGTCAAATTTAAAGTTCGCCAATAGGGCATCTACTATCCAAATTATCAATGCTATCTTCCATATCTACCACCACTGTTAGGACATCCAAATTTACGAGATGAGGGTGACTTCCAAGGGCATCTGGATACCTTCATGCATCTTGCCCTCAATCATAGGGGCCATGAGTCCAGCATTCAATCGAATGACCTCGACACCTTCGGGGAACTGGTACTCGAAATTCTCGACAAGCTCCACGAGCACGGCTTGCATCTCAAGAAGTCTATGGTCCATTAGTGAGTTAAATGGTCAGTGTTTCTGGTCATGAACTTACGCAAAACGCCAGCTAGTCACAGAAAACATGAGAATCAATCACACTATGTTGTACTAGTTAATTGTTTCGCTTACCCGATGCAAGCACGTAGACCAGCCGCTTTAGTTTGAAACACGTAAGATTGATTTCAGGAGAGCAAGAGTTTTGAATAGCTTACAGAAAGTCATTCTGAGATCGTCGGACTCATTTAGCTCATGAGAGATGTAATAACTGTTGAATACGCACAGATTGGCGAAAACTCCCAAAGATGACCTTTCCCTAGCGTCGTCCAGGAAACGGTTTGGGTTCCACTCGTCCGCATCTTCTCCCCAAACGCTTTTGAGCCTGAAAAGTATAATCTGAGCGAGGCGGCAACTCAATAACCGATGGAACCAACCTGTTGTAAGTACAAATGGATGCTGTGATGCCTTGGCCTTTCGAGATGGGTATTTCATTGATGATCTTTCCCGACTTGGTCTCAATTGGCTGAGCAAGCGGTATAACATCGTCCGAATCTGCTTCCCGAACCAAGGTAGGAACTATCGGATGCAGCCTGAGTCCCTCCTGTGATACAGACAAAGATGAGAATGCAATTTCTGAAATAAAAGGTGGACAAACTTTAATAATAGCATTGGTGAAAGCCATATTATTGAAATCGCCAGGCAGCAAATCATCATCGCCACGAGCTTCCACATTCGCTCTTGCCACTTTAATCTCGTCACGGATGCGCTGCTGATCCTCCGGGTGCTTCGAGAGTTCATATAGCAGCCATGTGAGAGTTGAGGCGGTAGTATCATGACCAGCGACCAGAAGGGTGCTAGAATGTGGCAATCACTAATTGGCAAATCATTTGTGACGCTATCACTCACGCTATTTGCGACAGTATTTCTGTTTCACTCAGCTGAGATCGTGCATCTTCCATACGGTTGGACTGTACTAAGACACCGAGACTCGTGAGTGATCATGCGTGAAGTATACCTCGGCGGGGAACATTACCGAGGATGCTGATGATGTCCTTGCTGCCTTTTTCGGTGCCAGCCGCCTGTTCATTGACGATGGCCTTTCCTGTTTGAATGGCTGTTTGCAGGAATGTCGCGAAGCGGCGATTCTCTTTGGAAGGCAAATACTTCAAGCAGTTCAGAATCGGTTGAGGAAGGAATCTCCAGGTTGACTTGAAGATGATATCCCATGAAGATGGGTTCAACAGCGTATCGAGGCTTAATTTGTGTGTTAACATATGGCCTGGCTCAGAAAATCGCGAGACATACAACAAATTGTTAAAGGCCTGCACCAACTCGTTATCTGACCCATTGTCGTTGAGAACTCCGAAGCGGTGGTCGAAAGCGACTGCAATTCACAAATATGAATTAATACCTTTAAGGCAAATGTCGAGTACATACCTTCGCCGATGACATCTAAGGTCATCCTCGACAAAGTCTCATTGATGTTCAGTGTACATCCATCAGACTTTTCTCTTAATTGAATTATGTCTTTCCATTTCTGTGAGAGCTAGATGAAGATATAAGAAGCCAGATTTTCGTGAGACTTCTTGACTCTCTCACCCGAGCTGCCGAGCGGCGGAAAACAGGCAAAAACGTCCGAAGTTGGGAAGCACCAAAAGCAGGATTCATGATCTTTCTGTGCCTTTGATGATCGATGGCTAAAAGATATGAGCTGCCGCAGCTGCGTGCTACGACAGTAAAGAAAAACGCACCATCCGTGGTTAAAATACTCTTCCCCGTGAAGAGGCGCGTAATTTCATTGGAAATGGTTCTCTTTGGGTACCTGTAACCAGACGTATGAAAGACGTATTGCAAAGCACGGGGGTCAGCGGTCCAGAGAACTTCCTCCTGAAATAACTCATGAGTAGTAGAATGTAGGAGGACGTAGTGACTTTACCCCTAAACATCCTTTAGTCATCCAAGTTGGACCGTATTCGCGAGCCCATTGAAACTCCAGGTCCCCCACTTGTAAGGTATTTCGATGTACTTTCTCGCTACCTGCAGATGTATGTGAGGGGATGTCCAGGCGTGTAACTAGAAGAAACTGTTACCTAGCCAGAACGAGTGTGAAGGAGGCCCTCGGATGTCTTTCAAAGTGTACCGCCGTGAGTTACGCCATGCTATGTAGGCAAGAAATGCGACTAAGCAGAGAGCTGCGCCAGATATCATACTTACGGATGAGCAGACTTGGTTGAAAGGCAAATGTCCCCTTTATTAGACTTGTGTTCCGACGGCTGGGGAACCGTGGTTTCCCGACGGCTTTGCTAGTATGAAGGTACAATCTTAAGGGGAAGCACTGGAAAATCCGGTTACCGGTCAGACGTGGCCTCGCACGCACCTTTGTTAAGTCTTGTTAAGTCCACGACTAGAAGAAAAAACACACAGATTAAGTTCCCACATGATATGTGATGACTCTTGAGAACAAACCAACTAAAACCTGACGGAAACGTCAGATCTCGAGAACAAACTGACTGATACATCGCATGTCTCAGCAGGAAACAATTACTAACGACTTGCCTACACTCAGACTGCCGATCGACGGGTTTTGGCAGGGTGGCACATAATTTGAAGCAACAGGGCATAGTGTGTGCTAGTAGGACGATGTTCAGGAGTTTGAACTTTGGAGTAGGATACAACCATTTCAGGTTAAATAAGATACACTGACTGGCACTTAAGCTTGCGAGTCGCGACTCCACATATGCGAAACGTTCCCAACGCGGTCCATGTCGTAGCGGTTGTATTCAGCCTGAACTTATATAAGTCCGTAGCCGCTTGATAGAGCTTGGCTTTTAGGCCACCCCATCTCAAATCTGGCCTTGAACCAGGCCCACGGCGTCAAAAACGGACTGTTCAATGGAGCTAGGGAGGCTTGGCTAACATTTGCCAGTGTCAAAAACAAATGGACCGATTTGGGTGGAGGATAATTTCTGATCTATAAGTATAGAAATGACTTGGTAATTGATGCAGATGGTCGGAGCTGAGACGATCATGGCGCATCGCTTTCTTCCGTGTTGTGCAGCAGTCCGTCGATCGAGTCAGTCCAGAATCCGGCACTGAGACATCCCAAACACCCATCTTTATTACAGCGACTGTTGATCAGTTTATGCTAATAAAGTGAGACCAAATTTGTACGATGTCACATCTCACAACGTGAGTCAAAGCCAGTGAACGATTCTTTAGAGATACCTTTAAGTACTTACCTTGGATCAGGTATAGCTAAGTAGTTGGCTCCCTATCATAAATATAACTTTGTAGATATAAATTCGACAAAGCGACAAACTAAAAATTACCATAATGTCTGTTATACAGTGCAGATGGACAGCGAACCCTTTCACGATCCAGTACTGTATAGTTCTCATTCAAGTCCGAATCAGTCCGAAGCAAATAGTCTCTTAAGATATTCGGACGCAGCCTGACGCACAGAGCCATCTACCACCGGATTAGCCAATACATCTGTTGCGAGTTGGGCTCTGTGCTTGACATTAGCTGTCTCCTTGGTGTGCTCCCACTCGGCAGCTTCTCTTTCCAGCCGAGCACGCTCGGAATCTCTGCGAGCAGTACTGTCTCTCTCTTCCCTTTCCTCCCGTCTCCTCAGATATTCTAGCTTGAGTTTGCTGTGCTGAACCTGGGCTTGCAAAAGCTGCAAGCATGCAGCCATCATGTTCTGTGGTAAAGCAAAATTCACAACGGACGCGTCACTGCTTGGCGACGGTACGTTTGGGAAGACGGCTCGACTTGGCGTATTTGATGGTCCTGCTTCCTGTATCGGAAGTTCATGGGCATTAGTCTTATTTGCAATGGAGGATTGTGATGTGAAAATGAAGGTAGGAGGGCGCGCTTGTGACTGAACTTGCGGTTGCTGAATTTGAGGGTGAGAATGAGATGGCGTGCTCTGAGGTTGAATTTGGGGTTGAATAATTGGAGTCGGTTCTGGTACTTCCAACGGATCATCGTCGTCATCTTCTCCGCCATGGGAATTGGTTGCCCCTGCGTTGTTATTTTGGCGGGTTGCGGGCCGTGTAGTAGCGGGATCGCCGTTCCATCTAGTCACGACCTCTTGAATCGACCCGTAATCAAGCGGAAAGCAACTCACCTTCTGAAGAACAAACTATACCAACCTGATCTATGCCAATGGTCAATCGTCTTGGCGCCCACATTGCCGATGTCGCAGCCGCCTTTGCGAGCAATCTGTAATCGCCGTTCATATTCTCGCAACCTGTCTCCTTCAGTCGTAAAGGTGACAAGACCATTCCCCAATTGCGCGTGGAAACTTTCGAATGCATAGATCTGTTTAAATAAATTGAAATTTCGTTCGTAGCAGCCTTTCAGCGCTTGATAAGTCTTCTTGGCGCCAAATACATCGATAGCACACTATCGTCGAGTAAGTAAGATGTTATTGCACCATCTCACGTACACACCTCGCGAAGACACGAGTTCTTTGTAGCTCGAAGCGCGTTCCAGTGGTCGTCTTCCCCCGGACCCATAAGCCAATTAAATAATTTCGTCTTCTCATCGTCAGTCCAGTGTTTGGAACCGTGCGCAGAGTCGATGTCAAAGGGGTCACCCATGTCGTCACCCTCTCTCCGTCTTTTGCCAGGCTGTGAACCACCGGTCGCCATAGCGTCGGTCTGCTTACGCTTGGGCCCACCGGCAGCTTGAGTTTCGTTGGTCGGAAGTACTGAGAACTCATGGATGGGTGAAGGATTAGAAGGACCAGCTATCGGTTGGGCAGATCGTGGAGCGCAATTTGGATCCAAAATTGTTGGCGGCGAATCAGAAAGCCTATATGCTCCGCCATCATGAAATTGGGGACGCCCAGTGATGGCAGGGTTAAGATGCGATCCTAGTGCTTGATTCAGACTCTGTATGTCATTCATTAGAAGCAGATGTGACATCAGTGGCTTAAAGCTTCTTCGAAGCAACATGCAGCGTACCGAGACATTGCTGACATTAGTCTGCAGGTTTGGGTCTCGTTGAAGATGTCCAAAGGCCATGCTTGGGTCGCTGCCGCAAGCATAAGCATCAGAATTGACATCTTGCGAATCGGCGACGGGAGAGAAGTGGAGGGTGTTACGAGATGCACTCACTTGTGAGTTTCCATAGGCCAGGCTGTGAACCACAATGAACCGGCGTGAACCGCTCGCGTGTGTGCTGTGGCTCGGCTTGAGAAAAGGCGGGCTGTTTGGTTCTAAAGTTGTCGCCAAACAACCGGTCACACAATAAATCACCCCTTGCGCCAGTTCGCCTTGGAGTCACCAGGTTAGGTCGCCAGGCAAGTTCCAGTTCACATTAATGGGGAATATTCTTCCGATTCCGGCAATACAGCAAGGAAGTTACAAACAATGTAGCAATACGAAGTACTAGAAATCATGATATAGTAGCAGTAGTGGCCAGAATTTAGGTAACTTTTCATCCAACCTCGTCGTCTGGCTCGCCCTCAGCATCCAGATCAGAATATTGATCGAGGTCGTTAGATAAAGCTGGAGCGGAACCACTGGGCACAGATTCTTGACCAGCACTTTCCCTCCCGGTAGTGTGGGAAGTGGGTGAGTGCGCAGCCCTGATGATATCAGAGCCTCCAGAGTCCTTACTCCCTACCCCGTTTGCAGTCTCCACTACGAACAAGGTGTCGTCACTCGGCACACTGTGTCGACTAGTTATGCCAGTGAGAGGCGTATCCGCCTCCTCCGACTTAATCTCGTCATCCGGTGGTTGCGACTGAGCAAGTGAGGATCGTGTATCTAGTTCTGACATAGACGAGGTCGTCTCCGCTCGAAGAGATTGAGCGCCATGATTGACAGAACCAGGTGATCCGGATAAATGATGAGAGACATCCTCCTCCTGACGAACTTCACTGACGGGAACAATGTAACCGTTAGAGTGAGTAGAGCCATCAGGCGGTCCATCTGGCGGCTCAGCATGGTCTTCCAAACGCTCTGAAGGGGATTCTGATTCAGGAGACTCTATCCTCCTGCGTTTGACTCGAGTCAGGGGTCTTGAAGGTGACGGTGAAGCAGTCATCCTCCCAGACTCGGACACTGCTGACGACGTATCATCCGGGGGCTTGATCCGTGCCCGTCCTCGTCGCCGTTTGGCAGGAATATCGGGACTCGATTGTTCTACCAGCTCATCAGTTTGGATGGCAGCACCGTTGACCGCACCATCGATGCCAGGGAGAGCCGATGCAGAACGTGTATGTCGTTGGAGGGCAGTGCGCGTGATCGAATTACGACTCGACTGTGTTCGCGAGAAGACGGATCGAGGCACTTCGCCTCCTTTTACGCGACTCCGCAACTGTTTCTTGGGTACAGGAGTTTCAGGGTTATTGGCTATGAGGTCATCAAATAGGCGCGCTGCGGGTGTGTCTGAGATGTGATGGGTCTCTGTTGGCGCTGCCTCTGATGCACTGACGGACGGCTCTGCAGGGCCAGGGCCAGGGGCCGGCGTCTGATCCTTAACCTCATCAGTGACAGGGACTGGTGTTTCCGCAACGCTGCTCAAGGCACCCATGCCAGCACCCAGTTCCGCTTGCAGAACTTCCCCGCCAGCTTTTGTCCGTGCCAGGACAAACGGCGTCCATTTCAACCGTTCCGGTTTCAGCTTCATGTACCCCTTCTTCTCCCATGCTTCCAGGTAGTGCTCCACCTTCTCGGGATCCCAGGTGATCTGGTACCGCGTAGGGGGGACAAAGGGCGTGTTAGCCTTACTTCCGGCCTCCTCCTCCTTGTTGTTTAGCGTGCTCTGCCGCTGAAGGTGACGCCGCGCAATGCCGTTCTTGCGCCCTCGCGGGAACTTGATTGCTTGCCCTGGTGTAGGTCTCATAGGAGGCGTAGCAGATTGCACAGAGATCATTCCCTGGTCTTGAAGGGTATTGAAAATATCTTCGATGGTCATAGATGTGCCCTTGCTAATAGCTATTGATCATGAACATCAACGCGCTCTCTGTTTCAGCAAGGTTGAAAACAAACCTTCAAGGGTCGGATTATCAGGTGATGTATGAAGGTATCGCATGAGTGCAAGGGTCCAATAGTTCTTGTACCCCAGTTGACCAAGCCCTGAGAGTGGCTTCTCGGGTGATCCCGCGCGCCGTTCCTTCTTGGAGAGAAGGTAACCTGAAGTCAAGCGTCAACTTTGTATTGTAGTAACCTTATTTTTGAGTGCTCACTGAAATCGATCAAGAAATTCCCCCATCCTTGTCTCTGCCTCACAGGAAGTGCCATGATACAACTGACGTTGTAGTCCTTCGGAGAACATTTCTCTTTGCTGAAGTACCCCACGAAACGCGCACCCATATCATCAGTTTCCGTAATAACGTAGAACAAGAATGGTTCGACGTCATAGAAGAGTGATTTGTGATCTAGGAACATCTTCGACAGCAGGCAAAGATTTTGGCAGTATATCTTGTTCTTGCGTCCGTCCACTTCGAAAATGGACATTGCACCATCGCGATAAATCTCGTCGCCTGGTGGATGTCGCGTTTTGCATTTCATCTGTGAAGTAATCAACACTCATATACCCCCTTTGTCATGGGTCTAGCTCACGCTATGTCGGCCAAAAGCAAAGCCACTTCTCATATATTTGAGGCAAAATTCGCAGAACCACAGTCGTCCATCCGGGATATTCGAGAACTCTTCAGGAAAGGGGGCGTCATACCACGGGTGAATGTCATATTTCCCAAAGCGAATGGTCCGAATGCGTAACGTAGAGGAAGGCGCGGGGAAACCCGATGGAGTAGCAGGGATAGTGGAAGGTGTGTGCGGAACCGCGCCAGGTGTGGAAGGCACTGGCGAGCGCGCCGGTATCGAGGAAGGAATGGTTATTTGTTGGAGAGTATGAGATCGTAGGGGACGAGACGAAGGGCCCGCTATTGGAGGATCAGGTGTGTCAGCTGATGGTCCTGATTGAGGTGGAGGTGCAAGTTTTTCCTGTGAAGAAGATTCAGCTCACCATCCATGAGCACGAGAGGACAAGAGCAAACCTCAGCGACCAGACAACTTTTATCGAATCGTACTCTGTCAGAGTCTGCGATCCCTGTCTTTGACATGTCCCTATCAGCAGGATTGAGGAGGTCCTCGAAGATATTTCTGTCGGGGTCCTCTTCTCGCTCTTTGCCCTTACCCTTCGGAGGTATTCGAAGGCGCACGACCAGTGGATGTGCTGCGGGCGAGCGCAGGCGGATGCGTTTGAGGGGCCGTGGGGTCAGCTGTTCAATTCTGCGCTTTGGGGGCTTCTTTATGCGCTGACTAGGTCGCTGGCGGGGTGTTGGTGCTTGTACAGTGTTGGTGTCGTCGGATTCAGATTCAGAGTCTGAAGAGTCTTCAGACGAATCGTCATCAACATCGTCGACTTCAACTTCGACTTCAGGCTCGGCAGTTGTCTCGTCTCTATCTTGTAGATCGGTATTTGTGGTGGATGCTACTTCGGATTCCAGGAGAAAGAGGGATGGTGGACACATTGGACAGTGCCATGTTCCGGGCGGCGTTTCTTCCAAGGGAGGTCGCATACAATCCATATGCCACCCTGATTGATTTGGTAAGTCATTTTCCGATATACAAATGACGTATAAAACACACCTCGATCACAAAAATCGCATAGTAGAATTCTCTCCTGTGTCACGGCGAATATGAGCAATTTCTGACAATTAAGGGGGCTTACTCACATCATCGCCTTTTTCTTGACAAATTTCGCAAGTTTTACATTCGGTGCACTTCCAAGGATATGAGCGAATGGTGTCTGCGATGGCACCAAGTTGTAAGCAGCTCGGATGACCTAGGTGTAAGTTTTGTCATCATTCAATTTAACCTGTGCAGCTACACGTACCACTGCGACCGCATTCTTCGCAAGTGACCATGACCTCTGGTTCAGTATCCTTGTTCTTCTTGTCATCCCCCTGACAAAACCCGCACTCGGGTTCTCGCCGGGGTTTTCGCTTTCTCTTTAGCGGTTTGGGTGGTGGCGGAACGACTTCTTCTTGAATATGTAGATAAGGTGCAGGTTGGGGCGCAAATGGATCGCCACGGGGACCTTGGTCATATTGCGAAGGCTCCTGAGAGTAGTGTCGAGGGTGAGGTAGAATTAAGTCCTCCGGAATGTGCACGGGTGGGCCCTAACCGCAAGTATGTGAGTCGTCTTGCAAAAGAGTTCTAATTACAACACGCGACGCGTTTGGCGCCTGCGCGGTATGACATATTCGGTCATCAAGCATAACTCACCTGCTCCAAAACATTTAACTGAACGGCTTCATTTCCCATGATGGCTGGGTCGATGGGTGGTGACCCGGCGAGTGCAGGATCGATAGGAATATCGCTAGCTGGGCTGAATGGCGTTCCATGTTCACTTGGTACTTCGTGGTCAAACGTGGCAGCTGCTGGGAAAGGAAGACTCCGCATAATTGCATCTGCGTCGCCGACAGCAACGATGAGCTGTGTGGTAACAAAGGGGGATTGGCTCGCAGTCGACGTCGTCCACAGCGAGCGACGGCCTTCTGTGACACATGCGCGTGACGAGTGGTCAATAAATTATGGTCACGTTTCTTAGTAAAATGGAGAAATCTAAACCCATTTCATAACCATTCTTGGTAAAATTTATAATGATTATGAATATAACCCTAATATGGTATTTCCTATACTGTACCGCGTCTTGAATAAGGTTCTCCTGATTGCATAGCCCGTGATCCAACTGCTCTCAGCCAGTGGTGCTTGAATCGATTTTGTGATGGCATGCAGGTCATTTCGGAACCTTCATGTGCCAATCGGCACCCCTTCTACCGTGCAACGCCCATCTGATGCTGATGGAATTAACTGTAGTACTTACCGCGCAATTCGTTGTCAGTCACTCGATCGATGGCTCTGACGGAACTGAAATTCTATAAGATTCATGGATTTGGCCTTGTCTTGAGCTCTCACGGGGACGAGAGCGTCATTGGTGCGGTTAAGTGGTTCATGATACGGTTGGTAGTAACAGAAGACCGCAGTAATCGTAAGCGGGACAAACGTGGACCTAAAAACAGGATATCAATTTGCCCATGACAGTGACACGGTTGAGTGGGCACAAGATAAATATATCAAGCAGCGACAGGATGATAGCTGACTCCGAATTAGTTCCACGTTGGATTCCGAGCTAGCTCAGTGATAGCTCCCAGATACCCTCGAATGATATCAGCGCAGAATCCCGGTTAACGTTTGAAATGAGTATACCGCGGCCGGCGGCCACAGGAAGCCCTACGAAATTCTAGCAGAAGGTTCTGTAAAAAGCCGACGTAGAGGGCCCCGGCTCACTTTAAAATCTTGACAAACCTGCTGTCCGTGCGCTGGTTTAACGTGGTTTGTGGCTAATCGAGTGGCAAAGCCAACCTAATAACTTGGTGATAAATAAACCCCAACAACTACCATTTCATCCTGTGTTGCACATTCTCTCAAAGTGGTCGACCGTTCAGCTCCTACGCTGGCTTTCAATCTCCTTCCCCAACCGTCCCTTTTTCCTTCTCTACCATTACCACCACGGCTACAACATCAGTTTTGACGATGCAGACAGCTCTGCATCGTCAGCTTGCTCCAATGTTGCCTCAATATCTTCCACAATCTCTCACTCTCAATGGCTCAAGGGCCCTCCCAAATCCCATCGTCATGCCCACTCCCCCAGTCACTTCACGCAAGAGGAAGCGCGCACATCAATATACAGTGAGCTACAGTGAAGTTCAAGAGGTCGACGAGGAAGGCCGGGTCCGTGAAGTCATAGTAATTGAAGATACTCCTCCCCCTTCCACAATATCACCAGCAACAACCCATACAAATGTCTTTTCGGCTTCATATCAACCTCCAGTATATTCCGCTCCAATACGGACAAGGGCCCGTGCTGCTGCCGAGGCACAGACCCTTTCAGCGAGCACTTCGTCCGCAGCGATCGTGGCGCCAGCGCCTAAGAAGAGGAAACGGGAGCCTGCTGATGACTCCCGTACAGTTCTCACAAAGAAGACAGCCGCTACACTGCACCACCAGCAACCCGTGGCATCGACCAAATCGTGGGCCAGCGGCAGCGGGGCTGCCACGGCTGATGTACGTAATCATCGTTCATTCTACATGATCGCTTCCATTGCATACTCACTCCTTCGCAGACTGCCAACGGCAACATTCCTTGTGACGATAAGGAGGGCCATTACATTATTGTCCCAGATGACATTATTTATAATCGATGTCAGTCACCCTCTTGCCGCCATAATCTCTTGTCGACTGATGAAACTTCTGTTTTCCAGATCGTACTGTTCGTCTCTTAGGGCAGGGAACCTTTGGTAAGGTTGTAGAAGCAGTTGATATCCATAACCAGAACCGGGTAGCGATCAAGATTATCCGCGCTATCCCTAAGTATCGCGATGCCAGCAAGATCGAGATCCGCGTACTTCAGAAATTGAAGGAGCGTGATCCATCAAACGTCCAGTGCGTATCGACAATGAAACATCCACTCGTTTTAAACGTATCTTTCAGCAAATGTATCCATCTGCTGCACTGGTTCGACCATCGAAACCATATCTGCCTTGTGTCAGAACTACTTGGCATGTGTGTGTACGATTTTTTGAAGGAAAACGAATTTGCGCCGTTCCCTCGAAACCATATACAGTCGTTTGCCAGGCAATTGCTCGGCAGCGTAGCTTGTGAGTGATTCGTCTCCTCTCCTTTGTTTTGTCTTAGCGTTGTGCTCATGTTGCGTCAGTCTTGCATGACCTTCACTTGATTCATACGGATCTTAAACCGGAAAATATCTTGCTTGTACGCAACGATTACAGACTAGCTGTGGTGCCTGTACCTGGCAAGGTAAGATTTGACGTGACCAATGAGTCCGAGTCTCATAACTTTGCCTGCTTTGTCAGCGTAACGCACCACCACGGACGAAAAGGATGCTCTCTTCAACAGATATTCGTCTTATAGATTTTGGATCGGCAATATTTGAGGAAGAGTACCACTCGACCGTCGTCTCCACACGGCATTATCGTGCGCCTGAGATTATTCTTGGTGAGTGAGATCCTCTTCAAGTTTTCTCCGACATATATTTACATTTCAATTCATTCCAGGTTTAGGGTGGTCATACCCATGTGACGCCTACTCATTAGGGTGCATTTTGGTTGAGTTCTACACTGGCGTCGCTCTGTATCAGACGCATGACAACCTGGAGCATCTCGCAATGATGGAAATGGTCATGGGTAAAATGCCCGATCGGTTCGCTCGTCTCGGAGCTCGGGCTAAGCCCGAGTTCTTCAAGGACGGTTCACGGCTGGACTGGCCGAAGCCGAAGGCTTCGCGGCAGAGCAAGAAGGACGTACGAGCCACCCGACCTCTTCAGGTAGGACGACCAGTTGTGGACTGGCTGGGCTTCTCCTAACGACTCCTCACAGGACGTGATACCTCCGACGGACCAGATTAACAAACAATTTGTGGATCTTGTGCGGCGATTACTTGCCTTTGACCCTGCACAGCGAATCACCGTCCGAGACGCATTGCACCATCCGTACTTTTCTTTTAACATTCCCGAAGAGTTGTAGCCCGTTATCTATATCCACACTGTAGACTTCCTTGACTTGTTCACGCACTCCGACCACCATCCTGCCAGCCTACACTCTCCGCCGCTGTCATCTCACCCCCACAACACTCGCTCACACATTGGAATTGTTATTATGATAATCCATCTTGGTCATGTACAATCCTCACCGACCGACCCACTCCTTCCTGCCTGTTTGATTCCTGGTTTCTCTCTTTTCGTTTTTACCATCAGGTTCCAATCAAGTGTGTCTAACAAGTGCAATAATGTTCTCTACCGCTTCTGTCAAGCAGTATCTTATATTCTACTCATTTGCACGCGGCGTCTTGCTACACATGTAACATGCTACTTCCACCACCTCGCTCGGTCGGAGTTCGTGAAGAAAATTACTGTGGCGCAGGATAAATGACGGGGAATACAGCGACGGTGCAGGCATTCCTTCACGTTGACCACTTGATTAATGATTGTCGGCCGACCACTGGCCTTGCTGGTCCCTGATTTGGCAATGTCTGCTACAGCGGCGGATCATGCCGACACAGTTATTTCAGCGTGGGTCCTGCGCGTGAGTAGTTGCAGGTTGGTGGCCTTTACTGTGGACTCTCCTCACCATTCCTGACGCAGCTTACTATAGTCAACTATAGTCGCACTGTCCGTCGCTTACTCGAGTCACCCCTGATTGGTGGCAAGTCGTCAGATGGATGCGGATGTCCACGCTACTTCCTGCCCATTATGATGGTGGGACCACGGCTGTAATCGACCACCTGATAATTGGATCCGCGTGGTGAAATTATGGGACTTCGGCCCTGTGGTGTTGATGGTTATTAAGTGAGACCTGAAAGTGTTGTTTACCTGAGATCCTGCTAACGTACTCATAGTTCCAGGTCTTAGAGCAAAGCCCCTATGACAGGGTAATGATAGCAACAGAGAGCGTGTCTTCGCTTTGTTCATGTCCACGTTGCTGAGTCCAGGGTACAAACTCAAAACTGTGCAATCTCTTTGACGCCGGCAATGATAGCAATCGGGTAACCACTTGTTTGGGCCTTCTTGCAGTCTACAAGTGGACAATGATATCAAACAGACAAATGGATTTCGACATTTTGATACGACACTGCAGACCGCCGCATACGATCAACGTTGGCGGTGTCACCATGATGCTTCTCGATCTTGACGCTACCCACTTCATAAGCAATGCCTAAGACGCATTCCATCAAGCTCAGGCTGTTCTCATCTTTTCTAATACCAGTACAGGGTTTTAAACAGTTCCGTGACTGTGAAATGGCTTGTAACCGTGTCCAACTTACCGGCGTCCGGAACATGTACACTGCAAGGGTGTTATCACACGTGACCTTTACCTGGGAGGGGGCTTTGAGAAGGCTGAACGCTTTTTGTCTCTGTGAAGGCAGGGAATTTCGCTCGGCCCTGTAGCCACAAGTCAGCGTGGCCACAGTCGCATCACCTTGGTACCTATTAAATCAAGTTTTCACGAGCAATTTGAACGTGTGCATGGCATACTTGTGTATGCGACATGTGCATTCACAAGCACCTGCCGTGCCCAATGCCCGGAAAGCGAGCGGTCCGTTGGTGTCGACAGGATGTCTAATTATCCTTGACCCGGTGGAGTTTTTCATTACTGTACATAGCCGCGTGGCCAGCCGCGACGGTAATACCAAACACACGATCGGACCGTATGCTATGACGCTATGATATTGCATCTCCCTCAGGCACGACAAGTAGAGTTGATTACAATAGAAACACGAGTTCTGCGCTTGCTGCGAAGGTCGGCCAGCACTGCAAGCCCTCGAAACGGACTGGTACCTGCATCATCAGCGAACTGTGCTGGCAGAAACATACGTATCTTTCAGCATTTCCCACCATCGCTTTTGGTGCTATGCAATTATGCGGGAGCGGGTACGGTATGGCGAGCACCGTGCCGATGGGCGACAGGGCAGTGTAGGGTCGTTGAGCGCCCTAAAGACACATCAATCTAGAGCTTCACGCTGTGTTCGTTCTTCAAACAGGTAATGAAGAAACCAGTGTTTAACAAGGAATCACGAAATCCCGTGATTCCCTGGATAACTTCACACTGGTTTCTCCCACTTTCCCCCAGCTATGCAAGAACCATCATTGCACACTCGGATCCACAGAACAAGAGAATGTACATACATCCAATAGCTCGCGTCACTTTGTGACTGCGGGATGTCGAATGAATCTTTTGGCAGTATCTATAATGTTGTTGGCAAATTCAGTAAAAGACGGGTAGGTTCTGAGGGCAAAACTCGCCTTCAGAAGCACGAGATTTGTGGATAAACCCCATGGACCCTATCTCTCGCATAATATCCTTCAAATAGGCTATGGCAGCTGGTGAATCAATAATACAACAAGTTCCAAAATCTGGAATACAGTAGCCTGCAAGTGCTGATATCAGGCTAATCGTTGCCATGCATACTGCACATTCGGTTCTTCTCTTGCGACAGCCAAGTTGCCCAGTAACTGAGCAAGCGTGGTTTCTGCATGCACACGATCATGCATAAAGTGACGAACTTGTCGGTGGTGACATGTTGACATGTGAGTGAACGTGAGAAACCTGCCCTAGAGTCAAATTTCATAGGAGACGTGACGTTTGCATAGTTCAACGTCTTGAAGCAGTTTGAAACCGACCTGACCGGGACGTCCACCACATCTACGTTTACGCCTTTTGCTTTGCTTTACCTTGCTTTATCTAATATGCGTCCCTCGACTTACGTTGCGCGTGGCCTGAGCCTTGCTACCTTGTTGATGGCACTGGGAGTCTCTGCTTGTGAGTTTATTCTCTACTTCACCGAATAAGTTTGAAAATTATTTATTGTGTAGCCCTGGATGATCCTGAGATAGTCATTGAAACCACTTTCCCCGAGAGCAACCCATTCGGCCGTATGTCCTGCGCTTCTCAATGTAGCTCGCGCAATTTTGACACGTAGTGTAACAGATGTGGTGAACGGAGAGCGCAACCAGCTTTACCTCGTGGTTGAGAATAGGTCTGACAAGAACGTGACGTTGCAATCGGTTGCGGGGTCGTTCCATCATCCTGAGACTGGAAGTCTCATCAAAAATGTTCGTCGGCGCCGTGTCGTGCTATCTTATGAGTTACCTAACATGTCTGTCGTCAGACGTCTTCACTGACGTATGGTTTCCCCCTGCTCGAGGGTACAAAACTACAGATTCCTTACTCTTTCTACTCCGAGTCAGTTCTCCTCATCTCTTTCTTTGCAAGTGGATTGTGCTGACAAGTTTCGTTGCAGATTCAAGGTATGACCATCCAGTTATTCTTCATTGCCTCTTTTCAAAGTGAACCAGCCAGGAGACTTGAGGCTCAACATTTGGCTAGAGCACACTGTTGATGTAAGTGCTTGAAATCCACCACTTTTATGTTTACAAACGTGTCTTTCAGGACGACAAATACCGTGTGACAGCCTACGACTCAGTGGTGACGATTGTTGAGCCAGAGCCATCCTGGCTAGATTTCAAACTGTGCGATCAATTACCTCGAACCTCCGTTTTGGTGCTCACTTGTGTTCTTTAACAGCCTGTCCACCTACCTCATAGTTTTCGCTGCAATTGCGGGCCTCTCATATGCGGCATACAACGCATATGTTCCTTCGCAGAAACCGAAACGCAAACGCCCAACCGAGGTTAGCGCGCCTGTTGGCACAGTGACTGCGAGTGGTTCGAGTGGCTACCAGGAAGAGTGGATTCCTGAACACCACCTCAAGAAGACTAAGGGAAAGAAGACAAAGCTCGAGAGTGTTGCGATCAGCGAAGAATCGAGCAGTGGTGAGGCGAACGGGACAGAGGGGAAGAGGACGAGGAAGGGGAAGAAGTATTGATGCGTGGATTAAAACATTTGTCTAGTACTAGACAATATTTGCATCCTATTGGGTAATTTATACAGGAGTGGTAATCCACTTTGCGGCGTGCAGCGTATTGAAGTGTCCCACATGTTGTTCCACGGCCCACTTAACACCAATGGAACATCGATAGATGTTGTGCAGTTTGAATGGTCATTCTAAGAAGCACTAGGACAATCTAGACATCAATCTTTTTGTAGCCCTTGACCTATTGCGAACGTTCGTTTAGTGAAATTAGTGAGAACATGCGCATACCACGTACCTTGTTCTCCTTAAGCATCGAAATATATTTATCCGAGAGCCATCTGCAGTTCTCCAGGTGGTTGACACCCTCATGCCGGTGGCATTTGACGAGCTCGTCACGGACAAGTCGAGCTTCCATGGCTTTCACCCAAGACTCACGAACGAACTCTTCGCGTTCTTGGAGTTTCGCTGGACACGCAGGTTAGTGAAGACTTTTGTTAGAGAGTACACTGAATTCATACATTTTATGAGCTCGGGTTTGTCTGCGTACTCGGACATGGTCGCGGTAACTAAGAATTGTTTGGTTCTTGTTTGTACCTTCACGTTTTCGGCTCCATAATGATCCGCTCCGAGTCTCGCACCACGTGGTGACAATGAGGAGAAACGACGGGCCGATTCATTTTGTCTATCGCAGTTCTTTCCTTGAGGCTATTCGAAACTTGTTCGAAACTGAGACATGGGCTAGCTAAGTATTGCTAGCTATCTAGGCTATAGCAAGTCTAGGCTGTAAACATCATCATCTATGTGCCGACATCGTGCTCCGTGCTGGCACTGCCCTTCTTCACTAACCACGATTGGTCGCTCCATAACGTTCTGTTCCTCCTGCACCCCTTCGCTTGTCATGAACCTTTCTTGCTGGACATGGTCATATGTCTTGTCTCACGGTTCACATTTCCGATCATATCCAATTGGATTGACGCCACAGCTCTTTTGTCCCCGTTCGAGATATTAAATGGATGTTTCACCAGTACTGCTGTGGTACTTAAAACCAATCGTCAACGTGCGCTACGGGATTCACCGTCGTGATGAGCGCCCCTCACTATCCAGAGCCAACATGGATGCGTCTATCTGGTCGCAAAACCCCAATCTACACGAGGTATTTGCAATTTACAATACCCTACGCCCTTATCCTGACGTTTTTTGTTCAAAGGCCATTACTAGGATCTGAGCTGTTTGATGACCGAACAAGCGTTCTGCTCGATGGGTAGCGCGATTAAAATCATTCATTGCTCATATATACTCACTCTTTTTTCAGTATGACCGACGCATGTGTTGGCTTCACCTTTCAGAGCATATATGCCGCAGACGAGGTAAAAAGGCGCGCACGCAACGCTTTCGCTAGGCTTCGGTAATAGTCCTTACCTCATCCTATGTGTGATATATTCTCAGAGGGAACGCAGATACTCGTGTCCCATCATCGCAACCAACATAGTGGGCGATTTATCCGGCCCTACCCCGAGATCGTGGGTATATGCGCCTGTACAAAGCCCGTTGGAGCTTACACACTGGATGAACAATGCGTTTTACTCCGTGCACCGCGGAGACGATCTAGACGTTAACGCTTTCGTTGAAGATATCAGTCAAATTCGGCTCCCTTACCAGCCCCAGAACGCAAGCCCCCTCTGGTTTCGCTGCTATCTTCTCTTGGGCGACAATAACAGACATGGCCTCTATTTTCATGGTCCGCATGCCATCATGGACGGTGGCCCGACACTCAATGCTTTTGCACACATGTTTCAATGGATGACGAACGACGCCGCCGAACCTGCAGAGAACTTACCCTGGGGGACAGAATGGCGTAATCTGCCCATCGGTCCTGTTGGTGCCACAGGCGGTCCTCGCGATGATTGGGATGTTGCAGGTGTCGAGCTCCTGAAGCAACAGTCAAACTCCGAAGCGGTCCGCACGGTTTGTTTTTATTACGCACTCATCATTTTGGCCCCCTTTCGATCAGTTGCTGCAGATACCATTGACTTCGCGTCCATCTCGGATATCACAAAGTGCAGTCGGAAAGACATGTAGACTGGAGCGAGTTCTCGACCCGACATTGACGCGTAGGCTAGTCAACAAAACACGGATCGTCGGTTGCACGATGTCCCATGTATTTGAGGCTGCGTATTGCATGGTGCTGCTCGCCCGCAACCAAATTCCACCGTCTATGTGGAATGCCTATCACTTTTTGGGCAACTCCTCCGCGTGAGTGCCCCCTATAAAGAAATGTACATCTGCTGAAAAAATTTCAGCGTCTCGCTGATTCCGCACCTGAGACTGCCCTATGATACGAAGACGCATTTTATCTCTTCCCGCACGCATATACCGATCCAAGTTCCAATGGCCGAAATATCATCCATAGATTCGCCCAGAAGGCAACTCTTGCAAATCGCCCAAGCCATAGAGCAAAGATGCGCTAGGTTTGCCACGCATCCTTGTATGCCCCACGTCCAGGCTGCAAGGGCATATCAACCAGATGCTTTGTCTGAAAGATCAGACATCGAGAGTTCCGTCAATAATGTCGGCCCCATCGAGCGGCGACTTTCGTTGTCGTGGAAAGAAAGGCATGATGCTGAGCCGGTGATTGAGCTGGAGTCGGTGTTGTTTTCAGTCAGGCTAACGTCTTTGGCTCCGTAAGATTTATTTATTTATTTCTGTTCATTGGGCGTGTCTGAATATATTGACAGAATAATCCACCTATGGACCATGAAGGGTAGTCTACACGTTCAGATTCAAGTGCGCAGCCTTTTCTACTTTTTGTTGTGGGAGAGGCTCATTGATATTACAGGCAAATGACGCCTGGTCACGAGCAGACCTACAGGACCTTCTCGATTCCATCTGCTCCCGAGCATGCCTGGTTCTTGAAGACTTTCCCCACAATCCCCCAGGCCATCCTTCTGACCTGACCTTGAATGAACGAAGCAGACTTTGACGTTGGGAGGTCTTTCGGATTTTGCTTTATCATCTGATATCACTGCATGCGCTACGAGATCCTTGCTGCAACTCGCTATCTGGTACCATTTGCGCCAACTCACCGAAGCTTCTTTCTTCCGCGTCGGTTGAACTTTAGGTGTAGCAGTGGAGGTTATGTCGGAGGGAACACCCTTCACGTGTGGGTCTGGGGAGGAGGAGGAGGAGGAGGAGGAGGAGGAGGAGTCTGTGGCGCCCCTTTCCTCAGGGTATGGAATACACGTGGCAGCTGAAGCTTTTGAGGGCCGACGTTCCAACGGCGAGCGAGGAGACATACGGTTGTCAGGCCATGTGCCATAGCTCTGTTCATGCATTAAGGTGCTAAATACTCTAGCATAAGTACTTGTATTAGTCCTACAGAAGGCCTTGTGCCCGGTTTGTTTCGGAGGCAATAAATCCCAAGATCGTGCAAGCAAGAACGTTCTACATAGTTTACATTCATCATGGCAGAAAATCCCGTCAACTCAGAATTCGAAGGTGCTGCCGCCGGTCCTCATTCAGAGACAGATGTCCTTCACCCAAAGCAAGCTCAGCTAGATTCTTCCAGAATTACTTATCACTAACTCTTACACTTTAACTATGATAGTTCCACAACTCATTCTCGCTTCTTGCCAATCGCACAGATGGGATCCCTGTGGCACGGGCGAGACTCCCTGAAGAACCTTGTTATTCTGTATGGCCTAAAATACTGGTATTTTAACATCTGGCTCATGCGCGTGCAGCGGAGACTCGTACAGCTCCGGTTATCAGGACAGCGTCGACACTTGGGTACGTTGTACCAAGACTGCAGCATGTGGGATCCTGACGGTGAGGGTGTTCTTAGCCCAACCATGTTGCCTCCCTGCTCGCCCCTTTCGCAGTCGAAGTGCATAACTTCTCAATGCCAGGCGCAACTGCCAAGCATCATCTTAGAAGCCAGACGGCTTGGTTCTTTGCGCGTTTACCGAGGAAGGGTCCTGAATACGAATCTGAATTAGTTTTCCTCGATTCTGAAGAAACCACCTACGGTACGATAATTTCAGTCCCCAGTACTCACTGAATATTAATCATTTTGGAATTTCAAGTTCTGTTTATCGGTATCAACGATTGCGGCACGACAAAGGCATACGATCTAGAACCAATCATTGATGTTGTTTTTGACAACCTGCATCGGCTAGATGTAGGAGCAAGAGCACGGAATTTTATCATAGTCGATGTACCCCCTATTGATCGATCGCCAGGCGGTGAGTAGTCCATATAGCCCATACGCGCCAATATGAACTAAAATTAAATATCGAGCAGGTTCGTCATTCAGGGCAGAGCTCAAGGACCGTGTCGAGACATGGAACGATTTGATTCACAAGCAGACGGCTAGCCACGCATCCCCCGGCCGCGGCGCTCAAACGCCTCGAAGTATATTTCTGTTTTCATCGCACGCAGTGCTCACAGATGTTCTGGACAACCCGGTGAAGTACGGATTCACAGAGAACGACATAGCGCAGGAGGGGGGTGGTATCTGGGCGGATGAGCTGCACGTTACGTCTGGCGTGCAGAAAGTGATTGCGGAGCAGTTCGTCCGCATGGTGGCATCTAATTCAAGTTCATGAATAACCTTTCATGAGGTTCTCTCGAATATCTTTTTAAACAAGGCTCTACGTAAATAACTCATCCTCAGTATGTTTTGCTCTTATAGTTCTGGAATCGATGACCATTGACCATGTGTATGTAAAGCCACTCAAATTAACAAGAGATGATTTGGTCTTTATCAATAACCCCTCTGGCGTTGATCGAACCAACAAACAGGCAGAATGGTCTGAAATCACGAACGTCACACCGTATCTGTAAACTGAGAGCGCATCTGCTAGGTTTCCCGCTCTACAATTTCCTGAACATATACTGCGCACTGTGCGCAGTACTACCACTTACTTATAATATATTGTTGATTTTGTAGACACGTGACTGACGCGTCGCGATCGAGTTTGTTTATCGAGCTGGCAAGCACGCACAAATATCATAGGATAAATATCCTGGATATCCTGGAATCGCCCGCCGTCGAATATCTTATCTGCACGCCGTACATTTTATAACAATATTCACCATCATGATTTCTACCACTTGCCATGTCGCTTCAAAGTTCGCCATTACGGGCATCCTCTCCCTCTGCTTCTTCAGAGAAGCTGTCGTCCGCCCCGCCCAGCGTGACAGGACAGTCTCCGCCGGCCGGATCGTCGCGTCGGGCTGCCTATCGACATTAATTCTTATCGTGGCCGCCCATCGAACAGCCTCAAAGATCCTCAGAGGCGAGATCGGCATCTCCTCCGCCGGCGAGAATCCCACAGACGCCGTCCCCACCGTGACAGCACCGGATCGCCCAGTATCCATTTCTTCGTCGCCTGTACCCGACTCCATTCCCGACATCACTATCGATTTGCCTTTTTCTTCGAAACCTGTACCCGATTCTTCATCGCCTTCCGACATTACTACTATTGATTTATGTATATCCTCGTCACATGTACTTCCGAGTCCGTCGACTCCGTCCGACATTACTATGGCCGATTTGTCAAATTCCTCGACATGTATAGCTCCACCAACGCCTCAAGACATCACCACGATCGATTTGTTAACTTCATCGACAAATGTATTTCAACCTACGCCTCACAACCACTATCATCGATTTGCCCGATCTCGCCAACTGTAACCGACTATCCCTCACATCCGACACTACCCTCGTGGCCCGCGACGACGACGACGACCTCAAGTTCGCTGACAAAGCCTCGAGTACCAAAGAGGTTGAGTCATCCGGCAACAAACGGACTTTCCAAGAGGTACGTCGCATCATACCTATTTTTTTCATCGCTTAACGTTTTAATTGCTATAGGCCAACAAACGAGTACCAGCACGCGCTGCGCACGGGTATCGTGTCGACATACTACCCCCAACCACAACTCCAACTCAACTGCGGCCACTCTTCCTGGTCAACAAATTCCGGACTACAACTGTAACTAAACTGCGGCCACTCTTCCTGGTCAACAAATTTCGGACGACAACTGTAACTAAACTGCGGCCACTCTTCCTGGTCAACAAATTCCGGACGACAACTTCACAAACTATCACCGACCATTCCCTTCCTGGATCCACCCACCTCACGAACGCCTCGCTTCAGACCACGAAGATTGCCAACTCCCTCCACAATAGTCCAACCTTAGCTCCCAAAGACGACTTCATCAATGTGGAGGACGTCTTCACTCTGCCAGTGGTCGACCAATTTCAAACGGCGTCGTCTACAATTCCTAACCCTTCTTTTCCTGGACCGGCCCACTGGATTGACGCTAATGCCCCCCTTCCTGCATTCCTCCGCCCCGCCAATGCTAACTCTTCTCTCACTGGATCCGCCTGCCTATTAGCCCAAAAGACAAAGGCCGCTGCCTCCTGGCTCAAGCCTCTAATACTTGTCACGAAACACGCTGCCGGTCGACCTACACCTCCCCTTACAGGATATCAGCCTGAGAAGGCCCGTCCGCACAAGCTCAAGCCACAAAAGGTACAGACGTGTTTAGCACCAGACTAAGTATGTTGCTCATCATATTTTATTAGCCCAAACCTAGAGCGTCGCGATCAAACGCTGCCCGCGATAGCATTGTGCAATCTCGCCTCCGGCGACACGCCAACAGGATCGGTTAGTCATTTCTCCTGACGTCAAACTTGCTTATTGATGTGCTACTAGTTGGTCACCTTGCGCTAGTCTGTGAAGAGATTCGCACTGGCCAAGCAGCCCTCATGAACGTCTGGGTCGCTACCCTGGCGGAGGTTGGGTTCACCTCGACACTGTCTGGCAACCACCAAACGTCGCTGGGGTCACCGTTTCCTCCCATAGTCGATGCGATTTCGGTACCAGAGCCTGGTTTGCGAATCAAAGACCGCCTTGCGTCACTTCGCCAGCGAACAATTGCGGTCGCAGCCACGATTCCAGCTACCACCACCACCGCACCTTCTTCACCTTGGCGATGCACTTCCTGACACCTCCAGCATCTTACGCCCGCCCACCATTACTCACTACAGCGCCGAGAACCACCGCCTAGCAACAACCACACTACGATAGCCCATCAAGGTCACGGGCCACATGCTTTCGAGCAGAACACGACGCTATCAACCAACGCTATCAAACGACGCTATCGAACGACGCTATCAAACGACACGACTTCACGACACTTAAGACAGACCGCGAACGACGCTACGACGCTCTCAGACGAAGACCATTTCACGACACTCACGGCGATGCTAATTACCATTCCCCTCATTGGGATCACGACGATCACCCACGACATTCACGACTTGTTCAAGTCAGAACACTTACGCCGCCACGATGCCATTAACAGACGATCATTTCACGATACTCACCGCCGCGATGTTATCATAAAAGACAACTTCACGATACTCACTACTGACTCAATAGAAAGGCTCGCATTATCGCCGGGAAACACGATGTTCCGCTAGAACACCCCTGCGAGACGAGTTTCGACCCCCTTCAGAGAACAAAAGACCGCGTCGGATGTTTGGTTTGTTAATCATGCTTGTTATATATCTACGTTACTTGTTTTCCTTACTACTTTGCGCTTTCTTGTACTTAATAACAATCCACTTTGATGATAATGTTCGTTGCCTGCTCGCTCGTCCTTGGATCGAATGTCATGATAATTCGCTCGATGATCGCCTAAGTATATCTACATAGTACATCGTGTCGATGCAAGGTGATACGAACGAGATTGCGGTGGCTCAAAATACAGCTGCTACGTAGATGTCAAATGTATCATAAGAAATTGACTTCGTCCGTACTAACTGGTAGATCAATCAATCACTAGTGGAACTCCTTAGGTAGTTGGTACCAAGTAAGTTCTATCCTTGTTCGAAATCTGCAATTGCATGTCAATCACGGAATGACGGCAACAACTCTTCGCCACACTGCTAGCCCGTTACACTGAATATAATCCAGCAGTCCCAACCCCGGTGATGTAGGTGCTATCTGCATAATAACAAATGCTGGAGTGGCGATGAGGGCCCCAGAAAAACATCCCATCGCCAAACCAGCTAGAATGCCGAGGCCCTTTGGGGAATGCACCTTTGTTGGGCTTGGTCGAAACATCCATCCACAGAAGGTCCACACGACCAATACGACGACGTAGATTATGATAAAAAAACGGTCCCGGTGAAGCCCTTTGGCGGCGAATACGAGTAGAACCGAAGATAAGACACCGAGGATGAGGGTACTAATGGCCGTGGCGAGATTAAAGGCCCTTCTAAGGAAATCTCTTTCGAATTGGTCCCCATACCGGACTTTAGGATCGATTGTTAGTGGCAGCGCAATGGTGCAGATGCTGAGAGCCTGAACCAACATCAGCGGAGCTGATGCACTGTGCAAGTTGCCTATGACCCATAAGACCTGCGAGACTGGGGAATAGATGACCGAATAACTCCAACCCAACCAGCCCAACGCGTTGGTTTTGTCATCGCTACTGTCACGGCTGTCACAACACGGCAGACAGGATGCAAGTTTTTGACAAAAGCTCTGTGTCTCACGCTGTGGACAAAGCAAAAGCTCAATTCCTCCGAGGAGAATGTGCAGTGTCGCAAACCAGCTAATCCAGCCAGAAAAGAGGGCGACATAAAAGCCGCTGGTAAGGCCGCCCATGGCGGATCCGACGAAGCCTGTCAGAACAGCACGGAAAGCCTGGGCGTGGGGCGATATCTGACAAGTGGCATTGTGAGTAGTTGTGATATCCATGATAAGCTCCCGAAGTTTTGAGTTACCCAGGCGTATGTAGAGGGAACGAGGGGGAACAAGGGGGAACTTGACTGAGGTTTATGTATGCACGAGCCACGTTGCCATCCACCAGGATTAGTGGGCCAGGGGAGTCGTGGACCCTAGTATCACTTTTGAGCGTTTACTGGTAGCATACAATAGACCACGAGGACGAACGTTCTTGATAGAAGCACCCCTATGACAAGCATGTGCAGCACGCAAAGCAGCACAATGATAACGAAACGGTTACCCAAACTTGATTAATGCAATACACTCCCCTGATGCATGATGATAATTGCTGCTATACCACGGCTTTGTGCCACCTGATAACGTAGTCCTCGTGCTACTTACCTAAAGTACAGTTTGCTGGAAGACACAGCAACACCGGTGTACAAAAGCAGGTGCTTGCAAAATCACTGGGCCGGATAGAAGAACATAAGATCAGGTCCCCGCGTCAAACAACAGAGTACGGCATGTCAAACAGACGATAGCCCCGCTTCCTATATAGCTGGTAGACCCGGGACGAGAGAACCTAATCTGGGCGTCAAAGGCAGTCGGGCACGCGGCATTGGGCAGTAGTATCCTGAATGCATACAGCATTTCAACGGCATTACACCGTGACAAAGGCAGGCGCAGCGCTAATCAAAGAATGCATCTTGGCTCGTGGTCTGACATAAATTAACATCAGTTAGGTGGTACGCATGTGCCATCAAAAGTGACGCTGTCCTACAGCGAAAATTGTAGCTGTACAAGTCATTCACAATGACCACACATTTTTGATGAGTGCCCCTATGATATGCGCGGTTCCAGCGTGTGGTACTTGCTGAACGGGCAGTATGAAGGCACCAAGAGGCAGTACAGACATCAAGTTGCTTTTATGGACGTTCCGGTCAAATGGTTGCTGAGATGAGCTCATCGTCGAGGCCTAGTTAGTAGTCGTGCTGTATATTGCTAGTTAACACTGTAAGACTCGACGCGGACTGAGCAATCCTACGGTGACGCGTACCAGGTACCTCGATAGCGAGACGGGGAGTTGAGACTCACCATCTCGCGAGAACGGTATAGGTCAGCTTTGAGCGCTGGCAGGTCGAATGCAATGCTTACGAGCGGCATTTGTACGGTCATGACACTCTCATGATAAGTACTAGTATGGTATAACTTGAAGCGCTTGAGGTTGTCAAATGTGACGCATGCGAGACTCGAGTTATGAATCGTTCAAGTTGTTACGAGATGGAACCTGGCAGGATCAAACGCTAAGCGCAGCCAAGCTCCATGATTCTGCACGAGGACAAACACAAAAGCGTCTGAATCGTTTGCAGGTTTACAGTTTGACTGTAAAAAACTGTCACACACTAGCTGGGATGTGCTGAGAGGTGCTGAGACTGCGGGAGATGCCGCCGGAGAGGTTTCACGTTATTACATAATAATAATATTAACTTAAACCCCTTCCCCACAGTTAAAGTGAACTTCGCGCCCAACTTGTGTCGCAAATCAGGTCCAGGTTAGTTATGTCCAGCGAGGTATCCTTTCCGCTCTCGTTTCCAACAGCTGATCCGCTACTGACGATCACACACCGTGAGTGCACGTTTTTGCACACATATTCTAACAGAAGTCTAAATAGCAAGCACGCACACAGCTCAACAAGAAATTTGGATAGTTGAGCTGCACGACGGGCAGGATTCCCGCCTGACGACACGAATGATAGATGAGGCATTGCGGCCTGCGTTGGATATGGTAGAACGCAGCTGGTGCGCTATGCGAGACAAACAAGCAAACGACGGCACAAATAAGAGAGGTGGTGCTCTTATCATCGTTGGAAGGAGAGATCAGGACAAATTCTTCAGCAATGGGTTTGACTACGAGACGGTGAAAGGAAATTTATCCTTTTTCAATGGTATGCGTGTGGTTGACTTGAAGAATTTGAAGCACTTGACATATCTTAACAGACACGGCGAACCCCTTGTTTGCGCGTCTTCTCACATACCCAAGTACGTAGCTGAATTTATTCGTGGCATTCTGACATTCACCTGTATCGTTACAGTACCTACTATAGCAGCTATTAACGGCCATGCATTCGCTGCTGGGATGATGCTCTCTCTTGCTTGTGATTACCGGGTCATGACCGACGGTAGCAGGCGAAGGGCGTGGATGTGCATGAACGAGGTAGTAAGCCCATGAAGTAAATCTTCCACGATTGCTAATAGTTTACAGATTCATTTCGGCGCACCATGGCCTCTGAGTTTCACTGCAATTCTCAACGCAAAAGTTGGCTCTCCAGTGATGCGCAGGCGAGTCGCGCTCGAGGGGCATCGCTTTACACCCTCGGAAGCTCTGAAAGCAGGGATAGTCGACCGCCTTGCGAATTTGACAGGCACGAGTGTAGAAAATGGAACCGATAAAGTCCTGGAAGAGGCAATGAAACTGGCCAACGAAGTCAAGATATTAGCGAGCCAAGGTGTTTGGAGTGCAATAAACGTTCGCAAATTAATCATTCGGGATCGATCAATGTACTGACGCAGCGTTTTTGCAGACGTGCCTATACAAAGATTGCCTGGAGGTTTTATATTCTGATGCTCGAGTTCATATGATCTCACCGAACAGAGAGGCAAAACTATGACATCATTCCGCACCCGTAATATGGCCGTGAATGTTGCGATCGTTTGGTGATATTGACCCGCAGGCAGAAATTAATCAATGTTGGCGATGAGACTGGGGATGGAGCAAGCTAATGTTTAGATTAGCATGAAAGAGGCATCCATCATCCTCTGAAAAAATTCCGCTCCTGCGACAACAATCCTACACATGGCGAATACTTATAATACCTTGGCCGGAAAAACACGGAGCTCTTGGTCCAGCAAAACCTGGGCTGGCTACCATTCCGGCCTCAAAACAAGCAGCAGCTGGTACCAGTATGCAGCTATTTGGGTAACTCTTCTTTCTTGTAGTATGGCAACAACGTGGTGGGTTCCCTGCCTATCGCAATATAGGACAGGATGCTACATCACACTACGTACACTATACACGATACCAAGTCATACGAGTTTTTTTTCTTGCTCTCAAGGTATAAATGAAGCGTCAGAGACCCCTGTTCGTCGATAAAAATGCGGCTACAAAATCTCTAGGGTCTTGACGTCCATCATGGGCATCAACAGAAGCTATGTCCCTGACTTGTGCGATAATATTCTGATCCGATGCGATCTTCTTGTACTCTCCACCACGCTGCTGCGCTAGACAAAGCATGCCAAAAGGCTGTCCAAGGCGAACGGGCAACCTTAACGCTCGTGAATGAGACTGCGAATCAGCCAGCTCATTGTCACGGTACTGCCCTAGCAAAAGTGCGCCAAAACGCTGCCCAAGGCGAACGAGCGAACTCGACTCTCGCGTATGAGACTCCGAATCAACCGGCTTATTCTCTCCGTGAGACCAGCCGAGCGGATCGTGACGGAGACCCAGGCTCAGGCATCATCTGAGTTTTGTGCCTCGTCTGCAAAGTCGGGCAGCTTGAGATCATAACGATTCCACGAACGGACGAGCAAGAATGTCTGCTGATAAGAATAAGATCATGCTCATGCGCTCATCCCATCCGGGACGAGGTCGAAATCGTCATGTAGAATCCAGGTGGCTACATTATAGTGGCAAAAACATCTTTTCCGGAGGTCGCGAGGGCCCGGAGCATACATCGTTTTAGCAGTAAGACGGGTAATGCGACGGAATACGCACAAAGGATGCAATATCGTCACAGAAAGAACATCGCCCGGGCGGAGTAGCACACCCTTTCAGTCTATAAGTGAAGTCAAAATATTAGCTAGCTATGGCGGTGAACGTTCGCCAGTGATAGCATCATTTGGCTGACGCAGAAACTTGCAGTCGTGCTTGATTGTCTTGAAGCTCTATATTGAGGCTTGAGTTCATGAGACGTCTCCGAACAGAAGTAAAAGGGGATGGCATGCTAGGCTATGCCACACGTGCTATGCATATATCGTCCGTGAACATTGTGATCATTTGATGATCAAGTTATTTGTGATCCGCTGGGAAGAAACTTATCGATGAGAGCGGTGCTACTGGCGTTCTTTCATTAGCGTGATCCAGGGATTGCCGCTGGGTGCCAGATGGCCCTGAAAAACGCTGATTATCCTAGTACGCGCATGAGAAACTACACAAGGCGAGTATCCACTTGTTCTTAAAATTTTGCCTTGGTCCGAAAATACGAAGCCGGTCCAGTAAAAAGCTGAGTTGTCAGCTGGATAGGCATGGATTCTGTTTCCAACGAGCAGGAGCATTGGAGCTCGTTGTCTTGTTGCTCGTAACGGGGTGCTACCGTTGTGATCATTGGGAACAACAAAGAGCAACAAAGCGACTGCGGGCTGTTCCAATTCGCTTATGTCATCCAAGAAAGACAAAAGATTTTAGTGTTCAAGAATGTATGCAACCCCTTAATTTGCAACCTATATAAAATCGACTTATGGATCCATGAGGCCACTCACTTTCCGGTCCTTTCAGGATCCTTTCACCTTCCGCGCATCCGAACTCTGGCCTGGTGCCGTTCTGTCTTTCATTCTTCCAATAGTTCGCCAGTCGATCTCAAATTCTCTTTCAGCTTTTGCTAATTGTTCTAGTTGTCGCTAGTCGACGTTGTTCTTGCTGTTGATTTCACTCTTTGGTTTTTGCAACTCCTTCACGCGTCATGCAGCTCTCGGTCATTCTCGCTGTCCTATTGGCATGCATTCTAAACAGCACACCTACTGATGCAATCCCTGCGCGGGCGCGTCACCAGCCACAGGTTAACTCAAGGATGGTTACAATGCCGCTAAAGCGGTTGTACGTTCCACGAACCGACGTCCACCCACAATTGGTGAGCTAATATGATCATCACCTCCCCGTAGCCTCTGACCCTTGATGGCACAGCAACTCCAACAACACATTAATCGTGGCAACAAACGCCTTGCGCGCATGACTGGACGTTCAGAACCCGATGAACATGAACTTCGTGCAGAGATGCATAAGAGGATGTACATTCTTGAAAGCAGTCCAGTCAATGCCAGTAGTGCTACCACGGAGGTAGGGAGCAATTTTAGCAGACGCCATTCGCGTCATTCCAAACCTGCCACAGAGGCAGCAAGCAATGCTACTTCCACTGGCACTGGTGGCGGTGTTTCTCCTCTCGACATCCAGGCTGCCGAAAATGGTGGTCTCACTGCTGCTAAGAAACCAACTGCTAACAACACTCTTGGCCTCGCTATTGAGTGAGTCCAGCCGTTCTTCCGCTTAAATTGATCAACTGAGGATCGTGCAGTGCGGATGATGTCGGATACATTGCAACTATCCAGATCGGCACTCCTCCACAGAACTTCAATATCCTTATGGACTCTGGTTCCGCCGACTTTTGGGTCGGTAGTGAAACTTGTCAATCTCAGCAGGGTAGTTGCGTAAGTTCATGTTAGTAGCAGCTGCGATAAACTACTCACATCAGTTCAAGGGGAATCACACTTTCCTTGGCTCTCAGTCGTCAAGCTCTTTTGTTCAGTCCAATCAAAATTTCAATGTAACTTATGGGTCTGGAGCCGTTGCTGGTGTTCTTTGCCAAGACAACGTCAACATGGGGGGTTTACAGCTCAACAACCATACCTTCGGCGTAGCGAATGAGGAGACTGTGCAGTTCTCTGCCAGCACGGTAGCCTTTGATGGACTGATGGGTCTTGCCCAATCAGTAAGTCGACTGATTGACGAAATGTCAACACCTAATCACGGATTCTTTTTGCAGACGCTTTCCAATGAAAAGGTCCCGACTCCTGTCGAATCTTTGGCATCCCAGGGTCTCATTCCTTCGGCTATATCGTCTTTCAAGATCTCACGTCTCGCTGATCAACTTAACGATGGCCAAGTTACATTCGGTGGACTGGACTCCACTAAATTTGTCGCCAGCACCCTTGTTACTATCCCCAATGTCAGCAAGATAGGGTTCTGGGAGGGCGCTATGGACGCAGTCACGGTCAATGGACAAAACTCAAGCCTGAGCGGACGCACTGCCATTCTTGACACTGGCACCACCCTCATCATTGCCCCTCCGGCAGACACCCTGGCCATCATGACCATGCTTGGTGGTAAATGTGATACCCAGCAGTGTACGATTCCATGCACATCGAATGCAAGCGTCGCACTTTCCTTTGGAAATGCGTCGTTTGCTATCGATCCCAGGGACATGGCGCTGCTGCCTGTCAACGTCAATGATCCGACTGGTGACTGCACAGCTGGGATTCAAGCTGGCACCATCGGGACGAACACGGAGTGGCTTGTATGTGACCCCTTTTCCAATTGTATCATCAGTCGCTGAATGCCTTTGGCAGGTCGGAGATGTGTTTTTGAAGAATGCTTATTTTTCTGTGGACACGCAGAAGAACCAAATTTCTTTGGCCAAACTTTCCTAGTTTCGACCAGGTGGCAGGATGTAGTGTAATTGTTTTCTAGCAGCGGAATCGCGGGACCGGTTTTTGCTTAGATTCGCATCGAATTATCTTCAAGCTGTATCATAGTCATTGTTCATTGCTATCATTGACGCAAGATATCAATTATCCGAAGTCGGAAGGAAAGAGGAACGAGTATACACCATACATAATACTGCAACAATAAATTTATGTCTACTTTTTCCGCAGGAGGTCCTTCGCGATTTCCTCGTTATCTGCCGACTGGTCTGGCAGCCAAAAAGCCTGCAGAGGGCGCCATTAGCACAAGATGCGTAGACAGTGAAATATGGAAATGTTTACCAATTCCGCCCCCGCGGATACAATCATAGCCAACCGGGGATTGAATCTCACACATCTGGATGGACCGGGATGGCCATCAAGGGTCGTAAGTGGTTGAAGCCGTGTTGGAGGTGCCTTGAGATCAACAACGCCTGATCGCACAGGCAAATTTTGGACGTCCCATATGACTATTTTCCCGTTCAAACTGCCGCTGACAACATACTTGCTATCTGGCGTCCAAGATACCTCCTCACCACTGTTACCCTTTGAGGGGTCGATAGTCTGCGGGGCGTCAATGCGTCGCCGCTCTAACCCAACGTGACCCTCCAACTTCGCCAATAGATGGCCTTCAAACGCGTCCAAAATGTAGTGCGCATCACCAGAGCAGCCGACAAGGATGTATTTCGCGTTCGGCGAAAATGAGAGAGATGTCATATATATTGGGCGAGGTGGGTAGCTGACCAAGGCTAGGGTGGAATCTTCGAGCGTTATGGTCAAGAACGGGTCCTTGTCATAGTTTGCTTGGTCGTACAGGAGTATCCGTGAATAGTGATTCACGCCTACTGCAAATACCAAGCCGCTGGAATCGTAGGCCACGATGGGCGATGCAGGTAGGTTCAAGAGCCCGCGACATGTCGGGGCGCGGAGGTCCCATAATCGAACCGTTTTGTCTAGTGAACCGGACATGAAGCCATCGTCGATGGGTGAGACCTCTAAGGAGACTACGCGTCCGCTGTGTCCCTTGAAATACTGCAAGTATTTGTTGTCGTGGAGTGAATGATACCGAATTGTGTCATCTTCCTTCGTCGAAGCGTGCACGACGGTGGTATGTCTGTGCGTGAAACGAGGGAGGTCGACCCCATATTTCTTGGAGTACAGCGTTTTGAGATGCCTGCGTGCAATGTCAAAAATTAGTGGTCAGGAGGGGACAAGTATGGTAGGAACTTGCTTGCCCGTCTTGCAACTGTACAACCGAAAAGTCTCATCTTCAGCTGCGGTCAAAACTTGGTCTCCCCGGTCATCGAATGTGATGGCAGTGATGTGTCGTGGCCCTTGATGTGATCTAGCAACAGGTGTTGACGGTGGTGTCGGTTCAACTGCTCCCTTGAAGATTTTCGCGGGCTTCAACTTTGTCTGGAACAGGCTCGTCAGCACACGTTCAAGGCGCTATATTCTTGGCTTGCCATCAACGCATTTGAGAGTGGTATTGTCGCTGGTGGAGGTGCTGCCGCATTGCCATTAGAGGTCGTTGGTGGAGGCGGCATTGAGAGGTTCGTCAAGGATCACTTTGGGCGTCTGAGTTTCAATACTACTTTTGCCGGCTACTCCCCTCAACTTGAAGGATGTCTGAGGACGAAACTGCGAAACTATGGAAGGTCAATCGGACAATCCACGAACTCGTAAAAGACAGGGTGCGAAAACATGTTCCTTGCTGTGTTAGTGCATTTTTAACGAGCCATTGGTGAAGGGGTACCAAGTTTCGGACGATGAGATCAACATGGACCTGACCACGTTCAGGTCGCACTACGCTAACAGTGGAGGCAGCGTCGAGTCAGTTGCGGTTCTTATGCAGAACTATGCACTTGCAGATGTTAACTTGCATTTCCAGTCGAAACCAACTCAATTTCTTCACCAACTCCAGAGAAAATCCAACAGACCAGATTTTCATATTCTTTTCAGATGAGAAAAGCGTCGGCGTTAAAACCATGCGGAAGTTCGTCCATGTACGCCCCTTGTGCCCGTTCGTCTGATGTAGGGTGAACACACAGGCTATTGGGTATCCTCGAGGAGAAGTCGATCATGCGGGGGATCATCATCTTTCCCGGCAATATGACGCCATCCGCACGAAAAGTTCGAGTTTGATTTTGTATCCACGCAGTAGCAATCTTACGCTTGCTTTACAGGTAATTGCAGCGATGTCCCAACAATATCGGCTGGAAGAGTTCTCGGAAGCTGACCTACTCGTTAATATCACTCATCACACACTGGTCCCGCGGCATGAGGTGTTAACTCCCGAGCAGAAAAAAACAACTTCTTGAAAAATAGTACGTTTTATTTCTCAGAATAACTTGGCATGTTCTTATGTTGAACTCCACTTAGCCGGCTGAAGGAGACCCAACTTCCTCGAATACAGCTGGCCGACCCCGTGGCACGATACTATGGCCTTCGGAGAGGCCAAGTCGTCAAAATTACTCGCCCTAGTGAAACCAGCGGCCGATATGCCAGTTATCGTATATGTTTCTAGTGTTATGGTTTGCATAGATTTTCATTACCATATTCACATGTATACTAGCACCAGAACGCGAAACATTCCACGCGGGGGTACAAAATATTTATGGGGATCACCTGTGACGCGACTAATAGGATGACTACTTTGCAGGAGCGACGTTCCCGCATTCCTTGCACTTCCTCAATTCCTCGGTCGACATCCAGCGCTGGATAACGGGCTTCAGTTGGGTTCCGAGGTCGGTGACGTGAAAGGACTCCTTGTGAATGATGGTTGGCTTGGTATGGGAAGGATCGCGACAGTACCACTGCAGGGAGTCTGCGTGCGGAGAAGCGTCAAGACACATTGTACAGCAGGAATGTGTACACACCATTAGATGCATCCGGACGAGCAGCTTCGATGACAATTCCGATTGTATCGGCAAAGCGGACTGGGTTGTGGGGTGTGTTCGCTAATACGAGTTTGGTGAGAATAGCTGGTCGGATCTGACGGTGATCGTCAACGCACCAGGCAGCAAAAACATCTCTCCCTCCTCGATCCTAATATCCTTGAACTCATCCCCGTCTACCACTCTAAGCAGCATGCCACCCTTGTACTGATAGAACCATTCCTATAATGAAATCGGTACATTGGCTTTTGCTAGTGATCGTAGAGACGCACTTCGGTCTCATTCACATGGTAATCATTTCTTTCGTTTGGGCCGCCTACAGCCATCACAGTGAAGTCCTTCTGCCGGTATAGGCAGAAGTTGTTTACAGGAGGCTTGAGTAGGTGCTGGTTTTCGTCGAGCCAGCGGGGAAAGTTGATAGGCGGGAGGAGAGGCATCGCAAGATGTGCTGGCTGTTTGGTCTTGAGAGATGCGTGGAGTCACTTACTAAACGGCGAAATCGGGTGCACTCGATGGCCCTGTGGAAAGGGACTAGCTGGACTAGGATGCAATCGTCTACGCATATGTAGTTCAGAGAATGCGGCACAATGCGGCCCGGTTGCCGTACCCTCTTTCATTTCTAATTCTAAGTTTCTCTTTCACTTCGCTCGTCGTCGTTTTGGTAGCTGTCCTGCCCTCTGTTCCCCACAGCGATGTCATGCTAGGATAATCCTGGGGACTGAGTGGCGCTCAGGCGCGCAGATGGTCAAGAGGGCCTCTGGTATCTGTGTCGTGCATGAGCCACTCCTCCAGAAACCTACACAGAACCCACATACATACCTACAGACACATCAGACGCCACAGAAAATACAGTACGCCCTCGATTCTTCCGTTCCTGCACCACACCACCACTAAGCCAGGTGCTCATCGCTCATCGCTCTCAGAACCTAGCGGAACCCAAAAGTATGAAGTATGTCTTTCTGAGGCACCAAGCTTGCAATGCTGGTATCGTATGATGTTCGAATCCGTGCGACAGCTCACCTCCCATCAACAGTGTCATCAGGTCGTCCGCTATCCACCGCTGTCATGAAACGTGATAGCAAAACATGCGGAAGCTGGACGGACAATGCGGGTAAGCGACCTGTGTGACTGGTACTTGACGTACTTTGTGCAAAAGAAGAGTCGAGCGGACCGAGTTTTCTGCAGGTTAAGTTGTTCGACGACTCCACATCTCCGCTGTCGACTCACGGCTCTGTTCACAGGACCTCTGGAATGACGGTTTTGTCGCCAAAGAAGCGAAAGGCGGTTTGCATTCCACAACTTCAGTGGGGACTGCATATCTGGCTCTCGCGGAGGTGATGTCGCATACGTTGTTGTCGGAGTCGAATTGGGATATCTTGTCGACGATTTTCTCTGAGAGCATGGCCAGCGACATGAAATCAGAGAGCACCGTGTCCTAGAGCTGCCATGGGCGGCGAAGCAAAATCTGGCTCAGGGTGGACTGGAGGGACTGCTCGAGAGGGCCCGGGATAAGGCGGACATGCGTATTGACGCCAAGGCCAGAGAAATATGCACGATGACAGCGAAGTGACCTCAGACCGCGCTAAGATAAGAAGTCCGCAAAGGGGAAGGGGAAGCGAAATATGCGGGTGGTGTGTCAGAATATGATGGTGCGGAGACATCGAAGGCGCCTCAGAGGAAACTGGCGTGTTCCGTAAAGATTACCAAGAAACTCGGCTTCAACCCTGCAGCAAAATCGGGGCAGAATTGGTTCAGTCAGCGGTGCAAGACATTGTAGGTACGTTCGCTGTCATATGTTTACTGTGCTGGTTTATAACCATGAGTGTCGCGGCTAATTTATTAGATAAATTACAGGTCTTACAGCTGTCCGAGGGCACCGGCAGGAAACTAATCTTAATTCGGGTACATACTCTGATACACAGGTAAAACCACTTGCAACATCCCCCCATGGCCCCTCGGCCGTTTTCAAAAGGGGTGTAATGATCGACGGCGCCAAACTTTGTATCTTGAAATGGAACATATGGCTTGACAAGTTCTGTCATGCATATAAGTACACTGGTACTGTTGCAAGACTAGTACATGGCACAACGGCCCTATCTCATCAGGCCGTACGGTATATCGCAGCCTCTGAAAGCGCGTTCGGTAATATACTCGGGACCTAGGTGTGCTTGTGTTCTGGCTACGTCTGAATTTGCTTATGATTGTAACTTTGTAGAATTCATGGTGTTGAAACTCCCGACGACCGTGGAGATAACCGCTGCTGGCTCAGTGCTTGGCCCTTCTGTTACCAATGCCTGCGCTTACTGTTAGCGCGAGATCTCCGGAAGAAATTCTCTAGATCATCCACGTCTTTGTCATACAGTTGTCAGTGGTCACTTGCCGTGTGGTGGTCATCACCCCGGTGTAAACGACGATGACATGCGACTGTCATAACATCCATAGCTCAAGGATTTTTTTTTCTCTATGTTCAATGGTCCACCAATACAATCTGCACCGACAACTACGCGGCTTAAACCATATCGAGCCGAGAGATAGGAGACCTGAAACCTGTTTCAGAACTCTCCAGCTTTGATCTCGTCTTTGTATGTTCCGATGATATCATACTAGATGGATTGTTTGGGGTACGTTAGTTTGACAGAGATAAGTGACATCGCCTGATATCTCTTGACAGAAAAGACTAGTGTGTTGATATAGACGCGGTTCATAGCATATATAAGTACTCCTGCGGTCACCATTGGCTTCATAACTCCAACATGTCTTCTGCGGCCATCCAATACACCCTTCCTGACCTACTCTCACTCTGTTCCTTTGACTTTAGCAAACCTAATCCTTACTTGCAGGAGTGCAGTGCAGAGAGCAACGCGTGGGTCACCCGTTTCAACGTTTTAAACGACAAAAACAAAATCAAGATGGAGAATAGCCAATCTGAACTTCTCTGTGCCCTCGTATACCCATACGCAGGGCATGAGGGATTCAGAACGACCTGCGACTTCGTCAACTTGTTGTTCGTCCTGGATCATCTTAGCGATGACATGAATGGCAAGGATGCGCACGGCGCATGCGAGGTCTTTTATCAAGTCATGGCAGATCCTGACTTCAACCATGAGTCTATTTTGGCAAAAATCACGCTTGAGTATGCATAATCTCTAGGCTTTGCGCATTGTGTTTCTTACTCACCAAACTGATATCACAGTTTTCGTCAATCCATTCTCCGTGCCGCGAAGCCGCAGTTCTTCAAACACTTCCTGAGCTGCCTAAGGGGATATACCCAAGCCGTTGTGCAGGAAGCGGAACTAAGAGAAGCTGGAGAAGTTCACGATCTGATTAACTTCGTGCCTCTACGTCGTGAAAACAGCGCCGTGAGGTGTTGTTTCACATTCATAGAATATAACTTGGACATCGAATTACCTGATGCAGTCTTCGACGATCCAATTTTCCAAAGTGTTTATTTTGCGGCTGTTGACATGGTGTGCTGGTCCAACGTGCGTACCTCTGCAACTTTTTTAATGATGGGTTTCATTGTAAACTTACTGAGTGCAGGACCTCTTTTCATACAACGTGGAGCAGGCCATGGGCCACACCAGCAACAATATCGTTACTGTTTTAATGCAGGAGAAAGGAATGAGCGTTCAAGAGGCAGTGGACTCCATCGGAGTTGTCTTTAAACAGCTCATGACACGCTTTCTGAAGGACAAGTCTCGTTTGCCGTCCTGGGGTGCGGATGTTGACCGTGACGTTGCACTCTACGTCGAAGGTCTTACACGTTGGGTTGGTGGAAATTTGGTCTGGTCATTCCAGTGTTCCAGATACTTTGGAACTGCCAACAATGTCGCCCTCCTCACTCGGTTGGTGACTCTGTACCCGAAGGATACTGAGGTTGAGCAAGAGTGAAAGAGGTTGTTAGATGAAGATAATGCATTGACATGAACATATAGAACACTTTAGATTTGTCGGTAGAATTTTTTCTGAATCATTTTTGGTCTGGATGGTGAAAGTTGACATTGTCGTTGTGTAAAACTTGTGTTAGATATATTACTTGCTGTAGGTTGATTTCGAAAACACGTGACTGACGCGTCGCAATCGTATTTATTTATTGAGCTGGCAAGCATGCACAAACATATCGCATCGGCCATGATATCACCCACTGTCGAATAACTTTCCAACTGCACGCCGCACGTCTTATAACGATTCATCATGATGTTTTCTAGCACTTGCCATGTCGCTTCACGCCTAGCCATAATCCATTACGGGCATCCTCTATCTGCTTCTTTAGAGAAGCTGTCATCCGTCCTGCTCTATCTGGATGTAGTAACAGGAAGGTTTCCGCCGGCCGAGTCGTCATGTCGACCTGCATGTTGACATTGATTCTCGTTGTGGCCGCTCACACATCAGCCAACTTCATTGTCACCTGTACTCGACTCACCGCCTTCCAACATCACTACCGCCAATTTGCCTATTCCCTGGTCACTTGTACTCCCATCAATGCCTTGCGACATCACTACCATTTATTTATCAACTTCCTCGACACATGTACTTCCATCAACGCCTCGCGACATCACTATAATTTATTTTCCCACTTCCTCGTCACCTGTACTCCCATCAACGCATTCCGACATCACTATCATCGATTTCTCCTCTCTCACCAATTGTTACCATCTATCACTCATTAAACCCTCTGATACTGGTCACACAACACGCCGCCGGTCGACTCATACCTCCCCCTCCTACAGCGTTTCGATATCAGCCTGAGAAGTCCCAACCATATTAGCTCAAGCTATAAAAGGTACGGACATGTTCATCACTACTAGACTGAGTATGTCACTCATCATATCTTATCAGCGGAAACCTAGAGCATCACAATTAAACGCCACCTACGACAGCATCGTGGGTTTTCGCCTCCGGCGACACGCCAATCGGATTGGCCAGTCATTTCTTGTGACGTCAACATTTGTTATTGATTTCATTGCTACTAGTTTGGCTACCTTGCACAAATTTGCGAGCACTAACCAAGCAGGCCTTATGGACGGCGGGGTTGCTGCCATGGCGGAGGTGGGGCACACCTGGCCGGCAACCAACGAACACCACCAGGATCGCCACTCCCTACTAGAACTGATGCTGTTTCATTGTTAGAGCCTGGCTCACGTCTCAAGGCCCGCATGACGTCACTTCGCCAGCAAACAAATGCGGTTGCAGCCGCGATTCTAGCCACCGCCGCCGCCACGTCTTCATTTCCTCAGCGCAATTCCTGACACCTCCAACATCTTACGCCCGCCGCAGCTTCATCATTCGCCAAGCGCCAAGAACTATCGCCTAACAACAACGCGCTACGATAGCCCACCAAGGCCACAAGCCGACAAGCAGAATACGACACCATCAAGAAACGAGCACTTCATGCCAAACAACACGACCTCACGGCACTCAAGACAGAACACTTACGACCCCGAGAGGACAAGGCCATTTCATGACGCTCCCGCGATGCTATCAGAACGGACAACTTCTCAACCCTCACCACTGCAAAATGGCTCGCGTCATTACCAGGAAACGCGATGTTCCGCTAGAACACCTTAGCGAGACGAGTTTCGGCCGGCTTCAGAGAATCGAATGAGCTCATCATGTGTTTGATTTGTTAATCACTACCCAAGTGTCTGTATCATAAATCATGATGGAATCCATCTAACTTGAATTTATGTGAGACCGTCGATGCGTGCCCTGCTACATTACAACTATAAGGAGACGACTACTCGTTCTCACCGACATCTGAGAGTAAGTATTGCAACACAAGAGTGAGAAAGTCGGCACGAGGAGACAAGCATAACAAGTTTCCGATAAACCTTTGAAAAAGGAACAATAAATATTGAGACCCGTAGGTCTACCACTCCGGGAAAGCGTGTCATCCTTGTGCAGGGGCCATGCTAATCTTCTCTGTATCGTTCCAATTTTTCGTATGTCACCCCGAAGGGGACAATAAACTGTAGTTGCGCAAGAGTGGTGTCAACGGAACTTTGTATTTGCAAAGAACGGCGGGTTTGGATAATTACTTGAAATGGAAGGCGGTGCGTGGTGCATTTCTACATGCGTCAACAAGTGAAACCCGCCTCACAGCCGACGCGACCAGTAAGTACTGCCATCATACTCGGCGGGAGTGTCCGTAAGTCAAAAAAATACTTGGTGAATATGAGCCCATATAATGTGATCCGATGGAACATGAGTCTCCGTGATAATAATGCGCTCTTATGATTGGTTAGCCATCGAAACTCGTTTGATGGGCAGTTCCTATCTCAAAGAATCTACTTCGGCACATCTCAGAACGCGCGCATTTCTTGCGTACCCCATCAAGCTCAGTTGACTCTTTACACGTTTATGTTATCTGGACCATCGCCACAGCATAGATCATACAAGAACATTCTATACGTACACTCATTGTACTCCATAAATCAACAACATAGATCTATGCAAACACATTGCACCTTGATTCACTTTCAAACAAAGAGCCATCGTCCTAGACTGTCTGCCCACGCTGAAAGATCCGACGTCGCCTTGCCAGCAAAGGTATCGCGCAACAGTTCGACAGGCCCAGCACCGGCCTCGCCTTCGCGAGGCGTTTCAGGCGGCGTCACCAGCCGTTGAGGCTGGTTGTATGGCGAGAGGATACCGAGACCGCTTCCGCCGACTGACGTTAGGTAGGGCACGAAGCTTTCCGTAGACAGTGCTGCCATAAGTTCACGAAGATTGGATTCCGAGAGGTCTTGAGAAGCGAGTGGGTGAGTAGGGATCAAGCATGAGCAGATGGTGCTTACTATCAGGGACGAGCGTTACCGCGCAACCTCCACCTCCGGCACCAGTGAGTTTTGTGCTGAGTGCATATGGAGGAGACGCGGTCTTGGAACGGATGACTTCAAGAGATGGATGTGATACCCCAAGCTTTACGAGGTGGCCGTGGTTCTCATCGATGAGAGCCTGAAAGAGTGAGCATCGATTTTTGAGCGTTCCGTACTATGAACAAACAGAGAGGAACGTACCGACAAAGCTGACAACAGTGTTTGCCGTGATAAGTTGGGATCAGCAAGCGCACGCTGCGCCTCGTCACTTATGCTCTGTATCGCATTGAGCAGCCCGTCGACAAACTCAGGCTCTTGCTCCTTCAAGGCAGACACACCAGCCACAAGCTGCTTCGTGTTCCTGGGCACCCTCGAGTCCGTCAGGAGGAATTTGAGAGACTTGAAACTGAAAAGCAAGAAATCAGTAAAACCACCAAAAGAAGCCCAAAAGGTGCTAAGCATACCCCTGAATCGGGATCATGCCTGATTTTCTACCGAATCCTGCTCTGGTATACGAAAGTGCGCCACCGAACACCGCAACAGAGTTATCCACGCCACTGGGGTTGCCGTGCAAGATTTTCTCGCTCACAAATGCCCATCGGTTGACCTCCTCAGCAAGTGGTGGCGGTAGTGCGCGCCGACCCTCATGAGAGACGTGGACGTGACCGACAGTAGTCGGGGCGGGCTGTGCTGGGAGCTGGATGCGTGAGTACAAAAGTAAGAGAGCGGTGGCTGCGCAGGCGGAGAATGATGCGGAGGAACCGAGGCCTGCGCCCACAGGAAGCGTGGCGCGAGCCGAGAAGTTGAAGGATGGTCTAACGGCATTTGATAAATCATTGAACAAAGCCCCGGTAGAGGAGGACTCGCCTATTTCCGCCATGTGCCATGATCATGTACATGTACAAGAACGCAATACACGCCTGCCGTGCACTTGGGATTGCAAGAACTTCGGGTGACAGTGCACGAGTAGTAATCGCATCAACGAGCTTGTGGTCCAGAGAGTCGGGGTGGACATCACCGACTCGCACAGGAGTGACTGCATCCCAAGGGAGATCATCCACTTCCCATTCTTGTGTGAAGTTGTCGATATCAATGAAGTGTACGCTGACTTTGCCATCATGGCGAGGTGTCGTAACACCATAGCACCGGAGATCTACGCTTGCAGCCACCGCGGTCTAGAATATCGGTTAACGCGCGCAGAGGAGGGAATGAAAGAGCAATCTCACGACACCGTGCACAACGGCATGTTCACCGAAAAGAATGACTTTGCCAGGTGCACTGACGAACCATTCTCTATCCTCGTTGCGCTCTGTCGTGTATCCCGTAGAATCATTGAATGCGAGTTTCTGGACGGCCCGGGAGATCGCAGTGCCCTCTGAAGGGATCGTCCGAACAAATTGTTGGTGTGAGTCCCCACCTGCGGTGAGGGTGATTGCACCAGCCTCCAGAAGAGCACGTTCGAGGTCGTCGAGAAGGTCAGCTGGGTCTTCAATACCAACGCAAAGTCGGATCAGGTCCTCTGGCAGGCCACGCGCAGCGCGCGTAGCAGGGTCAATGGACGCGTGTCTAAAGAACCATTAGTAAAATGATCGAGGAACATGAGGCAGAAAGAACATACGACATGATGCATGGCATGCTGATTAGCGAATTGACACAACCAAAGCTGACGCTAATCCCCCACAGGCGTGTCGCGCCGACGATGCGTTCACTCAGAGCCTTGTCGCCAGTAGTGAAACTGAGGACGGCACCATATCCATCTGCAATTCGCTCGTGTACATCACGGTTAGGGTGGTTTGTGAGACCAGGATAGTGGACTTTGAAACCAAGGCGGTCGAGCATCTGAGCGACGAGCATGGCAGTAGTCTGCTGGCGATCCATCCGGATGGCAAGGGTTTTCGATCCTCGTAAAAGGAGGAAACAGTCGAATGGAGTGAGTGCATTGCCGGCAGCATTGATGACGAATGCCATTTGCTGATTCGGATATAAGAAAAGGGGCGTAAAGCAAAGGACGAATCTCATACCTTGGCAAGGTCATCCCTGTTGCAGGTAATTACACCGGCCATAAGGTCGTGATGCCCACTGAGATATTTGGTGGCGCTATCGTAAACAATATCTGCGCCATGCTCGAGAGGGCGTTGCAAGTAGGGACTCATCATGGTGTTGTCGACCACGATGACGGCATTGGGGGCGCGTTCCTTAATGTCGGCGGCTATGCGGGCAAGGTCAACTATTTTGAGAAGAGGGTTAGTTGGACTCTCTAGGAGAACCATAGCGGTCTTTTCAGAATTGATGTAAGGAAGGACAGTGTCAGGTTTGGTGGTGTCTACATGATGTACGATGACGCCGCCGTGTGTCTTGAGATAGGCAAGGATGCGATTAGTACCGCCGTACAGGTCATCTCCTGCGATAACTTCATCTCCAGGTTTGAGGATACGTAAGATGGTATCGAGGGCGGCCATGCCAGAAGACACGGTAAAAGCATGAGCAGCAGATGATATCTTGGCAAGATGATGTTCTAGAGATTACATTGAGGCCATTAGTTGGCATACGATCAAATAGATACGGACCTAGATGACTGCGTGTTGGGTTTCCACTGCGAGTGTAATCATACTGTCCATCGACACCTTTAAAAGTGGCTGTTTGGTATATTGGTACAGAGCTGGAACCATACTGATCCTTCTGAGAAGGATTCTCTACTGTAGCGCAGAGGGTCGAAAAACGGTAAGGTTGGCGAGGCCTGCAAGGAGTTTCTGGCTCTGGAGTTGGAAGGTCTTGTGCAAATATTTTTGGATTAGTGGTCGGAGGAGCCATCGTGAAATGGGTTAGAAAGAGAGGTAAATGACAAACGAGCAGCTGGCTATAACATGGATGGGATGATGATCTATGAGACCACTTTCATCACGTGCCATCTATATTATCCATATTCGGTACCGAACAACAACAATTTCGTCGATATTCTTTCTGTAAAAGGAATATCTTTGCAAATACTATTGGATTGCGTGCTCACGCGCTCGCTCCTTTTGTCGGCCGACTTTCATGGCACCCAAGAAAGCAAGAGAGCAAGGTATGCTTTGCTGTCTGATTGAGATCCATTCAGTTTTCATCCCATAAAAGCTACAAGACACGTCAATGCCACGAAGCAGACACTTCCACCAGACGTAATTGCAAAACGGACGAAGCGACATCTCGAAGAGCTCGAGGTGACAGCTCAAATACAGCCATCATCGTTATCCGACCTAACCATTCACAGCGTTCCAATTATACAGAGCCTTCAATCACCCTCGACGATGAAAACGAGGGAGCAATAACCGGCAAGAATCGTGTTCGCCAGATCGTTTCGGACAAACGCCATTTGAACGACCCCAATGCCAAGAAGAAGAAATCGTCCACAAAAGTTCGAACTGCGCTGCTATACCGCAAGAATTTTGCTACCCTAATTGAGGAATCAGTCAGTTCATCTCCATTCCCCAGACTCATTTTTAAATACCGAGGGCATCCCCAGCGCATAGCAAATCTTCCCTCCCACGTTCCAACATATTTAACAGCCGCTGCTCCTCCCCCTCAATTGCCCCCACGTCTTTTATGCTCCGTGTGCGGATACAGGGGCGCATACAAATGCAAAAAGTGCGCCATGCCATACTGCGACATGAACTGCGAGAGCGTCCACACTGAAACACGCTGCGAACGTCGCGCCATCTGAGTCTCCCATAGCAATATCATCGGCATCCATTTACATCTTTCATTCGCAGGTGAGCTGCCTCTGCCGTCGCAATTTCTTTCTCAACTCAGTTGGCAGGAAGGCTAGGACCACCACCCCATGGGCGTTGTCCAAATAACTGGTCAACTTGGACGAAAGCTACCCTCAAATCCGAATCTTGTTCCATTGATTTGGCATACCAATCTGGATCAAGCGGTTGTCTGCTGGCTTTGACAGGCGCTACGTCACCAACTTTCGAAGGATGTCAGCCAGTAATTTCATGATTATCGCCTGGTTCATCACATGTCTTCGATATATGACCTAGTTAGTTAGGAATGACCTGCCTCAGAGTTCTGGCCCTGGGGAGAAAGCGCCTCCTTCCTCACCGCATCAGACATCGAATAACGTCGCGCGTAAATGGGTGAGAATACACCACCCTGACATTTGTACCGTGAGTGTACGCGACCCACCATCGTCAACATTATGTGGTTTGATCTTCTGAACTTCGAGCATACCCACATGAATGAAATGCGCCGCATTCAACTGTAACACTGCCTTGATATAATACATGATCTAAATACCAATCCAAAAAAAATGAAACATGCAATCAGTGAGTTGAAGAATGTATGATGTTGGGGTGTGCTATGTAAAAGGAGCTGAAAACAAATGTCGTTGTCATCGGAACGTGGATATCATGCGATCGTGTGGTCATGTCATTAGACGCTGTAATGTACGTACGTGAAGCGAGTCTGTAGATGGGCAGACAGATTTGCATGGGCGGTATCACGAGAGCCCTATCTTGCGGAACATTTCTTCGAGCGTTTTGAATGCTACGGGCTTGACAAGACTGGAACAAAAAAGATGTCGATTACCGTGGGAGGTTGGAAAATTCGATCATGCTTACTATCCGCTCATGCCAGCCTCGAATGCCTTGCGTTTGTCTTCAAGGGATGACATCCCAGTCAAAGCTAGTATGACGCTTGGCTGCCGACTTTCTCGAGCTTTTTCAAGCTGACGAATCTCGATGGTGGCACCCAGCCCTATGAGAAATGTGAGACGATCTTTGAGTGAGACTGGCACTGAGCATACCATCGAGGACGGGCATGGAAAGGTCAAGAAGAACGACACTATATTTGGGTTATGAGCCAGTCGCGACCATTTAGAGAACAAAGCCCTACTCGAATGGTCCTTCAGATTCAAATGTGTCGACTCCTCGTCGACCATCGACTGCCTCGCGATAGTCAAATCCCTTGTGTAAAATGAGTGGGCTGATTGGACTACCAGATGGGTGACGTCACCTTCTTCATCAACCACTTGATTCTGGAAGAATGTGTGTCAGTCACAGCAAACATAGCGAACTTGAGTCACGCACAGTAAGTTCCGCAAGATATTGTTGTCTTCGACCACCAAAACTTTCGGACGAGGGCGGTCTAAATCCAGGGTCCGGATTGACGACTCCAGGAGTATCCCGTCCGTACCGATGGTTACTGTGGAACTTGACATGCTTGAAGATGTTCCATCAGACTCGGTAATCTCCGGAGAGGACGGTGCTTCCTCGACATCCGGCGATGCAGGTAGGGGGGTGGGAAATACGGTAGTTGAGCGACTCCAATCCATACTCCCCCGGCGATGCCGGTCTGGATTCGATAGATCGTCTGTAAGCATGGAGGAGTGCAGAGAGATACTATCATCTGAGATCCCAGCCACAGAGCTGGCGAAACTTGGTAGACGTTGTTGACGCCTTTGCCTGGCCCGAAGTAGTTGTTTCAGCGCAGCGCGCAATCGGAAAGGTCCTCCTGGTTTGTGAACGATGCGACAAAAACCGCCAAAGTTCTCGTAGGTGCTGCAAATCCCCATCACCCTCGGACTACCTCTACTTGAAGACAAGATAATGAACGACCGACGGTAGTCCATTTTTTCAAGAGCGGTAACAACAGGTGACGAGTCTTCGTTTATGATCACGATGTCGCTCAACTCACCTCCGTCAGTCTGCACTCTGAATCCCCACCAATCCTGGAGGTACTTGCGAAGCACATCGCTGAGCATCTGAACACCTTTGCTCTTCTGCTTGAACCCGAGGAAGGTAACAGTGGGGACAACATGATCGAACATAAAGGGAGTTTGAAGAGCACTCGCGCCATCTTCCAAAGTTTCTGCTTGGAAAGTGATCTTGATGTCGGTACCAACGTTTTCTTCGCTGGATACTTCCACTTTCCCGCCCACACTTGGAGACTGGACGATACTGTTGACGATCGCAAGGCCTAAACCTGTCCCAGCTTGTAAAGGGTTCTCCTGGGAAAAGGGATGGAACAAGTGGTTCTAAATTTCTTGTCAGTAAACGACGATAGTTGATCTGACGAAACCATTACCTTCAGGAAATTTTGGCTGATCCCCTGTAACAAGTGTCAGTATTGAACGAACTGCCGCGCCGGGATAAATACCTTTCCCGTATCGCTGACACATAACTCCACCATACTAGGCTCTTCATTTGGCGCAGATACTTGGCGTAAAGATACATGAACGTAACCATCCTGCAGTCATCAGGAAGCGCTCGTAAGAGACACTCAATCATACTCACAGTCGTGAACTTTAGGCTGTTTCCAAAAAGATTCATCAACACCCTTCTAATACCACCTTTGTCGCACTTCAAAATCCATCCCTGCACGACAGTTAGCGGTAAAACAGAAAGGAACACCTTGGAGGACTTACGCCTTCGCGTCGGTCGATGTCGACAATGATCTCCACCTGCTTCGAAGAGGCTGGAGCAGCCATAACACTCGAGGATCGCTGTTCCATCGCTGGAGCATACACACTCCCGATTTCCGACTCGCGAATGGCAGATGTGCGGGCGCAGTATCCAATCCATGATCCATCGATTGCCTCTTCAACAAGTTGTTCGAGATCCACTCTGTGTCAAATCATAAGCGGCAACATGCATCAAACCTATCCCAACTCACATGCTCCTCGTTATGACATTGTCCACGCCACCTGACTTCATATTGCCACTGAGTTTCGTGAAGTCGAGAACGTGGTTCACCGTTTCAACAAGGGATGTCCCGCACGCCTGGACGGTGTGCAGGAACGAAGTCTGGCTATGACTTAACGATGTATCGGAAAGTAATTCGGCCGCAGCGAGAATCTACGCAAAACCATCAAGAAAAGGGCATGCCAGCAAATACGTCAAGCCTCACCCCATGCAAAGGAGTACGAAGCTCGTGAGATATGCTTCAGGAGGAATTAGTAATGTTACCCATGAAGGCGAAGCATGCACCAAACTTGGAGATAAACAGACTCTTCGCTTGGTCGGCCAGCATCATCCTCCTCTTGAGGACAGCCGAGAGAATGATGACACCTATTCTCTTTTAGTGATTATTGAAAGGAACTTTAAGAAACCAACCTATGGCGCGGAGATAAGACAGTTCATGTCCCTCGAGCTAAGAATAAAATCAGGATGGAGGTGTCTCACTGGACTAGGTGAATCTTTACAAATCGTCGTGATGGATCAGTGGCATTGTATGCACAAATCAAGGCAAACGGCCTTTTGTCGATATTGAAAACAGGAACAGCTAGTAAACATTATCAGTGGACTAGAAGAGCGTCAAGATAAAAAAGACATACTGAGTGCATACTGTATGTGTGTTGGGATAAAGGGACGGAAGCAGACTGGTAAAATGCCTTCAGACACCTTGCCATCAGGATACTGGTCAAAGAACGCGTTTAGCTTGTGGTATTCATCCGCCGTCAGCGTGCGAGATGTTGGTTGGGATTGTGGATCCCCGCGATGCATGACAACAGATATAGTTGCTTCGGCACTGAGCGTCTCCAATACTTCGCAGTGTGAAACATCCATGACTACCACCTCCTCGACATCTAAAGTGCGCTTGACAAGTCTGGCGGCACGATCATACACTCTGTCCATGGACGCGTTAGCGTAAGGGTCATCATCCGTGTTTGCATCGTTCTGGTCAATCTCAAGGCACTCTCGACTAAATTGCTCCATCTAAGGTGCGGTGAGTTGATATATAGCAGATGGTACTAATGAAGGTATTGCTCACGGAGGTCTGGATTTTGTCACGTATGCGCAGTTGGATCTGGGTTGGAGTAGGATGGTGGATAGTTAATTCATGTGTGGAAATTCAACGGCTGACCCAGCTCACTTTATCACGCCACAATTCCATTTCACGCATCACAACAGCCTAGAGCTCGCGTTAATAGATTCAGAACAATTAATTGAAACCCACGTACCGCAAATTCCTTCAAAGTGTGTCGTTGACGAGGGGCGAAATCCTGCCTTGGTGAATCATCAATCAAAGAAAGACTGAGAGGTGCATCAGGTCAACTGCGCATGTCACATAGACAGTGACTCAAGTTACCTGCCAATGTTAAATCCATCGGAGGTTCTCAGAGGAGCCGCAGCATAGAAGCGAACGTTTGGAAATCCGGTGACCAGAGGCTACGTCATTCAGTTTGCCAGATGATCTTTCACACCAACGTGCACTAACATTCTTGGCAAACCGCCAATCTAACTTCGTATCCAGGATAACCGTTGGTTCATCACCCCTGCAAACAGTAAGACTGGAGTTCTCAGGAGGGAAAAAAATTCACACCTTTGCAGTATAGCGTGTGCACAGAAGGACGTCAGCCTTGCACTGCGCTTTAAAGTCATTCCACCTGCCAAAGAAATTGAGATATACGTGGATGACAGTACTTGAGCACCATACACTGTGATTTGAACCATCTGTAATCGTGATTACTAACAAATTTACGCTGAACTCCGACTGATACTCACTGCTCCGTGCCATCGATGAGGGATATGTAAACGCATTTCGTGTTGAACACAAGTTTGACCAGATGTGCAATGCGATCGAAGTTAATGTCGGGGCCGGTGTTCCAGAGGTTAAACCTATTTCACAATGCTCTCTGAGCTGACCTTCAAAGGTGAAGAACGGATATACTTGTATAGAGCGCGTCTTCGCTCGAGCTCGTCTGGAGGGTTCGGTGGAGCTAGATAGCCAAGATCTAGGAACATCTGCTCCTCCTTCGCAGACCGGCCAGCACGAAAACTATTGACCGAGTCGCATACCGACCGTCCTCCTGGTAAGCCACGGTCTCTCCCGATGCTGTCGGGTAGGGGAGAAGAGGTTTGCCTTGTCAAGCATATCCTTCGTGGAAGGGGTGGTGCCGTACAAATGTTGAGTTCCGATGGCCCGGATTCACGTCTGTGGTTTAAGTAGTCCTGCCAAAGTTGAGCGGGGTCGGGGGTCATGGGAAATTGATCTGAAGCGGATGTACTGACTGCGGTGAAGTAATCGCCTTCCTCTGTCGGCTCAGGCGACTGATTACGCTGCAGTGGAACGGAGGCCGGCGGGGGGAAAGTCAAATACAGTTCTGCCTCAGTTATGTTGCGTAGGGGAGTTCTGGGTAACGATCCGGGTAGGGCGAGCACAGTTAGCTCATCTTCGACATCTTGCGTACCCTCCCAGAAGCTGCCTGCTCGGATTCGAGACATTCCGGGCGTTGTCGGATGGGCAGGGGGGCTACTGGCAGTCGGATGTGATCCAGGTATTGCTGCATGCACACCTCGCATTGGATCTGTTAGCTCATGCTCAGGAGAGGGCAACGCAAGAGGAGACAAATTAACGCGTGCTGCTGCCCATCGCATGGTTGCAGCCGCAGTGGTTGCCTCCGGACTAATGCTGAAAGCTTGTGTCCCATCTAAAGGGAGATGCATTGGCTGCCCTCCTGTTGCATGTCGCAGATCTGTGAATGACTTGCGGAATCTGCGACCGGAAAGCGACGATGACTTTGGTGTAATATTTGACAATAGCTTGTCAGGGTAAACGGATGAGGGAAAATCAGAGGCTATCACCGCTTTATCGGGAGCGGGCTTGAACTCTGTCTCATTGCTACTGCCATAGGATACCGGGGAAGAAATAACAGCTTGGTGGGCAGGCAACATAGAAGTAGAATCCTGCTCTGATTCGATGATGATCGGTGCAGGATCATGTCTCATCGCAAAATTGTCTCGTAGAGAGCCCTCCCGCATAACAGGAGTAGAGATCATTGAACGCGGATGACGAGGCGTTCGATGAGGATGCCACTGACCCGATGCGTAAGCAGTCATGAAGGTAGCCCAGTCATGTTCGGCCCCGTCGATGTCGGGTCGGGTATCACCAGGAGTACTCGTCGCCGCTAGGGTTTCACAAGGACTACCGGATGGAGCTGAGTGAATTGACACTATTAAGGGGATACTCAGGATTTGAGCTGATCAGAACGAGGAGGCACACACCCATGTCTGTAGCGCGTGCTTCAAACGACTTTATGGATAAAGCATCGGTGTCTCGAGGATTATCTACATCCTTTGGGGAAATCTGTCACGGTGGTGCAGTGACCCTACGAGTATCAAAATAGACACTTACACTATGATCTGCGCTTCTGGGAATGTGGCTATCATGTAAACATGGCACCTGGGGCGCAGGGGGTAGGTATGCTTGAGTGCCCTCTGCCATAGAGGCAGTTGCTGGTCGCGGCAGTCGCGGCAATCGGGGACTTTGTTGCTTCACCTTGGGCAGACGTGGAATGGGCATTTGAAATGATGGCACAGAAAAGGCCTTTGCGAGAGGTAGAGACGATGGGAGTGGATCTAGGGCTATATCTGTTATTGTCGAGGACTGCATGTTCGAGGTTTTTATGCCGAGTAAATGCACTGTATCCTTCAAGTGGTCGTGAAACAATTACTAGGTACAGCTACGCGACGATCAATGATTGCTTGAAGCTGTAGTCATTGCCCGGAGGATGCTGAAATGGGAAGTTAACCAAAATTCAAACGAAGGAATTGATAGTGTCGACTAACAACAGTACCAGTGGTGAGGTTTAGGACAGAACGTCCAACGCCGTCGTCGGTGGTGATGGTAGAGAGTAGAGACGATTCGTTAAGGCGGTCGCCTTCATCGAAGAAGGGTTATTGACATGCTTACTAAGCGCCCCACCAGCAACCCCCGTGCCTCAAGTTGACGTCAGAACCAATCAGGAACAGGTCAAAATCTAGGCCTTCCATTTTTGTTTGCATTCTTTGTTGCGAATTTAGTGGAAACATTAATGAAGTGTAAGCAGCTGGGGACCAAGTGTCTTCCGTCAAGCCCGTAATGTCATGTCCGTATTCTGGTAGCGATCCCAAAACATATTAACGAGGGTTAACAACCCGCTATACATCGATAGCTACAAGTAAACTCCACATATACAACGGCAAAGTCAAGTTATCGTTCTGGTCTGACAAGGCCTCAAGTGCACATGAGAGAGCAGCCACGACGGTATAGCGCAACGTCTGTGGTTTCAGGGTTGTATTAGATTGAGGGGCACCAGAAGCGGACAAACTCACCGAAAATTCTTCCGTAAGTCCGCAGAGTCTCAAAAGCCACGCGCAAGCCACGAGGGACAACACAAATGCGGCGCTACCTTCTAAAGTCTTGGAGGATGTTGAAGACCAACGGTGCCGACCGACGCGTTTCCCAATAATAGATGCCTACGTCAAATTCAGTTGACAAATTTCAAAAATTCAAAAACACTAACCATAGCGTCGCCAATACCCAAAGCGAGGATACCGGTATATTGTAGCAATCGTGATGGCCTACAATGATTTAGATCCTCCTTAAAATTTTATCAAGGTCAAAGACGTACTCTTCAAGCCACAACGAGCCCGCGCAACCAGTAAGCAGATAAAAGTGACTGAGGATGGCAGTTCCGCTGTCCTTTTGCTCGAGGAACTCGTTCATGAACAGGTGCACAGCAGCACCAAAAGGATAAATGGCGAAGTATCTCACATACTCTGCAAAGATAAAGAGCGCAAAGGCTGCACTGAAGGCCAAGTGAGTGAATGCGGGCTATAGATACTCGTTAGACCACTAATGGTATGGGCGATAGAAGGCGACTGACGTCAACAGCCACTCCAGGCAGGAACATTACAACGGCCAACGCGTGGAAGAACTTGCGCCTTGCGTTGATACCAAGTGTTGGAACGTGCTTATCTGCGGCATCCAACAGTTCCGTGGCGACTTGCGAACCATTGGACAGATTAGGGAGATTAGCCAAGTTGGGGAATGTAAGCCCAAGTGCATTGGTGGGAGCGGATGAAGATATCTCCGTATGCGGTTTCTGATTCGAGTTCACAGCAAACGGAACGATCACGTTATCCTGCGTACCCCCACTCGTGTTTCTATGCCTGTACCGCCTTGACCTTGATAGCTGTCGGTTCCATCCGGCAACGCTGATGCTTCCGAGAAGGCCCCAGTATGCAAGAAGCATGGGTCGACTCCACTTCTTACGCCCCTCGAGGAGCCAAAAAATAGTCCATAGCCACGGGTTTCTGTATCCGAGGTTCCACCATGTCCACGAACCAATAAGGCCAACCACAATGATTATGGTTCCGACATAAAAACCCGCGGCAAGAGCTCGTCGATTCCGTTGCTTCTCCTGTGGGAGTCGAAGACGCCTCACCGGTCGCTGGGCAATATGCCGCGATATGGCCAGAAGAGGAGAAAGCAAGAAGCCAGTGATGAAAGAACCTGCAATCAGCGCAATTTGGAAAATCAGCAGGGGTGTTGGCAGGCGGTAGGTCTCGATGAATGGCGCTGTTTTTGGCCAAACCTTGGCAAGAAGTCAGTATGAATATCTGCTGGGAAAGCTTGACAGACCCTTGCTCTAGTCAACCCCAGTAGTTCCGTGGCCAAGGACAGCCCGCCGAAGCAGACAAGGGCCAATTCACCCAGCGTGAACCCACCATGCGCTAGGCGAAGGGCGATATATAAGCAAAATTGGTAGAACAATGAGCCGATGCCAATATCGAGATAGCTGATATCTGGCGAAATCAAGATGTCAACATCTCCTCAGCATAATCAAAAAAATCGATTCACTTCGCCATATAGGGACCTCCGCCAGCGCAAAAAGATACCGGGCTGTAATAGCCAGCATAGTCATGCCGAAAGTGTAGAGCACATAAAACCATGTTCTGCGCATTTCACTGCGAGGGACAGAGCCGCGCTCTCCCTCAGGGACGCTGGGACGTCCGCGATAGCGCGTTTCAATGATCCACGAAGAACATACTTGAGCTAATAATATAAATGAACACATCGTGGAGTAATCCACTAGGCCACGACGAGACTGTATGAGGGCATCGATAGCGGAAGCAGGCGATCGAGGGTTATGGAGTACACTTGGAGCTTCTATCAACCAATGAGGGGGAGGAAGACTGGGATCAGACGAAGGGGAGTTAACCTGCCGCAAGGCCGAGTACAATAGTGCTAGCGCAATCATGGGTGGGAGTAGGAGCCCTGTGAGGAGGCCATCATTCGGAGACTCCCTGTCGCGAGTTCATTCCAGTGAAAATAAACGCTTAGGGAAAGGACATGCCTGTAATTCTTTGGAACACTCATCCAAATGAAACTAAAGCGCGGTTTGACTGTAGGGTTCAACGAGGAACCACTGCGTCTAATTTCCCGAGTTTCAGTACGAGGGGACGATGTACGACGAGACTCTGGAACAGTAGGTGCAGTGGTGTTGGAGTGCGGTAGTATGGTGTGCGCGCGTATAATGTAGACTATAGCTGTAATAAGGAGGACATACATTTCTGCGGTAGGAAATTAGTACTGAGGCAAAACTTTGCAGATGTGTAAACAACACATTCACCTGTGGACATCGAGGAGTCAATGATGTCATGAGGGTCATCAGAAAGTTTTCTGTTGAAAAAAGCTAAAGATCCAATGAGAAGAAGTGATTCTCCCATATATCTAGTGTCCATGCAAAATGTCCAAGTTCCAAGGCGAGGGAGGGAAAGGCTGCCGGAGATCATTGCTGGCAATAGAGTGTGCGCAACTGAGAGTAGTTTGTGCCGCTGAGGAAATGAAGAAGCTCCAGAAGGTGGGTGTGCTGTATTATTTGCATTGTTGAAGGTATGTGGGTGAGGCGAGCGTGAACGAGTGAATGACATTCTTCGTGGTAAGGAATTAATTTGCTTGCCCTCATTATTAGAGTAATCGAGAGGCATGGGGCCAGAAATCTGTCGGGAAGGAGACGTTAGGTGCCGCTTCCTCCTGATGGCGTCCCGAACGTCATTTTGCAGGCTTTTTTGAGAAGGATGACGTCCTCGAACATCATGGGGCTCGTCGTCCGAATCCTCCTCTGTTTCGCTACTGCATTGAGTGTGCTGCATGAGTCCCATGCTTGTCTTGTGACTTAGAACAATTCATACCTTGAAGATCCTGCATTATATGTTGAACTCAAGTCCATATTTGTACGGTCCGGTTGAACAGCTGCCGCTGTGGCCCCAAACAACCCTAGGTGACGTTTCGCAGTTCTAGAACTCAAGAATTGTCTTCTCGATGAATCCGCGCGTCCAGATGCATTTCTTGCAGACGGAGGCGAAGGCGAAGAATTTGAACGCGGCAGTTTGGCGAAACGGCGGAATGTCCTAAGGAAAACTATGGATTTGGCACGTTTCGTATATGGAGGCTGTGAGTGAAAGGAAACAAGCACAAGCAAAAAGACTGAAGCCGCCCATTACGGCATTAGCAATATTTATTAAAATGGACCCTCTAGGGTCCAGGTCGCGTCCGCTTGCTGGACTAGATACTCGCGTTTTTCCTCTCTTTTATTGTCTCTCGGTATCATGTCCGATGAACAACACGTCGTCTATCTAGAAGATGTCGAAACAGCAGCGCTGTCGACTTCTAACGCGAAAAACACCTCCGAAACACCTAGTTCGTCACAAGATGGCTCAGTCAAGGCCACAGAGACACCGACGCAGGCAACAGCCACGCTAAAAAGACAGCGCACCCTCATGGATATGTTATCTGGACCCCAGAATCGCAAAAGCGCGGAGCCAGCGGCCAAGAAGCCAAAGCTGGGCGCCTCGTCGTCAGGCCCTGGCTCTGCTAAAATTGCGGTCGTCGGAGTTCAGCGCTTGAATGCGATACCTTTCTCTCTGTCTCAATACATCGAATCAATTCCGGAAGATCACAAGCATTTGCTAAAGCTAGAATCCGAATGCATGGGCAAGAGTTGGTGAGTACGGCGTTCAAACTGTTCACACATCAACGAATGTGGTACATTCTGTTCTGATAAGATACCGCGTCAATGTTTTTACCGCTGACGTCGAATCATTCTTCAGGTTGAAACTTCTAAAGGAAGAGATCAAAAAGCCGTATTTTATCACGCTGAAGAAGTTCCTGTGGGAGCAAGGGGTACATGGCCCTGACGATAGTGCTAAATCTCTCAAAGTATACCCTTCACGTATGTAGCCCTTCGCGAAGATTTCCAGTCAGCCGAGTAGTTGAACCCCGTGAGCAGCAAAAAATATTTATGCGTGGTCCAATACGCCCCTCGGAAAGGTGAAGGTCGTAATCATTGGCCAGGACCCCTACCACGGTCCGAATCAAGCTCATGGTGAGCCGTCCGTATACCGCTCTGATCCCAGCTTACATGGGCGTCACGCGACTTTTAGGCCTCTGTTTCTCCGTCCCCAAGGGCGTCACTGTGCCGCCTTCTTTGAAAAACGTGCGCAATCTCTCACCGGTAATTGATCATCATACCTCATTTCTGCATTTCTAGATCTATGCTGAGATTAATGCCGAGTACCCCGAATTCGAACCTCCTAAGCATGGGTAAGCATCAGATAACGTGGATATCCGAATTATGTATGTACTAACACGGATATCTGGATAATAATCAGTAACCTCACAGCATGGGCTGAAAATGGTGTCCTCATGTTAAACACCTGTCTCACTGTGATGGCAAGCAAAGCAGGGTCCCATTCTGGCCAGGGCTGGGAAGTATTTACTGACAAAGTTGTGGATGTGGTTGACAAGTATGGCGGTGCCAATCTTTCGTCCGGCGGTGATTCCGACATGAACGGGATTGGGCGTGGAGTAGTATTCTTGGCTTGGGGGGCATGGGCCGCAAAGCGTGTGGCTAAACTCAACAAGGCGAGTTCATCAATACCGCATCGAGTGGCGTTCGAGCGCTGACTCTGTAAACGTTCAGACCAAACACTTGATCCTTACTAGTCCCGTGCGTCCTTGAATGTTTGTACTTTTGTTGCATTCTTGACTGACTTCTGAAATAGCACCCTTCGCCCTTCAGTGCTCACAAGGGCTTTCTGGGCAACGGTCATTTTAAGGCCGCGAATGACTGGCTCGAGAAGAAGTATGGACCTCAAGGCAGAGTCGATTGGTGCAACCTGGATTAATTCAACTAATTAGCGCATGTAAAGGATACGATACGACCGTTGTTAATATATACCTACAGGATACTGCCTGTGCACATTTTATACACTGCGAAATTTTTGCTAGTGGGTCTAGATCCTTTGACGCTCAAGACCAACTGTAAAAGGTGAGCCCCGACGATATAGCGGGAGAATTTAGGACGCAACACGTCTTTGGATGTGAGTGCAATATTTATGTATTATAATCTTGTTTGCACAGATCAGCTTCATGGATCTCGCAAGTTCCCACTATTGATCCCGGTCGCAAATAATCACATGCCGATACCCATACCCATGGATACCCCGTCACCTTGTAATCAGATAATCTAACACGATTTTTTTAAACGCCACCATCAAATGGTGACAGAGGGTACTTCGTTCCGGGGCGACAGGCGCGACATGTGCGATTCAAGATAGTGTTCAGGATAGTCCCATGATGCGTCGGAGGCGGTCGCCAGCAAAACACATAAAATAAGAAAACGTTACCTTGGCACGGGGTCTTTATGCGAAGACTATATTTGGCTATCTGTACGGTCGTGCCCGCCCGTGGCTGTGCGGTGCCTGTCACCTTAATTGCTTAAAGAGGAAATTTGGTAAACTTGGTTCAGTTGTGAGTGACTCATCAATGGATTCGAACCGACTCAAACGCAATGGGTCGTGCTGGATCCTGTCCGAACATCGGAATTGCCAGCACAGAATTAAAGCTATTACATGGAAAGAATAGTTTACCAGATAGCTGTGTATACATCTATTGTAGAATGGACTAGGTAACCCAGGACAAAGTTCGCGAGCGATAGCGATACAGACGTTGTTAAAATCATTTAGCAATGAGCAATGAGAATCCCGAGGTCGTGTGAGGAAGGGACTGATAGTACAAAGGATCAGAATAGTTACGACGAAAACGGAAATTAAGAAGTACAGGACAGACGACAACGATAACAATTCAATGGTCACCGAAGAGCGTTAGGATGCTTGCCGTGAGAGGTATAGTGGGATCGTGGATCCTGCGCAGACGGCGCTGGAGGCGATGCTAGGCGCACCGCCTGCGAATGAGGCGGGGGGCTGGGCAGGTGTAAATCGGTGCCTAGCGGTCTGAACCCAGAAGGCTCATTGACTGAACGCCGTTGTGGGTACGTTATTGACGTATGTGGCAGGGGCGTGCGCTGTGAGTGATGGTTTTGGGATGGATGAATAGGATGCTGGGACGGTGGAGACATGGCATGGTCTGGATTGAATTGAGATGGTTGATATGAGTAGGGATAGTGTGCGTTTTCTCGAACGTCGCATAGAAGGTAATTCATATCATTATAACCAGTGGCAATGGGCCTATCAGCGGTATGTGGATAGTTTGGTTGGAGGGAGTGACCAGATACGCTATTTGAAATCATTGAGCGTGGTGGGGGCATGGGATTTGAAAAAGTGAATTGATGCGAGCTTTTCTGCGACATGGGCGGTGGGACTGGGCGAAGACTATAGGAAGCGGACGAGGAAGATGATACATGAGAGCCTTGTGACTGCTGATCACTCATCATAAAACTTTCTTCCCAATGACCGTCCATTACAGGAGGAGTTCGCAGGTTACCGCTAACAACGGACGGAGAAGCGGATTCTGAACGACCCGGTGAAGGTGATTCTGCGACTGGGGAGGACTCGCGACTTTTGGAAGAGTTGGATTGTGCAGCAACGGGGGTTGTCTCTAGAGACTTTGATTTGTCCTTGCCCGTCGGACCTTTACCGAGAGACGGGCGGTTAGCTGCTGGTAGATTGAGTGCAGCTCTTAAGCAATTATTCTCTTCCTCCAGCTCCGATACTCGCAACTCGAGAGCCTGGAAAAGGAGTGAAATTAGATGACGGATTGGAAATAGAAGTTGGATAAAAATGCCGCACTTGTAGATGGGCAGCTCGCCGTGCACGAAATGCTCTCTGGACATCCCTAGCTCTATTAGGAGGGAGGTTGTCATTGCGCTTGCGACCACGCTTTGAGGACATTTAAATTTAAAAGTGATTGAGGATGTAAAAAAAGGGAGAGGAGATGAAGGCGGGGAGGAAAGGACCTAAAGAGAGGGAAGGCAGGAGAACATATAAAAAGGGACCACTTCATCGGGCAAGCCAGATCTTTGTGTATCACGTCCGCATTCGATCCCTATTCGATCAAGTCACAGGCTGGGCCCTTGGCTGGGCCAGACCTACTTTTTTGGCTCCGAACCGATCTCCGCACAAACTCAGTCTCTTGCCGCTTTCGGCAACCCAAAAATGGGTTGACTGATGACAAGGTCTTGTCATGATTCGTTCAATTGCACTTCCATGAGCCACGTCGAGTGTTGCAATCAACTCCGTGTGATCAATGTCATCGCCGTGTATCACCTACCGTGCACTACCAACCACTTCGCCTGGTCTTCCATCCAACAATGGTCAAGTCTCGTTCTCTCTGGAAGTACCCTTTTGGAAGATGATTTCCTCTTTTTGATCAAATCACAGGAGGACCTACTCATACAGGTAGACTATAAATTCCGCTACCGGTCCAGAGCAACCTCCCCCCATACGCGTCATTGTCGAGCGAACCTAGCTTCCCATCATAGAAATAACAAAAAAAAATTCAATGTATTGAAAACGGTGGCGTTAAGGTACCCTATGAGAGCATGACAAATTGCCAAAGCTTCAACAATGTGACAACGGTGGAAACCGCGGGCCCAGTCCTCGTATTCCAAGGATAGCTCTCAAGTGCGCCCCATCGCTCGCTGCTCTTTCCGTGCGGTAGCTTTGTCCTTATCGCGACGGGAAAATAATTTGTGGCGTGGTGCCGCATCCCGCGCGAGTTTCTTGTTGGCCGACTTATTTTGCTCGACGTAAGACATATGCTGAGCACCACTGAGTGCCGTAAGTGACCCTGTCGTCCGCTGGGCTCCAGGAAATCTTGTAGGGCCAAAGTCTTTAGATGTCACCGTTCCTGCCAAGTCCCCCTCATTCCCGCGTATATCCGTCCCTAGATCAGCCTCGCTCTCGTTTGCTAAGAGCACAGATGATATCAGCTCGATCTGTTCATCCTTGGTCTTGTAAACCAAATCCTCCAGGTCCTCAAGTCCGTCCAGGTGTGTAATCACCTTGAACGCATACCCCTGGTCGATGAGGAATTGCTGCCGTTTCGTGCTGTAAAACATCTCCTGGGTGTCCTTGGAAACAAGCGAGTAAAAGAACGCGTTGAAGCCTTCGTCATTACGCCGCTTCGCTCGTAAGATGCGACCTGTGATGTCACCATCGGTGTCAATGAAATTGTATGGAATGAATTTTGCGTCAACTTACCCAAGCGCTGGGCTTCTTGTCGCCTTGACCCAAAGTGTGAACTAATTTGAATGAGGCACGTAGCCTCTGGCAAATCTATGGACGTGTCGCCAACCTGCGCAGGAGACGTCATTGGAGGGTCACTTTCTACTCGATGCCGTAAAATGTACCTTTGACAGGAAGATAGTGTTGACGTTGGAGTCATGCTGGAACCATTGCAACACCCGCATCCGCTCAACCTGCCCCGTGCCACCGTGGATGTAGGGTTTCCCAAGTTTCTTGGCGTACGCCTAGAATACTCGATGAGACGTAATTGCAAAGACGTACGACGATCTTACCTCAAGCGCAAAAACATTGTCGGAAAATACAATGACTTTGTCTCCCCTCGCCTCGTGGAATTTGATGAGAAATTGGCACGCTTGGAATTTCTTCGGGTTCATACAGTAGAGCAGCATACGCTTCCGAGATTGCTCCCGAAGATATTCCTTGTAAAACTCGGGGGTCATAGGACACCAAACCTCGGCACACTTGAGAAAGCGCGATTGTATCAGATCCAGCAAAAATCGTGGAAGGTGGCGGGTACAAAACTTACCTGAACATTGGCTATATGTCCCTTGGCGGCAAGGTCCATCCAATTAGCCTCGTATAGCTTAGGTCCAATCATGTAGTTGAGATCTGCAATTTTGTCGTCCTCACGCACAAGGGTCGCTACGATCAGAGTGAGATAAGTGACTGCGTCTGCATTCTCCAACACCACTAGAGCAACCCACCTGTCAAGCCAAGCTTTGAGTGTGCTTTGATAGTTGTAACAACACGGCGGAACATGGCGGCCGGCACAACGTGCACTTCATCTAACAGAATGAATCCCCATTCGCGTGAAGTCAAAAACTCCATCATCTTCTTGGACTCATGGGACCTGTTGTGCGTATTGGCGACCATAGAATACGTCGATACGACGATACCACTGTCTCCGGCGAACTATACGAATTCCCCTGACATCAGATTCCACGGAAAGACACATGTCACGGCCACGACTCACTCTCTCCTTCTGATCTGCGGTAAAAACGGCGATTTGACGATCTGTCACATTGGACCACTGCATAAATTGTTGCTTCCATTGCATGACGGACACGCTGAAAAAAAGACTTTCATGAGAACGTTGCGAAGCACAGCATTTTCTATCAGACGCACGAAGAAGTACACAGTACCAGACACGATTTTTTAATCGTGCAGGCTGCTGTAATGCCGACGAGAGTTTTTCCCGCCCCGCACGGAAGAACAATAATTCCAGAACGTGCGCGGCTAAGTCCACAGTCAGGAGCTACCTAGACAACTAAAAATTGCGACCCTACCCATTTCCGAACATCTTGCTCAAACTTGTCTCTTGATATGGGCGAATCACGGTTGCCGGTTTAAGGTCAATGTCCAGATTTGCGTTGACCGTGTCATTCCTGAAGTCATACTCTTCGAGCATTGGATATTCCAACTCATTACACCGCTTCTTGACGTCCTGAAAGAAACCGTGAGAAATCCATGAGAAGCTATCTGTCCCAGAACTCACGTCAATTTTTCCATCGTCAATCTCAAACGCATGAACATTGTCATCGTCTTCATCGATCTCATCTAAGGAAACGGAAACTGCGATGAGAAGGATCGGCGGCAAAATACACAAGCTTACCGTTGTCAACGCCAACAATTGAGGTGAAAAGGTCAGCATCCGCGGCTCCTCCGGACATGGATGCTCCGGCCCTGGTGCCCGCAGTCTCATCCTTCTTCTTCTCAGCCTCCTTGGTTCCAGGGATCACAAGATTGCCCTTCACAGGGGCTTTTGTTGTCGTAAAGGTGGCAGCCTTGATACTGTTGTCCGTTTGCTGAGATACCACTCGTGCTTCGCGTATCACTTTGTCCTTCAAAAGCAGCTGAAGGGTGTCCGGGTGGCTGCTCTCAACGAAATACTTGTTATGCTTCAACACAAGCTTCACTTTCCCGTAAGATAGCGTCCGCTCCCGGATGAAGTTAGTGATCGTTTCTGGCACTGGCACCTTGTATCTTTATAAAGCTCAGTTGGACTACATGCCTCAAAAGACACACCTTAGAAAGCCGGTTCAGCACCTTGCAGGATTCAATGCATCAGTATACTCAAGCGGCACAAGGACCTTAGTGCACACGAACTTCAATGATATCTTCTGTCTGCAACCCGACCGAAACCGCGGCGTACAGTGAATAAGAAGTGAGTTTGTATTCGTGGAAAAAGGCCGGTCTGATGACGTGTCTAGACGTGTAAATTATACAGCGGGAATCTGCGTACCTGCTAACAGGTTCACTGATAGCTACAAGAAAGTCCTGGGCCTGTTCTGCAATGGGTGAAAAGGCCTCGAGGATAATGTGGCCATCATCAGGGCTAATCCATAATGGCCGCGAAGCATGGTCAGGTTTAAGATGGAGAAAAGAAAAATCCTGATCCATGAAGATGTGGGATACGAGCGCGTCTTGCTGTCGACGATGTGCATCCAACGAGCTTTCGTCACCGTCTATGGGTTTGGCCCTCCGGGCTTCCGCCAATTTCCTCGTCAGCGCACTGAAATTGATTGTCGCACCCCTAGGAACGAAGGAGGCATTGTCCTCTTGTTCACTATGAATTTCTTCATCAAGATAATCATTATTATCCTCCGCCCGTCTCCGTTTCGACGGCCCAGCCTCTCCAGGCCCTGTGATGAAAATATAAGTACCTCGCGCTTGAACAATCTTGAGAGAGTAACATGCCTTCAAGTTCACGTTTTGAAGCCATGTGGTGCTCAGTGCAGAGTACGGTAATAGTGGTAGTCACTGAACAAGATGGGTCAATGGATTTCACGGCACCGAATGGGAGGAACAGACCGTGCTGATTTGTCAGCAAGTATACTGTCTTGTAATGAGTCAGCAATAAGTATTAGTAATAGGTCAGATTTCACTCAGCATATTATGTAATACTTAAATGTATTTGCTGTCGGACTTTGCCGAGAAAGCTGCTTAGTTTACCAATTAGAGTTCAGCCTCCAGAACCCAAATATGGACACACCAGTGTCGCGCATCCCTCGAGAGCGACAAAATAACGCTGGAAGTCAACTAGAAGATACGACGAAATGGTGAGTGTGCTACGCATGGTTTGTACGTTCGCCTAATGAAGTCTATGCTGCAGGCCGAAGAAAAAACAGCACCCACCAACCCCATGAAGGAGCTGAAGATTGATAAGCTCGTCATCAGTGCGCCTCTCTTCTCGTGTTGTTACATGGTCCTAAGTTATGCATTTAGACATTTGTGTTGGCGAGTCTGGTGATCGCCTCACCCGTGCATCCAAAGTCCTCGAACAACTCACCGGTCAAACACCCGTCACATCGAAAGCTCGATACACCGTCCGTACATTCGGTATCCGTCGTAACGAGAAGATTGCTGTCCACGTCACCATCCGTGGGCCCAAGGCAGAGGAGATTCTTGAGCGTGGTCTCAAGGTGAAGGAGTATGAGCTGCGCCGAAAGAACTTCTCGGAGACTGGCAACTTTGGATTCGGTATCCAGGAGCACATCGATCTCGGAGCGAGATACGATCCTGGAATCGGTATCTTCGGTATGGACTTCTATGTCGTGATGGGTCGCCCTGGTGCTCGTGTTGCCAGAAGAAAGGAGAGACGGGCACGTATTGGGTTCCAGCACCGAGTGAGGAGGGATGACACCATGGCTTGGTTCAAGCAGCGGTTCGATGGTATTATTTTGGTGTGTTCCCTTCCTCCGCAGATTGTGGTGGTTTTATTAATGTGATCGCTTAGAAATAATCGCTGCCACCACTTTCTGCTTCTTTTCCTGAGCGGCAGGCATCAGGGATAGTCTACATATGCTTTTTTCATACTGTTGCTGTCGAGGCGAGTTCAACTCGAGGTGAACTCTGTCTGCTACGAAAATGACCAAACTCGTTTATCGGAGGTGAATCGAGTTACAGCCATGCTTTTAATTTACCCGCAAAGTCATCAGTACTCGGTCGTTCAATGGGCTGCTCATGAGCGGAAGACTTTAGATATCCGTCCTTGGCCTAAACTAGTTGTCAGCCCGAAGCATGGAGCCTGATTTGTTCAACTATTGACTATGTTATCAAGCAAGTGTACGTAGAGTGACTTTGTTGCCTCCTGCTTCGTAGAATTTGAAGAGGAATCAGTAGCATGAAAATCTCTTTGCATTCATACAGTACACTAGTAACACACGCTCCAAGATGGCTCTATAAATTCAAGGAGCCATAACTACCTCAGCGCCACTGAATAGCTGTACTCTAAATGGAGGGTGATTTCGGGTCCAGCGAAATTTGCGGAATCAGCGAGGAAAGGTGAGACCCAACCCACTATCTTGTCGTCCTCACGTGCACCCTGTGCAAGGGCCAAAGCGGAATTTGGGCACTGGCGGGAAATAATGGGATCACCACAGACGTCCTTCTTCGTGCTCCAGAGATTTCTAAGAAGTGTGCACATCGCGCTAGGGACAACGCACATTTCGACGTAGCAGACCGAGCGAAGATCTCATTCTATTTTGACCTTTTTCTTGCGTTTCTTCTTCCTCTTCTCCGGGGCTACTTCCTCGGTTTCCGGTTTCCGCTTCTTCTTCAAAGGTTCAGCCTGAGGGAGCACACAATTATGTTCGCGGATAAAGCATGAAACGAAAAAGCCGTTTGTGCCATCTTCCCCGGGGGAGCAACGAACTAGGCTATCTGCGTCACCTGTTCCCGTCATCTCTTCTACCTGCCCTCGGCGGTTCCACTTGGGCAGGACGTCGTTCCGAGGTGCGAGCTTGAAACGACTGCTCTTTGCCTCGTCCGACTGAAGCGCGCGGCCAACGACATGTTCGTTTTCTGTCGCGTGGATACTACAGGTAGAATAAACAATTTTCTGTACATGTGGAACTAAAGACGAATTAAGCCATTTTTTGTCCGCCGTTCTCCAAACTACTCACATTTCATGGCATGCTTAATCATCATGAGCTGGAAAGCGGCAAGTTTGTTCAACCGGTCTTCTTCTACCACTTCTACCTCTGTGGAAGCATTAGCCGAGTTGAGCTACAATATACAAGAGACTCACCGTCTTCAAGCAAATAGTCTAGACGATTTACGATACCTGAACCGCTGCAGGAGGGATCAAGCAAGCTAATAGAAGTGAGTGGCAATCGAAGGTTTTCGAAGTAGAACACACATATGTGTTGCCAATGAATATTTAGGATGGGAAGGGTCGACGGTGAGAAAATCAGCGTTGATGGCTTCTACGTTCCGGCAAGCAGCTTTGGCGAGCATCATTTTCAACGTCGAGAAGCGCCTCTTGTCCTTCTCAAACGCATATAACTGACAAACCGTCAAAAGGGTTGAATTGGAAGCGGGGTAAATAACAATACTTTTCCCATATTACCCATCAGTGCGCTCAGATGTGACGTTTTGTTTCCAGGAGCGGCTGTCGCGTCTATCACGACAGCATTTGGATCGTTACATGGAGGTGACAGCACAAACGCGGAGAAACACGACGCCTTATCTTGTAGAATGATCTTGCCAGTTTTATAGGAAGGATCATCACGAAACTGTACAGCGGGGTTGAATGCCAGCAGATCTGGTATGTGCTCGTCAATTTGAAACCCTTTACTGAGAGCAGCAGTCAATATCAGCACTCAGGAACGTTCCAGGACACACGGCTGACCTCGACGCAAATGGATCTTGCAGTTGAAAACCACGTTTGGTGTAGAATAGTATGGCATCCTCCGTCGACCACATCGAGGTATTGACACGAACGTAACGAGGGATCTTCGCTGTCAAGACGGTTCACCAAATGCACATCTCTACTAGCTGTGCTCTGACCTGCTCTGTCGTCACTGGACTGAGCCAACTCCAGATCAGATTTGACGCCTCGCTTTATTTTGATTCGCTGAAGTTCGCTCTTTAACCTAGTCTTGTGCCTTAAAATGGCTTGTTTGATGGGCCCATCACCGGCTTGAATACCATTCGCGAGCAGGATGTCATGGACCAGTACAAGAGCTAAATTCAAAGAAGTGATTTTCTTCTTTTCCTCGGTTAGGAGTTTGGATGCCTGGATAATATCGGAGAGGACAGATTTGTCTGACGGGCCCATAAATGACCACACCCAATAGCATAATAATGCACCACAAACTTACATTTAAGTGTTTCAATGACAAGCGCGGCTGTTCTCGCTCTGTTATTCTCGGGCAAAGTGGCTAGGATGCCTTTGATGGAACCTTCTTTTGCGTCGAGACGATTAAGTACTTCAGAAGCCTCAAAGTAGAAGTTCATTGGATGGCACTATGTACAAGTATGAAGGGCATCAGTGCCAGGAAATCGAGGACGGGAACCTATAGGGAATGAAAGGATAAGCATGCATATGATGATACAAGTGGGGTAGTGAAAAAAGTCAGGATTGAAATATTCGTCATTTCTGGGCAAGCCCAGTTAGACAATGTAGATAATGATTTAACATCATACTGGAGATATATAAAAAACAAGAACTGCAACTCACCTGTATCCTGGTACCAACATGCATGCGAAGAAGAGAACCAAGCGTTTTTTTATGTTCGACTATTTTATTTGAAACTCCGAAGCGCGTCTTCCCAAAACGCGCGTGTCACATTAAACTTGTTGTGTCCTCGGACTCCTTCTTCCATCTCTAAAAAGAAAAAGTTGGTTTTAGCTACCCTCTCTGCAATCGAAGTACTGACAGTTATGCAGTGCCTGTAGATACTGAGCTTTATGATCTTTTGGCCGTTCCACCGTCAGCCAGTGAAGGTACGTCCTACATGCCTTGCTCCGATGCGTTTGAATTTGAACAGCCTGCACCAGATGACATCAAAAAGGCCTATCGGAAAAAGGTGCGAGTTCACACTTGGTCCATTAATAGACTCTTGAACTTTTACAGGCTAAGGAACACCATCCTGTAAGTTATTTGGTCCTCGTTCTCCAAAGTCTGCTGACCATTGCGTTTGACAGGACAAGGTTTGTTTTCGTGCAATTATTACCCCACCCGTCGGTTACAATTACATATAATCCAGAATCCGAATGATCCTCAAGCTGCTCAGAAATTCCAGGAGATGGCTGCCGCGTCTGTTCCATCTCTTGTTTCCCTCAAACTCACCTGACGGTCACGTCTGCCTTTCAGCTATGAGATTCTCGGTGATCCAGAGAGCAGAGCGATATACGACGAACGTGGTATGGCTGGCCTAGGTCCCGGTTCACAGGGACCAGGTGGCATGGGCGATGCTGCAGATCTCTTCGCTCAATTTTTCGGTGGTGGCACAACTTTCTTCGACTTGGGTGGAGGGGGGCCCCGCCGACAAAAGGGTCAGGATACCGAAGTTCCGTACAATGTTACCCTAGAAGATTTATATAACGGCAAATCTGTGAAGATGAATATGGAAAGAGAGGTTATTTGCAATACTTGTCAAGGGTATGTAATGTGAGCTCGTTCTATGTCACCTGCTAATCAAGGCCTGTCGACTTAGTTCTGGTGCCCGGGGTAATGCAAAACCCAAGGAGTGCGTCAACTGCGAAGGAAAAGGCTGGTCTTTTATCCAAACACAGGTACGAAGCTTTACTACTTTTCGAACAATTCATTGGACATTTCTTTTGAGCTCGGCCCTTCAAGGTATGGCACAGCACGGACAAAATGTACCGAGTGCAATGGTCAAGGTAGTAAACTGAAAGAGAAAGACCGGTTCGTTCTCCTTCGCATGTGCATTTATGGTCATTCATGATAGGTAGGTGTAAAAAATGCAAGGGCGAAAAGACAGTACAGGAAAAGACCCGACAAGAAATTTTCATAGAGAAGGGCATGCCAGATGGACATCGGATTGTTCTTGCAGGTGCCGGCGATCAGCAAGTGAGTCATATGGATTGTCGAATGATGGCATTCATTGATGTACAACAGCCCGGTATCCCTGCTGGCGACGTGATTTTCAAACTTACGACTACTCACCACGAGTCTTTTGAGCGCTCAGGCAGCAATTTGTTGACAAATGTCAAAATCACGCTATCCGAAGCACTGCTAGGTTTCTCCCGCATCTTGATTAAGCACCTCGACGGAAGAGGGATTCGGGTCTCCAGTCCTCCAGGCAGGATTACCAAGCCCGGAGATTCGATAAAGCTTCGTGGAGAAGGCATGCCCACACACAAACACCCAGATCAGAGAGGCGATCTGTTCATAATCCTCAACATAGAAATGCCCGATGCGCAATGGCTACAATCCGTGAACAAGCCGGTATGTATGGATTCAACTACGGAGAGTATTCGCTGACTGCTTGGTCTTTGAGGCATTGGAGAGGCTTTTGCCGCCGAAGAAATCAGACATGGACCCAATGCCTGAAATTGTTGATGAAGTCCCATATGAGGAAGGGGACATTGTGGACGTGCGTGCCCGGTCTTTCCCGGCTGGTTCGGACTTCTTTGATCAAGGGTTTGCATCGCAGTTCGGAGAAGGAAACGAAGAAGACTGGGAGGATGACGACGGCGACGACTATGACGATGACGACATGGGAGGCGAGCCAGAGTGCAGACCTCAATGATTATCCCTCTAACGGGAACCCACATATTTCATTCCGCACTCTTAATCATGTCCTCCCGCTCTGCATTTACATGTCATTTCCCAGGCTGTATACATTTCATCGCTAATCGATACACTGCTCTCGCTCTGGTCTCAGGACGCATTACCGACATTGCCGTTGCCGTTAAATGCTTTCGTGGTCTTCGATTGCAGCACCCACTTGATACCGCCCATGACGTGGCCCAAGAAGAGGTCATCCTGAGAAAGCTTGATTACTTTCAATCCAGGACAAGCACAGCAGACTTACGCTCCATATTTCGATACAATGACCAAGCCCAGTGAACCAGCTGCGACCGGCAGTGTCATGGCTTTCAGCACCGGCACCCCGTTCCTGATACCAAGCTATGACACATCGAGGCTGGTCGATACTGCTCAGGTTAAGTACTCACCAATTGGGTGGGGAGATCCATGGCGCAAAGTCTTTCCTTTTGCCTGAGGATCTGTAGAATCATTGATTATGGCCGACCCACATGTCCACTCGACTCATCAACGTTACCTTCGTAGCTTGACTCGTCGGCTGTTAGAAGGATCTTTGCCCCAACGGCACGAGGGTCCGACTCAAAGTTGTACCTTCCAGAAGTCAGCGGATTTCAAAAGACTGCTGAACAACCACACATTTCGTCCAGCAAGCGCCATTTATCTGGTAGCATGACGGTACTAGGGTGCGTCTTGTCCAGGACATCTACAGCCTGGAATGACAGTGCCTGTGAGCAATCGTATGGCCGCAAAGCCTGCTACGACCTACTGATTCCTGGATATCAGGGTGGTAGTCAAAATAGGCACCTATGCATATGTCAAACTCGGAGCATCGGACCTTGGCGTCTCCACATACCGATCTGTCTCCCGAAAAAGGGAGAATCGCGAAGGGCGTCTGCGGCGCAGTGAATAGCAATGAAGTTGCCGCCGAGATTGAAATAGTTCTGTAGAGCAGCCTTCCCCGTATCATCAAGGACTGGTGCAAACCCATCAGTTTTGATTTCCCTGGTCATTCAAGAATATAGACTGTACTAATGCCGGAGTTGTTCAAGAACAAAATGGCGTCATACTGAGACAAATTCTCGTCCGTGAACTTTGACTTGTCCTCCGTAAAATCAAACTCTACGTCGAGGGCAGATTCCTTGGCTTTCAGAGCCTCGATGGAAGGCTCGATGCTGTCGTGTCTGAATCCTGCTGTAGCGGAGTAGACGAGTATGCGAGGAGGCATTGTGGGGGTGTCAGATCGAGGGCGTGGAAACGAAACATTGTGTGGTTCCTGCTTTTATGCAGATATGAAAACGCCTCACTTGAAGCTGAATCTGGACTACAGATTTGTTGGCGACCGACACTTGGTCGGTGAGAAATCCCGACCGGGCCGTATGGCTGACAGACGCGACGCGGGACTCCCTGCGGATGCAATACAGCTAGCCAGTATCAGTGGGACAGCCGATCGTGCATCTATTTATCTGGATCTAGTATGAACACATGATTGTTAAAAAAGATTGCATGGAGTGGGTCATGGGATGCGCCCAATGCAAGGAACACAGTGAAAGACAAAATAATAAACTAGCCAAGCAAATTGAGGAATTTGTGTAGAGAAAGAGAACATCGCGCCCGCTAACGCTGGGCCAAAACTGTGCACAATCGAGACGATCATCTGTGCAAACCCTGTGTTCGCACCTCCGATTAGGTGCCGCAGCTGCGATGAACATGAAGATGCACGCTACACGAGGATTCGTGAGTCAAGAAGCCTCACACAAGAGTAAGAGTTTACCGAAGGCCATGTTTGTTTATCGCAAGCGCGAGCTGGTAGTATACGCCAGGCTGGTCACGAGCCTAGTTTCCTCGTCCACTTGTTGCAAGACCAAGATGTCAAAAAAAAATGGAGAAGAAAAAGAGATCAGACAGCATGATTTGCTTACAAGTCCAACTTCTTCCTTAGATACACGATCAGCAAATCAATGCGCGGTCAGCGTGTAGCAGGGGAGGCCACTACTCGAACATGGTATCTAAGCACGCTCAAGCAGCACTTACTAATTTCTGGAAGAGCTTTGCACGCCTGCACAGCGGCGGGGTCCATGAGAACAGATCATAACTTATTGAATGAAGGGAATGAACATCAAGGAACTTGGCACTGAAAGCTTCTAAAGCATATTTTCATCTGTGATTGGTGATGCAAGGGAGCTCACGCCTCCAGCAGAGCCATTTTGACTGTAGAGATGATTGTCTCATTCAACGTTCAACGCTGCATGGACATCGGGAGGTTGCGGTAATTGCATCTGACGTCATTGCACTTGAATACGTCGTTCAAAAGCGCCTTAATCCACGCACCATAGGAAGATACACCGGAACTCTTCTTGAATGGTAACCTGGAAGGTCAGATCTAGTAGTTATAAATGTCAGGTACTCACGTCTTCGCAGTAGAATCCTATACCCTTGAATACGGCGTTCGTTGCATGCAACCAATTAATGTATAGCCTTCCAAGCTTCCAGGTTGGCGATGCTGTTTGGTGGATAACTTAAGAGCTTGATATCATGTTTTGTTTGGTGTTCGAACTTCGCGGAGTATGAAATCGTCTGTTCAACATTCTAATAGTCAACTTTACTTTTTCATGTTGAAATCAGGCTCGTTATTCCACCGCCGTCGTTTTGCGTATGGCAGTCTTTGCGTGTCTTCTGTGGGTATTCTACCCATTGACATTCACACTTCTCTGTACCATCGTATCTGCACGGCCCCTCTCAATCCCCCAGTCATATGACACCAATTTATCAATTTCAACCCCGGGGCCGCTGATTACTACATGTCTTGTCTCCTTCCTAGTTCTGTTGGCTCTTCTCGCTGTGAAGCTTATATATATGAAACACCGTCGGCTTAGTGCCTTTCGCTCTCGAAATATCCAGTCAACTTCCCCTCACGATGTTTCATTGAACTCTCGCTCTTCTCTTCTTTCTGTCAAAGCCGCTCAACTCAAGGCATTCCGCTCAAAATGCACACAATCTCTTGCGATCTTCGTTGGATGTCTCGGATCTCCTGCATGGGAGACCGACATCGAACCCGACATCGACATGAACTCGACAAGGCAACGCCGAACTGCATTGTTCATGTACCAACTACATCGGCAGTCCAAGCAGCGTTCTTCAAAATCTTATTCTGCGGCTCATCGTTCGAGCAAGAGTTCGACTTCTCAGGCACCTCCATCTCAAGCGCAGCTTACTCGTACTCGCTCCACGTCGTTCTTTAGTTTTTCCAGCGAGCATAGTACAGAAAACACGACCAAGAAGCTCAGGTCCCATCCTTTGCCTAATATCCGGGTCCTCACGTATCCTACTAAAGTACGGTCGAGAAAAACTGCCACCATCGCCCCCCAGAGGTATTCACTATTCGTCGATAGCTCCATTTCTGGACAGCTCGTCGACTTCTGCGAGAAATGCGATACTAGTCGCAGTAGTCTCCGGGCTCGTAACTTTTGTCATCCAAGTGATCGGACAACCTCTGGTGTCGATATTGGCCCGTCTTTAAGGCTTGTTGGAACGTCCGATGTGACTGCCGTCCCTTACTCGTTCTTATCTGCATTTCCGCCTTCTTCTTTTGTTCTATCACCCCTCACCGGAACTCGCGACTCTCTGCAGCTGCCTAGGCGTCATTCAAAATCAACTCGGAAGCCTATCCCTCCTCTCCCACCGTTGCCATCTTACAGTCTTTTCAGCCAACGGCCGTCATGTATATCTCCGGCTGAGTTACCCGCATCTCTGCCTCCCTCTGCAAGTGTTTCTCATCTTTTGCCTCTTCTCGAGTTTTCTCCGCCCGCTAGCATGTATAGCTTTTCCGCCGTCACCGAGCAGGCACCCGCCTACTTGTCAAAGGATATCCCCTTGTCGCCTTACAATTCTTCAAAGTTCGAGACTTGTTCTCTTATCTCGCCGAACGCTCCTGATTCTGTTGCCACTGTCAAATTGCTTCCTCATGTCTTGCACCCCGAGGATCCCCTTGTGTTTGCTGTTCAGAAGATGAAGAGAAAGACGAAACACAGGCGCTCATCTGCTATCAGGTCACGTAGTGGAATCGTAGCCGGTGCATCACCTCTACGCATCATGGCGCTCCCAGAAGATATCACAGACCGCAAGCCCGTTGGAGATACACCTACCAGCGACAAGGAAAATCGTGTTACTGCTACTTCCGCGAGCAAGGCTATCAACGATGGCCAACTTTACTCGATGACAGATGCCTCAAATCGCTTGTTTCCTTTTCTAGGCCCGCCTTCTAGCCCGGATGCACAACTTGAGTTACTTCCTCTAAACCGACCCATTGATAGAGCATCCTCCGCCCGTTCTGTCAAATCCACAAAAAGCCTCGCCCGTTCTGATATCGAGGGGTCTCTAAGCGACTTGTCATCATTGCAAACTCCCAAATCTGATCGCCTGGATGAAGTAGACATAGGCATGCTGGGACTCGATCGTTTTCACTGGTCTGAAGAAAGTGAGGAACTACTCAAGTCGTGCTCTTCTCATATCAAGAACGATAGTGTGGCATTGATTTCTTTCTGGGAAGAGGGACAGTGGATGCGTGAGAATAATCAGTGGTGAGAATCATACTTCCCGATGTTTTTCAGGACTGATGCGATGCAGTTCGGACATTGGAACTGCATGTTAGACGTTGGATGAATGAATTATCGCATTAATGATGTTGGATATTGTGTATTGCATTCTCTCGGTTTGTCTCATTATCACTGTGTATATATACGTAGACCGGAACGTCTCGTACAGAAGCTTTCATCAGAAGTAACCAATCCTTGGACGTTCACTACTCTCAATTTACGGGCTCTCGAACTCGTATTGTAAGAGTCAACGTCAAGGCGACTGACTTCACCGGATGTATATGTATCCCAAGTATTAATTCATACCATTCAGATCAAGGATGAACTGTTGCCGTTTGTGATGGCCGTTGGTGCGTGTGAGGGATAGATCTTACTTGTGGTGCATTTCGCATGACCCTAACACCGCTGGCTTCAGGTTTATCATATCGATTCATCACGACGTCGATCGTTGTGGTAATCAACTTGGTACTAGTACCCCTCGATGACTGTACTGTTAAATAACCACCACTGACGTCCATCACATCGATGGAAACCCAATAACCCAAAGAACGTGGGGTGTTACAGTAGCCCAAGACCCCAAACACTGGAAGAGACCCAATAAAATCCACGTAGCCCAAGGAGAAATAATGAAAAAGACCTACATAGTCAGGGAATAGTCGGTAATGTGCCTCTTACCTGGCCATTCTTGATGCGGCTGATCAACATTTGCTTCACCAGCGAGGTATCCTTGTGTGATTTTCCGTGTTCTGCCTTTACAAATTACCACTGATATGATACCACTTGGCAATGCTCCCACGGTTCCCACCTTTGCCGCTGGCCGGGACGTAGTCTCCTCTAGAAAGAACAAAGAGGAATGACGATAACCGTTCCTTCTTACTAGGGCCGGTACGGTGTTCTGAAGGGTTCTGAATAGGATCATGCGACCGTTTCGCGAGCTCAGATTCCGATCGTCCGTTTTTCCTTGCCTGTGCCAGTTGTAGCGATCTCCTTGATCACCGAGGCTGCGTCGCATAGGCCGTCTTTAAGTTATAGAACTCTCTTATCATGTGAAGATATCGTATTACAGGGAGAACGTCGTTGTCGTTTACATTTCTAGCCGCATAGCCGAGTCCAATAGGTCAACAATAACAGGTTGAAAGCCTGGACCGCCGCATGGGATTCTTTGACCACCCTGTCCAATCGCCTGACGCCCGAGAGGCTGGTTAGCTGCATTCACCATTATCGTCTCTTTTCCAAGAGGTGTTGTGCATTCTGCATTCGAAGAGTCTTGGTCTTCCTCCCCCTGCAACCAGGGATACCGCACGGCACCACGTGCCTATAAGAGCCCGCATATAAGACTTTTCTGCGTGTATAGAACTCAAAATCTTACTTCGTGTATATGCCCGAAGACGTGGAGAAGCGGAGGTCTCCGCATCTTGGAAAGGTGCGCGAGCAGGGCAGGGCATCCAGCGTGGACATTGGAAAAGGTTTTATCTAGAACCTTATGCGGAGGGCCATGAGTGAGACTAAAAATAAATTTTAGCACAATTATGACTGCATGGTGATGTTGCCAATTACAGAATGTCGACCTCAGGTATTGCGGAAACGTGGTCTTGTCCAGAGTGAGCGCGTTCGAAGGGAAAGGTAAAAGATATAACCGTACCACAGGCTTCCTCAGGCAAATAATTGAAAGCCCAGCCACCAAAATAGGGTTGCCACTTCATTTGAGAAGGTAAGTCACAAAGGACCAGGTGGGATGCGAAGGATGGTGACTTGCCGGAGAGCCATACACAGACCACTCCCTTCCACCTTCCTTAGTGCTAAAAGCGTACCGTCCGTCCTGCAAATAGATTAGGCCCCGATCACGATTTGCCTTGCTGTCGACGAGATTTCTGATCGCAGTCGATGACTACATATGCACGTAAAGAGGCGGTTTCCGCTAACTGAGTGAGATAGCCACACCTCCTTCATGTTGTGGAAGCCGTAATAACTGTCCTCGTACCACTCCTCGTGGAGAGGTAGGTCATGGTTTCCCGCTATAATACTGACTGTCGTCAGACTGCTAGTCTATGCGATAAGGACATGTGCAGCACACATTTTGACGCCATGGTCCAGACTATGCAACCACTCTATCGTAACACGAATATCGTCTTCCCGACCTAGCCGGCTGAGATCGCCAGAGTGAAGCAAGACATCGCCAGAGGGAACGCCGAAAGTACGAGAGTGGGTGTCACTGATGCACACAAAACGAGTCCAATTTGCCCCCGGATGGGCTGGGGGATTTGCGGGGTCGTATGAAATATAGACATTAGCGCTAGGCGTGTGGAAGCCTTCCTGGTGGTGTGTCGCTGGGATAATTTCATCTGATTCAGACATGTTCACTGAACTTCGCTCGCTCTTGCTTTCTGCTCCTCCGTATTATCAGCGCCACTACACGCTAGCGCCGAATTGATTACATAACAGACACCTGGCAAGCGAACAACCTTTCCATATCCAAGGACCGTGGTTGACGAAGAAACTTCAAGCTCAAGGTACCTTTTGTAAGTAGTTAGTGCCCCTGTAATTCTGGTGTGACTGGGTTGGAAGTGGCAACCTTTTACGGAAATTCCAGTGGTGATGCGCCTTATCATGATTGATGTCATGCCAGATCATATGTGACCTGCTGGGCGGCTAGCTGGCTTTTCTCTTATATGCTAATCCGCAGATATCTCAATTCTTTCATACCAACCCGACTTAAGACACGACTTCGACCTTTGACCATGTCCTTGAAGACGATCGCAGTTTGCAATGAATCTGAGCTACAGGATGGTCAAATGTATGTCAAGGAGTTAGAGGTTTAAACGATTGACATGATTAATTCAACTCTTCAGGAAGCAAGTAGACTTTGAGGGAGAGGGGAAAGTGTTGTTGTATCGTCTGAACGATAAAATCCATGCAACTAGTGCCTTTTGTACACATTATGGTGCGCCCCTAGCTAAGGGTGTGCTAGCTGCGGATGGTAGGGTCGTCTGGTGCGTCTTTCCGCATCTGTAATTCTTACATCACTGAGTTCGCGATAGCCCTTGGCACGGAGGTATGTTTCCGCAGCTGTATGTGCAACATGCCCGAGACTCACAATGTAATAGCTTGCTTCGACGTTTGCACTGGTGACATCGGTCAGCGCTTTCTCCGAGTGAGGACTCATTATAGTATAACTAAATTGATATCTAGAGGATGCACCAGCTCCTGCTGCAATTCACTCTTTTAAAGCGGAAGTTGCGGACGGCAAGATACACGTGACTGCTGATCCGTCGCAGACCCTCAAGAGCAACACGAGTCGATCACCCAGGCTCTTGTCAACCGGCGTCGCTGGATCAGGGAAAAGCGTTGTCATTATCGGTGGAGGATCTGCTACTTTCCACGCCATCGAAAGTCTGAGAGAGGTACGGACAGTCGTCTGATGTACCTAACATTGGTTTAAACTACCCGCAGCATGGTTATTCTGGAAATATCACAGTTCTTTCCAAAGAGACACACTCCCCGATTGACCGGTATGAGAACTGCAGAATTAATGATCATTGTTGACATATGTCCACAGAACCAAGTTGAGCAAGAGTTTGATCACAGATGCGTCAAAACTTGAATGGAGGACGGCCGCCGACCTCAAGATCAAGTATGGCACCACCCTCCGTACTGGCGTCGTGGGTATTTATCTTGCTGGAGAGTTCATATTCTAAACCGCCGTTAGACTGTAACTTCCGTGGATACATCTTCTAAACTTGTGGTCTTCGATGGAGGAAAGGAATCCATATCCTACGAGACCCTGATTCTCGCTATGGGGGGTACTCCTCATCGATTACCGATTCCTGGATCAGACCTGGAGAATGTATATACGTTCCGTGGCATTGAAGACTCGAAACGCGTTGATGCAGGTATTTTCGGTCCACTTGCGCTTGTCGGGCCTTCTCAATGCTCTGAATTTTTCTAGCGGCTCAAGAGGGAAAGCGAATGGTTGTTATTGGAAGTTCCTTCATCAGCATGGAGCTCGTCGCTGCCGTCGCTAAGCGGGGACTTGCATCCATCGATGTTATTGGGATTGGGGAACACCCGTTCCAGAGCGTACTGGGCAAAGAAGTGGGCCAAGGTCTTCAGAAGGTTGCGACGTCGACTCTTTGATTATCATTCTCAGCCTCAACTTCTTTCATTACAGTACCACGAGTCTCAAGGCGTTAAGTTTCACATGAAAACACAGGTCGAGAAGATCGTAGCATCGGAGAGCAACCCTTCACTGGCTGCTGGTGTTGTTGTTAATGGGGAGACTCTCCCTGCTGACTTCATCGCAATGGGAGTCGGTGTGGCTCCAGCGACCGAATTCTTGAAGCAAAGCGGCTTCCAGCTCGAGAAGGATGGAGGAATCAATGTTGACCAATACTTGAAAGTTCAAGGTCAAGATAACATTTATGCAGTCGGTACGTTTGTTCGTTTGTTGTGCCATTGACTGTGCCGACATTTGAAACAGGTGATATTGTTTGGTACCCTCAGCAAAAGACAGGAGAGAGCCGTAGGATAGAACATTGGAACGTCAGCATATACTTATCCTCGAAAATTACCAAATTTCATAGCTCACTCGTTCTCTATAGGTTGCAGGTAACCATGGCCGTGCTGTTGGTAAGACGATTGCGGGTGACCCACAGCCATTTGCGAAAGTGCCATTCTTTTGGAGCGCCCGTATGTTTACAAATTGAATCAGGGACATCACTGACGGCGTTTCGTCAGAGGGACAGCAGCTTCGCTACTGTGGTCTTGGAGCCGATTACGACGATGTTATTATACACGGTAACCCTAGTGACATGAAGGTGAGTAACGTGTGTGGAAATCCCTGACTATGCAATCTGCTGACTTGTCTCGAAGTTCATTGCGTACTATGTCCATCGCGGCGAAGTTGTTGCTGTATCTAGGTAAGACATTTCCTTCGAATTGCAGGTTACTCGCTACAAGGCTGGCAACGGCAGTATGCAAAATGACCCGGTAGTCAGCAAAGCATCTGAGCTCTTCAGACTTGGGCTCATGCCATCTCCCGCCGAACTGAGGGGAGGAAAGGTGCGGCACAGTTTACTGCAAGGTAGCTCTCATTGATGTTGTATATTTCTTAGAGTCTTCTGAGCATCGATATTTCCACGGGTTCCACAAAAGCCCGCGTCGGGTCTGCCTGATAGTAATCACTGAAGAAGTGTTTGTTCACAGGACCAGAATTTGTACATTATCGTTAGTGAAGGGTGTTGTGAATTGAAAATCTCTAGGTCTTTGTACTATAGCCGCGGATCAATGTCAATGGACTGTAAATAATAGCCTGAAGTGCAATGCGAGCAAACCAGAGGCGGGTGTCTTACTCACCAACGATAGTCGATCGACCTCCCTTACCCAGCTGTTCGAGAACCTTAACTCTGATAATGATAGCTCTCTGCCTTTCCATGGCTTGTTTTGTGGAGAAATTAGATCCCATTACGGAGTGGATTGATGAGCGTATGCGTCTAGTGTCTTCCACTGACTACCTTACCCTGCTCGTCCAACTCGGCGTACATTTCAGGAACTCGACTCATAGGATCTTTGCGTACTTTCAAAATAGAGTAAGGAGCACACCCCATAAGTAGTACATACATTTATTATATAGTTAATTTATAGGCATGCCCCGATTTTTTTGAACACAAATGATAATCCGATCTCGCCGGGCGAAGCTACTGAAGTAGTGAATTGAAATTGTTCCTTCGTTCCAGACCATTATGTGAAAGCAAACACGCCAATAGTTAGCATGACTCAGTATGGGGTACGGGTGCGAACTGGGAGAGAGAAATTGAATCAAAGTCATTACAATGACGATTGCGGTCGGCATGCCACAGATGGAGGTGCATTCGAGTGGCGAGTATGGCGTGAATGATGAACTGGAAACTAATCACATGATTTGGGTCGTAAGTATTGCTTGCCAGTAAAGCTCGGCAAGAGACGTACTCTTGGAACATGCCGCTATACGCGTACTGGATGAAATCTCAGTAACAAGAAAATATTTCAACAGATAGATGACACACATCGAGTAACAGTGATGTCAGAACATTCACAGCTGAGAAAACTGTGGGAAAGATGAGCCATGATTAACCACTCCACGCTCTTACTTACACAAACCACATGCATAATAAAACACATTGTGTTTCAATAGAACAACATATAAACGGTTGTGGGTTGTACGCCAGTTCCGTACGGCACATGTGAGTGTGAGGGAAATGAGCACTGTATCAATCATGAGTCAAATGGCGTTGATGTAGCAATTCTCAGTGACACACTCAATTCTAATCCGAACAAAAGCAGGAAAGGGACAAAAAGTCCGGCACTTCCTGAGGACTGATAACAGCCTGTGATGCCTGAAATTGAACTGGTCTCGACTGTGAAATAAAAACTGAGTTAATATTTCCAGACAGGCAAAGGGAGTAATTCATACAAGGCGCAGTCGCAGTGGAAGAAAAGAGGGCAACCATGGACCCCACAATTACACCCTGACACTGTGTTAGCATAAGAAAGCTACGATGTTACACACGACTCACCGCAAAAGTTAATATCATAGCCACAAGAACAACCTTATTTTGATTCCATAGTACATACGTCCTGAGTATGAAGAAACCTGAAGGAATCAAAACCCCGCACTCGCTATAAACGCAATAGGGCATTTACATTCTGAGCAAACGATGGATATCAGGCTGAAAGCTGCATTAGAGGGGAAAGGTCAGTGACCAATTATTCTAATATAGTTCGGCACACCTGAGCAAACGTTGTTGACAAATTGGCACATCTAGGTTGGTCTTCAAGTAAGCAGAGTTCTTGTCTATCGCGAGTCCACATACATTGGAAGTCTCGTCTGGGACAAAGTTCACTGACAAAAGTCTGTCAATATGGTATCTTAGACTCATTCTGACTCAGGACGTACAAGTCAAGTGGGCGACAAAAAGAAGGAAAGGAACATATCGCGTTACAACGTACAAAAATTTGACCCTGCTCCAGCGGGAACAAAACAAAAACGTCCCCTTGATACAATGCATTATGAGGATCCGAGGTTGATCTTAAAATGATCTATGTCACCTCCTGACGGACTGAGCATGCATAGTCGTATATCTGGATAGGAAAATAATGACCAAGATGAATATTAGAGTGAGGAGATGAGAATGATCACACCCAGAATGTAGCCATCGAAGCTAGATTGCGTGAGCAGATGCAGCTGGCCGAGTCAAGTGAAGTAGCACATACTATATATGTACTAGAAGTAATGGAATTCATCATCAGAGGTCGTTTGCATTGTCCAGAGGAAGAATTACCGTAAAGACTTGGAGACTCCTAGCGGCTGCGACAGCGTCAGCGGAGTACTTCGAATCCATTCGATGGAGCGATGCAAGGAAGAGGAAGCGATATTTCTAGCTGCTGAGAATGATGTAGGATTAAAAATGTGCTCGGATCCGAAGACTAAGGCATGTAATCGACTGTGGCAATATCAGTTCGAGTCTTGCTATGCTCAAATCCCCGTTCCATCATGATATAAAGTGAGGCTCGTGCATGACGAAGCGCTGGATATCAGTCTGACGCGTGTTTTAACAGGAAATACTTGGCACGGTGATAGTTGCAACTCGAACCTGACGGAACGTTTCGCTGATTTGAAACCTTGATATCGAAGCATAAGACATGCGACCTATGTGCAGCCAGTCAGCTTTCGTTACAGCAGTCATATGCATACTATTAGGTTTGAACTCTGTTTGAACCAGGGTGGATGGGGCATCCGTTCTCGATTACAACATCTGCAGGATATAGCCCAATTGAACAAGTCCCCCTAACAGAATCGCTTGATGATTCCTGGCAGTTGGAGTCCGTTGCAAGTGACGTTAACGGTCGGTTAACCCGAGGCTGAGCTGATGCGAACAGGTGGGAACGAAATACTAAAAGTAGGATGCGTGTGCTACCTGCGGTTAACTCCTGCGGCCCTCCTGCCTCGCAACTAACATATACATAGTGATTCCATTGACACGTCATGGGTCTCTTGTTCTCTATCCCCCTCGCTGGTCCGCTGGGGACCATCGCAGCATCATGTCTCGGAGGTCTTGCATTTTGTTTCACTTCAACAGCTGGTGGGACTTGTCTGGACGTGTAGAAACTCAACTCATACATTTCTTAGCGTCCATGTTTTGCAAGTCTTGTAACTGCAACTCCTCGATTGCGACGAGAGTCGGCTTCGCAGTGAGCATAATGAGTGGGAGCTTGAAAGAGCCTTGACTAGATTTGTCTAGATGATCTTTATTTTGAACTCCCTGCTAGCATGGCTCATGAAGACTCCATTCGCAATCCGCAAGATTGAGCAATGGAGTTATGACTACATAAAGATGGACTGCGATGAGGGCAAGTGTTATGGTGTTCTTGCGGTACGTCCAATGTAACACGTAGTTGACATGATGTTGACACACGTGAACTCAGGTCCATCGTATTTGTTTCGCCTTATCTCTATTCCATGCGATCTTGAGCTTGTCTCTCATTGGTGTCAAAGAGTCCAGGGATAAACGCGCCGCAATACAGAATGGGTAAGCATCCACCCCTGTCTTGTTTTGAATCTATGGAATATATGCTCATTTGAGTAGCTGGTGGGGTCCAAAGGTTCTGCTGTGGATGTTGCTCGTCGTAGTTTCGTTCTTTATACCGAATGGATTTTTCATGTTCTGGGGCAACTACGTTTCTCTTATAGGTGCCACCATATTTATCCTCCTCGGTTTGGTTCTCCTCGTCGACTTCGCCCACTCATGGACGGAAATGTGTCTGGAAAACTGGGAAAACTCAGATTCAACTTTATGGCAATGGATCCTCATAGGCTCTACTGCTGCTATGTATGTGGCGTGTGTCACCTTGACCGGCATTCTATACGCCTATTTCGCAAGTTCCGGGTGCACTCTCAACCGGTTCTTTATCTCAATAAACCTGGCCCTTTGCATCATTATCACTATTATGTGCATACACCCTGCCATTCAAGAGTCGAATCCTCGTTCGGGCCTAGCTCAATCCGGAATGGTCGCTGCATACTGTACCTATCTTGTTGTCTCCGCCGTCAGCAATCACGCACACCAATCTTGCAATCCGCTCAGCCGGACTGACAAGACGCGGACTACCACGGTTGTTCTTGGTGCAATCTTCACATTCTTGGCTATTGCCTATTCTACCAGTCGCGCGGCGACACAGAGCCGTGCATTGGTGGGCAGGGGAAAGAAAGGCGGTGCAGTTCAACTTCCGGTCGATATCAGTGAGCCCTCAGAAATGGATGTAGTTAGCACTCAACCGGGAAGAACGGAGTCGCCGAGATATCAGGCTCTCCTCGCTGCCGTCGAGGCCGGGTAAGTGATATTACTATAGAATCACATTTGGGTAGTAACAATTTGTCAGAGCGATCCCTGCATCCGCTTTGAATGAAGAGGATGAGGAGGATGAGGATGAGGACTACGGAGAAGCGAAAGATGATGAACGTTCCGGCACGAGATACAATGTGAGTATACCGTGTCATCTTCCACAATAATCATCTTATACATGCATAGTATTCCTGGTTTCATGTCATCTTCGCTATCGGTGCAATGTATGTTGCTATGCTGTTGACTGATTGGTACGTCATCTTTTAATTTAACGCAGAACCTCCACCCATCTTTTCCACGTAGGAACGTGGTGTCCACGGAACAGGGTCCTGTTGACTCCGAGGAGGTTGTCCGCATCGGCCGCTCGGAGACAGCGATGTGGATGCGCATAGTGAGCAGCTGGGTATGCATGTTACTGTACATGTGGAGCTTGCTTGCGCCTGTGTTGATGCCAGATAGGCAAGTCATCTTGATCAGAGAATCGAATTGGTCTCATACTTTTAACAGGTTTGGAGATATGTGAGGTCCAGCTTGTTTAGTTCTTTATACAGATAACCATCGAACTTTGGATTAATGATGCGCCCCTTTTTAATGTACTATGGTGACCTTCTTGGTTATAGTTTTACGCTTCGGTTTGGATGTGTCTTTCCTATCCACAAGACATGTTCGTGAGCCTTTTGATGTTCGCGAACCAGCTGCTTCATTTCCGTGATTGGGAACGACTTTCGGGTGGCTCCGATGGCTATTGATGCGAGATGGGCCCGGTCAAGTCAAGATCGACCGTGACGCGAGTCATGTGCCTTCGTCCTCTGAGGAGCCTCCTGAAGAAGTGCGCCACAGGCCAACAACAAGCAGTTGTGTCCGAATGACTACGGGTGTGGCCACACTCCGAGCTAATGTGAATGGCGATTCTGCCAGTGTCGCGGGTGATGTAGGTTGGGTAAGTAACTTCTTTTGTGAACGCAAACATTCCAAGTTATGCTTCGCTCTGCTAGTTCTTCACTGTTGAAGGTAAGCTTCATTGTAACCACACCCTTGTTTGCTGACAAGTACAACATGAATTACGCAGTTCCTTGTGATTATTTCTGGGCATGACAATACGATGCTGCCGGAATATAAGCTTGGCGACTTAGTACCCTACAAGGCATTAGAAGAGACTGTTACGATCCCGCGGCAGGCTACGGTCAACTTAGGGCCGTCGAAAGGACGTCCTGCCCCGTTTTAACGAGCCCATATGCCAAATGAGTCAATCCTTGAAATCAATTGTAGGTTATCGTAAGCCTGGAGACTTTTATGACCTGAACGACCTGCCGGCCAAAGTAATGAAGTTGGGAGACTCCTGTTTGTTTCTTTCAAGTCTTCGGAGGTAAAGTTTTGATACCTAACTTGTCCACGCATTGAGAATCTTGTGTCAGAACTTAGAATTCGCATCTGTACAACTTGTCAGTTACGCTGCAGATCTTCCAGAAGGGGATGTCGTCAATTACCTTTCGCTGTTACTGTCTTCGGACAGAGTTGACCAGTGCGCACCGGAAGTACGCAACTCAGGGCGGACGTCTTTCTAGGTGCAATCTTCGTGAGTGACCGCACTCGTCATTGGTGCATGGTGTATTTGCATATCCATATCTCCAATAGTTTTGTGTTGATTCTCTTCAGTAGGACCATCGTGAGCTGCGTAGCTGGACGGCTATATAATGCACCTGGTGCCTCCGTTGAAAGGCCAATATGAGCAGCTCACACATCATGATTCACTCAGTTACTCGTCTGCTCTTCATTGTTGTTGCAGTGGTTGTTCCCTCTGTCTATGCCCACATTGCTTTCTGGCATCCGAGCATGTGGGGCTTCAACGTCACAGACAAGGACCCGGCGTATTCTTACGACAACCGTCCTGTTGTTCCCCTAGCGCGTATGACGTTTAACGAGTGGTGGTTTCACAACCACCTTCGGTATCCTCCACACCCAAACGATGTCTTTGAACTGCCCGCCGGAAAACCCGCCATTGCAGAACTCGGGTGCAACAAGGGCGCGACAACGTGGTATAACTCGTCCGAAGGGTTAGCCATCCGTTATATGCTCCATCAGGAAGTATACTGACTTCAACGGTACAGTGGAGATGTCCGTCAGGGGGACTGGCCTTGCCCGAGATCCCCTTCTGTCCAGTTCCACACTAAGGGCATCGAGGACGTGAAGGGTTGTGCACTTGCCATTGTTCATGAATCGGACGTCAGCAAGATCAAACCAGAGGACTTCGTGGTCTTTAGCGTTAACCAGACTTGCGTCTGGCACAGATTCACCGCATTCCAGGTACATATTCCTACGACGACCAAAGATATTCTAAACCTGATAATAATAATATTAGGTTCCAGCTGACATGCCTGCCTGTCCTGGCGGAAAATGTACGTGTGCTTGGTTCTGGATCCACTCCCCTGACAGCGGCTCCGAACAAAGTAAGGCGGTTTCCTTTATTATTTGGTAATCCTGACTCGGTGCCTTCCAGTGTATATGAATGCCTTCCAGTGCACAGTAACGGGTTCTAAGCACGATGCACCAGCTCTCATGAAGCCTCAAGTTGCAAGACGCTGCGGAGCTGATCCTGAACACGGAATCACTCACACCACTCCCAGTAACTGTACGCACGGAGCGAAGCAACCATTGTACTGGCTGCAAGATGAAGGCAACAACGTAAGCATTTGGAAACCTTTCATGCGATGCTGAATTTAAATCTGATCTTATTAGATGTTTGAGGACTACATGGGTCCTCCTTTATACAACGACCTTTACGATTTTAAAGATGGAGCACAGAATGACATATTTGTGACGAGCATGAAAAATGCCCAGAAGCGGGATGCATATCAGCCTTCTCGCTCCTCAAGGTTTTGGGGCAATGAACTTCATGCTTCGAGGGAGGCGATGGTAAAGGACATTTAGGATGGGGTGCATTGAGTGCTTGCCTCGCCTTTTAGTTTGGACGAATCTCGAATTTCATGCGGATTAAAATGTACAATAGATGTTTAACAACGACACGCGATCTGCTTCTGTAGTTCAAATAAATTCCATGTTGGCGATCGAGCCACCGAGTCAAACCGGACGTGTGTATTATGCCAAGAAACGACCTGCAGTATACGGGGATAGCTGGAAGTCCGATGTCGAGGACAAGACGTCATGGCTAAATTTGAAGGTACACCAAGTCTTCGATCTCTGGTAATTCAAATTGAACATCATGCAAAAGGGACATAGTCTACTCAGTAACTCACTGTTGTCCTCGAACGAAATACTTCTGCAACGTGCACTGAGAACGAGCCCTCGGAATCAGGCAGATCTTTCGTCTTCGATAACCAGAGGGTGCAATCTGTCATAAATGTAAACGAAGGTCCCAAAGCAGGTTTTCTGATTGTTGATGCAAATGCGGAACTCTGGTTGAATGGTGCAGCCGCTGATGTTCCGTTGATCACCTAGATAAAATAAGAAGCGGGTGCAAGTTTGTGTAACAGCCTTACGATGATGGTTATCCCGAAAGTCTGAGCCAGCTCGCGCAATTGGCGCATAAACGTTGTCATCATGGCATGCCCTTGAGAAGATACCGCACTTAGAAATGGTAGCAAAAGTGGGGTTATGGAGTCGAGGACTACCAATCGGATTGTTGGTCCAACGGTCCTAGAGCTCTGCGATACATAACATAATTCAGGAACGAATGAGCGCAAAAAGATGGAGGCATACCGAAAGCGAAATGCGCAGCGCGCCGAGAACACCATGCACTTCCTCAATGCTGAAACCCAAGGATACCTGTAACCTCTCCAACACGTTCACAGATACCTGGGAGTCCTTCGTTAGATTATCACCACAGCATTGACTATTAATTTACCGCCAAGTCACAATGTCGTACTAGCTCAGCAGTCTTCTCTACAGAGAAGTCGCCAGATGTATCGATCCACAACGCACAAGAATCTGCATCAGCAACAAGACGCTGGATCACTATTTGCAGCGCAAGTGCCTGTCATCTCCGTTGTAAACTGATTCTGGAGAATATAATTCAAGTTATCTGACCGTTTTACCTGATCCTTTGTCTCCAGATATTTCAAAGACTCGAGAGCCACCGAAGCCATCAACAAGGTCATCCAGTTCCCTCACACCACAGCTGGCTCGAGAGTGTTTCTCAGATATCCGTCCCATGTCAGCAAGAATCTCATCTCCCCGATGTCCAGGAGCCGATGCCCGTTCTGCTACTAATTCGGTGAACTTTTCCACGTCTGAAAGCGTTACAGTCCCGAGTGGTAATTTCTTGATGATGTCCAAGCTAGAACCAAAGAAGAGAAGATCGGTATCCGTTCGGATGCCACACGAATGGTCGAGTGCTGCTACCAGGTCTGCAGGGATTGAGGGAACCAATGATTCTAAGCGCATGATGATGAACTAAGAGACGCGACGTGGAGTAACATCAAAGAACATGGCAGATCAAATACAAAGAAGACTTGGGAAGTCGTTCCTTCTTCAAGCATTATGATGGCGCACAGCGTTGTTGATCGCATCAACACACCTCTTGCTTTCGTTCCACAACCTGCCTTTTGGGGCTGTTTCACGAACTTGTGGTCAACATTAAGTCTTGACCATCCAAGTTGGTCGTGCGGACGATATCAACTGATGGCTGAGCCTCCCCAGACTGATGTCTCCCGTCCCTCGGCATTGCCCACAGCCAAGTTACTTCAGCGCCCCACTTTCAATCAGGCTCTCGTCGATCAGAACTCAGATGATTACCTTGATGCGATCGAGGAAGAATGGAACAAGAAACTAGACGCTGAGGTGGAAATATTGGTTGATGGTATGGTCGACATCGTTAGTCTAGCATCGGTAAGTGTAATACGTGCTTTCTCGAGCTGTACCTCAACTTCTGTAAGATTGGGGACAAGGACAAGTTTCGAATCGCACAAGAATCATTTCAGGCCGAATCTCGTGCCGAGTCTATGGTATGAAATCAAGCCCTGTCAACTACGAGTCGCTCATCATCAAAACGATCCAGGTCCGTGCAGCTAATTCGCTGTTGTCTATAACGCATTCCTTGAAGTTGCTGCTTCTCTTGTCCGATGAGGCTCAAATTGCCCACCGTCGGGATGCAGAACTCAAGCACGTACAGCTGGAGAAGAATGAAGCTCTTCAGAAAGTTGCCGAGCTTCTCGATGGGTTGATGAAATCAAAAGGCGAATCGTCGCAATAAAACGTCATTCCCAGGCTCATCGAATTCACACCAACCTTTCCCCAACCTTGGGGCTCACTGGTCATTTCTGCCAAGTAACCCCGGGGGAAAGTCCCGATATAAAACTCATATCTTGCCACGGAGCCTGCTCTTCTATGGAGTCTTGCTGGACCAGACTTTGGTTATCTAATATCATGGCATTGCACAAAAGGTCGAGCCTGGACGAACTGGCTCTCAAATTCCCTAATTCCTGGCTCCGAGTTGAGCCGAATACTGCTGTTCCAAGTAGTACACGGGAGTATCGGGGTAGATCTACGTCCAGACATTAGTCGTAAATTCTTACAGGATACCACGATCAAATACTACCGTGAAACCGTCGTTGGGCGTAGGTCCACTCGTTAAGTTTGAACCAGCTTGCCTAGCAATGAATCTCTAACCTGTTGATTTCAAATTCGCGAAGACTCCAGACTCACCAGATTAGTACACCTGTCAATCCGCCATTGATAACGGTGGAGTACCAATTCTTGTAGGTCGTGGTCTGGTTTTGGCCAGCAGATACACCAAACTCTTCCATCAGCACAGGTTTATTGCAGGTGGCCTGAGCATTATGGTGATTTTCGATCCATTCCTGGCCCCAGACCATCGCGCTGTCGGGCGATCAGGCTAGGGGCAAAAGTCGATGGATTGCGTGCTTACCTCGGGGTTTCCTTGCCCCAGCTGTACTAAGGCAGCATGGAAGATTTGATTTATCAGTTATAGTGTTATCAAAGCAACCAGTACTGTTGTTCAACGTACGGGGTATAGCTAGTTTCGTTTCAATTCCAGTCATGACCGTAATGACGAAGAAAAAATAAATCACATACGTGGAAAGTTCCAAAGTCAATGGTGTCGATGGCCAAATTAGCATCGAAGTCGATACCCTGAGAACCACTAGAGGTAAGTCAGAAAAATTTGTTCTGAGCCGAAGGTTTACGATCAACGTACTCGAATGCAAAGTCGGTGGAGTTGGACCAGTTGAACCAGCCCTCGTCTCCGAGGCCAACCAGGTGGTTGCTGTCGAGAGACTTAATGTAAGCAGACATAGTCTTGACCCAGTCCGTGATCGTGGTGGTGGTGCAATTACCTGAGGTGGCGCTATGCTACGTGAGGCAAAAAATAAATATTCAAAAACACTCGGAATACCTAGTGGAGCCAGTGCAACGCGGCTCATTTACTGTAAATTCCAGTAAGCATTAGAGATTATGCAAGGGAAAACGCGCCACTCACCCAGCTCCCAGCCGAAGATGGTGGGCTCGTCAGCGTACCTCTCAACCCACACCTTCACGTAGTTTTGGAAGGCGGCCTTCATGACCATAACGTGAGTGAGAAGCGTAATAGTCAAATACATGATATGCACGTACAATGACCTCGGGGTTAGAGTAGAAGTAGTCGTGGGGTTGGCCTTCGCCGAGAATTTGGTTAACGTAGACGTCCATTCCGCCATAGTCAGACCAGTTATTCGTGCTAAATGTATGTTCAGGTGCAACATGTTACACAAAAGTACCTGACGCACAGCGTAACAATGAGGCGAATGTTTTCTGCCTTGGCGGCAGCCACAACATTATCTTGCTCGAACTGTTGAAGATCAGTCTGCAGGAATAATGGACCAGATTTGCTTACCGAAGTTCCCAAGACCAGTTGAACCGCAATTAATGATAGATGTGCTTCCGTTCCAGAGCTGGTAGTAGTCGCCGCTTGCGGAGGTGACTTCGTTAAAGCCCCTGACAAGGCCTTGTCAGCGATTGTTATTTCATATGCTTAAACTTAGCTACAAACCATGTTCTGACAGTAGTCCCACCTGTTTCGGCAATGTCCTTGAATGTGACATGCATCTCGTCAGTGGTGAGACCACTCAAGCCAACCCAGTAGGAGTTGGAGCTGCAAAAATGGCTTTTGCATGAGGACCTGGGTACACATGATAATTTTTATGCGCACCCAAAAACGGTGTATGGTTGACCATCGAGGGTGAAGCATTGACCATCAGCCTTCACGAATGAGGTCGATTGCCTAGGCATAGGTTTAGATAACTGAAGATGCCGTCAGTCAAAAGTCATGGCTATATGATCAGACCACTTACCGAGACAGTGACCGAAGCCAAAGTAAAAAGACATGCCTTGAGCTTCATGTTGTAATCCCAGCCGTAGCGCAGACAATCAACATATTCCTCCACTCGACTTATAGAGGCCTACGGGGGGGACGCGGAAAAACTTTTCGCGTCACCGGTCATTCGCGAGTGCGCGAGATTTCGCCGTTCAGTGGAGAGTTTATTTTGGGAAGCAATTGGGAATCGTCCGCTCGTGGCTGAGAGTTGTTCGACAGCACTAGCTAGTAACACACGACCGCATTAACCAGGCCGCCGACGTCGATATGACCGGTTTAATCATTCTTCGAAATTACGAGCGCGGGTTGCAGCAAAGGAGTGAGATGTAAAACACACAGGCGCATCCCAGAGACAGCAACACGTCTTTTCAACTGATTAGCCTAAGTATATGTTACATTATATTTACTGTTACACACCGTCAGTTTACCCACTGCTTATCTCGCTCCAGAATTGATCCAAATAAAAATCCGTCTTAGAGGAAAATAAAATCTGACTTTTTTGCAGGCGGTGACTAAGTGAACCCCGCACCATGATCAGCGTCACCCCACAATGTAGGCGCCATGCACCAGGATGCACAGATTGCACCGTGATTGATGGCGAACATGATGAAAGGACTTGAGAACAGTTAGCAACAAGGCATGAGAAAGGGAAGAGCCAAGGAGCACCTGATATTGACTCTCGAGGGATTGAATGATTTTGGATCCACATGGACGAAGTGTCGTGTGTTTTCATGGTGTGGTCCGGTGTCAGGTGGATAAGGAATCGGAAACTTGGACTGTGTGCATGCGATATTCGTAATACAAAACATGTGACATCCTACAACATCTTCTCACTGGCGATCAGTTCCTCCAGTTTATCAACATATGTACCACTGAGTCGTGAAACAGCCATGAGCGGCCGTCGAACGTAAGTTTCTCCATATCCGAAATGTTTCGAGATCAGTGCCTTCATAGCACCAACTCCTCCAGCCTTGCGTGTTGCCCAATCTCCCTGACCTAGTTGAGCTTGAATCTTCATAGCCTCGTCGATCTTTCCTGCCTGGTAGAGTGCGTACAACTTCATGTGTAGCTTAGGCACGAGGTTCGGGAGCGCGGCAATAGCGCCAGCACTTCCAGAAAGGAGTCCCTGTAGGAGCACCTCTGATACACCAGCGAGAGTGCAGAATTCTGAGGGCGGCTTGACAGAAGTAATTCGGTGGAGCTTTCCAACGTTTCCACAGGACAGCTTAGTGCCTACAATGTTGGGGTGCTCTGAGAGTGTGAGGATAATATCGGAGTCCAGGTCGATGCCGGCAGTGACGGTTGGGAAGTTGTACACCATGTATGGCAAAGGTGAATAATCTGCAACCTGCAAATTCGAACAAGTCAGCGGTTCAGCCCAGCCAATCTTACGGAAGGCTCACTTCACGATGGTAGTTGATGATGTTCTGTGTCGTCATGTCTCCAGGCCAGACGGAAGGTGTCAATACGAGCACAAAGGCAGCACCAGCATCCTTTGCATCTGCGCAGAGCTTCTTCGTCTCTCGCGCAGATTGGGCACCGCAACCTGCAATAATAACAACGTTCTGGAAGCCATTGTCATCTAACGTCTTGCGAGTAAGGCTGATGGCCTCTTTACGCTCGTCGTGTGACAAGTGTTGAGCCTCTCCATTGCTTCCTTGCACGACGATACCTGTGACACCTCCCTGAGAAGATTGAAACATTAGTCATCGACTGACAATCAGAGAGTCATAAGTTTGTTTATACCTGAGCGAGCCGTAAGACATGAGACTGTATAGCAGGGACATCAAAGTCCTCGTTCTCTTTGAAGAACAAGACAGCGGGCACGTAAATTCCAGAAGGGGGTACCGCAGCTTGCATGTTGCAGATACTTATCGATCTGGTTGGAGAAAAGAAATAATGGCTGATCTCAGTGCTCTGGCAGTTATATGGGGTTGGTCCCGCGACATCTTCTTCTTCTTCTGCCGGAGCTCCGAGAGCACGATTGGTATGATGACGGTCAGCTGGGGGAATCGGACCAGCAACGGACCGGCGATGTCTGTCTCACATGTTTTGCGTAGGCCCTGCCGCTGACTCAGCAGGCGTGTCACGTGATCTGTGGTCCATTAGCGCAGATGCAGCATCATCGACACGTTATGTACTCTTCATTCCGCCGTCGTATATCTGCCGCCTTGTTGCACAGGAAAGTCGTGACATATGGCTTTGCTGCCAGCAGAAAGGCTGCTGAATCGCAGAGGCCCGTGCGCCGCCAATTCGGCACGTTGTTAACATCTTCACAAGGCTCTGTCCGCCTGCGGCAACGGCATGCATCCCAAATCCCTGCCGCCTTGCGTAACCTCCACGTCCGCGCCATTTCATACTCGTCTATACCTCGATTTGTTGCCCGAGCATTTCGTGTACCGATAGCTGGTGCTGCTCTCGGCGCAGGCGGACTTGGTTACGCCAATTACAAGTTTGAAGGTGAGTTCTCATACATCATACGTCTCCTGTGCGTTCATGTTACCGCGACAGAACTGCGCGACAAGTCTACTGCTTGGATATCGTCTGTTCAAGGCGTAGCCACGGATTTTATAGACTCGGCTTCAGACGGCATCAAGTCAGTTTCGTCTCGTGTGTCGGCGGTCCAATTGCCAGACATAGAAACGCCTCAGTTCCTCAAGGATCTCTTCGCATCTGTGGAGAATGGTGAGAAGTCGCGAGAAGAGAACTCACAGGGAGAGTCCTCGAACCGACGGTCGCCGGAAGAGAATTCCGCTATAGCAGCTCTTATTGCTGCAACTTTGTCTTCCCCGTCAGATTCAAAGGCATCATCTAATGAGTCCGACGGAAACGTTGATTCAAGACAGAACCAGCTTATGCATCTCACGAGGAAGCTTATTGAGATCAGAAGCATGTTGCTGAGTATTGATCAGAGCGACGCGCTGAAACTCCCAAGTATCGTCGTCATCGGCAGCCAGAGCTCAGGAAAGAGCTCAGTACTAGAAGCCATTGTGGGGCACGAGTTCTTGCCCAAGTGAGAAATTGTATTCATCAATTATGATTGTGCTGATGATGATGCAGGGGCAACAACATGGTCACTCGCCGTCCTATAGAGCTCACTCTAGTCCATACGCCCGCCAAGGCCGATGGCAAGACTCCCGAAGAATATGGCGAGTTCCCAGCTCTTGGCTTGGGGAAGATTACCAACTTCGCCCACATTCAGCAAACCCTGACTGACCTCAACCTTGCCGTCCCCTCCTCCGAAGCCGTCTCTAACGACGCCATTGACCTCCGCATCTACAGTCCCAATGTTCCCGACCTCACCCTCATCGATCTACCTGGCTACGTACAGATCTCATCTCTGGATCAGCCAGAGACACTCAAGGAAAAGATCGCAGGTCTATGTGAGCGGTACATCCGGGAGCCAAATATTATTATCGCAGTCTGCGCAGCCGACGTAGATTTGGCAAATTCTCCTGCCTTGCGAGCGAGCCGAAAGGTTGACCCCTTGGGCCTGCGGACAATTGGTGTTATCACGAAGATGGATTTGGTGCCCGCTGAACAGGGCGCGGCAATCCTTGCCGGAAACCGCTACCCTTTGCATTTAGGATACGTGGGCGTCGTTGCCAAATCGGCAGGGAAGAAGCCCTCGTCGCAGTCCGCAAGCGCTGTTGCAAAACGGAGCGAGAATGATTACTTCGGCAATAACCGTGATTACTATGGCGCCTCATCCTCGCTGATGGTCGGTACTGATACTCTCCGGCGGCGTCTGATGGAAGTGCTCGAATCTTCCATGGCGTCTTCGCTTCACGGTATCACCAATGCGGTGCAACTTGAGCTCGAAGAGGCTACCTACCAGTTCAAAGTGCAATACAACGACCGGCGTATCACCGCCGAGTCGTACGTCGCTGAAACGGTGGATACGCTGAAATCCCGGTTCAAAGACTTCACTACGCAGTTCCGGAGGCCGCAAGTGCGTGAAAAGCTGAAGATGATGTTGGACGAGAAGGTGATGGATGTGCTTGAACAACTGTATTGGCTAGACAAACGGACACCGGAGCTCGGTGTGCTTGCTGCGGACTCGAAGATAAAACCTCAGGATGTGGAACCGTATTGGCGACATAAGCTTAATGCGGCATCTTCCCTGCTCACGAAATCTGGCGTTGGCCGTGACTCCACTCTTCTCGTTGCTGATGGGTTGCGTGCTCTTATTGATTCGATTGTGGCCGGAGACCCTTTCACATACCACCCCCGAGCAGCTGAAAGACTGGTGCAGTTCTCACATATGATATTGCGGGAGCGCATTGGCGTGACGTCGGACCAGGTCGAGAACTGCATTAAGCCGTTCAAGTACGAGGTAGACGTTGATGAACGGGAGTGGGAGCAGGGACGCGGGCGCGCAGCGGAGCTATTTCAGACGGAGGTGGCGATGTGCGAGAGCAAGCTGAAGGAGATCAAGAAGAAGGTTGGTGGGGGTCGAAGACTCAGTAGCCTCCTGGGTTATGTTCGGGGCTTGGAGGAGCAGGCCAGAGAAAGGAAAAGCAGACGGTTGGCAGGAGAAGAGGACGTGCAAGAGGAGCCAGAGCCAGAGTCGTATCGGTATCCCCCAGGGCAAATTCTTGATGGTGAGATTCATTAAGAGTCGTTGGAATGTATGCTGATGCTGCTGCAACAGCCCGACACGCTATGTTGTACAGTGATAGGCTGTCCATTCTTAAGCTTCGCCTGGCCGCGCTCAAGTCCAAGCGGTGCAAAGCAGGCCCCGAGAGCGATGTGCTATGTCCTGAAGTTTTCCTGAATGTGGTCGCCGACAAGCTTGCACATACCTCTACTATGTTCATCAACATCGAGTTGTTGGACCACTTCTTCGACCAGGTAAACATGTCAGATTGATGGTGAAACATGTACTGACGGGTGTATGTTCAGCTCCCCCGAGGGATTGATTCACGTTTAATATACGACCTCGACCGCAAGGAGATCGAGGAGTTTGCCAGAGAGAACCCTGTTGTCAAGCACCACCTCGACTTACAAGAGCGTAAGGACAAACTTGAGGAGGTGAGTCATTTGATAGTAGTTTTCACTCATTCGACTGATGACGCTATCAGGTTATGAAACAGCTGAATAGCTTGTCGACTCTCCGGGCAGATGCTCAACCCACGCCACGTCGACAACGTGGGCTTTTTGGAGGGATGTTCTGAGCTCAGACTTTCCACCTTCTTAGCTTAGACGGATATGTTCATATATGTGTGATAATCACCACTCCACATCTACATATTGCAGTGCGGAAGGATGATCTCCATTTTCCAAAAATACAAGTATGAGCAATGGACACAGCTCTAGAGTTTTGACTGGAGCTTGGTCAACTAGGGAACAAATTGGTTGTGGCTTCAATTACGAGAATAAGATTGTTCACCTGAAGGACGGCGGCGAGTTTCGTGGCTAACATGATGTTGCCCTTGGCTTTCAGCTTTCCAGTGAGGAAAGCTTTCTGGCCGTCCAGCTGTTATGCCACGTATTAGTGATTCACAACTGAATTGACCGCTAAAATACAAACCTTGCCAGAAGCAAGCTGTGAGAACGTGTCATCCGACATGATGAGTGTGACATCCGCTTTGGGTGAGGCGAGTCCCTTGAGAATGGCACCATTCTTTTTCAGATCAATGGTCCAGACGGCCTCCTTCTTGTCGTTGTTCGTTATTCGGAGCTCGAAGATGCCCTTGGTCTATATAACATTGTGTTAGATGAGCGAAAAGGCTTGTGGTTCGCGGTACTTACTTTCTTTACTTGTGCTTGCTTCTGTGCATCGGTGAAACTGTCGAATGCACTGTGAAGCTCAACGAAGGTGTCTGAGGCCTGGAGGGGTGTTCCAAGTCAGTACACGAAGAGAAAGGAGCATATTCAGTGACCTTGAAGCCGTCAACTTTAATGTCGGACATGGTGATTGAGGATGTTACGAAAGATGAATGCGCTGCCTTATGAGAGAACAACGATTATCATATGAAACTTGTATGCCACGTCCAAGTATCAATTGCACCCGATGAATGGTGTATGCATCGTGACAGGATTGCTCAATGCTGCTCATGTCTCCCACCACATTGTGCGGGCATCGGTCGTGGAATTCGCAGCAACCTAGTGCCTAGCCATGGCCTGCTGGCCATGCACTCACTTCTGAAACGAAACGTGTTGGGCAAAGTATGATAGAATTTAGAATTTAGAAGCTGTGCACCCTTAGTCCATGAAAGGGAATCGGCAAATGACAAACGTTTACACGCCGCTGCTTGCCTCGTTACATTCCTCGCTCCGTTCCCCTCGTCGTTGCCGACAACGACGACCAAGTCTCCTTCGACATCATCTATCACGACTATGAAATACATAGAATTCCCAGAGTTATCACGCCTCTCGCAGGCACTCACACACGAGGGCCCCGAATGCTCCGTCCACACTCGTATTGAAGCATATAGCTGCAAGAACATTAAACGCGACAAGAAACTCTTCAAATCCCTTGAACACGCCTACAATGATGAGCTCTCCCATTCACCCCCACTTCCTTCATGGCTTGACCGCGAGCCTGAGCTCACCCCTTTTGGACCCATGGACAAGCAAGCATCCCGCAAAACGCTCTACCTCCTCATAGCCACCCTCAATATCGCATTTCCTGACTATGAATTCTCAGATGTCAGACCCGCACACTTTAACAAGGAGAAGAACGGCGCGAGCGTGCTTAATTCGCTCAGCACAACCCTTCTCTCTCCTCACCGTGCCGGTATGAGCGCTCCACGCACATACTCCGCTTATCCTCCCACGTCGTCCACTTTCTTCCCTTCGTCTGTCCCAACCACCTCGTCATCACCTCTTCACCACATGGTCTCTAGCCCCCATGCACCTCCCCAGATAGTTTCTGGCACACACCCAACCTTGTATCGTATATTGGATGAGGTCATTGGTCTGGCAGATTGCCAAGTCTTCTCATACTCCCCAGATATCGATTCTGATCCCCACGCCAACGACTCTGACGACGAGGATGATGTTGCGTCTGTTGCAGATGAGGACTCGTCCGACGACCCGGATGATGAACCCCCTTTTGAGTTTGATGACTATGACGTCGACGAGTTCTTTCCCGATCCTACCAGCTCGCGACCCACTTCCGTGTCCCTGCGACAGCGAATACCCTTCCGCCAGAATAGCGGGAACACCAGTAGTAGTGAATCGCCCGAGCGCAGTACTTTTGCCCATGTGCGGTTAAAGCGGCGTTGTGGTGCACTCCTGTGGTCCTCGCACTGGTTCTTCCTCAACCCTAAGCTGAAGCGAATAGTCTTCATCTCCGTCTGGGCCCACACGAAGAACGCGCATATGAGATGGGATGACGAAGAGTGGTCCGGGATGGGAATGGACAGTGAAAGCTACAGTGGCGTTGGCTCTGCACCGAAGAATGAACGGTTCCATGGATGGGAAGGTGGCATTGGCGCGGGAGCACGGGCGATGGGTCTTAGTGCGTCTGCTTGATTGGTGAGGCGCCATCCTGGCAGGATTCCTGACGAGTGCTCATCTCTCGGTTAGCATCTCCATGCTTGCTCAATCGATCCTTGGACGAATTTTCAGTTTCTTTTCCGACCTTTTTATGATTCTTGAGTTTTGGCCGTCAACCGGCCTTCGAGCCTCATCAGCAGTCTTGGATGCCCTGTACGATACCGTCGTTTACGTTAGCTTCTGCATGCACGGCTCGGAGGAGTCAGTGGATTCGCATACTACGCTCCTACTATATGATTTTATGCTGCCGCGGTGCTGGCGAGTGTGTAGTTTGTATCAGTATTTATGACTTGGGATTTTTGACGCCTTCCTTGTGGGTGGTACGAGCGATGTAAATGCCCGGAGGTTGTGATGAGACACGAGAGTGGCGATACAGCGTATGAGTCAGAGCCGGACTCCAAGATGTGACTCGTGATGGTTAACTATCACACGCACATCGCGTTGCGACAAGCAGCTCTTACTTGGGCTTCAGAATGCTCATAAAGTAGTAGCCTGGAACGCAGATAGATTTGATCAGTCAACAGAACAGAAGGGGGTCCGCACTTCGTAGGCTTGATGATATTCAGGTCATCTTCAGTGTCGACTTTGGCCCCGCCAGTCGCGATCAGCCCTACCGCTGCACGCGTACATTCAGATCGCGTCCATCATATGAATGTGATTGAGAGATAGCCCATCATCCCGATTACAACAGAGCTGATTACGATGACAAGGAACAGCGTGGACGATGAACAAGTTCAAGATGAAGGAATCGGTTGAAAACACGATTGTGATTTTGTGAGGTGGTCGCAAAATTTTGGTGAAATCGATCGTAGATGCTTAATCTGGAAGGTCCTCGAGGTCGAGGAGCGGAAGCAAATATTGTCCTTCCGTTCAGGGGGTCATGACCCCCCACTTGCTTGGTGACAACTGCCAGTGCGACATATACTAGATCAACTACACACATAACCACGAAGTCTGACATTCTAAATCCACACCTATGAATCAACATGCATGCTACTCCTACTTTATCAAACATCTAGCAAACGCACCTCGAGTACAGTAATTCATTACCCCCTGATCAACAGGTGAGGGTATCAGTCCATGCGAATGGGAATATTGATATCGTCCTTGACCCAGATACAACCATCGTCACTCATATCAAACATTGAACCATCCACCCACCGCCTCCAAGCCATCCTATATCCCTTCTCCAAGTTCCTCGTCCATCGCTCCGTATCGAACAAGGGCATGGTATCTCTGTTCAGGAAAAGACACCGTCGCAGGTCAAGCAGGTCCCCGCTTGCTTCCACATTGCCATTGGGTTGCACAATGTAACGCATGCCGTTTCCTAGGGCAACCGCGCGTTCTTCATATTCCTCCCTACTGGATACCACCATGTACTCGCCAAACCCTGTAGCATTGGCCAAGCTCGCAGCAACCCTAGAAGACATCTTGTGGCGGTGGCTCGGCCAGGCGCAAGCGATCAACGGCGTGCCGGACCAGAGAACGCTGGACAACAGACAGTCAATTCAACATTGTGTGGCGTGTGCAACCACTCACTCGGCTGCAACAGTGTGCGCGCTACACTGAATAGACGAGTCAGCTTGTACAGCGAGCATTTTATTACCAAAGTCTCACTTCTGACGTGTCAAGAAAAAGATCAGGAACTCGGCATCGGTAGATGTGATGGTCTTTTGCAGTAACATCTGTGAACCTGATGCGTGATGCTATCTCGGTACCTGCCCACTCCTTGGCGGTTTGGATCAGGTGGAATTCTCCAGCAGTAGGAAACCGCAGTAACCAAAGAATGCTACGTGGAACCCGCGCTAGAATACGAAGCCAAGTTGCAAATATGTCCTGACACAAACTCAGCGACCAGTTGACAATATCAAAAACTGCCAGAAACTCACGGGATCGATCTGTTTTGTCGCTCTTTGTCAGTTGTTCACCTATAATAAAAATGCAGTCCAAACCTTGTACAACTTTGTGGTTCAAAAACAAAAATCAACAACAGCAAGCGAAGAACCAAGAACAGGGCACGTACTTGATTAAAATTGGCGAAAATGACGACATCTCTGAAACAATGATCAGACAGGGTTGTAAGAACACGGTAGCAACGCCTACAAGGGTAAATTAGGAAACAGGGCTCGTCTTAGGTCCGTCCTACATTTGATTTCATCATTCCAGAGTTTTTTCGCTGGCGTCTGAGCACGCTCCCCGACCAATTTTTTTTCGTCATCTCGATAAGACTGTCTGTGGTCGGTGGCAAAGTATGTATGCTAATGAAAAATGTCAAAATTAAAGATCCCCGAGCAATGGTAATACAATTCACTGGCATGTATATCGGACACTCAGTGCTGAACACACGTTAACCTCGATCTGCTATAGGTGTTTGGAAGGACGTACTAGATCCAATCGGGAAAGGATGATTCTGGATCACCCTCCTCTCCTACTGAAACGCCAGAATCACTGTTCTGGCAGCAACGATTCAGGCTTCGTTTCCGATATGCTTGAACCCGTGCAAATAGGTCGACAGGACATGTGATGGTATCACAGACAAGATAGTCACACCAGCCTGAACAAAATGACAAGTCGGGATAACGATCAGCACTGTATTCAGCAAAAACCTACTGGCTGCCAGGGTTCCAGCATAACCCATTAACGAGACCTGGACGGGACTTGGTCTTGCAGCGAAAATTTCGTTCCTCGCTCCTCTGGTATAACCGCCCAAGTCGACAACTATGCTATTTTGTTAACAGCACGTCCTGAGGGAGTTATGCGACGTACGGATATGTATATGATCCTCCTCGATCCGGTTGACGATGTCTACATTTGACCACGAAGAAACATCGAGAAAGTTGAAGTCGCCCTGCTCAAAATGCAGTCGGAAGACTGACCCATCTGATGGGCTCGTCGCATACAAGAAAATGCAGAACCGGTCCCGGTCGTGTAGCCGGAAAACTGATTTCATCAGATGGCTTAAGGGATGATCACTACGCTATGTGAGCATTACAACGAGAAACAGAGTATCAGCTAGATGTACCTAAAGTCGCTGGACACATAACCGACGTTAATACGCCGTTTCAATGGAGGCGGCGGCGGGAGTGGCACTCTGTCTGGTGATATCTGGGTCATTATAGTATGTGACACACGAAGGGCATTTCTGTGTGCAATGCGTCGAATGGTGCGGCTGGGCAATGGAAGCGTGAACTTTGGAGGATGTAAGCCAAACACCTGAAAGACATATTGACGGAGACTTGACATACGGTATGAAAAGGGAGCACAGTTGGAACCTTCTGTAAGAGCGCTGAAGAAAGGACAGAGCCAAACGGCCTCGAAGCGGGAGCTGCTTTCAGCGGCGAATGTGGCACCTCTTCCCCATAGAGTGTTTCTCCGTAAGTTTCAATGTAACGTCGGTGTTGCATCCTCGTTCGGTACCAGTCGATAAGGCGCATAAGGAAACTCCCTTCGTTGATGAGAGGTTGCCGCCCATCAGAAACATCTGTGAAAAGGCAAAATCGGTGAACCCATCTTCTTAAGTTGTGGTCGCATTGATGTCTTGATGTAGCCAAGGCTACAGTGAGAAGCCAGTCATCAACACTCTTCTCGCCGAGGATGCCGATGTTCTGGTGATGAAGCTCCAATAGGTGCTCTTCGCATATTGCTATTGCGTTTGTCAACCAATGGTCTACGGAGTATTAAGCTTGTATTGGTGCAGAAGGTTACAAATTACCTCGCGCTGTCCAATTGCAGACAGCATTCATCGACATGCTCAATCCACAGTAGGCTTCTACAAGGCCTGGATTTATGGTTACAGCCTTCAGGTAATAAGGGACTGCATCTGCAGGACAGCCCTACGAAGTCAAAGGCGTTTGGATATAACAACTTGCATGGGAAGCAGAAAATGCTTACCATATCTTTCAGAGTATTTGCCATGTTAACCAGAGCAATGTCTAATTCAGGGTGTAGTTGCAAAGCGTAGTTGAATACCCTTCCATTTGTCACGTGTATGTAAGTCTCGACTGAAGTTAACTTGGTACAACTCACCCAACTGCATAGGTAGTATGGCCCGCATCTTTCAGCAGCGAGCCGAAATTCGAAAGTAGGTGGGGATGCGTGGGATCGATTTGCAATCCTTTCTCGTAGTAAAGGCGGGCGATATCTCTTCCAGACGCAACTTGTGGCGCACTTGCAGCCACATTGCCGTTCATGCTGCATAGAACGACACCAGTATCATTGAATGCAGAGGCACTCGGAAACAATGACAACGCAAGATAGTGAAGCAGGAGGACCAGCGCATTGTTGGAACAGTGCGGAATATCAAGACCGAGGTCGGAGATCGATGCGCCTTCCTGGATGCGCCGTGCAAGGGCGAGTAACGCAGATGAAGTTGCAGTCTTGACTTGATATGTCGATTGGCCAGAGTGAAACGCAGCCCATACATCAGAAGCGGTATGCGGGGAAGCGAAAACGACAGCCGACAGCATCCGCGCCTGATCTGGAAATAGCACGACATTGGGCAGTGTTCCGGTAGTGGGATCCAGCATGGCATCAATGAAGCCGTCACTGGCATGATGAACTGCGTGCACCAGTGCCAAGCTAGTGTCGTCGAAACGTGGAAGATGATTGGTGCTAGCAAAATCTTGGATTGCGCCCAAAACATTATTCGGTTCTGGCGATGGCGGTAGCGTGGAAAATGCAAACGATGCAAACCAGCTGGCAAGAATGATGTCTCGGAATGTAAACGTGGTTCCGGAGGACAGCGGTGGTGAAAGACGGATACCCGCTTCAATCGCGTTAACATAATGATGTAGAGTAGATGATGTGTTGCCGTCTACTTTTTGTTGGATGTTTGCAATGGATGTGAAGACATTCAGTAGACGATGGGCATGCTGAGGGGTCACTAGCACTGACGCAAGCAGTTTGTCGTTTGCTGCTTTCAAATGGGCACATAAATCACGGCAGAACAGTGACGCCTGCTCTGACAGTGTCGGTGATATCAAGAGTTCCGACAAAAGGGCGTCCTGCTTGCTCATTTAAGAAATGAACCGAGGACTATATTTGCAACATACCAAGAAATCCCAGTCTGGGGGATCATTCTGCAGGCATGTAAAGATGGCGTTACTATCGGCGCTAAAAGTTTTGGACCTCATCGTCAAAGAAGGTGGTCAAGTCGCGTCTCAAATATTTAAAGGCTTTCGTGGTGCAGCACTCATCGGGACATTTTGCCCAATCAGAAAAAGGGTTATGATGCAGCTGCGCGTCTTGCGTAAGGCTTGCACCCCCATGTTTTCTTATGGTTCGACGTATTGTCCGCTGTGGGAGACTGTGGAGAACGAAGCTTCGGCATTTCGGCATCAAAACGTATCTGTAGATTCAGACGAATGATGGAAGAAATAGGCACAATGCCGGCTGGAAGCGTTACTTTCTTTGGCAGGAGATCGGCACCTTTGGCATTAAGAGGGATCGCGTTTTGGGACTGCGTGTATGCCGAGGACAACGTGGGAGTGGAGACTGAGGACCTACAACGACATATCGTCTACTCTCATCAACCTACGCTCATTGCCACATCTGCACCTGGTTTATCCACTTTGGGCTTTTTGGAGGCATCTAGGACCTTGGTCTTCAGAGAGACCATCATAGCCCGGAAAGCTTCCTCGCCACCGGGAAAAACTTTCTCCAACGATCCGCAACAAAGGTCAGACTCCAAAGCAAGGTTCAGCAGTTCAATCAAGTGTCCGTTTATGGGATCAATGCTCAGTGCCTTTGTGATGGACGTTAGGAATAGACCACATCAAAGGCTGTAGCGTACCTCGTGATATTTGATGATTGCCTTGTCGATCTCTCCAAGATGATGGTACACCATGCCCAGATAACCAAGACCCTGAGGATGCTGGGGTTCGATTTCCAACACACGTTGATAATTTGTCTTGGCCATCTCATAATTCCTAGGACAAGTACGTCAGGTTTGCCCACTCCCAAGAACCCTAAACTCACTTCAGCTTTCTATAGCAAGTTCCGAGATTGAGGTACGTTGTCGTCCATGACATCTGGGAGCTTTGCGTGACTTGCGCAAGTTCGAGTGAGCGTTGGAAAAAATCTGCTGCCCGCTGGTAGCTGCTGATTCCATCAGCATGAGCCTCAGAAGATTGGTTTAGCACTGAGCTCACTCTCCGTGCGTGAACGCCATAACTCCCAATTCGTTGATAAGAAGAGGGTCTCCATCACATGAGGCGTAAGCAGCGTTCAATGCTTCATCGGCTAACAAATGATTGGATAGCATGATTTGCTCCATGCCTACAAATAGCAAAGGTAAATGGGAACTGGATTTCATTAGCACGTTAATTAAGACTCAGTTGATCGAAGACGACCTCACCCTGTAAACATGCGAGCGCAGGTCGAATATGCAGTGACAGCATGATCATGCTCGCCTTCCATCGCAAACGTGTGGGCAAATGCGATCCATGCAGGTCCAAATCGTGGATCCATTAATGATGTTTTACTGTGGATGTTTACAGGCATCCGAACAAAGAAGACCTGATGGACTCACCTGAAGTACTGCCGGGCTTGCGGCCATTTTCCAGACGCAAGATACCAAACTCCAACTGCATACCAGCTAATGGGGTTCTCAGGCTCCCGTTCCACAAGTTCATGTGCTAGGACAAAGAGTTTTGAGTGAAGATGGTTAAGATGGTACATGCAAGCAATGTGCAGTGGCATAGTAGAATCATGAATAGAAACCAGCCCCAATATCCTGTAAAGCCATTTGAGATATTAGAGATAGATTAAAATCCATTGCAACAAGCATTCTGACCTTGTCGTGATGGCGTAACAGTCGGCCCAGCGGAATTGAGCATAGAGCGCATCCGCAAAACTGAATAACACATCAGGATTGTCAGAGAGTCCAAATTCCTCGACAAGACGTCTCCGGGTCAGGGCATGCTCTTCTGCGTGTTTGTACTTGCGCAACTGAGAAGTGTATATGAGCTGCACAAAATCGGCATCTTCTTGTGTTTGTTCCCTGTAAGCGAGACCCTGGACAAACTCCCATTCTACAGCAGTCAAATACCAGGTAATGAGCAATGATACTTGGGGCCTAACCTTCGTCCGGAGTCATCATTTCACCACTGACTAGCTGGTCGAATGCATCGTAACACTTGACGTCCAAAGTCAATGCCTCCATGAAGCAAAGCTTTGCTTGGTCCCCACGATTGAGCTTGAGCATAAGTATGCCACGCAAATGGCACATGGAAGCTTCGACCTATACAAGCAAGCAAGGGTCAAATATTGTGGTCAAGAATATACGTCCGCTTACCTTGATACCACCATCAACATTCGGCACGGCAGGTCCACTCCTTGCTGAATGATCTATTAGTGGATGGTAGAAGCCGTGCATGATTGATATCAACCTGAATGACGGAATGGATTCGCTTCGCCGAGCATCTCTGTCGCGTCTGTCCAATTCCCTTGCCGCACTTGACACTGCGCAGCAAGATATCTGCATGCTACACTCATGTCCACAAGTCTTGATACGGAATCCTGTAACTTTTCAGGAATTTGCATCATGCCAGCGTCACCCATTGGTAACTGAGGCATTAGACTTGTGCCAAGGTGCCCCTCCTTCCCTTTGCCTTTGGCGTCTGCAGTCAGACTACTCATTGTAGTGTCGTCCACTACCCTGTGTTCAAGGCCATTCAAGGGCGCATTCTGCATCTTTGGTGTTATAGCAGGAAAGGGTCTAGTCAACAGTCTCTCAGCACGCGCGTACTGATGAGTCATGAAGTAAGTCTGAGCTAGCCAAAACGCGTCATTTGGGTCATCTGCGCGTCACGGAAGATACATGAATAACAATGAATAGTCAGAGCGATGGCAAATGTCGAGGCGGTGCGACTCACTGGTCCATGACAGTATTTTGTCACCCCAAAAGGCAGCAGTTTCATAGAGATGTTGCATCAATGCATCATGCCGCCACAGCCTCATACGGTCAATCATCCCCCACTCGCCATCCTCATTGTCAGATTCCATCTCAGTGTCCTGAAAAACATCCATGGAGTCATTTGCAAGGGGATGGCGGCCAAGACTCTCCTTCGCTCGCCGGTATCGCCGAAGTGAGGATCTAGGTGAGCTTGGAAGCATAGAACGATTTGGATCAAGTGCAAGGGGTCGACTATGCGTTGAGCCACTCATATCCGCTGCAGAGAACGAGGAAATTATCGGTTGCGGGCCAAACGAGAAGGACGATCCTATTGAAACTCGATTACGAGAACTTGCTGTCGATGGCAGATGAGGTATTTGCGGGACGACAAAAGCGCCAGTTGGTGGGGGCGTCGAGGTCATGTTACAGTCAATATGATGATCACTCGAACTTCCGGGAGAACACAACCAAGTAGTGATTATGTAATAAGCAAGTCAGAACCATCAAGATTTCAAGTACTTCAACGAATATCAATTTTTTTTTCGCAATTGTGAGACTCTATCCATATTATCGTGCCAATGTCCTGTCTGGCAGCTGAGGTGATCCTAGATGATCTATTAGTCCTCCACCCTTGCAAATTCTCAGTTGCCTTCATTTAATCCATCATTTAGTTCAATTTTGATCATTTCCATCACCCATTGTTGTCAAAACAAGATTGCAGAAGCGACAAAGTTATTAAACATGTGGAACGTTAGGCAGGCAGTACTAGTGTAGCGCAGCGCTCCAAGTTGAAGCAGAGTGCTCAGATTAATTATGCAGTATTGTGACGTAAAATTTCTGTATCATGTCGCATTCCGCGCGTCAAGGTTAACAGGATATTCTCGATGCGAGCCTGACGGTCCTGCGAAACAGTTCATTATCTCATACTACGATGATGCTATGTTCACTCACTTGTAGCTCTTTCATCTCGTCTTTTAACTTGTGGACTGGTAAATCACGACAGTCCTCTAATAGTGCTTCAATCCGCTTGAAGGAACAGTCCAACTTGCTCATGTCCGCGACCTCAGGTAGCACTTCTACCGTTGGAACAGATAACGGGTGGTTGAAACGTTGCGAGAACAACCTTGTGAGTGGAGTGGACGTATTCAAGTGCAGGATCTTTCCTGTGCCTGATGGTTCTGATAATGGGGGCAATACGCTGACCTTTCGAGTCCTCGGAGGTTGTGATTGCGACTTCTTTGAAGGTGAGACGGAACTCTTGCGACGCCGCAGTTCCGGTACGGGTGACGACCCAGAGTCTTCATGTCTAGATGCAAGTGGAGACCGCAGGCTGAACTCGTCATCCTCCGAGTCATCAAAAAGACCAAAATCCCTGGAATCCTCTACCTCGAAAATCGCCTCGTACAGGTCCGCCGACTTTGAACCAACAAAATAGTCGACAAAAGGCATATTCTTTATGTGCCTCGGAATGCTGTGATACAGACTACGGGCAGAACCCTTGCCAGATTCACGCAGCCGCTGTTCAGTGGCCAGGTGGCGTTCATACATGGCGATAGCAATCAAAACAGGGAATGACTGGTAAAAATACGGGACAAAAAACTGTTTGTAGGTGGTGGGTTGGGAAAAATATGAGAATGCTTACTGTAAGCTTCATTAGGAAGACGTTCGCGGAGTGCAAAGAGCGGGGCGAGAGAATGTAACTTGCAGGTTTGAGTATGATGAAGGCGAGAATGTTGAAAGGAGGCTGGTAGCTGAATAAAGCATCCGATTTTACGCTGGTGAAAAGTTTAGCTGAAGTGTATCACGTTTCGAAGCATCATTGAAGGCGCCTTACCCCTGGATGGTCGATATAGTGCATTGAAACAGAAACTTGACAACGAGTCAGACAACTGATCCACTGACCAATACTCTGCGGTCCCCTTACCTCTTGGGTAGCGTTCTGAAGATGTAATGTGATTTGAGCACGGCATCAGTAACTTGCCGACTGTCACTTACTGCATCAATTCGGGCAGCGGTATTTGACAAAATGGAAATGAGAACTAATATGTCAACTCAACAATGACCCCGTCATAATTAGCAGCGAATACGCACTAGTCAAGAGAAGGGTGCCTGACAATGCCGCAAAGCATACCATTAAGATGGGACCGAATACTGGATGGAAGGTTTTGGCCTCGCCAAAACTGAGGTATGTGTTGCCGAACCAAATCTGAACCATCAACCAAGCAATACCACGCATCGTCCACGCACCCGAAGCTTGGAGAAAATGGTCAGTGGGTGGTCTCAATCTCGGCAGTAATTTAAAATTTACCCAGCGTGTACAAGGTCAGCAAAACACCAGAGAAACAAACCGCCGCTATACCGATGAAAAAAATAAATTCAGCAATCATTGCGCGCAATGCCCTTTCAGTAGATAAATTAGCAGGAATAAAGGAGAAAAGAATGTAACCATTCACAAAACGACAACGTTGTTGGATATTGCATAGAAAGCTAGCCTGTGAAGGAAAATCAGCAAGTCATAATGTATAAGTGTTCTAGATATACCGAGGAGCAATGACGCAACAGCCGCAGGCTAGCAGGTCAAAAGCGAGCTGAGACATCTTTGCTAATGCCAACTTTTAATTGAGTCCCAGGCACCGACAAGAGAGAGCGACATAACTAACCGTCATCGTCCCACAGCCCCTTCACTCGCAAAACCAGATAGCCAAGAAATATTATGACAAACGATGTGTCAAAAACATTCCATATCTAGAGAAGCGGAATTCAGCCGGGGAGTGTGGACCCAAAGGTGAGCTTACGTTGGCAATGTAAACTGCACAGCTACGTCAGAAATCGAATGTGAATAGTTGAAGCATGTACTGACTAGTCCACCCGTACTCGTTGGAAGCCGCGTACTCCTGCAGTGTAAAGGCAATCGCAAAGACCAAGAATACAGACTCCCACAGGGTCACATGGGTGACGTCCTGCGCTAAAAGATAATTGGCTATACAGACTCACAGCCAAGCTGAAAACCTACTCCATAGACATGCAAGGAAAACCACCAGAAGAACAGCTATGTTGACGAAGTGCAAGATCGCAGAATATCGTGGGACCCTCAATCTGATAGAGTGTGAGCACGACATAGAATGCACGAATGTCTCATGGACCTATAATGATCGAGTATGGGTGCCTTGCGCGGGTCGTACAACATGATCGCCCTCTGTTTGTAATTGTCTGCCACCATTGACCTGTTGCCGGTGATGGAAACTACGATGCGCCCATTGTACATATCGTTCACAACGCTCTGAACAAGCGCGGAAGCCAGGAAGGTCTTTGCCTTGGTGACGATTGCAATCTTGTCGAAGATCATTTGACTGACAAAATAAATATGACTGGAACTGACCTCGATGGCGCACTGAGGGTCATTGACATACTCATCTTCCCCACCAATAGCGTCTTTGACCTCTTCGATCACATCATCTGGCGCTCCTGCCAACGGACACCAGAGGGTCGTCAAAACAACTACCAACTGGATCTTGCTCGACGCGAAGTGGCTCATAAGCTTCAATGCCATGATCTCACAAAGGGTGGCGCGCGAACACATCACCCCAGCGTGAGCCAAGTCCGAGCCTGACTGTGCTAAGAAGTATGAGCGAACAACCATGCACGCGTACACTACAGCTATGTTCCTGAGCCTCGCATACTTTATGATCAAGGGGCGCACTATGGCGAAATTGATGTCCGAGGCCGTGAGTTGCCTAGGAGGGTGTTGTGAATAACAAAGCATCGTAAAACATTGGAACATCAACGCACTCCCAACTAAGCGGACTATCTGAGATGCTCGTTAACCACGTGTATTTTACAGGCATTACAATCAACTTCTCTCACCAATAGTGTTCTACATTGATGGGCCAACCAAAGCATCAATATGCATAACACGTGCTCGAGTTGGAAGATGCAACTCACGATCACATCTTTCTTCAAGTAAGGAATGAGTGGGAACACTTTGACGGACGCCAAAAACTCCTGTGAAGGAGCTAGCAACCCTTGCGTTATTTGCTCCTCCGCATCCATGGTGAAGGGCAGCGCAGTTTCTCCTGATTCCTCAACCGAATTGTCAACGGAAGGAGCTGAGTGTTGTAATTATTTATGCCGTAAATAACATAATAATATACTTATCCTTCCTTATTGAGGTACAAAGTCTCCAGGTGTTACCAGGCAAGCAATAGTACCCTTTTGTTTTCTCTCCTTCAATAAAGTCCCCTAAATTCCTCTCCCGCTCGTTAACCTTTCGACGCTATATCCTGTGATGAGCCATGGGATGCTGTTTTTCTGAACCTGTGGATTTTGATTCTGAAGTTAATCTCTTTCATTTCGACCTCCATAGAGCAGTGGGCAAAGGTGCTTTCGGCAAGGTCGGCCATCTTTGTTCCTTTGTGTGTCCACTCACAAACCGGCGACTACTTAGGTCAGGGTAGTCGAACACAAGCATTCCAAGAAACTCTATGCCCTCAAATACATTGATAAAGCCCGATGTATCAAACAAAAGGCTGTGGCGAACATCATACAAGAACGGAGACTACTAGAGGAGGCGCGTCGTATCTTAATTGTATTGCTTGCATGTTCAATTCTAATACTACCTTCTTCATAGATCGACCACCCTTTCATTGTTAACTTACGATATGCATTCCAGGATGATGAAAACTGCTTCTTCGTGCTCGACCTCATGCTGGGTGGGGACCTCCGATGTGAGTGAATCACGGCCTTGTTGGATTGTTGTGTGTTCAAATTGTTTATCATGATCAGTTCATTTGGAAAGCAGGGGAGATTTGAGCGAGAACGTGGTCCAGTTTTGGGCTGCAGAGCTGGCTTCGGCTCTTGTTTATTTGCACAAACAGCGTATTATTCACCGGTAAGATCTATCTACAGCGGAATACCTTGGTCATTAACTGGAGCCGCAGTGACCTCAAACCAGATAATATTGTCCTCGATGCAAAGGGCCATGCACATATCACTGACTTCAATGTCGCCATCCATTACTCGGAGCGTCGGCTACACACTAGTGTCGCTGGGAGCATGGCATACATGGCTCCCGAAGTCGTTGGAAGGAAAGGATACACATGGTGTGTCGACTGGTGGAGCTTAGGTGTTACAATCTACGAGTTGTTGTTCCGACGACGTCCATTTGATGGTCGCACATCCGATAAGATGACCAACTCTATTCTCAAGGACCCTCTGAAGTTTCCCGATGACGCCCACAAGAAATGCAGCTCAAACTGCGTGAAGTTTGTGCAAGCAGTAAGTGCTGACACTAGTGTGCATCTGTTTTTGTCACAATTTTTTTTGCAGTTACTCGAACGTCATGTTAGCCAACGTCTAGGTTGTCGACCACACGGTCAAGGCTTCCAGGACATCCAAAACCATGCATGGCTGCAGGGTGTAGATTGGGAAAGTATAGACAAGAAAGAAGCTCAACCTCCTTTTGTTCCAGACGTGAGTATTGCGAATTGTTAATCCATTTCATATTCATCCCCCTGCAGATGAAGAAAGCTAATTTTGACGTAACTCATGAACTCGACGAGTTTCTAATGGTTGAAAAACCACTGACCCACACAAAGCGCAAGGCAAATCCGGACTTAGCTAAAATGAAGCCGGAAGTGAGGCAGTTGGAAGAGCAGTAGGTTCACCATACAGGTTACAATGATAGTTCTAACTCATCGTCACTAGATTCACCGTTTATGACTTCATGTCCACCAAGCGCAGGTCGTATTATCCTCATAACGAGCCCATCACCACTGTCGTACGGAGCTTAGACTCAGACCAAATTCCAGTCGTTCAATCGATAGCAAATACTCTTGTTCCAACCACGACGATGGGAGAGAGATCTCAAGCTGGTTCTCCGGCTCCGGATATCACTTGGCATCAGCATATGCCAGTCTCTCTTTAGCATACGGTTGGTTTTATTACCTTAATATAAACGGTCGGTCCTTGGTTCCCAGGGCCTGGTTTGCGTCTCATTTGTATTCGACTTTTCAGATGTCCAATGTGCACTTAATGTTGTATTTTCTAGCTGAAGCATTCTTACCATTTATATTTCCTGGAGTCTTTGCATTAGCCAATTTACGCACACACTCGCACTTCCCTGCTCACATTGTGACATTTGTGCAATATACATCATTACTACCAACGCTCCAGCTTTTGTATCTGCCTTCGGTAAATGACAAGGCATTTGTTCAACATTCGTTATAGAGCCGCTATAACTTTGCATGCTTTAAATTTACGTCTTCATACTTCTCGAACAAGAAACTATAAGAAAGTGTTTTTTCAGTCTCGCAATATAGACCAATTATGTTATGTAATCTGATAATCTCGTGAGGTTCAGACTCAAAGGACCATTCACACCTATACTTTGAACCAAATGCCCAATCGAATCCAGCTGCAAAGTATTCGTACTGCGGGCGAACTGTTTGCGAATGCTGCTATCCAGGATGTTGATACGGCCATCTATCCACCTAAGCGATCGCTTCTGAGTCGTGTACATCTCTAGTTAGCCGGTGGTCAATGCGCTGAAATCCTCTCTTCTAACTATCGCATAAGTCAAGGTGACATTACTGAAATCGAGGTGGATGCAATCGTCAACGCTGCGAATTCGACATTGCAGGGTGAGTCTTGGCCCATAGGTTACTATGGGTGGGCTGCTGACGATGTAAACCAACCATAGGCGGCGGCGGAGGTCTGTCGAGCTCTCAAGTGCATCTGCCATATGAAACTTACACAGTTCAGTGGATGGGGCAATTCATATGGCTGCTGGCCCGGCACTCGCCAAAGCGTGTACGATCTGCTTCCCTTCACAGCGCTAGTCAAACTCTCACCTTGTCCCATTTATTGGACGTAGGCAGAGAATTATATCCTGGGCGGCACCCTTGTCCGACTGGAGACGCTAAAATAACTCCAGGCTTTCAGCTCCCTTCGTGAGTGTACCTTTTTAGCGCTCCTCCTTCCATTCTCATTCCAATATTCTGCGCGTCAGGAAACACGTTATCCATGCGGTAGGACCAAGATGGAGTGTTTCTTCAGACACGCAGACAATCGCTAGCCAGCTCGCGTCCTGCTATAGAATAAGTCTTCAGTTAGCAGTAGACAATAACTGCAAGAGCATCGTGAGCCATCAACAAGTCTTCTTTCTAGCAAACAAGATCCTCAAGTCACTCTGATTGACGTGCAGGCTTTCCCCCTGATTTCAACTGGCATCTATGGTTACCCTATCGACGAAGCAACTCACATCGCGCTCAAGGAGACACGCATTTTCTTGGATGGAAATGACCAGGTGAGCGGGAGCTCTTTTCATGACTCTGGAATGGCCATAACTGTAAACGTTTCAGTTGGACCACGTAGTATTTGTCATTTTTACTGGCAGGAACGGCGATCAGAAGGTATACGAGTACGTGACAATAATGTATTTGCTGTGTCTTCATTCATGAGGCTGTATCCAGAAAATTCATTCCATATTATTTCCCCTTTGGACCAGGAGATGTTGCGGAGAGCGTTGAACCTCTGTCGGGCGCGAAAGATTCTGTAGACGAATAATTTTTGCGCTCTATGATTTTACTTCTGATGTGGCACTGTGATTTTGACCGCGATTTTCTTGGTTGTTCCGGGGATCATTTATGATGTACAAAGGAATGATTCTCTCAGTATTCTATATAATCCACCTTCACCTTTTTGCAAAGTCCATTAATCTTTGTCCACTCGTTTCTTGGATATTCCTCTAGGTCTTTGAGTTCTTGAGTGCCGTTGAGTATTTAACATGGCATGCCATCATCAGATGCAGCATCAGAATTACAGACCTGAATAACTCCCAATTTGTACCTTTGACCTCTCGTTCCCACGGTTAGACCCATATCTGACTTGATGAGTCATCACAATGTTCTTAAGCGCGACCGTGACCGTGACGGTGAAACAAAGAAGACCAGAAAACTGAAAAATCGCAAAATGACATCTCGGTAAGCCCTGATCCACCTTGTTTGCGAAACATCATGCAAATGTTGCGTTTCATCCAGCGATGGGCGAACGTTTGGACATATTAGTGGTGTGGAGGTTGGCGCGACTTTCCCCACAAAGTGAGTGCATAGAGATTTGTCATGCTGCAACGAATTCACTCTCTGCCCTGTCAATGCTCGTAGAGTTGCAGTAGCCGAATCCGGCGTACATGTCCAACGCCAAGCTGGCATACATGGAGATCAAGAGCTCGGTGCTTTCTCCATATGTTTGTCCAAAGGATATGAGGATAATGTCGACAACGGAACTATCATGTACGTTTCAAGGGTCCATTTATTTCCCGAATGGCTACCGTATACTGATGTAACTTCCATTTCGTTCAGTACATATGTCGGCTCAGGTTAGTCATCGCGTTCTGTTCGTGTTTCCCTGTTAACCCCTATTCAGGTGGGCAAGATGACTATGGAGTGAGCAATATCAAGTCCTCATCGTATAAACATGTGACCATTGCATTGTAGAATCAAATAAGCGACCAGTCTCCGGACTCCTCCGCTAACAAAGCTTTATTCGTAAGTAATCTCGTTTTTGGCAATTCTTCCTAATAATTTCAATGTCTCGAGTAGGTTTCCTTTGAAACAAAGCGTCCAGTGCGAGTCGTACGCGGAGTGAATGACGATAGCGCTTATTCTCCAAAGAAAGGGTGAGGAAGGTGCGCTTGCTTCATGCCCACTTTATTGATGCACTTCTAGTTATCGTTACGACGGGCTGTATGTCGTTGATGAGGTGCTGATTCATTTTGCTTTGTCATGAACTATCATTGATGCAAATCAGGCTAAGATGAAGGACGGAAAGAAAGGCTTTAAGATGTGCACCTTCAAGCTGAAGGTGAGAAATACCACAAAATCGATGCATATGACTAATTTTTGTCTCTAGCGACTTGAAGAGGAGGGCCAGAAGGGGATACCAATAAGGCGCACCCTCACCGGCAGCAAACTGGCAAAAATACGGAAGCAAGCTCGTTCTGGATAATCTGCCTGCTATGGTTCTGATCTGTTCTGACACCCTCACAATGCTTTGACTTTCGATCGTTATGGAATGTAAGACTCCACATATATACCCGTCTACAGTCGCCTGCGCACCTGTGTTTGTAATTCTATTGCTCTTATGTTGAATGTTAGACTTCCTCTTTGTTTCCACTTGAAGCCAAGACCTCACGCATGAAGTGTGGACCATTCATATATGCTCTCGGCGAAATGTGACATTGCAATTTCGATTTGTTCCTCAAATTGTATGTGCGGGAGTCAGGGTATACTGTATCCCGGAGCCAAATGTAATGTAGAAATGGATGCGCTCGGGAGGGACGTTAACGAAAGTAACGAAATGGATGTGATGATGCATAACAACACGCGCCAGCTGCAGCGGCGATGCAGTAAGAAAATTCAGGGCAGAAGGCGAGAAGGCAGCAAAGCAGAATGTCAGAGCACAATAAGAAGGAAGAAAGGTCAGAATCGGCAATGCGGAACCACTAAACGAATGTATTGAGAAAGACCTCTGAGCGATGTCATTTCAGCGTCAAGGCCAAAGCAGGCAGAGGTGATCACTTACCATCAACCATATGCACACGATAGTCGACGGATTCATTTACAATGCTTCATGATGGTGGGCCTAGATCGTTACGACTGATCCTCATCAGGAATTTCTCCATGCTCATCCGGGATGCTGGGGATGCTGTGGGGTCGGTGATTCGATAAAGAGACACTCTCCAGCATGACCACCATGTCTTCAATGTCATTGCCAACTGCAGGAACCTCCTCAGACACTGGGCTGTGCGCAGTCTCTTCTGTAGCAGGTGCGACCTCTTGGGACTCAACTGAACCATTGGAGTTGTCATTCCCATGGGACAGTGACTCTTCCACTAGAGCTTCGAAATGCACTTCAGGCTCGGCAACTTGGGGAACATCGACCACCACCATCGCGTCAACCTGAACCTCCACATGTGTTGCCTCGGGATCTGGGGTGGCTTCCACGACACTCTCCACAACTTCCTCCACGACCGGTACCTCGTCGACCTGATCGCGAACTTCATCGTGCAAATCGGTGCCTCCTTCTGAAATCACGGCTTCCTCCGGTTCATGCCCATTCTCAGCAAATCCGCTCTCCAGATCATTGAGTTCATGGTCAACATCGTTGGTAGCAGCCTTGGTAGCAGCCTCCTGTGCTTTCGCTTCCTTCATCCTTGCAGGTGCTAATCCTACTCTGAGTTTTGACGGGCCGCGGGGAGCGGGACTTGCAGAGGTAGATTTGACGGTACGTATGGGACTGGCCGCCGGAGGAGGAGCGCGCGCCTTTGACATGGAAGCAGCAGTAGGCTTGCTCAATCGTTCTGCTGCGCTGCTGCTTAATGTCGCCTTCTTTACTGGCGGAGGAGCGGGTGGAAGGGCATTACGAGAGCGTGCAAGAGATGCTGCTGTGGGTGCAAACAAACCCGAGGAAGGCGTCTTTGGACGAGATAGATTGGCCGCATGCGCGGCGGGCGTTTTCGGTCGAGAAGGAGTGGAGGGTGTGGATTTAGGAACTGATTTGGGGGGGCTACGAACAGTGGAGGTATTGGAAGTGACTGATTGTCCTGTGTGCTGTGGCTTAATGGGTTGAGAGACCGATGAAGAAAGCGAAGATTTAGGTGGTGACTTCACTGGAGATTTGACAGACGCGGTAGAGGGGCGTGGTTTTGCAGGTGAAGTCGGGTGGTTCGTCCGAGACCCGAAAGTGGGAGTAGCCTTTCCAGAGACTAGCTTCTTCACTGCGGGTGGCTTGACAGGCTCCGGGGAGGCAGGTGCGGCCGTGATAGTCTCTGCCGGCTTCTCTGTCATGGGCTGAGGGCTCGTGGGTGGCGACTTGTTCTGAGTGACGGAAGAGGAAGAGGACGGTGTGAGCGCGCTTTTATCCACATTCGCAGATGCCACATATTTAGGTGGCCACTCCCTCTTCTCCTTTGTTTCTTCCTTCGCGGAATCACCGGCAACTTGTGAGGAGACGCTGGAGCTACGCGGGATCGCAGATGCAGCAGAAGACGACTGGCGTTTGTTCTGCTGCTCAAAACGTCCGATGAGATTTGCAACGCTCTGACGAGGTCTCTCATCCGGCAGAGGCCTGCACGACATGCATCTGTCAGTGGACACGTTAGAACGGAACACGAAAGACTTACATGGTGCACCCAGATGCAAAGTTAGAATAAGAGAATGAAGAGAAAGAAAGAAATTTACAGAGCGAGGGTATCCTCGAAAGAAGACCTGACTGGCAGATGCGTTGGGAAAAGTGATGAGGGGACCCGGAAGGTGATGGTTGTTTTCAGCTTGATGGAGTGACTCAATCCGATTTTGGTAGCACCAAATATATTGCTAGGCAAATAACGGAAAGTTGAAACAAGGATGACAAGATCGTCGAGGCTATAATACTGACAGTAACATGGTGCAAGACATAATATATAGAGGCAGCGATTGGCATGATAGCATTAGGATATCCAACTGTCGACAGCCTGCTGTAACGCAATTCTAGCGCTGTGACTTTGCCAAAAGTGATTCGCGTCCATCACCCGAACAACATCAAACTTAGCCTTCAAGCCATCAGTTCGCCTCAGTGTATCAACCCATTCATCGTATTTGGACTTGCTCGTGAACTCGTCCGTGTCTCCGTATATGAGAAGTAGACTGGCGTCGGGATTGGACAAGATGTCACTTAATGCCGAAGTGTACATGCCAGTGTGGAACATGGTCAGCAATCCTCTTGGGCTGATCGGGTAGGATAGCAGTATGTGTGATGTTTTCACTTTCGGGTTCAAGACCGGGTGGAGAGAGGCTATCAAAGAGCCATGAGAATATCCCTGCAGGCTTGCATCAGGGCGTGCATTGACATCGTGCAGAATATCGTGCTCACAATAACCGTCAAAGAATCAATTTCAGGTTTCTCTGCCAAGAACTCCTGAACGAGAGCCTTGAGATCATCGCCTTCCGGTTTGCCTGTGAGGGAAGGCCATCCACTGGACTTGCCAACACCTCGAGAATTATACCGTATCACGTAGTAGTTCTTTTGTTGTAACAATCTGGTGAGCACCTTCAGAGTCCTTTGGGCTCACTATCAGCATATGTAAGGGCTCATCCACTGGCATGACACTAACGGATCATCCATGTTGCCCCCAAGCCACGACCAGGGATGCAAGAGGATCGCCAATTTCGTGGAATTCTCCGGTGTCGGGTAGCAAATATTAACTTGGAGTGTAACGCCTGTGGATACTGATCTCGAATCCGCCATCTGCACTGAGATGACCATCGTCCGAAACCGCTATATCGTGGATAGGAGAAGAATTATGCAGGGTCCACGACGCATGTGCGTAAAATGGTCGTGCCTTAACAGGGTCGCTCCACTGCTTACTTGTTCCGGGCCACTACATACGCCACTAAGCACATATACCGCAGACTCGGTACTTGAAACCTTAGTACTAGTGTACCTGGCTTAGGGCTACAGTACAGCGCTAGTCTTACGACAAATGACGACTCCCATCGATGCCGTAGTGTGCGCACCTCACTTCAAGCCAAGACTCTTGACAAGTTTCAAATGTCCCGGAATTCTGAATTTTAACGACAGGCAAACTAGAGCCATGATGCTTGGGTTTACGTCCTGCTTTTGATGGACCAAAAGAACGACAAATCTAAGGCTTCAAGCTTTAAGCTTTAGGGACCATGCGGAGAAATTCACTGGGAGGTGATTAGACTACAGTTGCTTGATTGGATGCACGATCACCAAAATCCACGTACCGAAAACTTGCTGCAAAAATGGGTCTTCTTCGATGCCCTCAATGAGACGTGAACAATTTCTTGCGCAGGGCCCGCACGATCAAGGCATCTACAATCTTCCCTCGACAAGTCCAGTGGTTAAGTCAAGTTTACTTGATTCAATCAGTCACACAGCTGCTTGAGCGATATAATACCATATGACGATGAAGCGGCCAATGCAACAGTGCGCGGCAGTTTCTGTGCCAAAAAAATCAACTTTCTCGTGCACATGCGCCTCACATAGCCCGACTATTCTTCCGGACTCCTCTTCCAACGTCCGTCGTCTTGAAAGAGGGGGAAATGCGGCTGACGGTAAGAGTGTTCAACCAGAGCGATAACGATTAGTCAAGGACTATCAAGTTTCGGACGCAGGATACATCCGCTTCAGATGTCGGTACTTGCGGAGCGAGTACAAGGCAAGGGTTTCTGGCACATTTGATGAGTTGGAGCAACGAGTTTGAAACCACCTGGACTCGCCGTTCTTGATATATTCTCCGAGTCTGAGTGCCTTTTCTATTTCCTGTTCATCAGCAAGGTTTCGGTTCTCTGTTGAAATGAAAGGTTATCGATAACGCCGTAAAGTAGTCATGCAAAGTCAGCCCACTTTCGAATAAGCGTCTAAGCTTCCCATGGAAGTCGTATCTAAAGTGCAAATGTGGATTTTGCTGAACAAGGTAGATGTGAAATTGAGGCATACGAAGGTTCATAATCTCTGCCTAGCCTGTGAAGTTCCTTATAAAGCGCGAGGGCTCTGAGTCGAGTTGCCTTCGAAGCCATCTCTGGCTGAAGCGTCGTCGTCCAACGACTGGAAGCACGGAGTCAATGAGCCCTCCCGGAAGGGCTTTCGGAATTACTATATATATGACAACGTGCTTTGTATGCCGAATTCACGGTAAGCGCCTGGTAGCGCTTGTACCGAGCACGCACACAGGAACACAATAATTAATCACTGCAGAAACGACTTTTTAGCAAGAGGTAAAACTAACCCTGAGTATGGGTATAATCCGAGCTAATGCCAACCCAAGCTGTAAAGTAGACTAAAACCTGACTTGCGAACTTTCCGAGACTCCGAGGTGTGAGTGAAAAATAAATCTGAATCTAACCAGACGTCTGTTACATTCAACATCCAAAAACAAACCATATTCGGGTCGGGAACGGCGCTTGTTCCAGACCGCGATTTTCTTCTCTTTATACCTTGTATATCTACGACAACCTCCCTTGGAAAAGTGTTTATGTTCGAATTCTGATCCTCGACGTGTTCAGGTGAGCTTCTAACCAGTACTTCTTTTTTTCACTAAGTCCCCACAAGTTACCATGAACCAAAGCCTAGATTAATACCGGCACCTTCTCTCCCTGGCCTGCCACGCCTCTTGGAGGCGAAGCAGGACCAGAGGCTATTGAGCTGCTCAGACACGCCTCGTGGAGGCGAATCTGAGCGTCAAAGCTCGACGGCTGAGATTACTGCCCCACCAAAGTCTCCTTCAAAAGGCCAACTTCCACTCGAGAGGACGATAGTGTCATGGAACCCGAGAGTGAAGATCTCAACCAACGACTGGTACAGGTAAGACATCTTTACGCACTAGTACTGTTCACATGAACTAAATTATAGTGTAGGCTGCCCGTGCGCGAGAAACGGGTCATCATGAGGCAAGGCTCCGTTGTCACGAGGCAGCGGTGACAACTGAGGTGTTCCCGCGCTGTATGGCTGAGGGTATGGATTGTTTGCCGGTTGTTGGCTTTCTTGACTTACTGGACCCACAGCACCACTGGGACGTCGTTGGGTTCCTTGGTTGGCGGGAAACATGGCTGCTTGTGGGTGGGGGACAAATGCTCGCTCATCATTTTGCACGGACGAGCGGGATTCAGCGGGGAAAACATTTTAGAAGCTAGTCCTCATCATGTCTACCTAGAGTATAATCAGACCTGCTTTTGTTTAAATCCCGACATAAAACAGATGTGAGGATCCAAGAATTCCGATTTGATTCCGCATCAGATTAGGCACCGGGCAACAAACCGGGCCCTTCGAAACTCGTAAATCACGATTCGCGTTATGCCCTGGAACGAGCGTCTCTTGCGATCTTATTCTGACGTGACATATTTTCTTTGCAGGTTCGAGTTATTATCTACATAAGCTTGCTAACTCCACTCTATCCCGGTCTGGCTAAAATCTCGTTTCCGCAGTGAATGTTACTCCGAGCCGTTTGGGGGGGTCCATTCCAATGCCACGTGGGCACAGCAAAAGAGACGCTATATAATCTGGTACGAACGCGATTTCGATATAGGACGGGAGGTAGAATATAGATCCGCATGAACCTGTGTATATAGCAGTGTGGAAACCGCATGTATCGCATACGTGGGTCAACGGACGAAGCTGATAGCATTCAAATTCAAATATCAGCGGGAGAGCATCGTGATCACCGATATGACCGCGGATGTGCAAAGTTCGTTTCCAAGTGCATTCTACGACGACCCTTGTCGGCGGACGTGCGGGGAGCACTGGACCTTGGGCCTATGTCAAGCCTTGGGAATGATATCAGTTCTCTATCAGGTGACTGTTGTTGATCATGAGTTATTAATATGATTGTAGGCTCTTGTGGCGGAAGAAGCTGCTGAGCCTGAGCTTTCCTTCTTGTACGTCGCTAAGACGAGCCAAGACGTTGCCTCAACATTCTAAGCAGGCACCGACTGTGCGGCGTTCACGTTGATCGTGGAAATGGCAAGGCTCGACGGATGATCCTCTGGCGAGACCGTTCATGTGCGAGATATGTAAGGCCGACGAGATATCAAGACTTCCCTTCTCTGTGGGAGATATGTAAGGTCGACGGTGTAGGACTTCCCTTCTGGTAGGTCCATCAACATCATCTTTAAAGTTATGTCAGTGGTCCACTGTGAGGCTGAACACTCTCGTACGTGACAGTGACATGCGACTTTCTACGCCATCGCAAGGCACAACGCTGGACGTAGTTCATGCATTTCATGGCTGTCCCAATCGATGGTACTGTATATGAACTGAAGTGCTGAACGTTTGAACGTTCAGCACTTGGTACGATATTGACCCAATAGTGAACTGAAATTCGAAATGATTCTGTATTAAAGCTCGGCGTACCTTGCGAGGGAAAAAACGTTCGATAAGAATAGCGTGATCGCAGATTGAACGTGCAGAAGCATGCATATAAAAGGAAAGCTTAGTCATTCATATTACACTTTCCATTGGACCGCAATGAACGTGTAAGGAACCTAGTTAAAGGAGCTCTTAGGGCTCTAGATCTTGGCCGATCCAGTATAACAAAACTTTATAAATCTATGCCGCCTACTTACCCCCTTCAACCTTTCCCCCCCCAGTACTCTTTTTCTAGGGACTTTTCCCCCGTGACTCGCTATGGCTGCCATCCATGAGCAACAATCCAGTCACGAGTCGTACCCCGAGAAGGGGCAGACTACCGTCACCGTACTTGACGAGCGCCGTCGTGCCGCTCTCGCAGAAATCGACAACGCTCCCTTCTCGTAAGTTTCCAATTCATCTCAATTCTCCAAATGTCCATTTTGCCCCCTATAGTTGGTTCCATGTCAAAGTCTGCCTAGTCGCCAGTGTAGGTTTCTTTACCGATGCGTATGTTTTTATATTCTATTTCAATCTCCCCTCCTCACCTGCCCACAGCTACGACATTTTTGCCATCAACATCGCCGCCATAATGTTAGGCTATGTCTATGGTAACACAAGTGAGCACCCACCTGCTTCCCTTACCCTTGATGTCACACCACATTCCTACCAGGTAACCAGCTCAGCACAAACCAATCTTTGGGTGTCAAGGTAGCCACTCCTGTTGGTAACTTGGTTGGCCAAGTCCTTTTTGGTTGGCTCGCAGACATCCTAGGCCGTAAGAGGATGTGTAAGTCCAATTTTATATCTAACCCAAACCCCCGTATTAACCTGCGCTGTAACAGATGGCGTCGAGCTAATGATCATGATTGTCGCCACTTTCGGTCAAGCTCTCTCAGGCGAGGCCCCAGCAATTAACATTTTGGCCGTTATCATTGTCTGGCGTTTCATTGTAAGCACCACCATATAATTTTCTAAAGTCTGCTCCTCATCGTCCCATCCATAGATGGGCGTTGGTATCGGTGGCGATTACCCACTGAGTGCCATTATTTCATCAGAGTTCGCCGCTACACGTTCACGCGGTCGTCTTATGACTGCTGTCTTTGCTGCACAAGGATGGGGTCAATTTGGTTGGTTCATATCTTCTCCTAAAAATAATGTCACTTATCAACCTCCGACGTAGCTGCTGCTCTCGTCGGTATCATCGTCGTCCAAGCATACAAGGATGCTATCCTCGAGGCTCCCTTCCCTTGCCGTGTCCCTGTCGATTACGCATGGCGTATCTTGATTGGTCTTGGATGCGTCCCTGGCGTTATTGCACTCTACTTCCGTCTCACTATCCCAGAGACTCCACGTTTCACCATGGATATCGAGCGCAATGTCGCCCAGGCCACTGCAGATATCGACGGCGTCTTGGCACCCGGGAAGTATGTCGTCGACGAAGATGTCCCGGTCCAGCGCGTCAAAGCCCCGAAGGCAACTCGCGCAGACTTCCGAGCATACTTCGGCCAGTGGAAGAACTTGAAAGTCCTGATCGGCACTTCCTACTCCTGGTTTGCTCTAGATGTAAGTTCCCACTTAGCTCTGAGGTTGTAAGTTAAGTTTTCGTGTCCAGATCGCTTTCTACGGCCTTGGTCTCAACAGCTCCATCATTTTGACCGCAATCAACTTTGGCAGCCCCACTGGCAACAAAACCTCGTCACTCTATGTGTACGAGAACTTGCACAACATTTGCGTTGGCAACCTTATCCTATCCGTTGCGGGCTTGATTCCAGGATACTGGGTATCTTTCCTTTTTATTGACTCCTGGGGCCGCAAGCCCATTCAATTAATGGGCTTCTCCATACTCACCGTCCTTTTCGTCATTATGGGTCCGTGCACTTTACCGCTATGAATTCTGATACACGGGACTGACAATTTCTCGGCAGGTTTCGCTTATGATAAGTTGAACAGCTCTGCCCCGGGCAGGAGCGCTTTTGTCTTCCTGTACTGCCTCACCAACTTCTTCCAAAACTTCGGTCCTAACACGACCACTTTCGTCATTCCTGGAGAGGCTTTCCCCACTCGTTACCGTTCAACTGCACACGGTATCTCTGCCGCATCTGGCAAGCTTGGAGCTGTCATAGCCCAGGTTGGATTTGCTCGGCTGGTTAACATCGGTGGCACGAACAAATTCGTGAAACATATGTGAGCAGTACGGAAATTTAATTCGTGCTCAGAAGCTAAATTTGATTTTTAGTATGGAGATTTTCGCTCTCTTTATGCTTACTGGTATTTTCTCTACACTTCTCATCCCCGAAACAAAGCAAAGAACGCTTGAAGATATCTCGAACGAGGAGCAGGAAGGCTACATCCGCGGCGTTCCCGGATCTTAGGCACGTACTACTTGTGCACAGGGCACTGAAACCATTTTCTTGCGCACATTGCCTTTCACTATTTATCAATATTATCTATGTTTGTATGATATTGGTACAAGCTGCTCGTGTCAATAGCCAATCAACTGTGCATGTAATGAAAAGTAGCCGTATAATGTTAGTCTGCGAGCTCGCCTTCCCGAGGCAAACTGCAAGTTTTAGGAACAGATAAAATCTCTAGAAGTGTCGATGTGATATCGTTATGGTCGATGTAATATGTCATGTCCGTCAGCGCCCTCAACACTGATAGGGGTGGAATGAGAGAGCAAACAGCTCCTAGAGGACACCATATTCGGCCTTTCGCAGAGCTATTTGAACTGTCTGTGCTTGCACCAGGAGCTGATCGACAATCGAGGGGAGCATCCTCAGGTTGATGATATGAGGAAGCTTGTTCGAGCAAAAGCCGAAGCTCTAAAGTAGCCAAGCAAGGAGCTATAAGACGACAGAATATTACAAGATATTTCCTCGCTAAATCAACCAGCGAAGCACGACAATTTAGACTATGATGCCACTGTTTTTGGCTTCTTTTTCTGTGCGACGACAGGAAGTTAGTGGCAGCTATCTGCATGTTGCGAAAACAACCTACGTAGCTGACAGCGTCAAAATCATATGCGATGCCAATTTCGGCCAGCTTTCGCTTCCTCTCGTTCTCCCTTTGAATGAGACGCTTTTCGGCTTTTCGCATGCTTTCCTGAGTTCGCAGCTACCAATAAATAGTACTGAGTCATGTTGTCAGTGAACCTTTATTCGACGGACCTTGTTATGTTCTTTCCGCACAATTTGGTCTATTGGGATGACCTTCCATTTTTTATTTGCCCCTACCCACAACTCGGGGTGCACCTTCTCCTTGGGTATTATCTTGCATTTAAGTATATGGCCCATCAACAGGTAGTTATCCATCGTCTCCGCAACAATTTGCGCGACGGACGCCGAGTCGAACTCGATAAAACCATAATGTTTTGACCTGCCAGTCTTATTCGCTGTCAGTTGATGTACACCACAACCACCACAATTTTGAGTACCTTTTTATTCCGTGAGATGCGCAATCTTGTAACATCCCCGAATTGAGAGAGATATCCCTTCAGCTGGTCTTCGTAGAACCCATGCGGCAAGCAACCCATGTATATCACACCTCGGTCTTGAGTCTAGTACACTGTTAGCGAGGATATGTCAATAGCTGCTCGATGCACTTACTGGATGCCGTTTCGCTTTCTCAAGTTTCCTCTTTACTGTTGCATCGTCCTTGGCGACAGTAGGCAGTTTCCCGATATCAACCTCTTCGCCAGGATTTACATCCTCGTCAGATGAATCATCCTCATCTGTTGAGAAACCATACAGGTGGTCATCGTCCTCAGCATCCGATCCTCCACTTTTTTCTGGTGCAGCTTCAGGTTCCTTTACAGGTTTCGGTATCGACTTCGTCTTGGAAGTCGATTCAGCAGAGAATGATGTTCGTTTTCCAGGATTGGAAACAGAGGTTTTTAAGGCTGACTTCAGCGATGATTTTGGGGCCATGTCGATGATTTTTTGAGCAGTTCAAGTGCCTGACCTATTAGTGGATATCCCTGATATGACTGACTCTTCAGAAGCTATTGGACAACAAACCACAACAACGTCTGATCATGATCCAAAAGTTCGCCAATCCGCATCTCCAGGCTCAAGACTTTGAGATTGTGTCTCGAGCACAGCGAAGGGCTGATGTGGACGACATCACGGACGCGGACGGTACATCTGATGTCGAGGTCACGACCTCAAAGCGCAAGCTGCACACGCTCCTTTTCTCAGAGTTTGGACAGTGCCTATCAACTGCTTCTGGCCATGTTCCCAGGACTAAGAAGCAATGTAATGAGAACGAGACAACACCGCCGGATATACAGGATGGTCTAATATGTGTGTATCAAAGATTGCATTGTAAGAAACTCTTTATGACGGCTCATCCATGCAGCGTTTCGCCTGCTTTCCAGTACTGCACCCCCAAGGATTATATCAACTATCCCGAAACCTCCGCCCCGGCCAAAGTACTTTCTTTCTTATCGATATCTTCTTTCACTCATTTTTTTTTCGTCTGAAGAACAAGGCCACCTGATTGCGAAGACAATATCATTCAGGCTGACGAACGGATGAAACGCGCCCAGTCTGTAGCCGTGGACTTTGCATGGCTAGGCGCATCGTCGCAAAAGTACTCCAAGGTGCGTAATAGTACCTACAAACTTCAGCGTTGTAGAAAATTCTTCCGTTCAGCCATCTGTGAAAGACAATCAGAAGGTCGTTCGCATGAGAGGCGATTTACCAGTTCCTCACCCTGCGGTGATGGTCACCGAATGCCATCGACACCGAACAGCGCGCAGGCAGACACTGAGACCACCGATACTCGATGCCATCGATTCTCCGCATTCATTGCGGGCGACTTGCATCGTTTTACCCACTGGTCTTCCCGAGGATTCGCACCACAAGACACGCGCCAAAGCAGTCACGAAGAAGCCATCTTTCGAGCGTCCACCCCCTGCATATTGGAGGCCAGATTCTCATCAACGGGGGAAATGCGTGGGCTATGCACTGGGCTATCCTGGAAGTTGGAGTGTTCGTTATGAGGGCGATCCGAGGAAACGATGGTATGTGAGAGATACAATGCGGAAAGCGGCTTTCAGCACGTAGAATTCTGTTTCTGTTGAACGTGTAACCGCAATTGAGGCAACTTCGAGGGACCGGGCAGCATATTCAAGGTTCGGTAAAACTCAATGCGCAGGTCGTTGTGCAATATTTTATGAAATAAAAAGAATGTGTGCCGATATGTAAATCCTACTAATCATGAGTGGGTGACTTTGTAAATCGCAGCGTCCATGATTGACATCTGACACATCGATTCGTTGTGTGGTCTCATCACTTGCGTTCACGCTGCGACTACACGGCTGAATTCGCATCTAATCAATTCATGGCTGGTGTCCGCAGGGTTACAATGTATAAGATGCGTTGAAATGGCCAATACAGAATACACTAAAGATAAAGCCCAGTCAACACCGCCGGTACAAAATAGGCTGCCACTTACAAAACAAGGAGCATACATGATTGATACAGGACGGGATTAAATGTCGTCGATATCGACCTCTCCCTCGTCGCCGAATTCGAAAGTACACTCGCCATCCTCCTCGGGGAAGGTGTCTGTCTCGTTGATTTTTGCATTCTCTGGCAGCTCGCCGTAGGCCTTCACTGTGGTGTATTGGATGAATTTTCGTGTGCATGCAATGGAAGAAATGAGGTTACGAACGATTTCTCGCTTCATCAGCGGTATACTTAACAATGACATCTGCCTTGTCATCCTGGAAGTCCCGCAAAGAAAGGAGTACGATGTCTCCCTGGTTAATCCACACCTGAAATGGTGGCCTCAAACGAGCGCCTAGAATGTATAGCACGAACACCGACCTTCTTTCGCATCTTACCACGAATGTGGGCTAGCCTCTTCTCGCCATCGAAACACATTGCCTCGAGACGACCATTACCAAGCATCTTCGTTACTTGTGCGTATTCTTGTCCATCTTCACGGAATACTAATTCACGCTTGTCGTCGTCGTTCTCGTTCTTTCCACGTCTGCGATTCTTTCCTCCCTAGATAAAAAGGCGTTGAGCACTGGGCTCGCTCTACAATCACTTAGGAGAGGATGTGACCTTTCCTTTATTCTGAGGGAGATGATCAGCTTGAGATTACGACAGTGTATGGTGATTCAGACACACCTTCGGCATGACTAATGATTGCTCTCTGCGTTGATTTTGTCCTTGTCGCTAGATACGGGATAGCGAGGACAAGAAGCAGAGTGATAAGATATGAGATGGTGCTCGGTGACTCTGGTGTGGAGGCGAGCAACACTTATCGATTATAAATTTTGGATAAACCTGAAAAGGAAACGTCGGGCTGTACAGTGGCTGGAATTCGGCAAATATCCTCCGTGACTACTGACGGTTTGGTTCAGCTGCTGCTGCTCTTACAGCGCCTCATAATATTTTTGTCGCATGGCTGAAACTCTACTGGCAATTTTGCTCGTAACCTCGTCAGCGAAGGGGCCAAACGTTGTTTATCGATGGCCACCGTCCGTGGAGAGTACTAAACCCAGACTCTCCCGTCCCCGTCCACCTGTCGATGGTCTCGAGTTAGACAACCCTTGGCGTGCATCACATTACTCAGACAATTCAAATGGTGTAACCGAAACGCACATGGGGGGTGTCGTAGATGATATCGATGACTATGCGTGGAGGAGACCCACTGAGAGTCGCGACAGGTCCATGTCTTTTTCACGTTCCGCTCTCCCGGCATCAGGCCGTGACTCTCCTTGCAATGAAGAGCGGAGGGAAATCGACTCTGTCGCGAATGAGTACCAAATTTTGTTCGACTACACTGCCCAATTCCTGGCTGGAATGCTATGTCCTCAGAGACACCTGTGTCACCAGAAATTTGAGCTCGTCATTGATAACCTCGTCTTCGCTGGACATCCTGTCTGCGTGGAACCTGACGGCATGTGGCGCTTCAAGCCAGAGAGATACAAACCTGGTTCACGAGGTCGAGGGTCTCGACATCGGGAATCCAGTCTACCAGATAAAGATAGCTCTGAAGTCCCTCTGGGTGGAGATACACACTCTACTGCGACGGCCAAAAGCTCATGGCTGCACATGTTTCATCTTGTCCTTGTTTTCGATTTGCCAGACCCGTCATCATCAGCCTCGGGGAATGTTGCAAGGTATTTCGACACGATCTACGAGCAAATTGCGTTCACTGTCACTGCTGTGCTCTTCCAAGAACAAGTCCTGTCGAACTTTGTAGAATTGGAGTGCGACGCGATTGGTTCGCTTGAAACCGAGTATATGGTAAAAGGTTAGTTGCGGGCACCTGCGGAACACATATCGCTGACATGCATACATAGGAGAGCGTTTCTCTGTATTCGCATCGCATGCACAACGAGTGTCATCCATTGCTACTGCAATGAAAAATCTCTATGACGCTATCAAGTCATCCAACATGGCCCACATCACTCTCAACGATCTCCCTCTTGAACTGCAGCTCCCCCCTTATCTGGACCACTTATTGCACAGCGAAGAGGAATTCGAACTTGAATTCGTGGGTCGTCTCGAGAATCAAACCGATTCTCAGCTGTGGGGCCGCGAGCTCAGTTTTGGATGGCGTCTGCCAGCCCTTGTGCCTTGGAAGAGTTTGCTTCTCCTTGATACTGACCAGGAACTGGATCCGTATGTGAACTTGAGAGGGTCACACGTGCACGCTGATGAGCGAAGCCTGGCGGAGGGCCTGATCAAGTTTCTTGAAACCGCTTCTGTCACATTATCGTAGGTCTACTTTCGTATTACGAATGCTCAAGATGACAGTGTTTTCAGAATGGCAGACATGGCGAGTTTGCTTGACTGGGACCTACATTCTCAGGTATACCCAACTGTCCGTTGGCTAGTCCACCACCGACGGGCCAAGATTGTTGACACAGTCCACAATGGACTGAAGACCATCTTTTCGATTGCTCCTAAGTTTGATAAACCGTTAGTGCATAATACAGCTCATCTGCCTTTTAATTGATTGAGTGGAATGCAGGCTTGCCACCCTTGCTGCTGAATTCAAACGCGATTTCCCACAGCCGTCCATCTCACCCCTCCCTACGCTTATGGCTACGATCTCCAATTCCACCTCCAAGCAGGCCGATAACCACTTTTTTGCAACGGTCGTGCAGTCCAAGGATCTCATATCTCTCTACCACGAAGTCGTGCTTTGGATGCTGAAACGCGACCTCCTCATTACACTGCATCTGCACGTGCGCGTAGTAACTACTACTGAGCTCAAAGTTCACGTCCGACAAGCGCAAGAACGGAAGCTGGAGCGACGGGCGAGTCATCATCTTCGCGGGCGCCGGAGGAGCAGCCACAGGGCCGACCATGGCGTGGGTGATGCACACGAGCATCCACGAGTAGCCATGCCTTGGTTATCGCTTTCGCCCAAAGCTGCTAGGCGGTACTCGAGACTGTCTATGGACTCGGGGCAGAGCAAGCCTAGCGATGTATTGGGGTCGATCCTGCTTGAGGATGCTGAAGACGTCTTTGAGGAAATATCCGAGGAAGATTCAGGAGATGAGAATGTTGGTTGGGGATCATCTGAGGATACCCTTGAGCCTTCGATGATCAGCGATCCGGGAACAGCGAGCCCATTGGAGCGGAAGTGGTTGGCAGCTATGTCGGAGGGGAAGGATGAATATATTGCAAGACGATTTGCTCTGTCAGTTTTCGATTTGCTTGTTTTCTAACGTCCCTTTGACGCCTTATCAGGATCAATCAGTACTTTGATGGTAAGCGAACGGACGACGAGATCCTCTACACAGCGGAGATATCGCGCAAGCAGCTTCGAGAAGTCCTGCATCATTATGAAGAATATGTGCGTCACATTCCATGTCGACTGCCCCATATTGATGTGTTGGATAGCTACAAACTTTCTTGCATTCTGCGTGACCATATTACATGCACTTCATGACCCTCTGTCGCTCCTACAAATACAGTGACATCATCGGTGGTCGTGCTCGAGGCGCAGGATGGATGATGACAGGCAGGCGAAAGAGAAAGAAGCCTGAAGCCATCTCATTTTGAATATGGTATAGATATCCTCCATTACAGGGGAGAATCATAGTTGTATCAGTAGATGGACCAAATCCACTGGTACTTGAACTATACTGTAGAGATACGACACTAGCTTCGTCACGTGCAGCATGTGACAAGGTCACACTTAGTGTCACAGCTTTGAATTACCCTGTGACCTGTGACCACATAAAAAATAGCTTCGCAAATTGTGATTGCTGCACCTTGTACCACAATTGTACCAATGTACTTGTCAAGGCTTCTTGTGTGATTCATATCTTATTGTAAAGTTGAGAAGTAATAAGTAGAATCTAGCTAGGCATTGTTGTTTTTTTATATTTTTTTTTGTACATTTGTTGATGGCTGTGACCTGTGATGAACCTAGTGTCGTATCTCTACAGTATATGTGATGGGTTGCAAAACTAAACATAAATTGAATCCCAGGGAGAGAGAAGAGATGTTCATCAAATATCTAGTCCTGCAATGCAATCCTCCTCTACCCATCCACCAGATCAGTTCACCAATTCTATTTCATTCTCACAATATGATTTACAGCTAATTGCAAAATTATGTGGAAACGCAAAAGTCGAATTTGAGTCTCAGAAACGCCCGAGGTAGGACCCCATAAGTGTTTGGTGTACAATTGCGCGCTCATTTGAAACCACTCCAGCATCATGCCGCCATGCACAGTCTCACTAGATCTAAAAGCTCGCATTCCTGTTTTGCACCGACATGGGCATTCCGTTGCAAGCATTTGCTACTTACATGGTATCAAGAAGACACTTGTATACAAAACTATCAAGCTGACTGGCCCGGTGTACCAAACATCCATTCCCTAGCCTCTGTTACAACTTGGATAGTTCTTATGTAACTAATCCAATAAAGGAGTTCAACGTGTTATGACGTTCAGTTTCTAGACGTCTGAGGGGCTCTCCCTCTAGACAAAGTTTTGAGTATAGACTAGTCTCTTTACAAGAGCTAGATCGGAATCAAGTATCTTCCTCAGAAGAGAATCAAGTATCAGAGAGAACCAAGTAGATTCAAGTTAAAGAATACAAGTGTAACTAGAACATGAAAGAACTATCTGGAATGTTCATGTGATGCATGTTGATAAGCGGTCAGAGATAGCAAGAATAGACAGAAGTATCTAGAATGTTCATGCATAGCATGTTGATAAGCAGTCGAAGGTAGCAAGAATAGACCATGGAAGCATGATGGTGAGAAAAATGATGGGGTTGCTGTAACATTACCCCCGTTTCATCGTCTGAACAACTGTCTAACCTCGCATCGTCATAGTAGACGAGATCCGCATCAGTGTTATGAAACTCCAACAGATCATCTCCTGTCTGTTTGTTGGCGAGCTGCTCTGCTTCACGCTCAATTCACTCAACAAGTTCATCTTGGTCTGCTTCCCATTTAGCGAGGGCGTCATTGAAGCCTTCTTCATTGTACGCCATGGGGAGGATTTGTTCGCCATTGAGCTGGGGACAAAAGACAGATAGGTGTTTGGGTGCGAATATGAGGCACACTCTGCAGTAATATGTAGGACAGTTCTTGTGACGATGTCCCATTTCTTTGCAGTGGCGGCAGAGGGCATTGTCATAGGAATGGGAAGTGGGAGGCAGTGATCCGGATGACCTTGGAGGAGTCACGATGTCTGGCTGTGAACAGTGGTCTTTGTGTTTTGGGGGTGAACATGACTTAGGGGTGGAGGCAGCCTTCTTTGTGGAGCTTCTACGATGTTCAGAACGTCTGAGTGTGTTCTGTGGCGGAGGGATGGGTCGTGTGGATGATGGTTCAGGAGTAGAGGGGATAGCAGTAGGAGGAGGGGGAGGTGGAACAGCGACCTCAGTTACAACCCATTCTGCGATGATATGTATGGCTTGCATAACATCCTCCTTGAAGTGCAAGGGGAGGAGGTGAAGGGCGAGGGTTCGTGCTTTCCTCTGAAGATGGAGGATACTACACTTAGCGTTGGCATTGTCGACGTTTCCAGCGACAGTTTTGAAAAGGCTGGTAGTGCGGATGATATTAACGATGGTATAGGTAGTGTCTTCCCCCCTTTCGGCGAGGATTCGTTCTATTTCAAGGGCATGCTGTGGGGACAGGATGGTGGTTTCTATGAGAGTGGCGGTCTCAATCTCGTTGATGAGGGTAAGGTATTCGGAGAGTTGGAATGAAGAAGACATAGTTTGCTTGCTAGGGTTGATTCAGAAGATGAGAATTCAATGGAGAAGTCGAGCCAGTTTAAGGCGGTCTTTATAGGTTTTCAGGATTTCTAGAGCGTTCTGGAGTTCCTTTTCAGGTAGCCATGAGTTTTCTGAACTGGGATAACCCTTCCATGACATGAGAAAGCGGTGTCTTCCTTTTACGTTTCCCTTGTGGGCGAGGATCGCTTCTATCTCGTATTCTTCTTGTCCATTGATAAGGTCAGGTGGTGGTTGAGGATGGTTCGGGCCGTGGATTTCTGTTTCCCGATAGGATGATAGCTCAGAAGCATGAAAAATGGGGTGAGATTTCCAAGATTCAGGGAGGCGGAGTTTGAACATGATAGGGGAAAGGACCTTCTCGATTTCGAAGGGGCCATATCACTTCGGTGCAAGTTTCTTTGATGGAAGGTGAGTGATAAGGTGCGCAGCAGATAACCAAACTTTGTCTTTAGGTTTCCAAGGTTCAAACTTCTTCCTGAATGATCGTTCAGCTGTGCATTGCATTGCCAATTTGTGACAGGCCAGGGCTTCTTCTCGAATCTTCTGGAGATGTTTTACTCGATCTTCTGCAGCAGGAATAGCGGAGTCAGGGAAGGCATAGGGGATTCCTCGAGGCTCATAGCCCATCATGAGGAAGAATGGAGAGGTGTTCCGGGAGTCGTGCTTTCGGTGATTGTGGACGAATTCTGCCATAGGAAGATGCTTTACCCAATCTTGAGGGGCAGATCGGCAGTAGATGCGGAGATAGGTTTCAAGCTCTTGGTTCAATCGTTCGGTTTGGCCGTCGGTCTGGGGGTGATAAGCGGTTGAAAGAGCAACTTCGTAATCAAGAAGTCTTCCGAGTTCTTTTGCGAACTTTGATGCGAACTGGGGGCCTCTATCGGAGATGATCTTGTCATATAAACCGATAGTGTTTTAAAGTCCAGTTGCAGGACCGCAAAAAGACCGGCAACTGGACCGGACCGGACCGGGTCCTAAGAAGGACTGGTTGCAGTCTTTTCCAGTTGCAAGATCAGTCCAGTCCAGTTGCCTGAAGTTTGCGAAAAATAAATAAACCAGTCTAAACCGGTTAAAATCGGTTTAGACCGCAACCGGTTCATATGTACATGTAGTACTCGTCAGCGCAGTTCTAACGGTGGTCCGATCATGTAAAACGGCTAAGATTTGACAAAGTGATGAGCATTACAAGAAAAAGCTGCAAATTCACGGGATGTCTTGTATCTTAGCTTTTATCTAGACCAAACCATAATCAATTGACAAGGTAAGACCAGCTATAGACTCGTCTATACTAAGGTTACAAGTAATGTTGACACACCTAAGCCTTATAGTAACAACTTTGATTTTGTGACATTTCATATACGGCAAGTCAAAATCAGTCAAAATCACCGATTGGCTCATAACTTACCCAAACCTTGAGTGTCCGACAAGATATGAGTAGCTATAGACTTGCCTAGACTAGGACTACAATTAACATCAAGACACCTAAGCCTTACGACCACTTTTATTTTTCAAAGACAAGCCCGATAACGATTTTTTGTCAAGCTTATATCTTGCTTATATCTTACCCTATTGACAAGATAAGACTAGCTATAGTATCGCCTTGACTAGCAGCACATATTTCGTCAAGAAGCCTAAGCATGGTAATGACATTTCATATTTGACTCACATGCAGGGCGGAGTTTGGGAACCCTTTTTTATAATGCTCGTATCTTGCTCAGATCTTAACCGTTTAATACAAATAAACCACCATTAGAATCGTGGGAAGGAGTGCTACACTCCCACAGGACTGGTCTCGGTTGCAACCAATCTAAGACCGGTTGTAGGACTGCAAAAGACCGAAAACATCGGTCTTTACAGGTCCAGTCCAGTCTTGATGATATCATGGGAATGAAAAGACTGGTCTGGTCCGGTTGCCTCCAAAAAAGGCAAAAAGACCGGACTGGACCGGACTTTAAAACACTATAAACCGAATCTGAGGAACACTTTCTTGAAAAAGAGTTTGGCTACTCCTTCTGATGTAATGGTTTTCTTGCAAGGTGAGAAAATTACCCCCTTCATAAGCCCATGGTCTACCACGACCATGACAGAGTCGAAGCCCTCTGATGGGGGAAGGTCGGTGATTAAATCTACCGAGACTTGAGTGAAGGGGCGTAAAGTGGAGGAGGAAATAGGGTTCAGAGGGGGAGTTGTAGGATGTGTGTCGGTTTCATCTGCTGACACATAGTACATCCTTTGATGTATTTTTGGATGAAGGTTCCCATCCCAGGCCACCAATAATCCCGCTTAACCAGTTTTCAAGCGTCCGGGGTGTCCAGCAGTGGGGTGATCATGGTGAAGATTTAGGATTTGATGTCGGAGATCTGCGGGAACATAGGCTCGGTTCTTATAGAAAAGTGTGTTATCTTCAGTACGCCAGTCAGAGAGTGCAGATTTCATAGGAGGGGCACTGAGCCCGTCTAGAGCTTGTTGTGCTGCTAGGATGATTGGATCAGAGAGGGGATCCTGCAATTTCAGTGCTGTAGAAAGGTCAATATCGATGAGTTGTCCAAATAGTTCATCAGGAAGGAGGGTGATATCGGCGTTATCAGCTGGGTTGGCAGAATGATCCGGGCATTGTGAGAGAGCATCAGGGGCAGTGAGTTTGCTTCCTGCAACGTGATGCAATTCTAGATCAAACTCGTTGAGGATTAATCGCCAACGTGCTTGGCGGCATGTCAGATTCTGTGCTGATCGGAAATACAGGAGGTTTTTGTGATCTGTGAAAACCACTACAGGGTGTGGGTTCCTTTCAAGATAGTGG